CGAGACGATAAAATGTTGTGATCCAGCTCGCTCTGTGTCCGGAAAATTGTAGGCATCAGTAGAGTCTATTTAAATCATCACAAGGTGAACAGGATCATGCCTCCGGCTCAATCATGCTCTTGACTATAAAAAGGTGGATTTGGTGCCTTGACCAACCTGGTAGGACTCATCAGGAACTCTTCCGCAAATCCTTCGTGCAGATGCTTGCAACCAGTGTCATGATCCATTTGCTTCGCACGGCTCAACCCTGTGGTGAATTCGATCAATCGGAATGATCCCATCACCCCAGATCTCCACAACCCCATGCCCTCATGCGGCGGGATCATTCCGTAAGATACTCCCCCAGACCACCTTGAGGGGCTTGTTTATGAGATATTGGAAACCTGACTTGCCAGAATACAAAAGGGGATATTCGAGACCAGTGAGCTCGCTTGTTATGAGATATTGTTTACAGCAAATCGTATCTGTGTGTGCTTTTGACAAGTCTGTTGATGATGTCGCGACCCATGTATCGACCCTGCCCGGATGGTACCAAGATGTGGGTCTGTAGGGTCTTCTTCTTGCAATGCATTCCCACTTACAGTACGTTATAGCTGCTTAATCTCGGCACCATCGAGATCGATGCCAACTACGTTCTTGCTGGACATCCAAACGGTAAGATATCGAACTTCAAGCACGTCCAAGCTAAAGAGATGCTCATTCCACTGACCATTAACACCAGCGGGCTCCGCAAGCAACCCGAACCCGAAGCATGAGCGCATTGATCTCGTTCTGATAGCTGTTCTCATTGAGCATCCCAAGGAAGGGCTGATCCTTTTTGAGACGGGCTGTCACGATGATATGGAGGAACAATGGGGGCCAGTAAGTCGTATTCGACTGCTTGTGCCTAGATCGCTGCAGCAGCTCACAATTCGCACAGATGTACGATGTCTCCCCGCGCAAAAACTACACTGCGCACAACACATTGCCTGAGCAGATCGCCGCCACAGGGCATGACATCAGAGACGTGAAGGCGGTTTTGATGGGCCATCTCCGTAACACCCACGACAGAGGATTTGAATCTGTCGTGTATTGGCTGATCGTGCATGTTCTAGATGCGGACCACTCAGGAGGGTTGATGCATTTCATCGATACCAACGTCCCTATTTACGTCCACGATGAGGAGCTCCACACGGCGCTGTGGTCCCTTTTCACCAAGGTGGGCTGAGCCAAAATCCCATCCGACGACGAGAAAGCACTGACACGACCCTTCCAAGGCCGATCGAGGCCCATACCAAGCTTCGTACCTGACGCCGCGACTGAACTGGCAGACCTTCGACGGCAAAGTGTCAGAGATATTCGAGGGCATCTCGATGCACCACTGTCCCGGGTCGGTGCCGAAGATGGTCGTCCCGTCAATGTCAAATGCTAATGCGATGTTGCTAGCCACACCGCGGGACTATGCTGCATGCAAGTCGACCTCAAAGACGAGGGCACGTTCGTCTTCACCGGAGATCAATTTCATGTCAAGGAGAACTATACTCGGCGCCAACCGCAGGGTAAGTACCGACTTCTTTGGGGGCAAAAGGGCTGGCACTAAATCTCGACGGGCTCTTAGGTTTTCTGGGAAGGGACAGGACGACATGGCTACAGTCTTTGACCTATATTGAACGATTGGAGAGACTCCTCAACGCCAAGATTGTATATGGACATGACGCGGGCTGCTTTTACGAAATGAAGCAGCTGCCGCAGTTCTATACCTAAGAGATGGCTAGGCTTGAGACGGAAAAATGGACTTGAGATCTTCCTTCGGCAACCTAATTCAGTTGTAAGACATAGTCACGACTCCAATACTACCATGGACGTGGTATGGCGAGTCCTCTTCTCGTATACTTGTCAAATTCGACAGAATCTGTTACTCCGCGCACAGGTTCTAGAAGTCTCGCCCCGGTCGCCGCATTTCTTTCAGTCTCGCGCTTTGGCAAAGTGCCCCCTGGTCCTTCTAAGTTCTTCCATTCCCTCTGGTTATAACACCGTAGCACGCCAACCGGCACATACTATTCAGACAAACACAGAACACGCAACCCGAATTTCAGAACTCCAATCGGAGACGATAGGGGAAGAGAAACCCAAAATCATCATAGCCCACAAACAGGCCTCTGCGCCGGGATGAGGATGCGATCAGTAGCAATGCTGCTCAGCGACGGGAACCTCGTTTCTCGAAAGAAGTCGCACGAGAAAAGTCAAGTCCTGACTTCCGGACGCGGTGATTCCGCAGCTCATGCCTCGACTTCCTGGACATTGACTCCCGGCTGAGTTGCACCGATTTTGCCGTTTGTCAGTCCATTCGCTATTCCATGCACAGCCCCGTTCGTCGGAGGCAATACCTTCGACTGACTCTGCACGGCCAACCCGGCATCCTCACGAGCCTTCTGGTAGTCGGCCTCGAGGTCATGCCCCCACACCCACTTCATCCGGCCGGCGAGCTTTTCGCGCACGATCGGCAGACAATCTTCGTAGGAGGTGATACCTTCGAACTCCCGGCCCTGCATCTCGTACACGTCGCCCGCCTGGCGGCTGGTGATCTGGGCCTTCTGGGCGCGGGGTCGGCGGACGGCTTGATACAGGGCCGTGTATGCGGCCACGCCGGGAGCGGGGTTGGCGAAGTAGTCCCTCACGACGAGGCCCAGGATGTAGGCGTCCTCGATGGCGTGGCCGGCGCCGGAGCCTGAAGTTACCGCGAGTTAGTGAGATGAAACTTGAGTCGGCTGTAGGCAGAAAACAACGAACCTTGATGTGGCAGCATCGCGTGAGCGGCATCACCGGCCAGGACGACCTTTCCGTCGAGGTAAGTCCACTGCTCGAGCAGCTCGCGGTCGTTGAGACGCCACTTCCCCGGGCGGGCCTCCATCTCGCGAATTACCGCGCCGACCGTCGGTTCCCAGCCTGCGTACTCGCGCTCCAGCTCCTCGCGGGGTGCACTGCTGGTCCAGCTCTCCTTCAAGTCGCCGAGCTCGCTCTCCGGCTTGGTCACGAAGGCGACAACGTTGAGCGTCTTGTTTTGCGAGATGGGAAAGACCAGGAAGTGCTTGTCCGGGGCCAACCAGCTCACGGCGTAGCTGGGATACGGCCACTTGTCGCTGATGGCGCTGAGGGGGAGGAGACCGCGGTAGGCGATACGGCCGCTGTATCGAGGCTTGTCGAGGGCGAACTGTGATCGAATGGTGCTGTGGATGCCATCACAGGCGATCACCAGATTGGCTGTCTCCGTCGGGTTCGTCTCGTTTGCAAAGTGGATTGTCACTTGGTCGCCGTGGTCCTGGGGCAAAGGCTGGACGTCAATATAGGTGCCATGATGTGGGATGGCATTGGAACTCGTGGGAAAAGACCCGCCAATGGGCTGGGAAGATCCAAGTTCCTGAACTCTGCTTACCTCGACTTTCGTAGCCTTCATATCCGTCTTCAGCGTGACCCGACCGTTGTAGCTGTGTCTCAGTTCCTGGTACAAGACGTCCAGGATCTCTGCCCGATGCACGCTCAACTGCCGGACACCACCGTCGGCATCCTCGTCCATCGCACCCACCGCCACGATTTCCTCACCCGTGTCATATCGCCGACAGCTTCGGTGCACGCCATTGCGCTCGCCGGATATGGCGTTTGCAGCTTGCCAAACACCCAGTTTCTTCAAGATACGGGCCGCGTTCACGCCGATGCCGATGCCGGCACCGATCTCTTTGTACGCCGGAGCCTGTTCATAGACCGTGATGTGTTGGAGAGTGGGATTTTGATGGGCGATGCTGAGGGCCGTTGTGAGCCCCCCAATTCCACCACCGATGACGGCGACTTTGAATGTTGCCGGGTCGGTGATTGTGCCATTGCTGAGCGTTGCTGACGGCATGTTTACAGGAGTTGGAAACTGATCGAGACTGGCTACCGGAAAATCAGATCGTGGAGTGATTGCTAGTCTCTTAGAGAAGAGTTCGATGATTCAAGCCTTCCCTCAGTTATATACCTTCTTGGCAGATCTCGAGCGAAGATTTCGAAGGCGAACTTGTCTAAGGGCAAGCGTAAAGAAGACAAGCCTGGGAAGCGAGGCAACACGAACCGTTCATCAAGCTTGATCGGCCGGGCGTCGCTGTTGGGTCGAGAACCGTGGGGTCCGGGAAGGTCTCCATGTTTCTGGCACCACTCGAAGGTCTTCCGCGGCGAGACTGGGGGAGTCCTGGGGACATTGAGAAAGGTTTAGAACGGTCCGGGTTGTCACACCGACAGGTTCCCGAGAATCTTCGCAGCGTAATATGGGTTTGCCGAACGATACGTGGGAAAATCTTGTTGTCCGGACGTCGTCTCCGGCCGGGGAGAACCAGAAGGACGGTAATACGCAAGAGGGGCCGGGGAGATAAACAATCGTCAGACATAGGGCTGCGTGAAAATCCTCTGTCCTCCCACATACATTTGTCTCTCTATCCTATTCCTTGTCTTCGCCGGAGTTCTCTACCCGGCAGACGGGAAAAGACCCTTTGCTTTGACCCGTTGAACGGTTGTCGGCATCTCAGGTCCCACGTCAACTGTTCGACGTTCTCGCGGAAGGACTTGTGATCAGAGTTCGCTTACGCCCCAGTTTGTGCGAGGCGCGGAGAGACGCCGGATTGCAATTGATTATGCCGGCAGTGGTATTTCGCTACCTAGGCCAGGTCACCAGACCACCCGACTACTCTTTGGTCTACCATCGCCATGTTTTCGAAGTGGAGAGCTCAACAGACCGAGACGACCCCTTGTAGCTAAAGTGTATAGCACATAGCACCATCCAATGTACTTAAGAGACGGGTAGAGCAGACATTCTATGCGTATAGACAATGAAACGCTGCAATCGACTAAATACTTGTACTCTGGTCACTGTGCTGTCCAAAATGATGGGACTTTGTCCAGACAAGACGACGTTGCCTAAATCCCAATCCAGTCCCTTACATAGGCTCTCCGACCACTGTTCAATCGGAAACCAAACCCGCAAAGGAGACGCATCACAGGTCCTTGTGAAGATTCGGCTCACCTTGCGCCTTCCTGATCTTTTCGCCTTTCCAGATGAGGAACAGCAAACCCAACCAGGTCACGAAGTTGATGGCGGCAAAGGTGCCCCAGGCAGCGCCGAAGCTCACACCCTCCCCGAAGGGTAGCGCGTAGAAGCCGATGGTGAAGGCAAAGATTTGGCGGAACAGATTGATGATGGTCGACACTTCTGCGGCCTGAGGCTTGTAGCAGTCCGTGCAGTAGGCATAGGTCAGAGTCGTGCCCGCCTGAACACCGACGCTGGCGACCGTCATGCCGACAGCGAGACCAATCCATGGCGTCTTGTTGTTGACGCAGAGGCCATGGATGATCAAGCCAGCGGGCAAGAAGAGACCGAGGAAGCAGAGGTACAGACGAGCCTCGGGCTTCCTGTAGCCATCGTGACGGCGAGCGTAGCGGTTGATCAATTGATCGGAGATCCAACCAGTGCAGGATTCTCCAATCAGACAGCCGAGTGTCAGGGGAATGCCCAGCAACAGACCGTTTTGGGCCGTGTTGAAGTCGTAGAGCTTCTCGCTAATAGATGACGCCGTGAGAACGAAAACGATGGAGCCGTAGGTGTTGGTCGTCATGTAGTAGATGCAGGGGATTGTGATCGCCACGTATTTGAGCATCTTGAAGTTGGCGGAGAAATCGGACGCGGTCAATTTGCGGTCCAAGACCTTACCGCGGAAGGCCATCTTGTGCCAGTAGGTTTGGTTCTCGAGTTTGCTAAAGTCCGTGCGGGAGAAGAGTGTCTCGGGGAACGAGACCAGAAAGATGGCCAGGACGACACCAAAGATGATGGCGTTGATCTGGGGGCAGTTAGTCACATTCGTCCTTAAGTGTAAAATTCAGTCAATAGTCGTAGCACATACGAAAAAGATCCATCTCCACCCCAGATTTAAGGCAATATAACCGCCGGCAATCGGACCAAAATGGGGCTGTCAACTTGTCAGTTGCTGATTTGCCTATGGTTCTATGTTTACTCACGCCATTGGTGACAGCCAGAGCGTAAAAGCCCATATACTTTCCTCGTTCGCCCTGAAAGAACATATCGCAAATCTGGTGCGTGTTAGTCTTGTGGTCAGGAGATAGCGAGGATCGCGCTTTGGCTTACAGTAGCACCGCCAATGGCCAAAGCAACACTGGCGCCAATACCGACGAAGCATCGGCTGACGACCTCGCGAGCATAGGTGGAAGCGTATCCCGACCCAACATTTGCACCAATTGCGATCAAAGTAAAGATCTGCGGTCCTTGTCAGAGGGACTTCATCCACGACGCAAGATGCCTGGGTTACTCACCAGATATGCAGGTCTTCGACCATACATGTTGACATACGGCGTCAACAGCAGAGGCGTGATGCCACCAAAGAGCGTGTACGATGTCGTCAAGTAGCTGGCTTGCTGGTGCGTAACCTTGAAATCTTTCGCAATCACTCCGAACGCTGCAGGAACCATGCCAGCCCCAACTGTTGCCCAGTCAGCACCACGCGCCATCAGCCACCAAGACACCGATGACGCTTACATTGAACGCAGAAAGCGAGGAGACACAGCAAGAAGAGCACGTAGTACTTGTACCACTTTGGCCAGTTCTGTGGTCGAGATCAGTCCCAATGCTTCGTTTTTCGCACTTGCCTGGCGACAACAGGGGTCAAAGTCAGGACATACAAGTGGATCAGCCTTGTGATCGGTAGGCTGCGGCACAAGAGGAAGGCCGTGCTCATCAAGCTTCAAGGGAGGTCTTTGGCCGTGTTTTTCGAGCTCGATGTCGATGCCGTCATTGTCTTCTACGTGCGCCAGGACCCGCAGGCTTTTCTCCTGGCCAACTGTTGCGGCAGCCATGGCGGCAAGGTAGAGACGAAATCTCAGACAAGGGTTCCTAAGGAAAGGGATTCAGGTGATGGCAGAGGAGGCCGTAATATACAGGGGGTTCAACCAGGCCGTTGGCGATCAGCCAGTGTAAGCAAGCACTCCGAGGTGGGAAAGGAATGAAAATAAAAAGGGCGAGAAAGACTCATCCAGCTCGACGAAAGAAAGTCGTTTATCTTATTTATCACCCTGTTCCGCCTCGCGACGCCATGGCTCGAAAGACCCTAACGCCAGCAGCCGGATCCAGGGAGTCCTGAGCTTCGAGCAAACGTCGAGGTGTGGGCGAGGCCGGAGTGTTCAACGCGCGCCCTAACAACAGGAACTAATGTCTGGGGAACAGGAGGTCGACCAGGGTTTTTCATAAGCGGGGATGCAGTTCCGGGGCAGTCACGGGGAGAAAACAAGTGCGGGGGAAGAGTCGGGAATAGGTGTCTCCCCGATCCAGGAATCCCCGGCTGGGTAGCCCGACCGACACCTATTAATGCTTTGTCTTAGTCCGATAGTAGTCTCAGTGCAGTTCGGACCATTGTGATCAAGTTTATATGGCGCAGAGCCCTTTGTGCGGACGAAGGAGATGCCCTGTCTATTAGCCTATCCTGAAGTTGATCTTCCTCACTGGCGCAAAGAGCTCCTCAATAGGCACCTTCGTCTCAATCATCGACTGGTCATACAGATACTGCACCAACGCTTCCAGAGTCTTCCGGTTCTCCTCGATGCCGTAAGGCCAACAATCTTCTCCAAACACCTCGTGGATCTCATCGAGTTCCTGAGGGAGCCATGGAAGCATGTATCTGAGCGCGCCCGTGCTCTCCATCCGCTTCCTGGCCAGTTCCTTGCTGTCGTTCAGGGCGTTGTACAAGGCTGAGGCCGCGAATTTGTTTTGCTCGTAATAATCTCGGCGCATGGCCACCAGATGCATGATCGGGAAAATGCCGGTGCGCTTGTAGTAGTCCATTTCCACTTTCTTGAAGTCTGGGAAAAGACGGTCGATGTGCGGTGCTTTGCCGAGGCAGGCTGGGATATCAGCGCCGATTGTGGCGTCAATCTCGCCGGCCTCAAGAAGATCGGAGAGGGACTTGGTGGGATTGGTGTTCTGCGTGATTTTGATCGGCTTCAGGGGCTTCAAGGCAGAGGGCTTGCCGTGAGGGCCGGGTCCCTCCATTTTGCCTTCCACCCACTCGATGGATGATATGTCGACGCCGTACTCATGTTGAAGTAGACCTCGGATGAAGACGGCGGCAGTCATCGTGTACAGTTGCACTCCGATCCTCTTACCATTGAGGTCCTTCGGCTCCCTGATCCTCTCCTTGTTCACGACGATGAAACTGTGCCGGAAAACTCGAGAAGGGAAAACCGGTAGCGCAATGAAGGTGCGATCTCCAGCGACATGGCGAGTGATGTATTCCGAACTGGACAACTCCGAAGCATCAAATTCCTGGTTTGCTATCATCCGATCAAAGATGTCGCGCGGGTGATGAACGTCGATGAAGTTCACCGATAGCCCCGCTGGTTGCACCTCGCCGACCGCAAGAGGTACCATGCGGTCATAGAGTGCTGAGGCAAAGTTGCACCGTACAGGAGGCATGGCAAACGAAGCAGTATGCTAGTCAGTAGGCGATGCTCTCAGATCCGATGCGTGAAGTCGTCGTTCGTTCCAGTTGGTGATATACAAACACGTTTCCGCGAGATGCCTCTCGTAAGACTGTCGCAGATCTCTAGCGTTCTAGGTAAGGTACGTAGACTCGCCGAGACGGGGAGCTCAATTCAACAAAGCCTAGTAATAGGACTCTTTTTGGCAGATAATAGAGCCTCAAAACATATATCGAAGGGCATACATGTCGATGATTACGTCTATCGATTCGGGGAGAAGTCACCTCGGGGGAAAGCTGTCGAGACTCAATAGTGGTCGTGCTCCCCGATCGGCGATTCAACCCCGGAGGACTAACCGGAACAAGCTTATCCACATTAAAATGTATGCTGGGCGATGCCTCAACATCCCACTATTATTTCGTTGCTAAAATGTATTGTTTCCATTACATCCTTGCCTAGACTTTCGCCATAGCATTGCTTAAAATCGGAATGGACGAATCTACCTAAAGAAAATATAGAAGCAGAATCTTCTCCAACCAGGTACCCAGGTTTGGGGTAAGTCTCCCAAGCTGCCAAATGGTCATTCGAGTAGCAAGTTAGTGCTGCCTTAACAGGCGCCCCGAGCAAGGCCCTAGCACATGCCAAGGCGCTAAATTGCACCAGCCTCTTAACGTGCTAGAGGATAGGGCGGCAACACTGAATTGCCCAGTTGCATGTACATACGAATAGTCAGCCAGCAGGCCTTTTTCCTCGAGATAACCACGAGGTAACCGCTAGAGTAACTATAGCTGATATTGCTAATAAGGATAGGGGCACCACTGTGCATAATAACAGAGTACATATCTCTACCCATGACTAGTATCTCGGAGCGGTAAGTCAGAGGACACCACTAGAGAACCATCCTCATCCTGTTCTCGCCAGCCTCTGCCATTTATTTTGGACGTCGGCTCGCGCCCTTCCGCCCTTTGGGACGCGGCTGATGCCGTCTTGTTTTTTACCCCCGCGGCACCCAAGTCAGAGTGTAGAACAGACGTAGGACGCATGTCATGGGCTAGCTGTCGTGAAAACAACCTCCTGGAATAGATTGCGTCCTGGACCAGGTTCTGTGCTGGATGAATTGTCCCGAGGACGTCAGGCCTGACTTGTTCGGACTAGGCCAGCCGACCGTCTCTGTGCACTACTACTACCTACGGTCGGCAGACCTTCTTGGAAAACCACCCGGGCCCCGCGCTGCTTCCAAGAGTTTGAAGGTGTTTGCCTCAGCCTCAGCCTGGCAGTAAATTCCTCCATCTCAGAATGATGAGTGTTCGGAGGCATCATCGGCGGATCTGGTCTGTCCGTCAAGTTATTGGCATCAATGGATTCTACCGAGACGCTTTGCCCTGTCAACAACACTGGGTTTACCTGCCTGTATGAATCCGGTCACCCTGAAGCAGAGTGAGTAAATGGACGCCTTTCCAGACTTGAGGCAGCTGAAAGGGACCCAGCATCATTTTTGTGCATGGCATCCAAGGTCATCCGCGTAGGACATGGACCAGTAAACCCGTGCGAAGTCCGATTCGACTCGGATTCAGGGAACGCTTGGGGTGGAAAAGGTCGACCAACTTCAGTGAACAAGCCAAATCGACTACATCCCATAATCTTGAAGCCAAGAAGCTCGAAGCGGCTGTCGAGGCCGTATTTTGGCCACGCGACCTGCTACCGTTTGAATGCAAGAGCACTCGAATACTAACATGGGGTTACGACTCGAACGTTTCGAGGTTCTTTGGCGGGGCGGCTGACAAGGGCAACATCTTTGACCATGCGAAGAACCTCTTGTATTCTCTCAATAGAATTCGCCGAGAATGTGTCAATCGGCCGATCATATTCGTTGCCCACTCGCTTGGAGGCATCATTGTCAAAGAGACGCTCAGAAGATCCTACGGTGACGAAGATCCGGAACTCCAAAACATTGCCAACTGTACCTCTGGCATTCTTTTTCTAGGAACTCCTCATCGCGGAAGCTCATGCGCTCCATACGGTGAGATGCTCAGGAGGATTGTGTCAGCCGTAGGCTTTGACACGAACGATTCGAATATACGGGCCTTGCATTTCGACTCCCTGGAGCTGCAGCTATCACAGGAAGAGTTTTTGAAGATATGGAGGAAGAAAGGCTTTACGGTTCGAACCTTCCAGGAGTCGTCCGGCGTCGCAGGCGTCAGAGGCCTGATGGAAAAAATCGTCCCAGATATCTCTTCAAGCTTCGGTGACACCCGAGAACGCGCTCAACATCTTCCCGGAAATCACATGGGCATGTGCAGATTTAACAGTCGCACGGATCCTGGCTATCTGCAAGTGGTAGGAGAGTTGTCAGATATCCTGGGAAAGCTGACACTCCAGCAACAACTAAGTGAACCAGAAGCCCTGTCTGTGGTCTACACATCTAGAAGAAATGAGACAAACGAGGTGATCTTGCAGAGTAAATGTCGACAAATGCTCGAATCCCTTCAATTTCCCCAAATGGACGATCGCCAACGCTTGATCAGCGAGCCGTGCCACGGAACCGGCATTTGGCTTCTGCAGACAGCAGAGTATACGGAGTGGCTCCAAGGTGCACATAAATTCCTCTGGCTGAAAGGAAAGGCAGGATCCGGGAAGTCGACGTTAATGAAGAGAGTCTTGCAAGACTTGCAGTCTCGATATCACAGCGAAACGCACACGATCGCCGCTTACTTCTTTGACGGCGGCGGCTCTGAGCTTCAAAGGTCGACTCTAGGGTTCTTCAAGACCGTGCTTTATCGGATCTTTACGCAAAACACACGCCTGCTGGAGGAATTCGTCTCGGCCTCCGAAAACGGGAAGTTTAGCAAGGGGAAAAATCTGGAATGGAGATTGGAAGAACTGATGGAGGTAACAAGGACGCTGACCAAACTCAAGCATTGGAAGCCGACCATTCTTTTGCTGGATGCGCTCGATGAAGGCTCGAGGGACGACGTTCGAAACCTGCTACACTTCTTCGAGCAGCTCTTCCCTCACGAGATAGCCACATCTGCAGTCAGCTTCCGAGTCTGTCTAGCCAGCCGACATTATCCAAACATCACCTTAAAGGATTGCCCCGAACTATGGGCAGAAAGACATAATACTGCGGACATCGAAGAATTCACCCGGCAGAAGCTGTCCTATATAGTCAACACTTTCGATAATCGCCGGTTAGTAGATGCCATCCTTCAACAAGCTGAAGGTGTCTTTCTCTGGGTCGATCTGGTCACGACAGCCATGTGGATCAACGATGATGACGGCGAGTCCTTTGCAAGCAAGATGAGCTCACTCGCTAAGTCTCCGAACGGCGTTGACGCCCTGTACACACAGATATTCACGAAGCTCTCGGAAGATGAACGAGTGCAGACTTTCCACATTCTCAAGTGGGTGTGGTATGCTTCCCGGAGACTGACGCCGGTCGAACTGTGCCTGGCGGTACAGTTTGAGTCCGGCAAGCAGATGGCGACCTTGACTTCGTGGAAGCAATCTGACCATCTCATCGAGAGAGGTGAGCAAATGGAGAAGTTCATCCGCAGCCGCTCTCGTGGCCTTCTCGAGGTTCGCCCGATATCTGACCGGGATTCGGCCTCCCCGGCCTACGAAGTCGTTCAGTTCATTCACCAAACCGTTCCCGAGTTTTTACAACGGGTTGGCTTCGCACTGCTGCAGCCATCCAACCTCGCCTCAACTCACGATGGCAATTGTCATCACCAAATTGCCACAACTTGTTTACTTTACTTGTCGCATAGAGAAGTACGGAGATGCGCTCCCATGACTTTACTGAGATACGAGGCGGATAAGGCAGGGGTGCCATTTCTGCAGTCCATGACACCAAAAGTGACGGCGGAGGAGGCCGAGATCGCCCAGCACACCGTTGAGCTGAGTTGTGCCTGGGAGGATCAGAAGACTTCCACAGCATTAAAGCAGGCAATGGCAGTTCGGGGTATGTCTCTGATCACGGATATTGTGTTCTCGGAGCTTCCACTGCTGAAGTATGCCATCACTTCGCTCCAGAACCATTTGCGCAGGGCTGAAGAAGCTCGAATATTCCAGTCATCTATCGTCGATTTGGCATTCGGTGGGAACACTTGGTGGCATTATATATGGTACACCTTCCAGAATGCCTTCTTCCTTCCGCGTCGGCACCGCTTCCATCAAGTCAATTGGGCAGACTTCCTCCAGGCCTGCGTTGCGCTGGGTCTAGGCTCTTGCATCCACGAGGTGCGAAACCGCGTCCTAGATGCGACATATCAACTGCCACCTGCGTGGAACTTTTGGAGCTTGGAGAAAGCGTTGGATATCGCGGTCACATTCGGCTTGCGGGAGATTGCGCGCGATCTGATAGCATGCGGAGTCAACCTGGAAGCCAGGGATACTGCCGAACTCTCATTTCTCGACAACGCATGCATCCGTGGGGACGTGCCTATGGTGAAAATGTTTGTTCTGAGCGGGGCAGCTGTCCGGGCAGAAAACCTGTTCGGCATGACGCCTCTTCATCACGCTGCAAAGAGGGGCGTCGTGGATCTCCTGCACATTCTGTTCGATGCCGGTGCAGACATTGAGAAGCGCACTCGACAGGGAGAAACCCCTTTACACTTGGCGTTGATGGCTGATGATCCTCCAGATGCATCAATAGTCGATATATTGGTTCGAAGGGGAGCATCAGTCCATACACAAAACGATATCGGTATGACACCTCTTCACTACGCTGCGAGGCGGGGCGTCGTCGACAGACTTCGCGTCCTGTTAGATGCCGGTGCAGAGATTGAAAAGCGAAACAATCGAAAACAAACCCCCTTGCATTTAGCAGCGGCGGCTGACAATCTCGAAGCCGTTCGGTTCTTGATATCTCATGGAGCCGACAGAGACGCTACCGATGCAGCCGGGCAGAGTGCTTCCAGGGTGGCCGAGATTAATTTCAGCAGGAAGGTGTACGCTTTCTTCAACCCTGGAAGTCCAGAGATACCAGGGATGGTCCAAGAGGGGAGCAAAGACATTATTCCCAGGTCAATGACTGCCTCCCCTAGTCCCGAGCAAATGAGGCAGCGAGAGGGCGCGTTCGCATTAAGCTTGGAGCGTATACGATTGGAATCGATTATGGGGATCAATTAGGTTTACTTACGAACGATATTCGTGTTTGTGCAGCTTGGGGCAGTCTTCATGCAAAGTTCGTTGTGGTGGACTCAGGTGGCCTTCCTGGCTTCCAGTCGGCTTGAACGAATTATTCGAACAACGTAGGGAATTCTTGAATCGTAGCTTATTATCTAAGGCATTAATTGCAGTGGGAAACTCCTTCAAGGCTCAGCTGAGAAACTGTTGGTCCTCTCTATTCAGCGCTCGGAAAACACTCGATCCTGGGATTGCACCGAGGGCTCGGCGGGTAGATTGAATATTGAGGGAGCCGTGGACAACACGAGGACTCGGTACTTGTGCTAGGTTCGGAAGGTTCACAGAACATGGCGATGGTGAGATGCCGCGTGCACTGAGTGCGTGTTTAATTAACTGGAATGAATGGGTGTTATTAATTACACAGTGGGTGTCAGAGGGCATGCATGGAAGTGGCGACGAGGCTCGGAGGTTATGAAAGCGGCGCTTGCCTGGTCAATTGCACGTGAGCCCCCACGCAGTTTTTCCTCGTCTTTAATACCTGCCAAGTTGACGCTCAAGGGAGACTACCACCACTTGCTACACAGCATTGCCCACTCTTGCCTCGTCAGCCCTTGAGCTCGTGTCTATGCCGAACTGATTGTCTGGAATGGCGAACTTGAAGGACATAAATGAGCCATTCTACGTGCGATACTAGTACGGATTTGAGTTCCTGCGCTTGCATTCTCCTGAGGTACTGACCATGCGCAGCTCTGGCCATTCCGGCAGATTTGGCCATGAATTTCTAGGTGCGAAGAGCTCAATTCTCCCAGGTGTGGCTTTCACTCACAGCTGGCCAGAGTTTGACTTCAGAGTGATTGGAGACGGCCGCAGTGCCACAGCGAGATATGCAAACAACTCCAATTATCGCAATGATTCCCTCATTCGCAAAGAGAGTACGGACTGTACCTTCGGCGTCGCGTGTGGCTTCTGACGTGTGTCTAGTGTGTGTGAGCTCTCTCCTCGTTTCCGAAATCAAGCGCATCATCAAAGACAGCGAGATCATGAAGGAGGACGATTCCCGATGGCCACAAAAGAACAAAGATGGGAGACAAGAGCTGGAGATCAGGTTAGGAAACGATCACATTCAATTTGAGGTGGGTGGGACTTTCTACATTGGTTGCGACTAGACTGACGGGGGACAGACGGCGAAGATTGGTTCTCTGGGAGACGTGACGGATTCAGCCGACCCAGAAGGACTGCGCGTGTTCTATTACCTGGTGCAGGATCTCAAAGCTTTGGTCTTCTCTCTGATATCTCTCCACTTCAAGGTAAGCTGCTATCTATGGGGGGTTGAAAGACATGCTAAGCAAATGAACCGCAGATCAAACCCATCTAAAATCAACCTGTCTGTGACCCGTATCTTCAATACCTAATAGACGCCGAATCCCCACGCATCGAAGCCAGTTGAGCATCAACCTCACTCGAAGCAGGAGTCCGTGAAATCGGACTGGGGAAGAAGTCTTGATCTGGAAGAAAACATCATACAATGACTTCCGGACGGGGTGTCGGCTGGCGGAAGCCGTAAGCAGTTGGTTGCATATAGAACACTGCGATCCGACAATGATCACCTCTGGTCAGTTGGGATGCGTGAAACCAAGGAGTCTCTGGTGCAAGGACGTCAGCATGAGAGAAAGAGCTCACGACAATGTTTGTGAAGCATGGCACACTGCTTCAACGACTTGTACCCCGCAAAAGGCGAGGAACCTCCGAAAGCCGGGGCGGGAGTTTTAGTTCAACAAAAATTGGGTCGTCGATGGACTTGAGCGAGTGCGTCTCCAATCGACTAGATTCCCGCTGCCATCCACCCGTCCACTGTTCTCCGTCCATCTCATCATTCTCCTCTCATGTATCTCGTGCTCTGACGAAGGGGTTTGTATTCCCTCGTCTTGCGATTTCCCTGGCGATTCTATCCCTCCGCGCCTCTCTCCCAACGCTCCACCATTTCCACTATCCGCTCTCCATATGATAACCTTCCGGTCTCTCACCTTTCAATGCCAACCCATGCGCCCGATACGTCGTTTGGTCCTCACGACTCCGAGATAACTCAATCCAATGTCGCGTGCCCTGCTCCATTGACCCCACCTCCAGAGAATGACGGGAATGAGGCCACAAGGCGTCTAGTCGCGCAGCAGATACTTGGCGGAGATGTAATCGATCGGCGACCTGTCAGCGACAACACCGCTGCCGGCATGGCCCAGATGCAAGAAGAGACTATGTATACCACCCCGCCAAGTTTCGAAGAGAAAATTCACGCCGAGGGCGCCAGCGAGACACCTATGATAGGTGGTATCGATGATGACCTGGGCTTGAGCGAGCGCGTGGAGGACGATGGCGAGCGAGAGACGGGTCGATTTGATGCGATGGTTACCACACCCGTCATGTCGCAAGGCAATACTCGACAAGATATCTGTGACACGATGGTCCCAGCGGATGAGATAGGGCAACAGAGCGGCCAGGGCGAGCTGGGCACATGGTCGCCTCCGCTGATGTCGTCTGCGAACGACCGAGCTGGGGGCTTTCCTCGAGCTGGGGACCATTCCGGCAACCCGGGGATCGACCAAGAACTGGAATGGTCGAACAACGATTTGAAGGAATGGGACTTTTCTCAACGGCGACTTCGACCACAGTATCCCTCGGCAACGTTCCAGCCCTATTCCAAGTTCAAAGGCACTCAGCAGTCCGACCGGCAGGTCTACAACGTCGAAGTGACCATTCTGACCGTGGACATCGAACAGTGCAGCATGTCGGGATATCTTCAGATCTGTGGCTTGACCCCGGATCATCCAACCCTGACCACCTTCTTCACCGGCGAGATCATCGGCGGACCAAACCAGAAGTATAGCTTCAGGACGCGGGATCCCGCATGGGGCGCGAGCGACAAGACCGACCTGACGCACTGGGCTCGGTTTCCCGCATGGCGACCGCTCAGTCTGCACGCGAAGCGCAACATCAACTTTGTATACCCCATGAACCACGAAAACTGGTGGCAGCAAGACTACATCTTCATGAGGTGGAAGGAGCATTTTCTGGTCCCCGACTACAAGTTGAAGTCCATCCAGGGAGCCAGTTTCGAAGGTTTCTACTACATCTGCTTTAATCAGATCGAGGGGAGAGTGAGTGGCATCTATTTCCACTCCAAGAGCGAGAAGTGAGTTTGTTCCGTGCTTCCTTTGCTCCGAAAATACTTAATGGCTAATGTTCCAGCAACAGGTACCAGCAGCTCGAATTGAAGCACGAGGGACAGCCAGGGGTCTGGAGGATGGGCGTCTGTCCGGCAGTCGAGTTCAGGTGAAAGACGTATTCAGCCACATGTTTCACAAGCAGCTCATATGAGGAGGGATCCAACGCGCGTTCTTGTGTATACTTTACATCTGTAGATGACCATATTGCTGGGGGTGTCTCTTTTTTTTCCCTTGTTCGTTGGACGGATAGATTTTTGATAATGGCCATATCACGACCTTGAGACTTTAGCCGCCGTTCATTGCTGTGGTAGAGGAGAAATCTAATCTGTTTTATTATTTGGAATCGTCTTGTTCCTCGGCACTCATTTCCTCGACACCAGGAACAGGCATGTGAGACTGATCCGTCATCGAGCAGGGACAAGAAGCTTGATTTTGGCGGAACTTTGCGAAGCTGAGGGGGAGAAAGGATGCACATGCCTCTTCAGCTAGTCGCAACAAAGTCAAGGCATGATGACAATGAACCTTGTGGCCCAGCGTGATGCATGATGTATGATGTATGATGTCGAATTGTAGGGTGTTGGACCACGTACGCACAACCACCGTGGAGAGGTAAGGACCAAGGAGAAACCCCGAGGCGTCATGCCTGGATGGTTTGGGGGTTGGGAGAGAGCCATTGGCAGCAACTGGGATTATTTTGGGGGGCGAGGGAGGAGCACCCAAGGAGGTTCACTAGTTGGTTGTAGGCTTCACTAGCCTGATCGATCTAGGGGCTTCTGCGCCTCTGGGGTGACTTTAGGTGGTTCTGGGCCCTGCTCGGTACCTTCTCCGCGCTGCCCACTCCCAGGCTCCCGTGCCTATAACGCAGGGCCAACTGCACGCCCGTTACAATGTTTCCAGCACAGCCCACCCACCTCGCCGCTTATCCCCTCAAAGGGCTCATCGTGCCTTGTGGCCCCCCCCCCGTCGATTTGCCGCACGCACCAAGTCGGTAGACAGAAACGTTTATTCATGCATCTAGCCACCGCAGTCTCAGTACAAGTACTATTATTCCATCCCCCTCCTCATCTGCATCTATGGCATCTGCGCTCTAGTATCTCAAACCCAGTTGCTGCTGGCCGTGCGCTCGTTTGCGGCTTTGCGTCTTCTCATTTGGTTGTTGCATGTTCCTGTCCGACCTTCATCTTGCCGTATCCCATTACGCTTCACGTGAAATTGGCCGCAGATGACACTTACCATTTCCAGCTCGACGATTCAGATCATTTGATGACGACTGGACCAGGGCTAGATATGAATTGACCTGCACCATGGTATTGCAGCATCTCTCCCCCCGCGACTTTTTCACACTGACTGCCGGTCGGATTGCTCAATGACTGATGCTCGCTTCCTAGGGTTGCTGTGCATCGAGACCGACAGACTCGCGTGATCCAGACCATGGACACCCACATGCCCCTCCTCAGACTCGACACTCCCCCCAGGCCATAACCTCCCAGACAGCGATCAATGGTGCATCCCACGACCCCGACCCGCGCAATTTCGCGGCCCCTTCAGGTCTGTCCATCCATCAGAGTGAAACCTCCCGATCGGCGCTGTCCACCCCCAGAGACTCGGTCAACCAGAACACGAGATCACGGCAGCACCGGCAATTGTCCCTAGCAGATCATTATAACCTGCCGCTTCAGCCACCCAAGCCGTGGAAGAGCAAAGACAGGACATGGACACACTCTCAGTTACAGAGGGAGAGGTATGAGTTCTTCGAGACCCGTGTCACGGGGATCCCAGAGATCTGGAGTGGCTTGAAGCAGGCGATTCAATGTCTGCATGAAGGTGACCTGGCCGACGCCCAGGGGATTCTCGATGCACTCTCCGTGACACTCCCAACCGGGAAGCTCGAGGAAGGGGCGTATGATGAACATGGCAATCTGTATAAAATACCCCAAGCCGTCATTTCAAACCCCATCGACGTTCTCGAGGACAACACGGATATGGACTCCCAAACAGTCACCGGTACAAGCGACATTGATACCCTTGCAGCCAAATTGGAGGCGGCAGAGGGCGGTCACTTGGACGGCAGCAAGGATAGCTCTAACGAGGAAAAGGTGAAGGAAGCCAAGGGCAAAGCCCCTGTCCCCAAGGATGCGGTTAAGGTCAGATGCCGGCTTAGCGATCGCGGAGATCCTGATGTGGTTGTTTTGCTGGGCAAGAGCCAGAGGGTGAGCGCCCTGGCTCAGAGGATCCGGGATGAAACAGACGTGAGAGCTTTAGACACCGGCCCGCTGCTACATTCACTAACGTGTCACACAGGTCCCCAGCAAAGCCAACATACGGATCGCATACCTTGGCAAGATTTTGGACGAGAAGCTGACCTTGGTAGAACAAGGCTGGAAGGAAGGGCATGTGATCAACGCTCTCGTGGTGGGAGTATATAGTTGACCTGCCTTTGCCGAAAGGGGGCTGAGTAATGAGTGCTGCTGGGAAATTCCAGGAGCTTTTGCGGAAAGAAACGGCGCAGTGTCCAAGCCAGCGATGATTGATTTCAGATACCCTGCACAGTGTGTGTATATCTATCTAATGAAGATGTACAAAAGGCTCGATGGCGTCAACGTCCAGGAGGGGACCATTGCAGAGAGCACAGAGAAATCTGTAGGGAGCAGCTGCTTTTGATAATATTCTAATCACGCTTACGAAACTGTCCAACGACCTAGAGGTTTTGCTTTGCTCCAGGGCATTCATTTTCAGAGGTGGTAAACTAGGCTCATGCTCATTCTTGAGACCTGGCGAGTCCACTTGAGATCCAATCCTTTCCTGATCTACGGGCTTAGAACCTACCGTATACAGTTGTATGTCGGCAGGCGTATTGACGGTGGGCAGGTGGGAGGAGTTATGGCGCGAGGCTGGGACACAAAGGAGGAGGCACCGACTCGAAACAACCCACGGGAGAATATCACAGGTAATAGGGTTGCGAATCACCTCCTCAATTTGATGATTTGGCCACTCTTTGGAGACTGTTGGATACCTTTCGAGGTGATCCTTCGATAGATTTCGTGCCCGCATTGGAGCACAACGAAGGGCATGTGGTTGATTCTGCAGGCGTCGACCGGTCATTGCAACAAAATAGCACGGCGGGCAAGATCTGCACACAGGGTGGTGTGACGGGGTTTTCCCATCAGAGGCCAACGGGCTAAAACGAACTTCTCCCCCGCATCTTTTGCGCCGACAGGAATGCTTTGCTGGAAAAACCCACTGATTTTCGCCCGTGTGCAAGAGAACCTTTTGAGATGTGACGGACCGTCGACGACAGCCAAAAAAAAGGGTTTCTAATGGCCACCCGCGCATCCATCTATCTGTCCATCATCTTCTTCTCCCTAATCCTGGGCCTGAGACGGACCTGGGCGACTGTTCAGGCACTTCTGGCGCGCACAGCGGTCGGGGGACGCACGGCCGAGTTGCTGCAGCTTTTCTTGGACGACCAGCAGAACTGTTGGAATTTTCTGTGATTGGGGACACCCGGAGAGGCTGGGCGATTTGAGCAGCTGGTCGAACAACGAGGCAGTGGTAAGAAAAAACGGCGACGAGGGAGAAAAGAGCAGCAGGTAGAGAAGGGAATCAGAAAGAGAAGGTCAGCCGCGGCGCAAGTTCGGGTGGCCGAGACCAAAAAAAAGGTTGCGACCTCGACTCAACGTATCAGTGCGTATCCAACCCACCATACTCGGTATAGGGAAAGTGGTGACGGTGATAGATGGCGTCCAAATATCAAGAACACCGCCCCGAGTAAAAAGACGCAGCGCGCACATTTGGACCATGCTTTCCTCAACCCCTTCGTCCACGGCTTCGACGCCAGCCACCGCCTCCGCCGTCTCAGCACTGATCAACCACTCAGCCGCCCAAACCGCCTCGGAGTCTCTGGCCATCACCATCCTGCAGAACCTGCAGTACCAGCACGAGTGGACGGATCTGAAACTCCACCTCGTGTGCCCCGGCCACAGCTCCCCTCCTGCCCCAAACGCCACGGCGGGTCTGATTGACCTGGACGGCCTCAAGTTCGTGCATTCGAATCCTTCGTCGAGGTCGACCTCACCGTCGAGGTCCGGGTCATCCACGCCCACGGGGAGCGGGAACTCGTCGTCATCACAACCGTCCACACCCCCGGCGAGCGCTCCGGGCGGAACAGTGCCCGTCATATCCGGCGTTCCTCCCAAGCACGCCTATCTGCATCCGGACCTGCAGACGTACCTGATCAAGCACGACATCCAGGACTCGGAAATCCCGGTGCAAAGGGAGTTCGTGCTGCCCTTGGCCCTGGGCGAGAAATGGAGCTTGGCCAGGCTGTGTGGCGTGTTTGACCAGCTGCCGGAGAGGGAGGGTGTCCGGGTCCGTCGTCCTGACCCGACTGGCGAGAGGCGGAGCAGCGGGAATGGAACCGTCAACGGCGGGGATTCAGCAGCACCGGTCGAGGGAACCGCGGACGGACCAGCCCCGGGAAGCGGAACTGGGAAGGCCGGTCGCGGCGCCGCTACCCGTGCAGTGTACGAACACAAAGACGCCAAAAGGGTGCTCTTGGGCATGCGTGCTCGCGAGGGCGGCGGCGGCGACGGCACCGTCGCCTACTACATCATGCAAGAAGGGGAGGTCAAGCCCCGACAGAACGGATGAAAAACCCGCCGACAGAGGCAACCGCCATTACACCGTCCAGTACAATCCCACGGGCGACCAGCAGCAGATCCGGAGACCCTTTCCCCAGCGCCTTAAACAAAACTGCCGGCAAGAAAGGCAAAGCTACCAAAATCCTCCGTCGTTCATCTTGGGCTTCCAAATGATACGGTTCGGAGCTGAGCGGACAGCAGAGTCCAGCCTGGAGCAGGAAGCCAAGTCGCCGTGTCTAGCGCGCAGACAAGCCAACAGGCGGCTTTCGAGGGCTCTATACGAGGTTCCGGCCGTCGGTGTCGTGCACGACGAAATCACCATTCGGCTTGCAGGTGTTGGGAGACACGAGGCCATTTGCGAGTTGCGACGCACACAGCGCCATGTGCCCTCGTATGCTTCCGACGACCACCCGCCACGTGCACGGTGGACCGCGCACGCAGCGACATGCCTAGCACCACCACGGCACGGCTGTCTTGCCCCGATGTGGATGTGGCGTTGAGGATGCACATGTTCCGATACCCTAGCTGGAGGGAGGGAGGGAGGGAGTGAAGGGAAAAAAGAAAGGGACACATGAAGAGAGCAGAGGGAAGGCAGGAGAGATGATATGCGCAAGGACGACGATAGATTATTAGCTAGATTACCTCGTACACGTCCAAGGCTCTACCTACAGTGCGCGCAGGGTATAAGGAAGGATCCTCCTGGACTTTTTCGAGAGCGAGAGAGTCTTGCACCCAACTCCGTGCGAACCGACACGAGCAACCCAGCTAGGCGAATGCTGTGGAACACCCTGTAAGGCCAGCGCGTTTCCTTCAATTATGCCCAAACGGAGACCTCCAGGGATTCCAAAGCGCTTTCAGACTGGATCGAAAATTTCCAATGCCCACGAACCAGAAACGCTCAAAGTGCACGGTCTTTTATCCAGCCCATCCGAACTGCTGCTAATGCCGGGTGAACCACTGATGGCCCTTCAACTTCTCCGACCTCACGACCTTGTGGCTCTCTCCATGCCTGAAGTGGCGGTGATGCTCGTGCCGGGCCATCTTCTTCGCTTGCTTCGAATCTTCTTTGGCCTTTCTCTCCTGGAAATCCTCAATCGATTCCAGAACGTCGTACTCTTGCACCGGAATGCCTTCAATCTTCTTGACCTTCGACCCTTCGATAAAGACGCACAAGCCAGCGGCAATGGCGACCAGACAGCCAAACGTAATCCAAACACCCGTGCCCCACGAAGGTCGGGTGAACCGGTTCCAATGCCACATCCAAACACAAAGGAGGACCTGGAAAAAGGTGTTGAGAATGTACATCCACACGACGAAATCGATGGTCCAAGATTTGGAGGGACGAGCGCGCAAACCTGTTAGGGGCGGCTCAGGCATGGACGTTGCCGGGATAGGGATGGCAGGGTTCTCCTCCATCTTCGCAATCTCTTCTTCTGTGTAGGGGGGAGGCGCTTCCGGAGTTCGTGGGTGGTCTTTATTGTACATGGGGGGAGGGCCGATATGTTCCTCGAGCTTGTCAGACCCAGGGAGACGGTACCAACCCCGATATATGCCTGCGAGACGGCGGTGGAAGCGTTCGTTACCCCCCATCCGCCAGCGCATGAGGTAAAACCAGTCTCGTGCTCGCCACGGTAACAGGCCGAAGGCGGTCACGCAGAACAGGCCGTTGAGAATCTGCGAATCGATTTCAATCCACTTCTCTCGGGCGCTACTGTCATCGTCGCAAGACGGGTGACACATGGCCGGAGCGGCCTTGAGGAGGACGAAAAAGATCATGGCGCCCCATCCAACGATGTTGAGGCCGTAGATGGTGACAATAAAGCCGAAAGGGGTGAGGAAGAACTTCCAAAACGCGCGGAGACCGATCATGGTAGACTGGGTCCAGGTGTGTTTCTTGGGGAAGCGGTAGCCATTGGGATATGTGCCTGTCTCGTCTGGACCGCTTTGGATTCGGACTGCTTGCGGTTCGCTGGTTGCTTTCGAGGGGGTCATTGACGAGTCTCTCTCTTGGGTTTCCGCGGTCTCGGTGTGCTTCTCCGTGCTAAAATTGGTGGTGTTAACAGGCGCTGAGTGGGATAAGAATGGAATCAGAAAGAGAAGAACTCACCCCTCGACTTGCTCGATTTGTTCTGGTTCGCCATGCGTTGGTTGAGGAGCCACTGCCTCTTCTAACAGTGGTTCCTGCACCATGGTGGGCGCCCTTTTGGGAAAGAATTCATGTCTCTCTTCTGCAATGGGCGGCGGTGCATTTGCTGAAAGCGAGCTCTTTCTCGTCCTCGTGCTGGCCGAACTCGTCCTGGCCACCCTTCGGGCGTGGATTTCATGCGGATTCGTCCCTCGACGTTCCATCTGGCCCTCGTGCGTCCAACCTTCCGCGGCAAAGGCGCCATTCCTGATCTCTGGCAGGGTAGGGATTTTGGAGCCAATTTCACCCGTGGCCTGCCACATACCCAGAGGAGGGTTACTCTCGAGGAAGGACTGCGTAAGGGAGCCCGTTCGCGTGCGAGACCGTACAGAGGAGGGCGCTTTCGAGAGACGAGAGACGATAGAGGGTCTCCGGCTCGGGTCCCTCGTGCTATCTCCCACTCTTTTGAAAGGCACATCATTTACATCGGGCACGTAGGAGGGGAAGGGTTCTGATTGCGTCGGAGGGGTCGCCATCGTGGCTGGGAGGGCAGAGTGGACAAGGAACGCAGCTCGGTCGAGAAGCACTCGACTGGGAATTGGGAGCAGCCAACACCGTCAAGTAAGTAATGGTCGAAGGGCGGCGCAGTGAGGGCGGGCGGCATTATAACAGAAAAGCTGAAACCTGCGTGGCGCGGTGCCATGGTGATTCGTATTTCAAGGTCGACGATCGCACTGGATCCCTAGTCTGGACGCTCGACGCTGGAGGCATCTTCCGCTGTCCGCCCACACTGCCACCTTGCTGCTACGGGCGCATCTTTGGTGGAGCTCGACACCCAAACAACCCAATGGTGACAGCAGTGCATGCCCCCCCAGTCCCTGATTGCCACACCGGATCCTCTTCTTGTCCCCAACTCCAGCCTCTTCAGCGCCCTTCTCACCCACTCTGGTTCCACCTGTATCGGCCTGGAGACTGCTGAGCTCAGCAAATCTGGGCTGCCCTCAGTCCGACGTAGAACCCGTTGCGGTAAAGGGCCCAAGACCTGCGATGAGTGTCGAGTTAGTCATGGCTCCAAGTCTTCACCCTGTCTTCGTCCCTTGTCCAATGGCCTTATTCGACCCAGGCCCCTTTATGCATCTCGCTCAGCACATTCGCCATCCTTCGACACTCATCTGGAAGGGGGCAGGGACTCCTTGAGAGGGCCAATACTCTTGTTGTCTTGTCTAGGTTTGGTGTTTGCGCCCCGGTGGCCACTGAGACGAAGTTCCATTGCAGGATAAAACTTACGTTGAAGCAGTCTAAGCACAGCGCGAATACCCTGTAAATTAAGGCCTTCCGCGATGAGAAATATGCTCTAGCTGGTGTGCTAGAGTCATGCGCACTCTTGTATCGAATACTGCTCGCTCACTCTTTAGGACTATCGTCGTTACCGCATTGGACAGAACATTGTGGAAGACTTTGATTTCTCAAGAAAACAAGGGTATAGGATGCGTGCTATCAATAATTGCATTCGAGGAACTCGTCACTTTGGTGGCTGACATCCTCTAGAAGAATATTCTCCCATGACAATGCCTGGCCCTTCTGCATCTCTCTTCTGCTCAATATCCATCACTCGTCTTGACTCTGGGATCCAGCTCGTTGAGGAGCTTGCTGTTATGCACGGTGCTACCGTGTGTACCGGTTGTTGTTCCTTGACCGACAGCGCCAGTGATGCCCGTTACTCCTCCTGGCCGTGCAGTCGTACCATATCCTGGGTCAGTCGAGGTCACGCCAGCACCACCATAGGTCCCTTGAGCCTCCCCATAGCCGCCAACCCGGCTAGCGGGATTGTTGCGGTGGTCTGCATCGCTGTCCACTAGAGGATCAAGCTTGTTTGCGAAGTTGGAAGAATGAGGACCAGCAGTTGTGGTTGATGTTGTCCCATATCCTGAAGTCCCATATCCTGAGCTGCCATGTCCTCCGACGGTGCTGTGTGGATTTGCGCGGTGATGAGCATCGCTGTCGATTCGAGGATCAAGTTTGTTGGCAAGGTTGGACGAATGAGGACCGGCTGTGGTGGTAGTGGTCGGTCCATATCCTGAGCTACCATATCCTCCAACATTGCTGTTCGGGTTTGCACGATGATCCCTGTCCGAGTCTACACGGGGGTCGAACTTGTTGGCAAGATTGGACGTATGTGGCCCAGCGGCGCCGGTAGACGTCCCCGTTCGACTGTCAACGGTGGGATCCATGCGGTTGATAGTAACAGAATCATGAGCGCCAGCTCCTGTGGTGCCGTATGTTGAAGAGGTACTGGTTGCAGTCGTATCATGTCCTTTGTGGCCAGAAAGAGCATCCTTGGCCTTGTTGATGAGATTCGACATTGCGGCTAGGGTTCCTTTGAAGTGCAAGGTATGAAGGAGGTTGAGGCAAGTACTGGGTTTGAATGGTGATACAGAAAGTCCTATCAATGTTGGGTTGGAAATAAGTGTCTTGAATCGTGTTAATCGAGGTTCAAGCTGGGGAGGGATGGAATGCTGACTTATATAGGCAGTGCGAAGCAGCGCATGCTTGAGCGATCCTTCCGCCTTCCGGGTATGAAGAACTTGAGGAAGTTGCGTGGTTGCATCACCCACTGGTGTTTCCTTCTCGATTCAGCCATGTCAGAGCACGAATCACTCGAAAATGGTATCATGCTTGACGCACCCACCCCGAGACTCCTTGCTTGAAGCATTCAGATCAAGACATCAGGGCTCCGCTGTCGGGTTGTGGCTGACTGTGTGTGATTGGATAGCCACAACTGGCCCGACTGCCCTCGCGTCATTTGTGCGTCATGGGCGTCACACGGCAAGAACAGGCTCGTCAGACTGGGGAAGCAATTGTGGCGTCGAATTTTCCGATTTGTCGATGTTGATTTTCATCCCCCTTTCCAGATTCTGGGGCAGGGAAGAACGGCTGACGAGGGTCTCTAGAGAACCAGCGAGCCCACATTTCAGAGGTCAGCCGCGCGAATGGTCCAGTCGTTCTGTGAGCGGAACCCTCGATGCCGAAATACTTGGATCGCTGAGGAGGTCCCTTGCTGGCTGAGGCTCAGTTGCGTGCTTTCAGGCTCCTGTGGTACCTTCACTCCGCCCCTCCATTGACGACGTATTTCGTCACCGCGGCCTTCAAAACCTGGATCTCGCGCTGTGTCTTGACAAAGACTTCACGGTACTGCTCCAGACTTTCTTGGACCACCTCAGTCCGACTTTTCCTGCCCTCGCAGATCGCTTTCATTTTCAGCTCCATCTCCTTACGGAGGAAAGGTTTGCTGACACTGACGTCGAGGCCCACATTGTCATACCCTTCAATCAAGGCAACACCGAGCGTAGTGGGAATGAATTCCTGAACAGAGTTGCGACTGCCTCCAGAGCGTCTTGTGTCGACATAAGATCGATCCTTGATCTTGGCAATGTGCTCGGCCATCGTCGCGTCTGTCCCAATGCCATTGGCATCCATCAGGGCAATCAGTTCAGGTTCGGTAAGGTACCCAGGGGCCGTGGTCTTTCCGTCCACCATGTTTGCTTCTGATGGCTCAAAAGTCTCGCCGAGAGTGAATTCAGGAAGCTGCTGGCTGCTTTCCCATTTGTCGTAAACATAGACATCGAGGTAATTCCTCTCCAGGACCAGCAAACCATGAGTATGAAAGGTCTCAGAGCCCCAGAGGATTTCGATGTCGGTCGCCTCTCCCTTGGCATCTTCTGAACAACACGCCAAAAATCTTCGGGTGACAAACTCGTACACCTTTTTCTCCTGGGCATCCAGAGCATCGCTGGCAACGTAGTTGACCGGGTGGATTGGCGGATGAGCTTGGTCGTTGTGGCGACCTGATCGCGGAGTCCTGAACTCGCCATCAAGCAGCCGCTGTGCATATTGTCCCCAATTGTTGTCCTGGGTTTGTCGTTGAATTATGGCGTTGAAGTCGAACTCTCGCGGAAACTGATCCGTCTCGGTTCGGGGATAGCTGATGAAACCCCTTTGGTAGAGCTTCTCAGCGACCGACATTACTTGCTGACTGGTCATACGAAGAAAGCGGCTGCCTTGCATTTGCAATTCCACAGTGGTCAAAGGAAGCGGTCTCCATTTCGAGGTTGGCTTCTTCTGAACCTTTGTGACCTTGGCATATTTCGCGTCAAGACAGGCCTCGAATATGATGGTCACCGCTGCTCGATCGAAGAGCCAGACTCTCCGCCAGTTGAAGTTGACCTTGATCCTGTTTCGCACGTGGACCAGCTTGATCAGCCAAAAGGTCTCGGGCTTGAAATTCCTGACACGATTGTACCGGTCCACCACGAAACCCAGCGTGGGAAACTGGCAGGAACCATAGGAAATGGTTTGGTCTCGAAGGTTGTCGCTTAAACGCTGGAGTTCTAGACTTTGTAGCCTGGTAAAGGAGGCACCTATCCGCAGGTCAAGCTCGATCCTGGCTGCCACCGCACTGACTTGGCGCTCGTCCATATCAATGGGAGAATGAGCCGCATGGATAACATGGCTGGAGCGGTTAGTCTTGGAGATCCAAGACAGAGGAGGGACACTCACGCTCTTTCAGTATTGCTGAACTTGGCTCGCTTCACTACAATGGCCGGGTTGCCCTTCTTGGCCTGGTCCCGAACTTCGCCGCCAATGTGTTCTCCTTCGCGGTCACAATCGGTCCAAATGAAGAGGATTCTGGCAAAACGGGCCTGCCGTTGAATATTCTCGGCAATGGACTGCTTGTCTCTGTCGATGGTGATCTTTGTTTCAGCTTCAAACAGTTGGCTTGGAGGACACGACTTCCAGTTTTTGTACTTGGGGTCAAAGTCCAAGCCAGTCAGATGGCCCAGCACGCTGGTCATGGTTACCGAGCAGTTGCCCCATTGTTGGAAGTGGAAGTCGAACTCGTAATTCTTGACATATTGGTTGCCGTTGACGGGCCGCTAGAGGTTCATGAGATACCGGCCAAAGAGTGAGGGCCAACGAGTTTGCACTGGCTTACCGTTGTTACTCGGCCACCTGCTAGGTGTTGAGCGACTGCCTTGGCTATCGCCGGTTTCTCTGCAACGCAGAGGATCTTTTGACCGGGCATGGCTCATTTTGGGCGAGACTCATATTCAGTGGTCAACGAGTCACTGGCGTATGTGGTTGAAGAGAGGAACGCAGGCAGAGATCCATGAAGCGACGCGTCTGAAAAATATGGCGACTGCGGACGGACGCGGCACCATGTGATCCATTGGTCAAATAGGCGGTCGGGGCAGCAGTGGCGCCCGCAGCGACATTCAGCCTGGCGGTAGTGGAGAGGGGCGGATCTGGGCCTTAGGGGGGGAGCTCCTGGAGTCATTGGTGACCAGATCTCAGCCTAGGGGCCCCAGAAGCTTACCTAGGTAACAAACTCTCACTGATGTGCTGCCCGGTGCTGGTTAGTCCCCCACAAAGAATAGAAAGAATAATAATGATTGCGTCATTACATTTTGCTCGCAGGCTTGGGTGAGGCTTCATCAACAAAACCACTTCTCCCTCGTCCTTTTCGACTCTTTACATTTTCCGTTGGATTCTGCATCTGGGGTTGTGTTTCTTTCAACTGCTGCACAATGTCTCTACCCGTCGTACTCAGCCTGGTTGACTGTGCCGACTACAGCAACACAGTTGCCCCCTACCTCTCCCAGCTTGCGCCTCTCCCAAACATTTTCTTTTCATCCATCACCAATTCCGCAGCCTTGAAACAGTTGTACCTCAACACGAACCCCCTCGTTACCGCCATTGCCTTTGGTGTGGCTCTGGCTCCCATCTTCCTTCTGGTCTCCGAAATAAACAAGAACTACTCCCAAGTAGACCGGGTCTGGTCAATACTCCCGGCAGTCTACAACTTGCACTATGCAATTTATTCTCACCTTGCCGGCGTACATACAGCGAGACTGGATGTCCTATGTGTAGTTAGCTTCCTATGGAGTGTAAGAACAGCCCTCACTGCCCTCCGTATCATGCTGATTCTTCTGTGGTAGGCTCGACTGACCTACAATTACTATCGAAAAGGAGGCTATTCGATTGGCAGCGAGGACTACCGCTGGGCCACCGTCAAGGAATATGCCGGGCCTGTGTTGATGTTCCTCTTCAACATCCTGTTCATCTCTCTGGCGCAGTCCCTGCTCCTAGTCTGCATTACCGCACCAGCCTACGTCCTCTTGCTGACCGAACGCCTGGCGACCTATGACGGCCCTATTCAATCCTGGAATGTGGTCGACACTGTTGCGTCTGCCATCATGTTGACCTTTGTAGCCATATCGTACATGGCAGACCAGCAGCAGTGGAATTACCATGCGGCCAAAGCTGAGTATCGCCAGACGGCCAAAGTACCACGCGGCTGGGAACGGGCAGACCTGGACCGAGGCTTCCTCACCAAAGGCTTGTTTGCCTATTCGCGGCATCCAAACTTCGCGGCAGAGCAAGGCGTCTGGGTCACATTGTACCTGTGGTCATGTCTGGCCACGGAAACCTGGTACAACTGGAGCGGGATTGGAGCAGCATCCTACCTCCTCCTTTTCCAGTCCAGCACATGGCTGACCGAGCTTCTCTCCTCGGGCAAGTATCCAGAGTACAAGGTATATCAGGAACAGGTCGGAAAGTTTTTGCCCAGCCCCGGCTGCGGGCCGCCGAGCTTCGACGAACATCACACATCTCGGGTGGATGGCAGGGGGTTGAAGCAAAGAGATGTGACAAAGACAAGGTAGATGATGGGCTCGGGTAGGAATAATTCATATCGAGGGGCTTTATTGGGTCATCAGCTTGTTTGTTTCTGAGATCCCTGCACGGTGTATCCCGTACAGCTGGTACGGAGTATCGTAGTCTGCCTCGGTCAAGTCCGCCAATGATCCTCGCCTGCGCCCCAAAGTCATGACGAGCACGACTTCAATCCCTATGCGATGTATGACCCGTCCATCTCTATTTTTGTGTCCGCCAGAGCGCTGCAGCGTGGTCCAATATGAACAACCCCTGCATGAGGCGCCTTTGCCATGGCTGATGTGCTGGATCGAGTCGAGCTGCAACAGATCGCCATCTGGCATTCGCAACTTGTCCCATCGTCATCGGGTGGCCTTCGCGAATCGGAGCTGCAGGCAAGAAGCTACTGACTCCTCAGACCACCACATCTGCTTTTCGCCTCCCGGCCGCCCGCTGATAGTCGTGATGGCATCTATTCTTTAGAACGTACATTCCTCCCGTCGTTGCTCCTTGCCATCCTCTTCATGGTCTCACCGTCGTGGGATAAGCTGGACAGGCCCAACCTCAAGCAGGTCCCGTCGTGATGGACCTGGAGCGAATCAAGCAAAGCCTCCGCCTTCGTTCCGGTCGGTCCAAGAAAACTCGCAAGCCACCCACCGAGCAGTCAACCGCTGCTGCTCGCCCTAGCCAGCCACCTAGTCAGCCGGTCCAGAAGAGCATTGCCAACGGTGCGGTGAAGGATCCTCCCCGAGTGATCACCAAACCCAGGGCGAGTCCTCCCACAAAGGTGCCTGTGGTTCGCAAGTCCCAGCCAAAACCAGAGATTGCTGAAGTCCCAGCCCTGAAACAACGAGACAGCTCAGTTCATCGACCCAAATACTCGCATGCATCAACCGAATTGGACCTGAAAGCATCTAGGCCAGTTCCAAAACCTCGCATAGAATGTCCTCGCCCGGACCCGGAACAGAAAGAACCGGGCACCAACCCATCCTCGCTGCTACGCACCATGTCCGAGGCAGATGCTGGAGTCATCCTAAACTCTGAATCCTCCTCTGGTCTGGATTTCGACTTGCACCCGCCTCCTCCGCCGTCCAGGCCGAAGCCGCCTTCAGTCGAGTCACTTTCAGAATTGCTCTTTTCTTCGGGTCATCTCAACACTCTCCTCCGCGATCCCCAGTACTTGGCCCGCTTCACTTCCTTTCTGACAAGGTATCGACCGCAGTATCACCCTGTTCTGCTGCGATATCTCGAAACACAGAAGGCCATCAAGGCCATTGAGTACGCGAATGCTGTTGCTGAAGGAATCTCTCCCTCTTCAGACGATGGCGACGCTTCGAATGCAAAGATTTCTATTGCAGCAATCCTCGACCGGGCTTTTGAGGAACTAAGCAATTCCTCCTTCCGCATCATGGTCGACTCTGCCCTCCCGATGTACGTCACGTACAACCTGGTGAAAATGGTAACCGAGTGTCTCATAGACGAGATTACGGGCAGTCGAACTTCTCCTACGAGGGATTTGGTAGGTGGCTTGTCAGAAGTGTTTTGCCTCACCGATCCGAAGCAGGAGGATAATCCAATCATTTTTGCCAGTGAAGAGTTTTACCGACAAACTGGATACGGTCCTGACGACGTCATTGGGCGAAACTGTCGATTTCTACAAGGTTCAAAAACCAACAGAGAGTCGGTGGCGCGGCTGAGAGAGAGTATTGCGAAGGGTGAAGATATATGCGAGACTTTGTTAAATTACCGGAGAGATGGCAGAGCTTTCTTAAACCTACTGATGATAGCACCTCTCCACGACGATAGAGGCAACGTCAAATATCACATTGGCGCCCAGGTGGACGTCACAGGAATGGTCGAACGAGGAAAGGGATTCGAAGGGCTGAAACGATACCTGACCACACGAGAGATCGAAAGACGTGAGAGACAGGTCCACGGCAATGGAATCAGAGGAGACGATCAGGGCCTCCAAAAACCGAAAGCACTGGCGAAATTGCGCGATCTAAGCGAGATGTTCGATCTGGAGGAATCCATCGTGGTGCGTTCAACTGGGAGGTCTACTTCGACATCGAGGGACGATGATGAGGGCAGTGTTGCAAGCAGCCGTAAGGTTCCTCGACGAGTATTCGACGATGCTGATGCGACTTCCGATAACGGAGAGGAAGAGTCTGCCGAAGATGAGGACAAAGCTTGGCAACTAGGTCAATCGGGACGGTCTGGATTGTCAGGAAAGCTGCCAGGCGTCTACGACAGCTACATGCTCGTCAGACCAGCACCTTCCCTCCGGATCGTCTTTGTATCCTCCATCCTACGCCGACGCGTGGGCAATATCGTCCAGCATCCATTCTTATCACATGTTGCTACTTCCGCAAATACATTGAAAGGGCTCAAAGAGAGCTTTGGCGTCGGTGTCCCCGTCTCCGCCAAGATTAACCTGCTGCTGGAAGCTGGCGGTCGACAGGATGGGACTGCAACCCGCAGTGGAAGCAAACTCCAAGATGCTGGACAAGGCAGAGTTTGTTGGATTTCTGCAACGCCACTGCTTGGAAGTGACGACAAAATTGGTGTCTGGATGGTTGTGATTGTTGAGAATGCGAAAGTACCCAAAAAGAGCAAACCTGAGAACTTGGCGAGCGCGGCTGAGGATCAGGTGTTGAAACAGCCTAGATCCGACGAAGTTACACAGATCGCCACCTCTACCAAGACCAGGTCACCGAAACAAACTCGGTCTGCCTCAGTTGATGCGTCGAAGAGCGGTACAGAATCCGCAGGCGCTCCAATTGAACCAAAACTCCCTGACGACACGCCTGACCATAATCAAACCGCTCCATCATCTTCGCCACCCGCTATAGAGGACAATATGAAAGAGGGGATGTTGAGACAAGAAGGCCATCAGCAAGTTTCACTTGAGGACGAAACACTTGTAGAACCGGAAGAAGAAAAACCCGATCTCAACCACACGAGCACTGATCAGCCTGAACATCTCCCTGAACTCCTCGAGGATGAAAACGATGATTATGTACGCACAAATGGAGGGCTCTCCGAATCGCCGAGCCCGCAGTACACCCACGGTCAACCCAATGATCATGTTGAACCCAGGACGCCGACACCAACTGATGTCAATGATGCCCTCGAACGCGCTTTGTCGGGAACGAAGAAGACGGGGTTCTGGGCAACGCCCGTTTCACCAGAAGACAGCAATTTCACCAACGGGCTGAATGGGCTCCATAACTTTTCCGACGACGAGAAAACGCCCGTCAACCCTCGAAATGCCGGGTTTGGAGATTACACGCCTTCTCCCTCCAGGCCGGGCACCAGTGGTCTGGATTCTTCGACCGGCAAGTCAAATAGCAAGCACTACATGGACTACCTGCGCCACCCTGGCAGTCGCCCGTCGTCTGAATATAATCGTGGGTTGTCAGGAAGCTTCATGTCCGCCAAGTACAATGCAGAAGACGATTCCCCAGAAGAAGTGGATGACTTCAACGATTCCGAATGCGCGAGGTCACCGTACAGTGTGGATTGACGTTGCGGTGTAAGTACGACGGATGAATTTACAGTCTTTGGTGGATGATTCCGTTTTCTGTACACATAGATGTTTTTTGGAAGCTGCTCCTAGAGATTTGGTTTCTGGTTACGGCCTAAGAAAGGATATTTGGTTGCGTATAAAAGTGAATTGATGCACCAGCACATTTACAGCCTTGTCCAGCCTTGTCCAGCCTTGTCCAGCCTCGTCAGCGCAGCCTCGTTCCGGACGCCAAGGCTCCACTCCCTCCGATTGGCTCTCTGAATCGTCAACTTTTTTCATCAGGTCGGATTTCTGTTTCCCATCACATCACATCGGCTCCGAGAAGAAGGCTTACGGTGTATTGAGATCGTCAAGCGGGCTCTACGACTTCCTCCGTCATAGTCACGCCCTATAGTTTCCCTCCCCGAGACCTGTTCCACCGAGTAGCTAGCCATGGCCCAGCACGCCGAGGCGTCGACGATTCCTTCGGTCAAGGATCTTGCCAGCAGCGGTATGTCACCCTTCCATATGAGAAGACTGCATACCCTATATTCGAGACCACATCCCGCGAGGATAATAGCCCACGTTCTGGTCGTACCACAGACAGCCAGTCGACCAACGTCATTGGATTTGCGCTCGTCCTCTCACTGACCCTTTGAAAAATGCAGAAGCATCCAAGCGACGCGCGTGTCTCAACACCGTCCTCGCATTCCTCAATGAACAGAGTGCCGCGTCGCCACCGACGCCGACCGAGTGCCTCCAGCTCTGGCGCGGCTTCTACGTGGGGCTGTACATGCACGACAGCAAGAACGCGCTCTCGGTCCAGAGACTCGCCGCCGAACTGGCCGGGACGCAGAGGATCATGGACGAAAAGGACCGCGAGCTTTCTCGTTCCGCCGCCTCTTCCGGAGTCCCAGACAGCGGTCAAGACCAGCACTCCCACCACCATCACGACCCGTGGCTCGACGTGTGGGCGAGCGCCTTTTGGGAAACCGTGTGTCGGGAATGGGCCTCGATCGACCAGTGGCGCATGAACAAGGTGCTCCTGCTCGTGCGTTTCTTCGTGCGGGAGATGTTCAACATCGCGCTCGGCTGGGCCGCGCCGAACAACGACGAATCATCAGCGGCCGCGAAAGGCCGGATCGCGAGTCAGCTCCAGATCCTGGAGTCCTGGCCGCTCAGCCCGCGCGAGCGCAAGGTGCCGGACGGACTGAGGCTGCGCGTCCTGGACGTCTGGGTGGACGAGCTCGCGGGCCAACTCGGCGCAGCCCAAAAAGCGGTTGACGAGGCCGGGCAGAGTGACGGCGGTGACGGCGGCGACGGCGGCGCCAAGAAAGCGGCCCTCCTCGACACCGCCAAAGCCTTCATGGCGCCCGTCCAGAAGCTCAGTAAAGAAGCTCTCAGCAAGGGAGTCAAGGTCAGGGCGAAGGAGGCCGTCCAACTGGCCGAGGAGAAAATCTCGGGATGAGAGACGCAGGGGCGCGTCACCTCTTCCTTTCCATCCTCCCAGATTATCTATCCACTGTCCCGGCGCAGTATTGCTGGACAATTGACCGTCTCGGATTCAAAGAGAGCGGGACATCGCCTCTACTACTCCGTACTCTCCAACCTTCAGTGGTGTGTGGCTCACGGAACCGTGATCCGGAGATAGCGCCAGCCACGGATGATTGTCGATTCTCCATATTTGATCAATCGGCCTTGCGCAAACAAGTTGTTCCCACCAACAACGGCGTTCTCAACATGACGGGGGAAAACGGTCCACGAATCTCTAGGTCTGGAATCTAGAAGGCTGAACACAGGAAAAGGAACATCACGTCTAGAGACCGCAGATGGCGAATCTTGTCAGCAAGGACATCACCAACTCGAGAGTGGTCGATAGCACCTAATGGGGGCTTCGAGGTCATATACCAAGACCGGACGACGACTCTACAACAGCTCAGGAAATCTAAGATCCTTTCAGTTTTGAGAGCATCAAAAAAGCCAAAGATCGAAATTGTCCGCCGGAGGGCAGGGGCAAAATTATGTCAGAACTGTATCCACGCACAAAACAAGAATCATTCATGGTCCACAACTCCTCGCCTGCCAGATTATGCAAACCAACAACCAGAAAACAGGTCCTTTGACAATGAATGTTTAAAAGTTTTCAGCTGGAAAAGACAGCGGGCTGCCACCAATTCCCACTCGCCTTGTTGTCCTCCTGTGTGGCTTTCTCGTGATCGTGATCGTCGCTCGCGTCCTTTTTGGCTCCGTCCTCAGTCGCTTCAGCGCCGACAGTGGGAGAAGAGGAATCTATCAAATACAGAATCGCAGAAATCAGTACCAAAATCCACAAACGCTCGAGATTGAGACTTCAACCAACGTTGAATCAGAAGTTGAATCAGAAATTGTAGTCGCATTACACCGTGGAAATGCCATCAACCAGTCTCACTCATAGAATCACGGAAAAAAGACGTACCAACTCCCTGATCGCCTTCGCCTTCTCTGTCCCCTCCGATCTGCGGTAGCTGTGGTGCCTCTGTAGAAGTTGGGGCGGCAGTATCATCAATCACAGGCGCAGGGGCCGGTTCCGACGAGGAGGCTTCGTTGGGCGACTTGATATCCTCCTCTTTCGCGTCCTGCAAAGCGCTTTCCCCTTCCTGCGAGATCTCCTGTTCCGAATTCTGCTGTATAGTGCCGTTCGGCTCGGCTGGAGATTCTGCTGCTGCTGCTGCTGCTGCTGCCGCCGCTGCCGCCTCGGCGGCCCGTTTCCTTTCCAATTCAGCCGCTCTAGCTTGTTGGCGCTCCCAGTTCTCCTTCCTCGCCTGCTCGTCTTTTAGTTTCCTGCGACGTTCCACCTCATCCATGCCGCCCGTCTTCTTCAACTTCCCTTCTTCAACAAACTTTTCGACCTCGCGTTGGAACTCGCCAACCTTGCGACTTTCCAACTCGCGCTGTCGAACTTTCTCTGCTCGCTCTATTGCTTCAAGGCGGCTTTCGTGATTCGGCTGCAAAGCCCGAACTTCATCCAGCATACCACTTTTGGCCTCGTGGGGGTCCACATCCGTGTCAAAGGCAAGGTTTCTAGAAGGCTGGCGACCACTGCTCGCGTTCTGCAGGTTCTGCTGCTTTGTAGCTTCCTCCACGAGCTTGAAGACACTTGTAATATCCTCAAGGTCCCCGTCGAGGTCATTCATCAACTCATCCTGCTGAGTCAAATCATCTCTTTCTGTCATGACGACTTGTAGTTCTTGCTCCCATATCTTGGTCCAGATAGGCTTCTCGCGCTTGACAAAGTCTTTGACTTTGCTGAGTTGTTTCGCGGCTGCACTGATCTCCTTGCTGATATCCTCCAGTTGTCGAGGAAGTGGCCTGACTCCTCTGGTGACGACGTCCTTGCGCAACTCTTCGACAATATCTGACAGATCGTCGACGCGGTTGACAAGAGCCTCGGAGTCGTCAGACAGTTGTTTTTTACCTTCATTGATATGGGCCCGACCAGCGTCTCCTTTATATGTGGCATTGGCAGTCTCTGCAGCAACCGCCTTGACTTTTGCCGCCTTGGCTTTAATGTCGCTCATGGCTGCAGTAAAGTCTGAAGACATCGTCGAATACGTCTGGCGTAATACTGCGATCTCTCGACGAAGGCCCTGTATTTCTTGCAGAGAGGACTCGGAAGACGGCGGAGCCGTGAAGTTACCAGAAACCAATGTCGGAGTCCGCGCTGGGTGCTGCGCAGGTATGGCAGACATTCTTGCCATCTCCTTGGAGGTTTCGAGCTGTCGATCCGCAAACCGCTGCATCATTGTACTCTGGCCTTCGAGCAATGATCGGACACCGTCCAGAGTTCTCTGAAGCCCGCCCATGCCTTCATCGATATGCTTTTTGACTTCATCTAGCGCTTCAACATTCAGCACAAGTACGCTTCGGTCCTTGACGTCCGACAAGTCTTCCAACTCATGCCTAACGCCGGAGACAGGATCTTGGACATAGATCTCGGGGAGGTCCACTCCGTTATGCTGAGTGTTCCACGCGAACTTCTCAATGAACGCAAGTTGCAACCTAGCAATAGTGAGTTCGTCGTAGCCGTCTGCGAGCACAAATTTCTTAATTTTGCTTCTATACTGCAAGAAAAGAGTCAACTCCTTGCCTTGTTGAGGTGATGAATCAGACGCGGGAACTTGCGATCGTGGCGGCGTGTAGTTCTCAGGTAGTCTTCGTTGAACTGTCTCGGGCGTCTTGACTTGTTCTGTATCTACGTACCCTTTGTGCTCGGGAAGCGGAAGCGCCACTTGCGAGTCGAGTGATATTGTTGCTTGCAACTCCTCGGGTGGCGGACTGAGAGGGCCGTTGACAGTTGCTCCCATCAGCAAATTATCTCCGCTGCCAGAATCGGATTTCGGGACCGGAAGATACTCATCCGGGGTTTTCACCGTTGGACTATCAAAATTGAGAGACTCTTCGGGTTGTTTCATTGGCGGCACTTCCTGCAGAGTTAGGACCGGGGTCTCCTCTCTCTCCTCCGAAATGCGTTGAGGCGCCTTGACAGTACCGCTCCTGCTGGGCGAAACATCTCCTTGACGAAGAGACTTTGCTCTTGACTGTTGGTAGGAACTTCTTGATCGGACGGCAGTCAGGGATTCGCGCACTTCCTTTCCCCTGTTCGGAATAGGGGAATTTTGAGCGGCGGGAATGACCGGGACACCATTAGGAGAAGCACCCAAATGCTTCTGAATTTGGTAGGCCGAAAACCTTCTTGAGGCCCGTCTCTCCAGATCTCCGCCACGCTGTAATCTAGTGAGGGCATCTGCTTGCTTCGGCGGGGGCGGAGGAGGATGCGGAAAATTGATCTGAGGAACCGAAGGAGACCGGTCAACGTCCTGATAAACAGGTAGGTTAGGAGGGTTTTGCGGGGTACCCGAAGATATAGTCGAGCCGGAATCAGATTGAGGTAGTTGGGGGGCGACATCCTTTCGCATGGAGTGTCTATTTATAGACGATCGGCCTGGCTGTTGCACGGCCGAAGTGTTTGCAGCAATCCATGGCTGGTCGGTTGTTGCGTTATTTTGAGGCGACTGAGCACGCATGCTTCCAGAGGCACTGGGTATATCGTCAAGAATATTCGTGAGCCCAGTCTCATTGCTTCCTGTTGTCGAAATGCTAGGCTGTCTTGCTGGAGTAGTAGGCGGTCTCGATTGCGTTGTCGCAGAGGCTTCCTTCGTGGTTCGACCGCGTAGTCGGCTCTGCTTCCTCTTGAGGCCATGTAGGAGATTTATAATGATGTCGCGGATGCGAGGCAAGTAGTTATCAAGAGCCTGGGGTGACGCGGGTTGGCTCAGAGTGTCTTCGAGGATGTTTCGCAAGAGATCAGGAACAGGCCCGAGGTCGGAGGTTTCGACGCCTATTGAATTGAAGGCGCGGCATGCCAAATTGAACTCGTATCCCAGCCGAACATAGACATCCGACACCTCCTCTTCCTGCGCCTGTCCGCGCGACCACTGTGTCAAAGTTTCTAGTAATTGTTTCGTGGCGACGAGTAGATGAGTGACGCTCTTCTCTATTTGCGATATTTGCTTGTCGGGCTGCACAATGCTTCGGTCAGAGCAGAGATCTGCAGCGGGAAACAAGGGACACTCACATTGGCGCTCCTCTGCGAGCGGCCAGAACCCGAAGACGACCTCGTTTGAGAGGCGGAGCTTGTTGTAGGATTCATGGCCGAAGGTTGAGCCTGGGAATACATTGCGTCGGGGAAATCTTGTTGTCGACGCTGAGACTGCGAAGGCCGTTGGGCTCCTGTGATGGCGGATGACTGCATCGTGTCGTTATTGGATAGGTGTTGATTCCCTCTCGCCGGACATGATTGAGAGGGCTTCTAGTGTGTCACTTCGTTCGAAAAGATTACATGGTGGGTGGAGGAGACACCGGGTCCGCTGGTAGTAAAGGGGAAAGCGACGAAGAAGGTGATGGGGGATTAGGTAGAATTGGGATTGAGATGGAGATGGAGACAGGAGACGGGCACAATGGGTGCGTTGGAGAGCGATCAGCGTTGGTTTCTTTTCCTTTTCCCTTTTGGTGCCCGAAAGCGCGACGGGCGGCGTCTGGGGGGGGAAGGAGAAGCTGCCAATGAGGCGCTTTGCGCCAAGCTAATACTTAGCCAGGTGCTTTGGCCGGGCCTCGTAGGCGCCGCCACGCCTAATGACTTCTCGGCCCAGCTACTGCACGTCACTGAACCCTCGCCGCTTTGCTGCGGCTCGGCTCACCTTCCGTTCCCGAGACTCCTGAAGCCTCCCTCAGCCTTGGCATTCATCTCTATCAAATCGACTTGCGTCTCTAGATACCAAGTACGGAGTACAGAGTACTTACTCCCCACAGGCCACGCCATCGTCGACCGTAGATGAAAACAATCCTGCTAGGGCCCTCGTCTACTTCTACAGGCTCATAGCGCGCTCCTAGTCAATGTTCTTTCCATTCTCATTCCCTGCCGGCGGATCAACCTCACCACGAATAGCCATACTGCACCTTGACCAATCATCATTGCCGCCCAGTTTCTCCCAACACTCGTATCGACCCATCTCATCTTCCTTCCGATTCAACGCCGCCATTGTCTCTGATCCATAGCACATCGCACTCTCTCTCTCTCTCATTGTAGGCGAGCCATGGGTCCCCGCCGTTGATGAAGGTTATCCAATGGCGTCCCATCTGCTCTACTGCCTTTGCTAGCTTGTCTGGCAAGAGGTGGTTGTACGTCTGGAAGAGAAAGGACAAGTCCACGGCGTGATATGCCATGCTCTGGAACAGGCCAGGAAACGAATTTCCATAACGCATATGATAGCAGAACGCCTTCTCACCTCCGAAAGACCTTGCAATCTCATAGATGTCGCGGCCAAACTCTGCGTCAGTGCAGAAAGGTTCAAAGTGGATACTGCTTGCTCGCTAGAGAAGTCTGAGAGATTGTAGTAAGAAGTCATACGCTCTACGACCTCAGCAGGGAAATAGGAGGAGAGCAAGGAGCAGATCTTATCTGGTGTCCAGCCAGGTTTGACGATGCGCAGGCCCCAGATGATACCCTGTAGCAGAGGTCAGACGTGTTAAGCCAAGGTAATAAAAATGGATCAGAAGTAGCTGCTTACTTCTTTCTCACAGTCACCAATGATGATTCTGCAGACGTATGGGTCGTACTGCTGGTTCGCTATCGTCGATGAGCGGGGAAGTTTATATAACTACATGCTATGTGATGTGATGTGGCTGCCGCATTAAATTACTTCTAAGCACTCTCCAACAAGCCTTCTTCCGGACGGCATCCTCGTCCATCTCATAGGTACTATTAACGAGGGATCCTATCGGCACCTGTAGACACCTACCTATATTAAGGTTGAGGTTTACCTTGCCATAGGTAGGTAGGTACTCCGTACTCTCGGAATGCTTACTTCCTGATGTTCAGCATGTATACTCCTATCTATCCTCAGTCCATCAGGAGCGACTTCTTCGCTCTGTATGTGCACTGCTCTGAGAGCTAGAGTCCTATGGAAACTGGGCTGGCAAAACGAGTTGTTGGTTGCACTCGTCATCCTGACATGACATGGAGCATTGGAGCATTATCGCTTGTTGGGCTGAGTGACGGAAAGCGACCGAGACTTGCACGACTCGTTGACTCTCTTTACGCCATCCCCCCACACTCGCCTTTCTCCCCATTCATTTTGCCAATTCCGACGGTTTCCGCTGCATTGCAGCCCCAAGGCTCCCCAGCCTCACCATCCGAAGGCGGGGAACGCTGATAGCCGCATTGGAGGCCCGAGGCTCCGACGGAGGTCCTCGCGAGAGAAAAAAAAAAGGCAAACGCATTGAGAATTCTCGAGAGTCGCTGTCGGAGACAAAGAAAGGAGAAGAGGAAAACCCAGATCATTGTCTCCCTCGGGAGGCCTCGCTATTACTTGCATCTAGTCTGCTAGCGCTGTGTGTCACAGTCGTCCTTCCCTTCCGTGCGGGGGATATTGTAGACGGCGACGGCGACGACGAAAAAATGGCACAGACGACGAAACTCGTGTCGGTCGATCAAATCCTGGCGCACAACACGCCCGAGGCCTGCTGGCTAGTAATCGAGGACCAAGTGTGGGACGTGTCCAAGTTTGCCCCCGAGCACCCAGGCGGTGCATCCTGTAGGTTTTACCCCTTTTGATTGCTGAATATTCCTCTCAGCCCGGACCAGCCACTGACGATATCTGTTCCTCACTCTAGTAATCTACAAGTATGCCGCGAAAGATGCGACCGAGGCATTCTCTGAAATCCACTCCCTCTCGATACTCTGCGACAATCTCCCCCCGGATTGCTGCGTGGGAATGCTAGACCGATCCTCCATCTCGGAAAAGTGGAATCAGGCTCAAGCGCAGAGGCAAAACCAGGTCGCAAAGTCCCTGTCGACTTCTGCGAAACCGCCTCTGCACTCCATTTTGAACAGGTACCTATGCTCTTCGACCCCCCTCTTCTCTCTTTCCACCGTACATTCTGGGAAAGTTTGCAGCTGACCTCAAATTCCCATTCTCCAGTTACGACTTTGATGCTGCCGCGGCGGCCTCAGCGCCCAAGAAAGCCTACACCTTCTACTCGACCGCCGACACGGATTGTTGGACCCGAGACGCCAACGAGGCCATGCTCAAGCGTATCTGGTTCCGACCGCGCGTCATGAGGGACGTTGAGGTGATCGACACTTCGGGGAGCATGCTGGGAATCCCCATGACGCTTCCGCTGTTCATCTGTCCCACGGGCCTGGCCAAATTGATCTCGCCGCACGCCGAGAAGGGACTGGCTCGGGCGGCCAAGGCGGCAGGAATCCTCGAGATTGTGAGTCCCAGCTGCGTCGAAAGGAACGGTCGATCTATTCCCAGTCCTCCTTCTTTTCCAACCCATGGTTGTTTGTAGTCGCTCGTATAAAGCTGATTGATTGTCGTAGATCTCCACCAGTGCGAGCTATCCCATCGATGAAGTTGTCGCTCAAGCGCCAGGCTACCCCTTCTTCCTGCAGCTCTACATGAACAAACAGAGGCAGAAGTCGGCCGACCTGCTGTCCAAGGCCCGGTCGATGGGGTTGAGGGCCGTTTTTGTGACCGTGGACGCGGCGGGCCGGGGGAAGCGCGAGTCGGACGAGCGGCTGGTGGTCGACGATGTCATTGTCAACCCCGTCACCGGCGAGCAGATCAGGGCGGACAAGAAGGGCGGCGGATTGACGCGCACCATGGGCAGCTATATTGACCAGAGCTTGAACTGGGACGACATCGCCTGGATCCGGAGCCAAACCGACCTGCCCATCATCCTCAAGGGCATCGGTTGTGCCGAGGACGCGAAACGCGCCATGGCCCACCACGTTGACGGCATCCTGCTGAGCAACCACGGCGGCCGCAACCTGGACTACTCGCCGCCTTCGATCCTCTTGCTGCTGGAGATGCACCGCTGCTGCCCGGAGATTTTCGACAAGATGGAGGTCTACGTCGACGGCGGCTTCCGGAGGGGCGGCGACATCCTCAAGGCGCTCTGCTTGGGAGCAAAGGCCGTGGGCATCGGCCGAACCTTTCTCTATGCGCTGAACTATGGCCCAGAAGGCGTGGCGCATCTTGTGGAGAGTACGTTGCTTCGGGGTGCAGACACAACTAGCTTTCTGCTCCCTTCCCCCCAATTTTCTTCCTTGCTAATGGCTTCGCAGTCCTCCGAAACGAGATGGAAAGTGCCATGAAGCTGATTGGAATCCGAAATCTCTCCCAAGTCCATGGAGGGCTGGTCAACACCTCAGACGTCGATCATCTGGTGCCGGACAGCGCCAACCATCCGTACGTCAAGTGGCGACCGAGTGCCAAACTCTAGGCTCCCGCATCGTTCCAGGAGCGCGTAAGTGATTACTTGGGACCGTGGTGTGCCTTGCCTCGCTTGCATCACCTCGGTGAACTGCACGTAGGAAGGGAAACACGTCGAATACATCGAATTATATAAACACCTCAAAAAAACACCCTGATAGATTGGCACAGAGACTAGCTATGTGTAGAATCTAGATAGGCTAGTACCGGCTCTGCAGGTATTTGGAATATGAACCAGTGGCGGTTTCCGGTCAAAGATCATTTGGACGCTCTCCTTTCAGCTTTGATATTGAGAATCAACATAACAGCCCCACGATGGTACCGGCTCATCTTCTCTTTATCTTGATTTTCCTCTTCTCAGCCCCAGTGCCAGGTTTTAGTTGCCCTATTTCAACAAGGTTTCAGTCATCTCAGTGCTTCCCTACACCCAACCCTGAGAAGCGGGCTTTACTTACGCAAGAGCGTTGGGAATTGAGGAGATGAGCATGGGAAGGAGAGAAACGCACGAGATAAATAGGATACACTGCCATGGGGACTAAATAATCACGGTGGTATGGGGGCTAGGAGCAATCCTTTCCGTGGTATTCCCCATCCGATATTCTCTACAGGCAGTACAAAAGACGCACGCTATGACGATCATGCCCGGATAGTACCATATTAACCACAGGACGAAGCTGAACGAGTCGTAGGGCAGTTCGGCCATTGAATTCACTTGTGGGCTCTTCACAATGGAGGATTAGGTAATGAGCAGCCGGTTTTTGAATGGTGAGATGTATTTCTATTGAAAATGGGTGATAATCTTCGCTTACATTTCGGGAGACGTCAGCTAGATTGCGTGAGGATGGTGGAAGGGGCCAGGAGGAGCGATCTTGACATCGAGGGAAGAAACCATTCAAAAGCGGCGGCACCGACCGCCAAATTCGGCGGACATTTTCTCTGTAACCTGCGCTGAGATGTAAAGAACGCCGAACGTGTCATTGCTTACCATGTGATAGAGACGAATGGCGGAGACAGAAGAAATTGCGGGGTGAGTGGGGCTGCGGAATCCGGGGAAATGTCCTCCTTCGCCTGGCGGGAATCCAATGTTTCGCCGGCTTCCCTACAGAGACTGCTATCGGCACAGTCTTACCCCGTGCCAATCATGTGGAAAGTGACACACCGGGCTGAGTGCTGGGATGGCCGTCGGGCGGGGGGCTTGTGTGAGCGTCTTCAAGGTCGGAAGGGGTTTTGGTAGTTGTCATGCTGCGTGAGACAGAACAGCACAGCCTGCGGGGAGATTCGACAGCGTCGACAAGATGCCAGGTACCGTCGAAGAGCCACTCCAAACCTCCAAGAAGGCGCAGGATCCCATTGACATCCAGAAGATCTTCCACTACACTGACCTCGACACCTCCAGGCCCACGCGCGTCGAGGATCCTTACGACTACCAATGGGGGTTCGGTAATCGTTTCCAGAGTGAAATCATCCCTGGTACGCTGCCCGTTGCGCAGAATCACCCACAGGTACCGCGTTTCAACTTGTATACCGAAGGCCTCACATCTTCCGCCTTCGCCGCAAGCAGAGTTGCCAATGCGAGCACCTACATGTACCGTTGCCGGCCCTCGGTCGCGAATCACGGCTTCCAGGATGTCGTGCTAGTGTCGAGAGCCCATCTAGAAAGCTGCTTCTTGTCCGTCAATCCAAAGGTCAAGATGAACCCGGCACAGATCGAATGGGCGCCCTTTGACCTTCCTCGGGAAGGCGTGGAGATTGATTTTGTGGACGGCCTCCACGCTCTAGGTGGATCCGGAGATGCCAACATGCGCGACGGGCTCGCGCTGCATGTGTTCATGATCAACGCCCGGATGACGCGGAGGGCATTTCTGAACGGCGATGGAGAGTTCTTGATTGTCGCCCAGCTAGGCAACCTGGACATCCAGACGGAGATGGGCAAAATCTACCTCCAGCCCGGCGAGCTCTGCGTAATCCCGCGCGGCATCAAATTCTGCCTAAACCCGGCCGACGGCACGAGAGAGGCGCGAGGCTACGTCCTGGAGGTCTGGGGCTCACGATTCGAGCTGCCGGACCTTGGCCCCATTGGAGGATATGGAAACGCCAACGCACGGGACTTTGCATATCCCGTCGCGTACATGGACGATCCGGAGGAACTGCATCGGGACTGGCATATCGTCGAGAAGATCAATGGAGAGTACCATGTCTTGATGCAGGACCACAGTCCGTTCGACGTCGCGGCGTGGCACGGCAACTGCTTGCCGTACAAGGTAATGCCAGGTCCTACACTTCCGATACCCAAGAAATACTGATCGTGTGTTCTCATATGCAGTACGACATGACCAAATTCGTCGCGCAGGGTAGCACATCCGTCGACCATACAGATCCTTCAATATGGACCCTTCTAACCGCACGCTCGCGCGACCCCAACGTGCCGCTCGTCGACTTCATCTGGTTCGGGCCGCGCTGGGATGTCGCCATGAACAGTTTCCGGCTGCCGTATTTCCACCGCAACAGCGCGAGCGAGTTCATTGCGAACATCTATGGTGCTTCGGGCGGGCGGAGTGCCAATTTCAGACCTGGAGGAGGCGTCTACGAGGCTGGCCACACGGCGCATGGCGGGTTCGGGGACATTTATGTTGCTGAAAGGAGAAAGAAGAAGAACGAACCTAGGATCCTATTTCAGGGTAGGTGGTGAATTGTGCAAGGAGATCCCTTCTTTTCTGCCGATTCTTCTCCCAATTCTTGAAAAGTTGACCACGCCTCCCAGAGAATCCCTGTCTAACAGATAGACAGGCATGATGACATTCATGATCGAGTCGTCGCGGTCCCTCCTCTTCACCGAATGGAGCCGCGCGCACAGCACCACGGACGCCACCCCGCCAGAAGTCTGGGACTCGGTGCCGGACCAGTTCTCCACTGATCCCAAGGTGCGGGCCCTTCTGCAACGGGTGAAGAAGCAAAAGGCCGTGAGGAAAGCCGAAGACGAGGCGTACCATGATGACGAGCGGCTCCACGAGCTTTTGGGCCAAGTCGCTGTGGCGGAGCAGAATGGGACGGGGGCGGTAAACGGGACTTCGGTACATGCGTCCGCTGAGGCGATTCCTCCTGGGATCGATGCGTAGGACAGCGTGGGAATCCGAATTTGATTAGCTCTATCTTTCGCAATAGGCGTCTATGAATGCTCTCCATGTTGGTGAGGTCCCTGATCTCAATAGCGTCTCCGTGGAACATATGGGAGCTAAATGCGACATATCATGTCTTGTATTCGCGGCCGATCGAGCTGTGCCAACATCTGAAGTCCTCGAAAAGCTGTAGTCGGCCGTCAGGAGAATAGTACGCTATACAGTCTGTTTTACTAATACTCTTCCAGCGTCATGCTCCCTGAAATACTCCTCACATTCAACCTTGGAATCATACCCAAACAGCCCGTCGCTCCAACTCTTGGTCGTCCTGCCCGCAACCGGCTCCCACTGCCACGCCCTCACCTGCGTCGGGTCCTTGAGCCTCTCGTCCCGTGCTCGCTGCTCTGGCCCGTCCGGATAGTGGTTCTCGATCTTCTGCTTGCGGGCATTCTGCTGGATCTGCGTGGCGCGGGAAACCCGCAGGTCCTGAAAGGCGGGACCGACGCGGTCAAGGGGCAGGTGAGCGAGGCATTCGGCCAGGACAGCGCCGTCTTCGATTGCCTGCGATGCGCCCTGGGCCAGATATGGAAGCATTGGATGGCATGCGTCGCCGATGAGGACGGCGTGCCCGCGATGCCAGGAATCGAGCGGGTCGAGGTCCTGGAGCTTCCACTTGACGATGGAGCCGGGGTTTGCATGGAAGAGGATGGTGCGGACACTGGTGAGCAAGGCCAATCAGTCAGCGACGTCTGAAGAGTATTAGAAGAGGTTAGAAGCGAGGGTAAGAGAAGCGAAAGGGACTTGACAGACGCTGGACACCAGTCGCTGAAGTTCCGCCGCAGTTCGTCCACGTCTGCTCCTAGTTGCTTGTGCTCGTCACCCAGAGAGCCGTCGTCGGGAAAGACTGCGACGCAATTGAAGAGCTTCTCGCCGCGGCTGCCTATCGGGTCAGCAATTGTTCCTTGCATCGCGGTCGATGCGCGCTCTTACAGAAGGGTTCCGATGACATGTCTCCCTGGTCCCCACCACGCAGTTGCGGCATGGCCTTCCACCAACGGCGCAATCACCGGATCGTCCTTGTACTGTTCAATCTCCAAGGCGAATTGAAAGGCGTAGTCTCCAGTGGGCAGCGCAGGGACCGGCTTCTGCGAGATGATGTCGCGCATCCTGCTCCTGACGCCATCAGCCCCGACGATGAAGTCGCTGTCCAACACCTCTCCGGAGGCGAGAGTCACGCTCGCCTTGACCACGTCGGCATCGACCACTCTCGACCCCAGCCTGATCTCAATCCCCAAGCTCTGCACCTTCTTCAGCATGGCCGTGTGAAGGTCTGCCCGATGGAGCATCCACACGGGCGCGGCGTACTTCTTGAGCGCCAAACTCGGGTCCATATGGACCTCGCTCAGCACCTTCCCGTCATCCCATCTCAAGACCCTCGAGACCCTGCTCTGGACAATGACATCCCTTAGATCCTCTTCGAGGCCCCAGCGGAGTAGTTCGCGCGTCGCATTGCTGGAGATCAAGACTCCGGCACCGATTTCCCGGAGAACCGACGCGCCTTCGACGATGGTGACGCGGTGGCCTGCGCCGTGGATCGCGAGTGCGGCGGCGAGACCGGCGATACCGGCGCCCACGATGATCACGTCAACCACTTGGGCGTCGACGGCGTGGGGAGACATCGTGCTTATGAGGCTGGGTCACATCGAGCTGCCACATCTGCCCATCCTTTGAACTATCAATCTGGCCTTGCGGCTTACGCCATTACGCGGCTCATTCTGTCACATGTTTCGATTCGTGCGGATTCACCTAAGAGACTGTACGGTACAATATTGTCGAGTCCGTTTGCCGTCTGGGGAAAGACGCGAGCCGGGGCAGAGTTACGCAGACGTTGTTCTTGTGGGGTTAAAATTATGCCGACAGGGCGCCACCATATTCCAGACCATTTGACGAGTACCGCATTGCGTTACTAGCAAAACCCTAGCCTATGGTTGACTTAATGGTATCAATGGCGGACCGGTGCCCAGCAAAGTATCGGGCCGTAAAGTCGTCTTGATCCAGGGCAAGTCGAGCCCCAGTGAAAGCGAAGCCACTCAACGCTTCTACCATGTCACCGTCGCGTACAGAGCCTCCCACCAACCGCCTTCGCGTCGTTGTCGTCGGCGCGGGACTTGGCGGCCTCGCTGCCGCCATCGCCATTCACCGGACTGGGCTCGCAGACGTACAAGTGCTCGAAGCTGCGTCCAAGCTCGGTGAGCTGGGGGCCGGGATCCAAGTCAGTCCAAATTGCTCGCGCCTCTTGATCCGATGGGGCGTCGACAAGTACCTGGCCGACAATGTGGTTCTCCCTAGGTTTGGCAGAGTCATCCGGTGGCAGAACGGCGAGGTCTTGAGCCAGGCGCCCATGATGCCGCAGATTCAGGAGAAGTACGGCTTCCCCCACTGGCATGTGCACCGTGCGGACCTGCATGAGGCTCTGAGGAAGAAGGTGGAAGAGCTGAAGATCCCTATCACAGTCAATGCAAAGGTCGTCGCGGCGGACGTTGACGGAGGCAGCGTCTCGTTGCACACTGGCGAGAAAATCGGCTGTGATTTTATTGTCGGCGCGGACGGGCTACGGTCGACGATGCGCGAGGTGTTACTCCAGGGCGAGGACGCAGCGCCGCCTTTCGTAACGGGTGACTATGCCTATCGATATACGGTGCCCACCGAGGACATGGCGGACGATCCTGTACTGGCGGACTGCGTCAAGGTGCCCATGGCCATTGGATGGTGGGGGCCACGAATGCACGTTGTGGGATACAAGTTACGGAGTGAAACCATCTTCAACGTCGTCGCCGTCTTTCCCGACGACGGAACTATGGACAACACCTACAAGATGGAAGGTGAGATCGAGCACTTGAAGCAGCTGTACGACGGGTGGTGTCCGCAGGTCCAGGCCTTGATCCAACGCGCAAGACCAGGCACAGTCACGAAATGGAAATTGATGGATTTGCCGCCATTGCAGAAGTGGCATCGGGGCAAACTGGTGTTGATAGGAGGTCCGTCCGCACCACATTCTCGTCCCTGTCATGACGGGTTTGGATAGACATGACTGATGGAATACAGATGCCTGCCACCCAATGTTGCCTTTTCAAGCTCAAGGGTGTTCGCAAGCCATCGAGGACGCCGCCGCCCTGGCACAATGCCTGCGACAACTGCCCCTTTCAGACGTAGGTTCCGTATTCCAACGAATCCGATACTCACGCGTCACGCAAATACAGAAGTACGCCCGGACACAGCGAGGCAAGAACCACATGCTTGACGGCCCGGAGCAGGAAGCTCGGGATACCGCCATGAGGGATGCGAGTGCAGCGGCCAGGTCGGCGTATGCGTGGAGTTGGGCCGCTGAGGATGGCGAACCGCCGAGAGCTTGGAACGATGGGTTGTTCGGGTACGATGCCGAAGAGGAGGCATTGAAAAGGATCAGGAAACTCGGGTACCCGGTACTCTAAGGTGGAGTAGAAGCTCATCCCCTAACTCGTCGGCCCAGCCCATCATCGTTTCGCATCCTTCTTGGACATTGATAGAGAGACGCCAGCGAGACCGTGTCTTGCGAGCCGATGTTGAAGACAACGACGAGAAAAGTGTTCTATAGCAGTTACCCTACTCTGACATATCTTGCTTCCTGTCTCAGAGGTATCGTCATTTGTAAATGTATTTGCTCGACCTACAGACGCCGCGGCATTTCTATCCCTGTTCACGCTATTAGCTATATCTGACCCGGTGACCGCCTCGTCGCTACTGAGTGACTATTCCCACATTCCAAAATGGCGTCTATTCCGTGTCAGCGGTGTGCCACTGATTTTCCTTTCTCAGAGATACGACGCAGCGGCGACAAGCTCTAGCCGGGACTATCTTCCCTCCTCTTTCAGACAAATGGCGTCCATGTGGAGCAGGGCAAAAGGGATTGCACCGAACATTGTCCCGCACGTGGAAGGTTCAAGAATACAATATTGTGCCGGGGACTTGTAGCTAACCATTCTGGGCAATATCTGGAGGACATGTAATTATTACCGTCTGGGGCCCCAGATTCCACCCCCGCCTTCAAGACGAGGAAGTGGATCAAAACAGTTTTTGTTTCCCTGATCCTTCCTCTGTCCATCTCGTTCTTATCCTTGTAAAGGGTAGCGACTGCTTGAGGCCTCCTCGACAACATACCGTCCGAAACCACGATGGCGCCCTCCCAGAACGAGAGTCTGGCAGCGAACTGGAAATGCTTGCTGGCTTGCCTGCTCATAGCGATGGGACGTGAGTTAGCCCTCTTCACTGTTGACTGCCCAGTTTGCGAAATGCTGCAATGCTGACGCGAGAGAAGCGTTCCAGTATGGGGTCGACTTCGGTCTCATTGCTGGTATTCAAGCCATGGTGGGCTTCAATCAGGTGAGTTGAGTTGGCTTCCCGACGTTCCGTCCGCATTGTCTAGTGATGGGAACATATACTGAGTCTTTTTCTCAGGTCTTCGGCCACAAAGATCCGCTGTCGCCGACCGGGTGGAACCTGAGTCCAGTGACGCAACAGCTGATCTCGTCTTTCATGACAATCGGCGCCGTGGTCGGTTGTGGCTTCGTTGGTGCGTAACCACCTACATTCCTAACACCCTTTCTCTTGTGTCTGGAGAGGACGAAAGATATGGACGCGGTACTGAAGCTCGGCTAAGGCCCTCTATCGACCAAGCTGGGTAGAAAGCAATGCGTCTGGCTCGCAGTGGTATGGTGCTACGTGAGCGACGCCATCATGATGGGCACCACCAGCGTTGCGGCTCTATACGTCGGACGTATCTTGATCGGTATTGGTGAGTGCACAGCTGTGGTCGAGGCCTACATCCAACCTGTACTGACGACAGGGGACAAGCAAATGGCTGGTTCATGACCTTCCCCCAGCTGTATCTTCAAGAAGTCGCCCCGGCACACCTCCGGGGGTTCGTCTACGTCTTCTTCCAGTTCTGGGTCGCGCTGGGCTCTCTGATTGGGACTATCGTTGGTAGGCACACATACGGCCAAAAGGGCAAGTCGAAACCATCCAGCTGACACTTTGGGGTCAAAAAGACAACTTCACCGAGACCATGCCCGGCAAGCAGTCCTACCTCATCCCCCTGGGCATCATCTACATCGTCCCCCTCATCCTCGGCGTCGGCATCATCTTCATCCCCGAGTCGCCACGCTGGCTGTTGACGCACGGCCGGAGAGACGAAGCCCGCCAGGCGCTCCTGTGGCTCAGGCCCGCGGGCGCCAACGTCGACGCCGAGATGTTGGCCGTCGAGACGGCGCACAATCTCGAGATGGAGAGCACGGGCCACGGGTCGTGGACCGACATCTTCACCAACAAGGTCGAGCGGCGGCGGACTCTGCTCTCGCTCGGCTCCCTCACCCTCCTGTCCGCCCCTGGCGCCATGTGTAAGCCCCCAGACCCCACGAGACCTCAACTAACAGCCACTATGTCTGACGATTGTTGTTCACAGTCATGATCATGTACGGGACGTACTTCTTCCAGATGGCCCGAGTCGGCAAGCCCTTCGAGGACAGCTGCATCCTGGCCGCGCTGTCCGTCGTGGGCATCCTTGCCTCGTCCCTGTTCGTGACGCGCCTGGGCCGCAGGACCATCCTGATGTCCGGCATGGCCGTCTGCGGGGCCATGCAGCTCATCCAGGCCTGCGTGTACCGGGCGCAGCCCACGGCCCCGTCGACCGGCAAGGTCGTGGTCGCCATGAACATCATCTACATGTTCTTCTACAACGCCTGCCTGGCTGCCTACGCGTGGCTGGTGGGCGGCGAGATGCCTAGCCTGCGCCTGCGGTCCTTCGTCTTCGGCCTGGCCGGCGTGGTGGGCTTCTTCTGGCCCTGGCTCAGCGTCTTCACCGCGCCCTACTTCATCAACCCGGACAGTCTGAACTGGGGACCCAAGTACGGGTTCATCTGGTTCCCGAGCGCCATGGTCGCCACGGCCTGGATCTATTTCTTCCTCCCGGAGGTCAAGGACCGCACGCTGGAGGAAATCGACGAGATGGTGAGTTTCTTTCCTTTTTTTTTCTTTGTTTCTAGGGACAAACTCGGTGGTTGGAACTGACCAGAGCGCTTTTCCCCCCAGTTTCAAGCCAATCTTGCCGCTCGCAAGTTCAAGGGCTACGTCTGCACGCGGACAACGTTCGGCGTGCGACGGAAAATCGTGGACGAGAAGGGTGATCTAGAGGTTTCCGCCGTCGAGGTGGAGGCCGTCGAGCACGCTGCTCCACCGCATACGTGGGAATAGCAGGCCGAGGACGTTGAAAGCAAATCTTGTGGCAGTTTATACATGCATTATGTTTGGTATGACAGCTGCCCATAGCAGCGGAGAAACTTTGCATACCAAATCATTGGGCGAGTCCATTATAATTGCTCTGAAACCGTTCAAGTACTGTTCCTGTCCAAAATGGATACATGACTTGGTTCACAGGTTTGGAGCATCCAGCGGCTCCGACCCAAGTCCCATGGCCCAGTCGAAGATGTCGCTCGAAAAGATCGCGGCGTCGAGAGTACTCAGTGACGGGCCTGCGTTATTCCCCAGACTCGCGTCCATAATGTTATTGCCTGGACTCTGTCCTTCTGCGATGCCGTGCTGATGGTCGCCTGTAGCAGCGATCCCTCTCGAGATATTACCCCAGCCGGCGCTTCCAATGGACCGACGGGGAACGCTGGGCACGAACTGCGCCGTCTTCTGCCTTGACACGGGATGGGTCGTGACGGGGATGACATGGGTCAGAGGTTCGCTGAAGGGCACGGTGTTGGCTTCGATCTTGCCCGCGTGTTCGGTGAGTTTTTCTGCATGGCGTAGCACAGTACGCAGTCAGTGATGGCCTCTCAGATCATTTACCATTTGTGTCTCTGTGTGTGTATGCGGAAAGCGAAATCACCGGTCAGCCATGGGAGGGGACGGACCTTGCATGCCCCAGTACTTCCCAAACGTGAGCAGCGCCTTGACTATCAGGTCCATGTCTCGGCCTCGGTAGTGGCCTTTGCGCTGGACCAGCTCCAAGAGTCGGACTCGCGCGGCCAGCACCAGCGGGTGAGGGAGGAGATAGTTCCCAGCATGGGGCACGTCCTGGATCACGTACGCGACGTCGAGGATCTCTTCCGCCGAGGCGACACATCGGGACTTGGAGTAGCCGTGCGCTTCTCTGCAGGCTATGGGATGGTGAAGAAGGAGGAGGGCGCTGTGAACTCTTGCGTCAGCAAATGACTTGTATCAATACTTCCTCCCTCGCCGCACATTTACCCTCCCCATTACATATTTGTAGAAATCGAGCTTTGAGCAGAACGAGGAGGCGAAACTGCCTCGACTGACCTGTGGGCAAGTGCCAGCGTAGTCGGGTCAAGCAGGTATTCACCTTCGAGTCGAGAACAACTGCGCCAGCTGTTGGGGAACGAGCCTAGGTACGCTTGAATGAGGTTGTCTATCTTGGACAACTCCTCGCCATTCTCGCTGCTGCTTCGCATCCGACATGTCTGGTTGAAGTCGCTGACCTTGGCGAACAGGCCGAGCGCCTGGATAAACCTGGCAAATGGGCCTGCATCAGTCGCGTGGAGGAGAGAGGTAATTGGCTCAGTGACCGGCCTCGTGGCTGGTCGTGAAGCTGGCTGCCTCGGTTGGGTTGTGATTAGAAACTCTCTACCGAATCGCTGTATCCGGAGGTACTCACGTCGGCAAACCACACCTCATCACTGATGGGGAGCATCACGGTGATCTCCCTCTTGACCGGAAAGCCCATCTCGCGCTCCTGGATCGTCGCCATCCAACGGCTCAGACTCAGCACCATCAGGAACGCCCTCCGTCGGCCTTCCTCCTCAACCCAGTCCACCGGCCGGTCCATCCACCGGTTCGGCCTGCTGCTCTCACCTTCCTCCTGCTCCTCCATCCGCAGCAACCTGAAGGCGCTCGCAAGGGAGAGGGCGGACCCCACCGTCGTCAACGCGTGCACCGAGGAGTTGGGCATCCCAATCTCGTAGATGGCTTGCAAGATCAACGCAGTGAGGGTGCTCATGTCCGGGTTGATAAAGGTCGCCTGGGTCGACTGCTTGGCGAGGCTGTAGAAGATATCGGACTTGGATGCTAGGGAGGGACTGTGGCGCGAGGCCAGTGCGAAGACGGACAAAGACACGTGTGCGTCCTTGTCGACGCGGAAGCCGGGCCTGTACAGGATGGGCACAAATGGGTGGCATCGAGTGAAGTAAAGAGTACAGCTGGACAAGCATCATCAGCTCGGTGATGTAGACAGAAAGCCCAGCAGGGCCGAGCCGACCTACAGGTTGCTTCGATCCTCTGCGCTGAGAAGTTCTGATATTGCGAGTCTGGCGATATCGAAGGGGTCCTGCATCAAGATGTCATGATCCGAGGGCGCGTACGGCGATGTATGGTCCAGGAACCCAGACGGCAAGATGTCGTCGGAAGAGTATTCGTATCGAGTCGTCGCTTGAGCGGTGGAAATAGGATGGCCGCCGCCTTGCGTCTTGCCGTGGAGGTTGCGAAGCTCATCATTTTCAGCTTGGAGGGCGTCTGTAGCTCTATTCAGTGCGACGAAGACATTCAAGAGTGGTCTGTAGAACCATACGTATCTGAGCCTCCAGGTTTCGCACGTAGCCTCGAGGCAATCCCGTCTTCTTCCATCCCACGTACTCGCACACCGCCTGGCCGTCTTCCTGGCATTGTGAGCAGGACGGTCTCCGGGAGTCGCATTTGACCTTCTTCTTCCGACAAGCCGCGCACGCGATTGTCGTGGGCCTGTTCCCACCCTGGGTCGACTGTCGTCGGGAGACCGGTGGGCGTGCGGGTGGCGGTGGGAAGATCTGGTGGTTGGCCGGTGAGGCTGGAGAAGGCTGCATCAGTCCAGGCCGGTCGGCGACCAGAGATACTGGTCGAGAGCCTACATTCATGCGAGCATTGCTATGGAAAAGACATTGATGGAGGTGGAGGCTGGTAGTCCCTCAAATGTATGTAGATCTGCTGCAACCCCACATTTCCCCATCGCATCGAATATGTACCTCGTAGTCCATAGCCGTGTTACATACTCCATCCTGCTCTGCCGCCCCGTTATATTTCCCCACACTTGGTGCCGGGTTTTTAGATGTTCAATCGCACAAACCAAATCAGGGGCGACTACAAGAGGAGGATATCTCAGCCTTGTTGGCCAGCAGACTACGTTGACCCATAGGATCCAGCCGTAACACGGCAAACAAGTTGTAGCGCGAGTGATATAAGAGCCTAAGCACCTAGATGCAATACCCAAGGTAGGCAGGTGAAGTATGAGTCCACATTTACCCCCTTGGGCGTCGGGGTCCCGTCAGATTCAACCTGGTGAGGCTCTCTTTGCCGCACTGGTTCTCACATTTGATACTGTACATAGGGAGGTAACCCGTCCTTCCGTAGGTATCTACCCAAGATATAATGACATAGCCCGCCTGCGTAAATTACAGTGGACAATAGATGCTTTCGTCACCTCGGAGGTATCATTATTGCCTGCTGGCCATTTCTTTCCGGACATACCCAACTATGCCGTGCTCGTTCCGGGTCCCTCGCGAACGTCGACAAGACATCCACAGAGAAATGCAATCATTTTCCGCCTGACCGACTCGCTACACACCATTAACAGCTTCAGGCCGCAAATGGCGTCCACCACCATGTCCACTCGATTCCCAAGCGTGACGTTATTTCCAACCAGGGTTTCGTACACCTCAAATCCCGCTTTCACCACGACCCACCCAAATCCCTCGAGATTGAGCAGGTACCTCCCGAGAGGATCCTGAGCACTGCTCTTGATGAAAAGGTGGTCCACCCGGTCAATGAAGAATTGCTGCTGCGAATCATTCCCCCGCAACTTCCATAGCGTTGACACCATGATGAACAGCGCGAGAAAATGAGAAGATATCTTGGCATACCTTGGATATTCCCATAGATCTCGCTGGATGAACTGTGCGAATGCCCTGGAGAGTAGGGGAGGATATAAGTTTCCGTCCAACGTCAGCTCCAATGACAGAGACTTGGGCTGAGACTTGGGAATCGACGTGGTGCTGAAGACCAACTTCGAGGGGTCAACGGTGTTGTGTCCTTTGACAATAAATAGGAGGACCTCAAGAGCTTGGTCAAAGTGCTCTTTTCGAAAAACCAACTCGCCGAGTGGCAGTTCGTTCACGATAAATGGCATGAAATGGCTCGTGAGCAGCATTGGAGCGGCTGAAGCGAGAAGAATCGCCCTGAGACCTCCTCTGGCGGCAATGACGGCTTCGTAGGCTTTTAGATGAATGTTTGAGACACCCGGCGACGATGTCCGCGACTCAGCCACCGTCGCCATAATAATGCCGTTGATGAAGTCATCAGAGAGCTGGTTCCCCGCGCTCTCTTCTAGCTGATCCTTCAAGGTGAGGTACGCAATTGCCTTTCGGCGGAAAAAAGACGCGGGCTCTTGGCCTCCTCGGAGGGCTATCATAAGACCTTGCGCAGAGACCACCATCCATTGCAGTACGAAGGGCGACTTCAAGGTGTTGATCAAGCTGACATCTCGAATGGAGCTGAAAATGGCGTCGGATCGAGTCCCGTACAGGACAAAGGGGAGATAAGAGATGTCTGTGGTCCGTCGTTAGCATATTCGGCCTCTATCAACCCAACAGAATTACTGACAGAATTGAAGTAGTTGTTGGTCCTCCCTAGGTAGGTCTGACGGTAATACACAGAAGGGATCCAATATTGACCCAATCTCGCTTATTGGCGAGTCGGATGATTCTCTTGTCCACGGTATGGAGGTGTTCGTATCCGTTGACCGCCTTCGATCGGTCAGAGACCGAGGCTGGCCATCAATTTCGGACTCGGATTCGCCAGGTCGCAGTGGCGATTTTGGGTCTTTTTGGTCGGCAGAACGGTTCTCCTTTGGAAGAAAGAGTTAGGATGTATCTCCCCGAAGTACGTAGCAGAGCCCGAACAACACGGAGCCCACACAGGACATCACAGCAACAATGGAATGCCTCGGATATTCAGCATGAATTCGGGCATACGCACCCTCTGCTTTTTGGGCGGCGCGTTTGAGAAGCGCCACGTAGAGAGTGTTTCGTAGCGACGACTGCGAATGGATCGAGATGCCTTGGTTGGACTCGACTTTGGGGAGGCTTCAGACATGGCAATTTGTGATGCTTTCGCTTCATTGCTGGTTGCAAGGCACGGAAGGCGTAGTCTGGATTGAGGGCCCCGCGGCCATTTCCGCGCGTCCCTTGGTGTTGTAGGTGCACAGGACTGATGTTTCAGCCAACCGACAATCTTCAGGACGGACGTGGTATGCTAGAAATTGGTGCCGGCGATTCGTTTCTCCAGTTGGGGTGTGAATTGCATACGGCCGCCGGAGCAATGATGGAGAACTGCCGTGTTGGAATCAATCCTTCTGCAAGGACGACGATACATAACGCCGGAGAGATGATGGTTGATGAACAAGAAGCTCTCGGCACTTGGCGTCTCCGGCGGCATAAGCTGAAGGAATGCTGGGTCGACTTCGTACTTCGTCAAACACGAGTGCGCCAACCCTTCGTTCTCGAGCTCGAAGTTGAATGTCTCTTTTATCAATCGCTGGCGGCCTAGGCTCTGAGTCTTGCCTGGGATCCCGGTTCAGAACAGGATGAGCCTGCCTCTTCGTCGAAGAGGTGTCACCGTGGATTAACAGGCAGCAGTGAGCGGTCCCCTGTCACAGATTCCTGATCTCTTAGCACCGCCAACACCAGCTACCGACAGTTGATTTGAACAGCAGGTTCTAGACCTGTCGAGCGGCGGCGGGTCGAGCTATGTGCAAACCTTCTGTTTCAAAGCGGCTTTTGAACGAGTGAAGCTGCCATCTCCTACTAGGATTTTAGGCGCGTTGTACCGCAGAAGCGAAAGGGTTGGTGGCCGCTCTCCCCTTGGGTTGTATGTCTGATGGGCGCTACTTGGTGCTTTGTCTGCTGCAGAGATGATCTCGAGGATTCGGGATGCTGGCATGGAAGCACCAAACCTCGAAATCGCCGTTCGATTTCATACAACGACGGCGTCTACCTCGACCTCGACCAGCATGTCGCCGTCGATGAACCCACCCCTTCCAAGCACCACCATGGTCGCCGCACTACCCATGCCCTCTTCGCGTACTCCTGATCCAAAAACCTCTCTATACGCCGTGCCGACCATGCTGCAGTCCTCCTGCCTGGCCACGAACATCCGCACTCGACACACATCTTCTAGTTTTCCACCCAAGCTCTCCACCGCCCTGACGCATTCCATCATAGCAGTCTTAGCCTGCAAGTACGCGTTCCCTGGATGTTGGAGCTGCTGCGTTTCAGGGTGAATAGCGGTAGTCCCGGACACAAAAATGAAGGGTCCGCGTTTGACCGCCCGGTGATAGCCGATTTGTTTTTCGTACGGATTGCCTGTGGTGTACAGTGTCTTCGAGGCCGACGCTGTCACCGACATGATAGGATTTCGCGTGGACAAAGGTCGGTCTTGACGTTCTGCAAAGCGACACCCCGGAGTGGAGGCAAAGCAAAGAACAAATTTCGGACCAGCTACAAGTATTCGCGGTTTTTGAGAAAGAAAGCAATAGTAGTGGAGCTCTTAGAGTACCTCGTACGGTTTTTGTATCTCTGCCCGAGAGGTGGGGCGCGCCCTTTGTAGAATACTACCTGGTTCTGGTTCTGGCGTACTCGTATACACGCGCAAAGACGGAAGAACGACAGTGAGGATTTCTAATCCTGGGGGCAGGCTTCCCGACGTGAATGCCTCCGTTGTCGAACAGCTCACACCTGGATATCAGAACATTCGGCCTAGGGACAACTTCAGTCAGATGTATGTGCTCTCGACTTGTCCTTTTGAAGATTAATGCTTTATGGTAGCGATCCATTAAAAGCCGACGTCTCTGATACACACCCTGGCCTGAAAATGATATCGAGATGGGCGATGATTGATCTGTGAGGGGCGTAGATAAAAGAGAAAGTACGAAGTACTTACTGTACACTTGTAGATCTCTATTCCTGCCCATATAAGTCCGTTGCATCTCAAAATCCTGGGACATTACTACGAAAACTCAAGCAGATCACTGACAAGGCTGAACACACCGACGATTGTCTGGTGGTGACAACGCCAAGCCCCGACGAGGCTGTCAATTCCGAGCCGCAGTCGACTCCAGATTTTGAGCAGGGCCATATCCCGCTCCACAATCCCACCCTCAATCGAGTCGCCTGGTGCCTTGTCCCTGTTGCAGAGTGGTGGACGGTTGCTTAGTTTCCTTCTCTTTGAACATGGTTTAGCCTTGTACACTCTTTGAAACGTCCGACTTCTACATCATTGCTACAGCGTCCAGCCTCAGCACACTTTTGCCCTTTGCAGATCATCGCAAGCGTCACAAAGTCCGCCAACTTCAACATTCACCATGGCGCAGTCCCAGCAACAGCTCAGTCACAAAGATGCGGCCTTGTTCAGGCAAGTCGTACGCAACTTTGAAAACAAGCAATACAAAAAAGGTACGAGTCTCGTGCCCTGCTGCCCCGAAAACCCAAAGCTCATTTCTGCCCAGGTCTCAAGGCTGCCGAACAGATCCTACGGAAATCGCCCAACCATGCGGATACGCAAGCGATGAAGGCCCTGATCATGAGCCATCAAGGCCAAACCGAAGAAGCATTTGCCCTGGCCAAGATCGCTCTCAACAACAACATGAAGTCGCATGTCTGCTGGCACGTGTACGGCTTATTATACCGCGGCGTAAAGAACTATGAAGAGGCTATCAAGGCATACAAGTTCGCGCTGCGGCTGGAACCCGACTCCGCGCCTATACAAAGGGATTTAGCACATCTTCAGGTCCAAATGCGAGATTACGAGGGCTACATCCAGAGCCGGAAAAATATGCTGCAGCAGAAACCAGGGTTCCGGCAAAACTGGACAGCTCTAGCCATCGCCCACCACTTAGCGGGAAACTACGAGGACGCGGAGAATGTCCTCACCACCTATGAGGAGACGCTCAAGGCAAAGCCGACCCGGTCAGACATCGAGCACTGGGAGGCGGTGCTCTACAAGAATTCCATCATTGCAGAGTCGGGCGAGCTCGAGAAAGCGCTAGACCATCTGGAAGCTGTGGGAAAGAAGAGCCCCGATGTCCTTGCAGTGATGGAAATGAGGGCAGACTATCTAGCTAGGCTAGGTCGAAAGTCGGAGGCCGAAGCAGCGTACGCCGCCTTACTCGAGCGTAACCCAGATGATTCTGCGTACTACGATGGATATATCGCTGCAAAGGGGCTAACCGATGGTCCGGTATCAGAGATCAACAAGGCGTACCAGGAGCTCGCAGAGAGACACCCCAAAGCCGACCTTCCACGAAGGAGGCCGTTGGATGTTCTGTCCGGGGAAGAGTTCAAGCAAGCTGCAGATCAATACCTGCAAAGAATGCTACGAAAAGGAGTCCCTTCGACCTTTGCTAACATCAAGCACCTTTACACCGACGACTCCAAGAGGGACACTGTTCAGGAATTGGTGGAGGGATACGCCTCCGGGAAAGTACAACCACACACGAATGGAGCCAAGGAAAATGGCGACAAGGAAGAAACACGCTTCAGATCCTCAGTCCTCTACTTTCTCGCCCAGCATTATAACTACAAATTAAGTCGCAACCTCGACAAAGCTCTGGATTACGCCGAAAAGTGTATAGCCCTGGATCCACAATCTGTCGACTTTCACTCGGTCAAAGCCCGTGCTTACAAGCACAAAGGAGATTTGACCAAAGCTGCTGAGATCATGGACCAAGCCCGCTCACTCGACGAGAAAGACCGGGCCATCAATACCAAATGCGCAAAGTACCAACTGCGTGGCGATCAAAATGACAAAGCGCTGGAGACCGCAAGTAAATTCACCCAGAACCGCACGGGAGGCCCGCTGGGGGATCTCGTCGATATGCAATGTATTTGGTATCTCACAGAGGACGGGCAGTCTTACTTACGCCAACGGAAGCTCGGTCTGGCGTTGAAACGATTCCATCAGATCCTCGGTATCTTTGACCTGTGGCAAGAAGATCAGTTCGACTTTCATAACTTTTCTCTTCGAAAGGGCATGATTAGGGCATACATTGACATGCTGCGGTGGGAGGATCGCTTGAGGGAGCACCCTTTCTTCTCTAGCATGGCTGTTTCCGCAGTGAAAGCGTACCTACTCCTGTTTGACAACCCGGATCTGGTCCACGGGCCGATCATGGATGCCGTCAATGGCACAAACAAGACAGGAGAAATGAGCGCCGCAGATCGCAAAAAGGCACTCAAGAAGGCCAAGAGAGAGCAGGAGAAAATGGAAAAGGCCGAGGCAGAAAAGAAAGCGGCGCTGAAGGCCAGTAAACCAACGCCGAAGGCTGAGGAGGGGGAAACGAAGAAGGAAGATCCGGACCCCTTTGGTAAGACTCTTGTCGAGACGAAAGAGCCTCTGAAGGATGCCATGAAATTTCTGAGTCCGCTGTTGGAGTTCTGCCCTGACGTCGCAGAGGCGCAGGAGGTTGGATTCGAGGTGTACTTCAGAAGAAAGAAGTATCTGCTTGCGTTGAAGTGTCTGCTGGAGTTGAAGCGCCTGGGTGCCAAAGAAAGCGAAGTGAAAGAACTGGGAGCGAGATTGAGAAAGGCATTTGAAGAGGGTGAGAAAGATGTGCCAGAACGAGTCCGCGAGATTGTCAAGGCGGAGACAGGGAAACTGGTCCAGTGACAACAAGAGCGCCGCGCATCCAAAGACATGGTGTGACTGGGGAAGTTTCATTTCTGTTCTATAACGCCAACAACCTCGATTCTATGTTACGGCCGGATCAACTCCACCAAGATGATGAGGCTGTTTTCGACAACGTTGCACAAAAGTTTCTTGCACTCCTCCGTTGCTGACACAGACATGGTGGAGCAAAATGAATGTTTGAGACAAAGGGATCACCTTCTTATTGAAAATTTCGCCCGTCGTCTTTGTCATGATCCTTTTCCGGTGCTGCATCTGGGGCAACGTCTGCGGTAGCGTTGATAGGAGTGTGGATGTGTGTATCTGGACCACGGCAAAATGATGGTGCTACTTTCAGTAGATACCTCAGTCCTCAAAGCGACAAGAGATACTGTTAAACGAAAGACCATTCGCCTTCAAAGTCCCGGGCCATGATCTCTGCCCACATTGCATCCAAGATCTAGCATCCATGACCTTCTTAGGTACTATATCGGGCAGGTAGCTCCATGTAGACTGGCTTGTCAAAGTGGAACTTATTGATATACCTCCTCTACTCGTAGCTCAGATATCTGTAAGCATGAGGCCACTATGCAATTTATCTCGTTTATAATGTTTGGAGATGCTCTCTATCACTAATATCTAGCTCGCTGGCATCCGTACGTTACCATATCCCTTTTTAGACACAATTCCCGCCATTCTAACGCCATCCCAATTTGGAAGTGTGGCTGTGCAAGGCTTTGCGAGGCTGGATCAGCTTTGAGAGGCACGGACTGTGGCACGTGCCGGCATCGCCTGACGTCCTAACTTCGTGTTCTAGCAGCTCTCATCCGTGGCATTACCTTCACCCTCTCGTATGTTGTCTGACCAGGACTTTGGACGACTGCGATTTGACAGAGAGCCACGCCGCGTCGTTGGAGTGACGTGGCAGTCCGATGGCATGGTTCTCCCGTCCAGGTAGACCGTGCGATGCATGCCGCAAGAGAAAGATAAGGTGTTTGGTGTCGGATTCAGCTCGCGACTGTGTCCTATGTCGGTCGCACGGGCAGCAATGCACCTTCCTCGAGGCGCCTCCCAAAAAGAAACGGAAGCAGACCGATGTGGTATCCCCGGAGGAGGCTGCCGTCGCCTCAATCTCGCCGGCAGAGACCCAGCAAGAACAACCTCACGATTACTCGAATTGTCCAGAGGCGTCTTTGCTGAGCCAGACGCTTGGCCATCAGCACTTCCGCACGAACTCATACATTGGCGCTACGTCTTCTCCTAGCCGCTTACTGCTTGAACTTCCGAGTACTTCTCAGCCGGGCAGATATCGAGCGTCTGTCTCTGGCTCTGAGGTTCGACGCGTCGGCCAGGACGGCTATTTCCTGATGCTGCCAGACGACCAAGATGCCATCAAAGAGCAACTTGAGGTCCTCGACAAGATCGAGGCTGCTATATCACCATACGGCCCAGCTCTGGTCGAATTGTACTTCCGCATCGTACACCCTAGCTTCCCGATCCTTCACAAAGACGTTTTCCTAGTGAAGTACGGCCGCTCGTATCGGGAACTTACGCCGGCATGTTTGGCCGCCGTTTACATGTTGGCGCTGAACTGGTGGTCCTATAGCGTTGACCTTGCTGATTCCGTGAAGCCTGATATCTCGGACCTCGAGCAGCTTGTTCCAGGCCTCATAGCTTTCGATAAGGCCGCAAAAGTGTCCGATATCCAGGCTGGCTTGCTGTTCCTGCAGCGACCCAGACACGATTCTTGGAGATTGACTGCTCAACTAGTTGCTACTGCCGAAGAAGTCGGTCTGCACCGCGATTGCACCGATTGGGAAATTCCTGGCTGGGAGAAGGGCGTCCGCAAACGCCTCGCCTGGGCTCTCTTCATGCAGGACAAGTGGGGAGCTCTCGTGCATGGACGTCCCTCACACATCAAGGCGGATAACTGGGAAGTCTTTCCCCTCGAACACGACGACTTCCCAGAGAATGTTGAAGAGGATCACGTCGAACAGGGGAGTTCCGAGGTAGAGAAAGGCATTCTGATCTTTATTCATCTCTCAACACTGACACAAATACTGTCCAACGTCATCGATGAACTGTTCACCGTGGAAGCCAGCAAAAGACATGGCAGTACGGTCGCTCTGCTGCAGACAGTGAAGCCAATCCAACTACGACTGAAATCTTGGTATAACAATCTTCCTTCATGTTTAGAACTCGACACTACAACCTCAAGAAAACTGTCGGCCACAGGTATGTAGAGCCTGGGTAGGGTATCGTATTCCGGATTAACCACTGTCCAGGTCAACTTTATCTTGCCTATCTGACCGTGGAGGTGACACTTCACCGAGCGATTGTTGAGTCAGAGATGAAGAAACCTCTAGATGCTGGTTTGCGACAGATTACACGAGAAGCTGCGATCATGAGATTCAAGTCCGTTGTCGACTTTCTGAAGCGGCTGAAGCCGGAACATATGCAAGGATTCTGGCATTTCGCATCGGGGTCTTGCCTGGCTATCATCGGCACGTTCTCGTTGGTGCTTCTGGCGACAAGCACTGATCCAAACGAGTCACGAGCCATCTATTCTCAAATAGCCGAGTTTCGATGGCTGCTTAAGATCAATGGACCCGGTGCTGGCTTCACCAAACCTGCGGTGGATCTCCTCCAATCGAACGCGGGTTTTCTCGCAAGATATCGCCCTCAAGGTCCTACCAAGGTCATCCCTGGTAATATTCAAGGTCGAGCCAATCGTCCCGCGGGTCAGACACAGTCGAAAACACTGTCAAATACTGGAAGCCAGGATGAGGTTGACGGCAACATAGCTAATACGCAAGCCTTTGAGAATATTTCCGAAGACCTACACGCCTCACCCTCAGGTATCGGCTTTAGCCCAGGCCAGGCGTGGCTCTATGACTTCGATGATCTTGTCTCCCAGGTCTGTTCTACATAGGTCCCTGTATGACCGTCAGGACCGGCAGAACAGGTTGCGAAAGGTGCCAGTTATGACAAAACGTCTTTACTTGTAGAGATTGTTAGCCGGGCGTCGACATTGATCCCCGATAGCAGTCGAACGAACAACAGCGCAGGAATCTAGAACAAAGAGGCCTGCAATCTGTGTTCTCGACCTCTGGGCGAGTCCGATAACAGCCCGAATCTCAGGATATGCCCGCGGGCACTTGCAAGCGGCCACGGGCCCGCCAAGCAGCGCCCGTGTCACATGCTGCGGCGTCGCTTCTCTGTCACTCTCTACCAGTGTCAGGATTTGCACATCAATTTGTATGAACTGCTACTGTTCCTCGTGACATCAGGAGACTTCATCTTGAGTGCCTCTTTGTCATGGCTTTGCAAACGGTGGACCACGTCGCTGTCAGCCTTGATGCTCCTAACGTCGACCCCCTACAAGGGACTAAGTACGACTTCAAGAGGGACCTTGTGGGCTACGGGAGAGACTCTATTCATCCGCGCTGGCCAAATGATGCCAAGATTGCCGTTTCTTTCGTCATCAATTATGAAGAAGGCGCTGAGAGATCGCTTTTGAATGGCGACGGGCAGACCGAGAGTGTCCTGTGGGAACAGCCTCATGTTCCAGATCGCATTGGATCAAGGGATCCCAAGATCGAAAGCGACTATGACTATGGCGCTCGTGTAGGGGTCTGGCGTCTTCTGAACATGTTCGAAGAAAACAACATTCAAACCACTATCAACGCTGTCGGCCAGGCTCTTGAGAAAAACAGACCCCTCGCCCACAGTCTGGTGGCAGGTGGCCATGAGATCGCTAGTCACGGTTATCGCTGGATTCCTTATCACAATATGACACCAGAGGAGGAGAAGCAGTACATGCTGCGGCAAATGCAATCCTTGAAAGCCACAACTGGTACATATCCTTCGGGATGGTTTGTCGGGCGATGTTCGTCTCACTCAAAAGCCTTGATTCACGAAGTCCACGAAGAGCTGGGGGTGCCCTTACTTTATGAAGCGGATTGCTTTTCAGACGACCTCCCATATTGGGCTGATGTGCCTGCCGAGAAAAACACGGATCAACCCAAAGGCATGCTAATGCTCCCTTATAGCTACGACAACAACGACCTGAAATACCAGATCGCCCCTGGTACATGGGGCTCTTCGGGCGCCTTTTTTGAGTACCTGAAGAGTTCTTTTGACGTCCTCTATGCTGAAGGACTCAAGGGTCGACCAAAGATGATGACGATCGGCTTGCATTGCAGGATTAGCGGCAAGCCTGGCAGATTCGCTGCGGTGCAGTCTTTCGTCCAATATGTTCAGCAGCAGCCTGATGTTTGGATTACGACCCGAAAAGATATCGCGCTGCATTGGCATACAACTTTCCCTTATGTCAGGAACAATGCACCGCTCGATAGCATTGTGAACGAGCTCAAGCCAGATGTTCCAAAAGTCGACAATCTTGTCTATGCCCGAATTTGACAAGGCTCAACATTGTCGCGATTCACCAAGCAAATCCCATTACTTCTTTCGAAGGGCATTTCGCACCGCAACAGCACCTGCCTCAAACTGGTCGATAAATATGATCTGTTGACCAGCTTTCGGTCCGAGCTGTTCCTGATATGCCTCCCGGATAAAAGGCTCCATTCCAAATAAAATGACACCACCTATGCAAATAGCTGCAATACCATGTCCATACTTGCCGAGTAACTTCTTCACCCCTACTTCCATCTTCTCTTTTGCTGTTCCTCGCGACTCTTCGGCGAGATCATGTACGCCTATGCCTGTCGAAACCACCCCGGCAAAGCAAGAATCCGCTTGAGGCTTGCCCAATAGCCGTACCACACCTGCTTCGAGGTGCTTCTCATATGCTTCTCCCGTGGTCAGGATTGCAAAGCGCTGAGAAGGTTGAAGCACACGCAGAGCCGCATCTACGCTTGCTTCAAAAATACCCACAACCGGTTTGGAGCCGACTCGGGCCTGTAATAGCGAGACAAGTGGGTGGACGGCATAGCATGCCAATAAAAAGGCGTCATAGTCTCCAAGGATATCGAGCAGGAGAAAAAAGCACGTGTCTGCATTTTGGTCGATATCCTGGCTTTGCAAGGCCGGAGGCCCGTCCGGGCACGTCCAATAGGTGGGCAATGTCTAAGATGTGTTCAGCTTCCATCCGCAATACCTTGGTGCAAAGAGCATACATCTGGGCCCAAATGAGGATCGATACCCGATTTGATCAATTGAGTGATCGCACTCGACCCGTTCGGATTGATTATCAGCAGTCGCAGGGGCATAGTGCTGCTTGCTTCCACGCGAAGGAAGACTCGTTTTGGAGAAAGAGACCCCGCGGTTTGTGGACGGCCCCGGACAATATGTCTTTCTCGTACGTGGTTGGTCGAGTCACGGAATCTCGTTATCGCGCAGGGCCCGCGGGCCCAGAGTGATAAGCCCGCTTTGCAGCGCGACCCAAACGACATCTAGATGTGGCTAGGGGCGATAGCCTTGCGTGAGGTGTTGGACGTGGGCTGTGATTCTGCGGTTTCTATCGTATCTATTTATGATGCATTCGATTCCCACGTGGCGGGCCTCTGCTACACAGGGGCCGATGCTAGGAGACACAGTTGAAGCGGTTGAAAGTACTGTGGCCGCACGCAAATATCACGAGTTGGCTTGAACAGTCGTCCCTCTCCCAGGTATTCTGTTCGTCACAATGGCCACGCTTCGCCAATTCCACGACAAGCACATCGTGCTACACCCTCACGCAGGAGCCTTCACCTCCGAGCCAGACGCGGCACGATGGAGCAACAAAGATCTCGATCCAGTTCCTGAAGAGAAGAAGACTTGGGAGTGGTGGCAGTAAGTCTTGCTCTCCATGCTGCTGCCTCGAGCCCCTGAGAGACTGCAGACCTAATGATCCATACTCAGTGTCGGAGGCTTCTGGATTGCCGAGGGCTTCAATCCCGCCCAAATGCAAGTTCCTTCCAGTGCTGTGGCGCTGGGATTGAATCCGGGCCTCGCAATGGTGGCTTGCTTGATTGGAAATCTTCTCGTGACTGGACCGGTGTGCATAGTGGGCTGGCTTGGAAGCAAGGTAAAGCATTTCGTGGACCCAATATGGCCCTGCTTACCTTCGTATAGTACTCGATCCCATTCCCGGTCATTGCTCGAGCGTAAGTGGGAATGGTTTCCCTGATACGGCGGACGCTGAGAACAACCTAGGTCATATGGAATGATTGGCGCATACTGGGCCATGGTAAATACCTCCAGACTGTGCCGAGAAGTTCTGTCTAACATTGGCAGATCATCCGCGGCATATTCTGCGTCATTCTATATGGCGTTCAAGCGACCCTCGGTGGTAACGCCGTTCGATGCATGCTTGAGGCCATCTGGCCATCCTTTGCCCACTGGCATCTGAACAGCCTTCCTAAAAGCGCAGACATCACGGCCCCCGACCTCCTTTGCTTCGCGCTCTTCTGGATCGCCTCGTTCCCCTTGCTCTTCGTGCCCATGTCCTCTTTGCGTTGGCTATTCGCGGTCAAAATTGCAATCATGCCATTCTTCTACGTGGCCTTGTTCACGTGGGCGTTGACGGCAGGCCACGGCGTGGGGCCTCTGTTTTCGATTCCGAACAAGATCACTAGCGGGTGGTCGATTGGATACGTCTTTTGCTCGACGATTCTGGCCACCATCGGAGGCAACGCCAGTACGTATGGCCCGCTCTCGCGAGGGAGTGTCTTGCTGATGGTGACGCTAGCCTTTGCGGTCAATATGGCGGATATCACTCGCTATGCCAAAAATCCCCGGAGCTCGGCCATTGCACAGGCGTTTGCATTGCCCATCTGCATCACGATGAGTAAGTTGAGCGCCGCGAACCACAGTGCCTCTGTACTGACGTGTCCTAGTTGAATTGCTCGGAGGTGAGGAACAGCCTCAGACGCACCTGGCATTACTGACACCTCTTCAAAACAGCACTCATGGCGGCCACGGCTCAAGTGGTCTACGGCCAAGTTCTCTGGAATCCCTTGACCATCATTCTTCTCTGGGACAATAGAACCGCCAAGTTCTTTGCCGGCCTGCTCTTCGCATTCGCGACCATTGCTACCAGTGAGCGGCCCTACGTCCCTGTCGAGCCTCCCGTTTCTGACACATTCCTTTTTTTCCCCTTTAGATATCACCGGAAACAGTATTCCCTTTGCCCATGATATTGCCGGCATCTTCCCGAGGTACATGAACGTTCGGTAAGTATCCAGCTTCCACGCATGGTGGCATCCGAGATCTCAACCACTCACACGCCACAGACGCGGCCAAGTGCTCTGTGCCATTCTCGGGTTTGCCATGAATCCCTGGGTCATCCAGGCGCGAGCGGCTCGCTTCTTCAACTTCGTCGGAGGATACTCGATCTTCCTGGGCCCCTTGGTTGGAGGTAAGCCGACCCTCCACCTGCATTTACCGCCCTCCCGCTCCCTTCCCCCCAAAGATCGCTGAGTCGTCTCCCAGTCATCTTGTGCGACTACCTCATCATCCGCAAGGCCAAGCCCTACAATATATACCAACTGTACCGACCCAACGGGCTGTACTGGTACTGGAAGGGGTGCAACCTCCGCGCCCTGACGGCGTGGCTGGTCGGCGTGGTCCCGCTCCTGCCCGGCCTGATCTACAACATCAACTCCAACATCAAGATGGACAAGGGCATTTTGGAGTTCTACACGCTCGGCTGGCTGGACGGCCTCGTCATTGCATCGTAAGTGCCCTTTTTCTCCCCCAGTCTCAGCGCGCAAATCTGGTCCAGGGACAATGGTCGCTAACACGAAGGGAAATGGTCGTCTCCAGGATCACGTACTACCTGCTCTGCCTGGCCTTCCCGTTTCCGACAGAGGTGGAAGACGGGACCGTCGTTGTGGTCGGGACCAAAGACGTGGAATCTCTGCCCGAGGAGTCTCATCATCCGCGTGGGGAGAAGTAGTCGTCTGCCGTGAGCAGAGGACGGAAAGGTAATCTTGGAATACTGAGGACGTATCGCCCCATCGCGATCGATACCTTTTGGCCTTGGCTCTCATCATACCTGTCTCGGTCGACCTAGTCAGAACTCGTGTGGGGTTTAATTATTTATTTAAGCAATTTAACTACTTCCGGGCATTGTTCATGATTTAATTAAACCGTCAAGGTATTTGATATTTATGTTTGCTAGTAAATATCCTAAGGGATCCATCCACAGGATACCGTGTTGCGAGCTTCATCGTATTATAGTTGCACAGAACCGAGCTTCTTGCTCCGTGCGTACGAAGAATCGGCCAGGATGCCTCGAGCCCGGTGGCGCAAAGAAAGCCGCACGGGCGAGCACAGGTTCGCCGGTGCAACGGGCAGTCGAGACCCTCCAACGCAGCAGCGTGTCTCGTGTCATGGAGAGAGAACTCGGCTTCGTCTTGGGACTGGAAATAGAGGCTCCGCGCCAGGTGACCCTCCTGCATCGGTCCTGAGGCGATGGCGCCAATGAGACAAGTGGATCTGCACATACATACTTGTCGACAAACGTCTGCTGGGCGCGGTCGCTGGAGAATCAGGGAGTTCTATCTAGGACGAGCACACGGGTCCGCCTGGCGATATGTCTCTGCCATTTTCCCAATGGCCCTTCGGTGCGCAGGTTTTCTCTCCTGAGCAGTGCACCTTCCGGCGGCTGATCGCGGTACGTGCGTCTCTCTGCTGTGTAGAGCCTCTCAACGAGCGACTGGATTCGAGACAACTGGCATGCCGGAAGTGCATTTGCGGTGCGATCAGTCCCCAGATCGTCGGACCAACTGTTGAATACCACATTGGACAGGCCAGCGGATAATCACCCTCAAGACGTTGGCGGATCTTCGACTTACACGTGGGATATCGCAACATACTGGGTGTGTTGGTCACCGGCAGAACCAGGTACAGATACACTGATATTGTATGGTCATGCCTGACTACATATATATGTACAATACAAATGCGCCGCTTCATAGATGCATACAAATTCTCCAAAAACATGTCGTCAACCCAATCCCCCGTTCCCGCTTATCCAAAACATGCGGTGCTGGCCAGAGGTATAACTGGAACCCCAACTAATAAGGATCCCATTCCAACCTGCGCTCCAAGAGATACGACTCGATGGGCAGACCCCTCCAGACCGATGACCCGTTGATGACTTTGAAAAACTCGGGCTCGAAGCTCACCTGGGCCCAGCCATTGATGACTTTGCGCCAATAGCAGACCTCGGCTGCAGGGGTGAGATACTGCTCGCGGAAGGTCTTGACACTGTTCGCCGCAATGCGCTCCGCTTCCTTGTCGTGATTCTGCAGCCATGAAATCTTCTGCTCTAGATCCTCAAAGCTGCGCTCGACCTCGAGGTAGTTCTGTTGCGGCCCACTGGACCGCATGAGCGGGTGGTGATGTTGGATCCAGTCCATCTTGTGCGCGACCACGACTGACTTGCAGGCTTGGAGGTACTTCAGCCGCCCGGAGTACGAGTTCCCCTCGGTGTGCGCCAGGTACTTGTACTGGCAGTGCTCGGCCATGGATTTCAGGTCGTGGGTCATGGACTCGGTGTCGTGCCAGTTCAGAGCCTTGACATCCGCCCACGGTTTGTCGGCCGTCATCTGAATCAGTCTTTCGCGAAGTTCCAGCCCCATGGTCGCGCCGCGCCAGAGGAGTTTGCTGGCTTTCGTGCCCCAACTCCACCCCTCGACCTGCTCCGTCAAGGCGGCTTTCATCTGCACTTCGCGCATCGAGCCCACCTTCGTCTCGGGCCAGGACCAGTACCCGAAGTCCGGGATGAGCCAGATGTGTGTGTCTTCTGCACGGCGAGCGTAACCCCACAAGGGGACCGAGGGTATGCGGTCGTCCGTATTGAATGCGAACTCAATGTTGGGAAGGGGTTCCGGGGAGGTGAGAATCGCGCGGTGTAAGGCATGAAGGGTGGCAATCTCGCGGGAGTAGATGCCACCTGCAGTGGCAATAACATAGAGCTGTATCGGCAGCAGTGGTTAGCGACAAGAACCCAGTGGCCGTATGGAGGGTGCCATCGACACCGCTACCTATACGCCAAAAGGGGGTCAAAGGTGCACACCTGTTGATTATAGATCATGGCGCGGACATAGCCATTCTGCTTCGGCATGGCATCGATCTCTTCAAAGGTGATTGGATTGTGCATCCTCTCGTTCACCGGCCTCTCGACCTCCTCGAACAGACCGGGAAACGCCTGCTCACACTGCTGCGAGTCCAGCATCAAGTTCTCGGCGTCCCTGCGGTAGTTCCATTGCCCGTCGAACCCCCTCTTCCGCCCGTACGCGCCATAGTCGCTGTGCAACAAGGGGACCGAAGATCCATGGGCAGATCTATACCATGCGAACAGGGCGAACGTGCAGAAGGCCGAAATCAGCAGGAGGGGGGTGCGGCGGTTGAATGTTGCCAATAGGGGTTCGATGGCGTGCTCGTACAAGCCCCTCCTTGAGGAGGGCATACGAATCATCGGGACCAGTATAGAAGACTCGTTGCTCTCATGGTTAGGAGAAGCAGCGCATCGAATGCAAAAAGGGGACAAGGCCGCGAGTTAAACAGGACAATACAATACTATAGTTACGAGCAAAATGTAGCAAATGTCCGCAGGCGAGGTGTGCCGCTGCCAACTTTCAAGGTTAGTGTACGAGGTGCCGTCCTCGCGTCGTACTCGCTGTCAATGCAACCGTCGTTCACAATAATAATGCATCCATCGCCCCTCTTCTTCTTGCAACACCACCACAAGGTACCAGTATACACCAATGTGAGCCATACAGCGATCTAGGCTACCGCACTGAGACGCTGGTGCCGACTCCATTCACTGTGATGGAAACATCCGCCAGCTGATACCTTGAACCACCAGCGTTCACCATGCTGCTCTCATCTGCTCCTATCTGCTCCTGATTCAGTCTGCATTTGCTACCTCGTCCTCTGTCGACCGTGTCAACTCGATGCCTTCACAGCGCTGTGCCACTGCCGCATCTTGTCTCCGGAAGCCAAACGCTAATTAATGTCTTTCAGGCCAATTCTCGTGAAGGATCTCGAATCTCCCAATCCAGAAGAATTCTTGCGCTGTGGCCAAGAAGCATGAACGAGCACATTCATGAGAGGGAAGCGAAGTACCAGACAATCGAACAGGCGCCACGCAGAGAGTGCCACAAGAGAGGGGCTTTTCGCCTGTCCCCCAGATCGTTCGTGCTATGGTCACACCCCCAATCAGCAGCGGGCTTGCCGGCGATCGCTTGTGACATGGGCATTTCCTCACTTGTTCCATGGGCTGCCACTCGGCTGAAGCAACTATGCAGATGGGCTTAGGAGGAGACAGCGGAATAAGGATGCGGACTCTCCTTCCCGTCTCAACCCAGCCTTGCTATTGAGCAGCTTTGGGGAGCTGACAGAATGCTTCTGGTCAACCTGGATTCCACGACGCCACCTCCCTTCCTGTGAATGGCGGGACATAGAGCTTCGATGCATCTACCTACCGCTACAGCCAAGCTACACGGCATGGTTTCAACCAGAAGATCACGATGATGACGATGTGTGCATGGCCCATCATTCATTCATCCATTAACACATGCAAACATGCCAGCCAACCGGGCTGCTTCCAAAGGACTTTTCGTCATAGTTGAGTGATGCGACACACAACAACCAAGGCTCTTCTCACCAGAGTATTTGCTCCCTCCCCCTTCTTCTACCTCTCTCCTTTCTCCCAAAGGGTTTTACGTCATTGTTTTGCTCACCTTTTCATTTCTGTCTAAGTGAAGCTTTGGCTTTGCTATACTTTTGCTGGTTAGGAACCCATCCAGCGAGTTGTGCTGAATTGGCCCCTTAATTTCCAGAGCAGAATCCAAGCTCCTTTTCTGCCCACAGACCCGGATGTTAGAACCCGACCAATGCAATGACCTCGTCAAACCCTCCATCACCCAATTCGTCGTCTCTTGGTATGCTCCCTGAGTTACTCTCCGTCTGTCTGGCTGGTTGTGGAGAGAATCAAATGAAAGAAATCAACAAGGACACAGATGTGCCAATACTAACCCTCTATCACCCAGCTCGTTGATGGGCTGGCTGCTCATCTGCTACATTCCGCAATGGGGCCGTATCATCTTGCGCAGATCCGCAGAGGGCTTGTCGACGTACTACATCCTCCTCGGCTCCCTATCCGGCGTGTGTGCTGTGGGCAACATCATGATGCTCCCCTCTAGTGCAGTCGACATCGGCTGCTGCAGGACCAACACGCGCTTTGCCTGCATCAGAGGCCTTCTCGGAATGCTCCAGGTCATCTTTGGCATCGCGTGCTTTTGGATCGTGTAAGTAGTCCGCCGCACGTTGCAACACAGTCCTTACTAGCTTCCTGTTGCGGGCACTTCGCTGAAACCTCGCCTAGCCTTTTCATGTACGTCTACTACTCGGAGGAAGAGGCCGACGCAGAATTGCACGGGCGTAGACCGTCACTGTCAGGGCCCGACCGGACATTCCGCCGCGCGAAGCGGGCGTGGAAGGTCCTCATCGCCGCATGCAGCTTCGCATTTGCCGTCCTCCTGGTGTCAGCCATCATCCTGCACCGCTTCCCTTGGTACGCCCAAGCGTGGGCAGACATTCTCGGCATCGCGGTGGCGGTCTTTGCATGCATCCAGTGGGTCCCCCAGGTTCGGACTATTGCCCTAACCTGATTAGGAAGGTTATCCGGCTAGTTTTTACACGCCGGCAAGTCAAACTGCCGTGCGACCGTTCCCACTAGATAGAACAATCAATCAATTCATGAAGTTAGTTCTACACGGACCACATGGCATCTAGGACACTTGGGAAGTCTAAGCCCGGTGTCTATCTGCCTGACTGCGCCAGTAAGTCTTCCCCTTCACTGTTGGTCGTTGCTCATTGCGTTGTTTGCGCCCTGCAAGCTGACAGCTGGACACCATCGGCCAGTACACTTGGATATTTGGAATCAACATGATGATCCGAGTCGGGCTGAAAGGCTGGAGCGCGTGGGTCGTCTACGTGCTTGTGGGGACCATGCAGATCGTCCTGATCGTCTTGGCCATCTGTTTCGCGGTTAGGGACCAGAGGCTGGCCAAACAAGGAAAACAACATTGTGCAACTCCCGCAAACTTCGAGGGATGGAATACTTGGACTCGATCTCGCACCTCATCGGTCGTCTCGCACGCGCATTCCCACCTAGCGCCAGACGAGCGCAGCCCGTTGCTTTACGAGCAGCCTTCATCGCGGCGGCAAACCGTCCCTTAGAACGCAGCAGGAGTCCGCCATCCAATCCAACCTTGATCGATAGAAGGCAGTTCATATTGGGATGACATCAAGTTCTGACAACCATGGCAACCTCACCAACCAGAGACCAGATAGCTGCTTGACTAGACTCAGAGACGCCCGTCCTCTCACACTTGAGATGCAATAGGAATAAATTTGGCTGAATGGACTAGACAACGGCGGGCACAGAGAGTTCACAGCATCCTATAGCATGATAATGACAATGTCGGCACCGGGATTACCGAGTATTTGCTCACGCCCTCAATTAGGGTTATTGGCAGAGGCGGGGAGTCGTCTTTCCCGCTCCTTGAACGCCATCTCTCGTAGATCTGCTTCAGCAAGCAAGACAAGGTCCAGAGATGCATGCCGAAGCGGACTTGGTCATTTTGACGGCTGAACTTGGTCCGCTTGAAGACTGTGGCCGGTTGCCTGGGCGACGCTTCCGACGTGCTCTTGCTCTCCTTCCTGGGCAGATATCTAGCATTGTCGTTGAGAACTTTTTTTTTTACCAGATCCAATCGAGTAGAAGCCCCCTACGCTTGCAGCAAACGAGGTTCAGAAGCATTGGCTCATCTTGTCGAATGCTCTCTCCTCTCTTTCTGCCGATTATGCTGTCGATTCAAGCTAGACAGGAAATGCCTCATTTCGCGCACCAGTTTGTTTTGGGGATCCAGTGTGCGTTCTCGCTCCGCTAATACCTGTTCTGCTAGGGAAGCTGCTTGCTTCACCCTACCCTCTCGCTTGTAGATGTAAGCAACTTCAGCCATGCATGCGAGGGTCTGGGGATGTGTGTCCCCCAGTGAATGCTGACACCGCCTCAGCACTTCCTTGCTGATCTTGTCCGCATCTGCCCCGCGATTGGATTTTCGGTACGTGGAAGCTATGCTGGACATGGTCGAGAGAGTGGAATGGTCGTACGCCCCGAGCGTGCGTTCTTTGATCTTGAGCGCTTCTCCATCCAGCTCTTCGGCCTTATCATACCTGCCTTGACTGCGATAGGTGGCTGCAAGATTTCCCATGGCCGTCAGAGTATGGGGATCTTCTTTGCCTAATATACTAGTTCGCAATGTCAGGACTTCACTTTCAATCCGTTCGGCATCCTTCCACCGCTTTTGCCGCCGCCATGTTGAGCCAACATTGGCCATGCTCCGGAGGGTGTCAGGATGATGCGACCCGAGGACTCGTTTTCTCCGATCCAAGACTTCCAATGCGAGTCTTTCGGCCTCTGCAAGGTTACCTGAATAGCGATATGTCGAAGCGAGGCGCGCCAGTGATGAGAGAAAGACGGGATCGTCCTCTCCCAAAGCCACTCTCTGGCCCTCCACTACGCGGTGAAGAAGCTCCTCTGCCTTCTCAGGTGAGCCCATGCTTTTGTAGGATGCCGCTAAATTGGCCATACTGCTCAACGTGTCTGGGTCATTTTCGCCCAAGACCGTCTGTCTCGCCATCATGACCGTCTGATCAAACTTTAGAGCATCTTTCCACTTGTGTTGTCTTCGCTTCACCGAAGCGATATTGGCAAAGGCACTGAGTACAAGGGGGTGATTAGCAGGCAATGTTGCTGTGTAACCACAAAGAGCTTTCTGGCCATACTCCAATGACTTCTCCAGCTGGCTACAGCGTTCCAAGGCGACTGATAAGTCCGTGTAAGCCTGAAGAAGACTGGGATGAAAAGGCTCGAGTGCCCTCTCTCTATATTCCACAACAAGTCTGAATTTCGCGGTCGCGTCACGATATTTGCCCTCAAGAAAGAGACACTGCCCCACCAAGAACGTGAGCTCAAAGCGGTTTTCCATGTGAGCAATGTGAGGCGACTGTAGAAGTCGAGAGGCATGTGGCAGGTACAATGACCAGGCGGATCTGTTGTTGTGGTCAGGCTTTGGAAAGGTCTCGAGCATGCGATTGAGCGCCCTAGGTGCCCACGTTTGTAAGGCCGATTTTTTGTGCAGCCAACTGCGGCATGCCAGGTGGACGAGGCTGTGCATATCATAGGTTTTGCTGTTACTTGAATCCAGATCTCTCCGTGTCAGGAAGGAGTATCCAGTTAGCAGACCTACTGCATCTATCATGTGCTTCTGAGAAGCAACTTGTGGTAGAAGCCGCTCGGGAATAATCTTCGAGTCGATGCATGCAATCCTTGCCAGGCATTCCTGGGCCAACGGACTTCGGCGTGCAATGTTTTCAAAACTGATTTTCCAGGTTGAAATGATGGAGTTTTTGGCCCCCGGCGCCCGCACTTCGTCCTCGAAATCTTCGTCCAAAAGTTCAAACACGGTTTCCTCTTGTTTGTCGTCTAACAAACTCAGGTAGTCTGAAACGTGGATTCGGTTGAGGTTGATATATGCAGTAGCTTGCACAATCGCTAGAGGAATATAATTGAGACGATCCACAAGAGAGCAGGCGAGATTTCTTTCCAGGGCAGGAGGCGCAGGCTCAAGCAAGGTCTCCAGCAGCGTGAGAGCGCCCTCTTGATCCAAGCATGGGATTTCAATAACGTGGCTGTGACTGAAATTGAGAGCGACTTTTCTGTCGCGTGTGGTGATGAGGGTACAGCCACGGGAGCTTCGTGGAACGAAGGAGTAGAGTGACTTGGAGCGGGCGGTACCTTCGTCGCCAAAGAACAGCCCAAAGTCATCTACATTATCGATGATTAGGAGCCACCGACCAAAGCTCTCTTGACTTAGATGTTGCCTTACCAAATGCTTCAGATCGGTTTGCAATTCCGCCATCGAAGAGATCTGTAATTGACGACCGATTTCAGCGTAGCCATTGTCGAAATTGATGGCATCTGACGCGTGAACCCAGAAGATGGACACATCGGGCGACTTCTCTCTGAGGGAATACGCAAACTCTAGGGCAAGATTGCTCTTGCCGACACCGCCCAATCCAAGTAGAGAAATAGATGAGCAATCAGGTTTGTTGTACATGGCCTCCAAGGCCGCAAGTTCGTTGACCCTGCCTGCGAAACTGACCTTTCGACGCAGTGAAACACACCAAACCCCCAGTTGACGAGTAGGATCTTCAGCCGATGGAGCTTCAGAAGATGAAACCCCAGATGACTGGGAGGTCAGTATTGGACCTGGCGAGCCACGGATGGACCACTGATCGTTGCCATAACCCTGGTATTCCGTCATTTGTTCTGTCCAAAAATTCTCCAGGAAAGCCCTTGCACAGCAGGCGGCAGTGGCGGACGCATAGTGGTGCCAAACGTCGTTCTTGTGGCTATCGGCATAGTCGGCCACTCCCTTGATCACGAGAAATGGGAAATGGTCAATCAACCCTGCACCTTCCATCTCGAAGGCAATTATACCTTCCGTTTGTGCAATAGCATCACGGTGAATGCCTGACTTCATGACCCGATCTCCCGAGGCCATGGTCCCAACGTGGATAGAGGGCGCTCTTCTGCCATCGGAAGACAGGACTGGGGCGGGACGCTGAACCAAGTGCCAGTCTTCACAGCCGAGTCCAGAGCATGGTAAGTTGAGCGCCGCCGAACAAACAGCAGAATCAGTCCCAGCGTGGCAAGTATTACAACTAGTATTTCGATGTTTATGCAGGTACGTTGGCTCGAAAAGGCGGTCGAATTCTATACCAGGATATGCCGTCTTTGGACGCCGGGCCTGGAGATCACATAATAGGTAATTTGACTGCTTCTGCAAAAGTTCTCGGTGATACTCGGTTTCCAACTGACTGAGAGCAGTGCGAAGTTCCAATGTGGTGTTCGCGGGTGACGGCTTCCGCACGAATGCTTCTGGGTATTGCTTGCCGAAGTCGTATGGCACAGGCGGCGGACTTATCACGACATCACCTAGGCGAACGTCTCCTGAGCCGTCAGAACCGCCAGGGACACCTCCACAGATGCCGACCAGCAAAGCAAGTCGGATATCGGGAAAGCTGGTGCTGAGATGCACCGCCACCGCCGCCGCGTTGACTTTCCCAGCACCGGGCATATGGGCAACCACAACAGGCTGCTTCCCGACGGAGCAGATAGTGTATGCAATCTTATCACGAGCTGTCTTACTGAAACGTCTGGTATCATCCCCAGGTCTGTCAAAGACGGCGAGAACTTCATCCGCCTCTTTCGGGAGAGCACATATTATGGCAATCTTGACAGCCTGTCGCTCGTCGAATTGGGCTAAAGGCGGCCACAGTCCATCTGGAGTGTTGAAGGAAGGCGTTCGAGAGTGGGAATAAGGTTGCCCAAGTGGCCATTGGGCTGGTTCGGAGGTCCGCGAGCTGAGAGTTTGACTGCTTCAGGTGGGGGTTTCGAGTCAGTAATGTAGGCCGAAGGGCTCCAAAGCGAGCAGATGCACCTTATGCTAGATGTATGGCGGGAAAGGGTCCCGTAGCCACTCCGGTTATGGCGGCCGTTGGACGATCCTCTCTGGGACCCGTGGCTCCCGCGTCTGTGAGAATGGGATGCTCGCGCGAACATAGCGCGAGGACAACATTTCCGGGAATCTTTTGACTAGTGGCCGCTCGAGACCCGAGGACACATAATGCTGGGGAGAAGGTTCTGTTTCTCTCATCAATGCTGCGAAATAGAGGGTCTGCAAGGATGAATTCACAGACGCAGATTGTTTTAAGCGACTGCATGTACGGCGCATCGTCCGAGGCTGAGGATGAGGCTGAGCCCGCAAGAGGAATCGAGGCTTGGACGTGTTAGCAGCCAATCATGATCAGGCTGGGCAGGCATATGGGGCCACTTGCAGCCATCACAGCATTTTAATCGACATTGCGAGTCGCAGGGGTGCAACGCCACCCGGATGCACATTTCTTTGCGCCCTGGGCACTCAAGGTACGCTAGGCTGGAAAACTAGTCTACCTTCACAGAGCATGGCCGCTGAATGCAGACTCACACGGCGTTGACCACCAGAAAGTGCATTAGCCTGGAACCGCGTGGAGCGTGGACAATCCTGACCTCGTCACACCGGTTTCTTGTCCGCATCATGGCCAGCCATTCCCAAGGCGGACGGTGAGGTTCCCGTCAGCCTCAGGTGCAATATGACATTACGACATAATATCCTTGGACACCTGTTTTTCTGGACTCCTTGGACAAAATCAGTTTCAAGGCCCAGGTCACATCAATCATCCGATGGCAAGGCCTTATTCATTGTTCAAAATATGCGACAAACCCCATGGCGTCACCGCAGGGGATACCAGAGAGTAATGAAGAGATGGCGTTCCACGAAACACTCGATGCGGGCTTGAGAGAATCTGAGGGAAAGCGTACGGAGTTGATCGGAATGCTCTCCAGGTCTGCACCTCGATGATCAAATGATGGACGGGCAGCATGTTGAGTCCAGGTGAAATGCATTCAGAAAGAACAAATAAGCCTTTCGTCGAGTGCCTCTATCTCCTTGGTCAGTAGCAAAAGCGTCTGGATCGCCTACCAGGCTTAATGGCGGATCAATTATATGTGTTTATCCTCTCCTGATCGATATTTCAATTTGCTTCTGCACCTGATTCTGCTGGTACAGCCATTCTTCTTGGATTTTCCCTCCTTGATGAATCATAGGAAGCTTGGTTTCATGTCGTGTCGAAGTCTGAGAGTTGGCCTGTGGCTCTCCTTCCCTGGATTGAGAGCTTTTTTGAGGGTCGACAGAGCTCATGTTAGCTTTCTCTAGATGATAGAGGATGCGGGAATTGTGAGTACTTCTCTTATATCCATGACCTGATCGTGTGAAGAGCCGATAAGGCAACGCTCATACTCCGGCCAGAAGTAGATTTTGGTATACCTGTTCCAGCTGCGTCTCAGAAAAATGCTTCACAATCAAGAGAGGTTCCGTAGCTTTAAGTATGGATGGCAGCACGCACCTTGAGTTTGACTCTACGGAAAGACTGATAAGACCGATGCCATGACTGGTGGCGAACAAACCGGTGTCGAGGGTACGGTGTAGCAGCATGCTGCTCCCAGTATTCAGGGCGCATCCACAGCTCCCCAATAGAGCGGCGCAGTAGATAGATGGCAACTCATTTTCCTCCAAGGCTGGAGAAGTTGTCGACGCAGATCGAAGAGAGAATACAAAGCTTCGCCAACCAGGTTGCGGATATTGTCGCGAGAGTCAGCTCCTGGCGCTGATAGTTAAAGGGTTGACCTGCAATGTTTTCGTCCGTGGTGGGATCAATCACTTCATGAATCCAGGGTTCGCCGTAACCTCCCTTGACCCAGCCTCCGGCGCAGTCACTGTGAAGGAAACTGCCAGCTTACTCCCACGTTTGGATTTCTTGCAAGGCTGAATTCGAGCCAATGACTATTGATCTTTGCCACAGTCAGTTCGTCAAGGTTGCGCATCTTCGCCCACAGTCTCAGTCATTTGCACATCGATCCGCGCGACATTTTTGTCATTAGACGTCAGGCTTCTCGCCGAGTTCGCAGCAATGATTGTGATCTCAACTGGGCCGTGGTCTTCCATGTGCATTCTCGTCAAGGAATGGCTGAGGTTGGCTCCGAGAGGAACAGGATCACCACCGTCACGGGCGAGGAATCTTCTGGCTGAGAGCCTTGTGCTCACGACGCAGCCTAGAAGTTGTAAGCGCAATTCAAGCACTCAGGGAAGTCCAGGAGTAGCCGCTGAGGCCCTAAAGCATTGTTGGCAAGAGTCGACTCCCTGACTAGGCAAATAGAGCCTCATTGGTTGGTGAAATACTAATCCGTGCCGAGTTATAGACGTCATATACTTGTTGCGTCTGCCACTGCTCAAGGCACTGTAGCGCCTCAAAAGAAGTTGTTAACAGACGATTGCGGTCGTCTGTAAAGAACCTCTTGGCCTGGCTAAACACTCTCTCGAGTTCTGCGGACATTGCAGGTATTGAGAGAGTGTCCAAAGCCATCTGCCGAAGGCTAGGGTAGCTGCAAGACATCCACCACTGAAATAGGTTTTGGTTCTTCCATTCAGTCCAGGACTTACCTTCTACCCCACTATTCTCAACACCAAGTTCAGTTGCGTCGACGACCTCATTTTGACTCGTGAGAGCCTTTATTATTATTGCCTCAACCTTTTGTCGACGATGAGTACTGACTCTGATATGTTTCACAATATTATGAAACTTGCCAAAGGACTCTCTCCTGCGCCAAAGTTGCATCTCAGAGTATGCCGCAGATTGGTCTCGGGATGATAACACTATTACCTGTTCAGCCTCTGCGATAAACGCTTCATATTCCTTGCCGTATATGAAGGCCTTAGCGGCAAGATTGACAATATAACCAAAGCACCGACTGCGCCTCGCCGTCACAGGTTCGTCAGGACGAAGGCTCGCAACTAACGTCTTGCAGCAGGTATTGCAGTTGTCTGCGTTGTCCGCAATACATACGCCCCATTTCTGGGCGATTCCGTACGAATGCATCACTCCTTCGATAATTTCGGCCATAGCTGGTCCAGTATGGTGTCCTCGTATGAAATGAAGCGCCAGAAGAGGATGCTTAAGCTCATATACATGGTCTAAGAAATGCGCACAAATACCGAGCATAGGAGTCATTGACGGCGACGTCCAGATATCGAAACTGATATGAACATGTGACCGCGCCTGCGATATCGCCTCTCTCAGAATACCCTCAAGTCTTCGCCTCGATCGAGAACGCGTCCAAGCAGCATAAATGGCCAGTGCTACCAAGTGTACATTTCCCTAATCACTTCCTGCGTTGAACATGCGCATGTGCGGAACTTCCCCCGTCGAGGACGGTGCTGGTTCGGTCGACGACGATCGTCGCTGCCAGTGCATCGTAAACAGGTGTTCTGGAATGGCCAGGGTGTCCCCACCACTCTTGGATCGATTGACCCTGCTTCGCAAGACCAATGCTGTCAGGACAAGTATTGTCAGAGTACATGCCCTGGCATCTGTCGTCAGCACCACTCCATCACAAATCAGTGGAAGAGCTTACATGATGACCACGGATAGTCCGAGAATAGCGGGCCTCCCCGTACGACTGCTGTAATAGATTGCTGTTGCATCTAGACCTAGGGCAACCACGACCCAGGCGAGCGCCCATCGGAAGCTGTGCAGCTTGCAACCATCCAAGAATAAGGACCACCAGAGAAGGCCCAGCACCAAGTCGGTTCCGATCATATCAAGGACCCCAACCGCGATCAAATAGGCGTGTATCGAAGCCATCAAGCCTTTGGACAACCCGAGCGAATAGTTTGTCGTGCGACACATATTATCATTGCCATAGATCTGTGTCGCAAGAGCGTTGGAAATGGCTTCAAACGTGAAAGCTGTCTCGACATCCAGTGATCCATAAGGTATAGAAACGATGGCTCCACTGCACAAGGTTGGTAAACCGCGCGCCCAGAACTTGTGCAACTGTGTAACGAGGAGCAGCCTTGCAACGGTGCAGGCAAAGCTTAGAATCAGGGTCAGAGCCACCGAACCTAGCAGTGGATGGAAGAACACTGCGAAAAGCTCGCGAGGGTCCGCCTCAGGCTCAGGCTCAGGCTCGGGTTCGGGTTCAAGCTCAGGCTCCCGAGGTCGCGCTCTCCTTTCATCGGGTCGGACTGGGTGCTCCATGCTGAGCGAGGTAGGTCACTACAAGCCTTGAAGATAGCTCTTGAATGCTAACAGACGAACAGTTTACATCCCTAGTGAACTTGACGAAGAGTGGCAAGAATAGTGGGAAAGAGGTCGTCAGTAGATCACATCCCCAGTCGAAATCGTAACTGGGTCTGGAATCTACATGCAGCCAATCATCGAGCAATAATAATCAGGTTGTATCTTTTCAACTCAGCATGCAGGCTTGCATGAACACGTACGTGAGTACCATTGCCGGGGCGTTTCACTCTCTCCACTTCTGATTCTGACTAGCACGGTGCGAGCAAGTCTTGCACTTTTGCAGTCGTGCTCGCCACACGATTGGTCGTTGAGCGCTTCTCATGCCCCACACACACTTCAAGTTGATGTTCTTTCTTCTCGCGCCCTGCTTCCTCAAACCCGACGCCTTGTTGAGATGCGAGCCTCGATTATGACTGCCACGAAGATGGGCTGAGCATTAGTAACGAATTTGACTGGTGTGCTAGGTGTGCACGCTATTTCTCACTGGTGCCCCGAGTCTGCGAAGTGGGATGCGATTACGCGAGGACGACTCCTGGCGACCAGGCTGGAGTAGACGGGTCACAGCTGTGCCACAGGCTACTCGACTACTCCCTGATATCATCCTCCCGGTCGGTAGATGGTATACTCCTGATTCCAGACTTGATATGCAGTCCAACTGGAATGGTGCATGGAGAATCCCGAACCGATCAAACCAGCACTGATTTACCAACATCGGCATTCCGCCATCCTGGGCACCAGCCGGCCTGTTCAGCCTCGTCCCTCTAGCCAACAATCTAGCTTCCGTGGTCCAATACAGATCAAGGGCTTCCTTCGATCTCCTAACATTACCATCAGATCAACCGAAGCCCTCTCGCCATGCGACGGACATTCGGCCTGTTTCAGAGAGTGGCGCGATCAGTGAACGGTCAAGCCGAGACTGGGCAGAATTCTTTCACCTACACACCATTACACGAAGCTGATGAGATCAGACTGCTGTATCTTGCGCCACGGAATGTACCGAGTAGTAGTGTTCGCGACGCAATCCAGCATGTCTTTCTCTCCACAGCCCCCTTGTATACAGCCGTTTCATGGATGTGGGGGGCCCTTAGCGATCTGGTCGAATTTCAGGTCGATGGTCAGACAATAATGATCCCGCAGAACTTGTTGAGGGTCATTGAGCAGTTGCGAGCGGAGTCTCAGCCCCGTCGGATTTGGATTGACGCCATCTGTATCGATCAGAAGAGCCTGCAGGAGCGCAATCACCAAGTGCAGATGATGGGACAAATCTACAGAAACGCCAATTACGTCGTCGCTTGTCTCACTGCTAAAGGATCAAGCGACCGCAGACGGCTCAAGCGTGAGGCCGAGCAGCTGCACAAGCTACTGCAAGAAGGGAGGCACTCGACGGACACCAGCCGATACCGCCACTTCTTCGGCAACCAGTATTTCACCCGCCGTTGGATTATTCAGGAAGTCGCTCAAGCCCAGCAGGTCAAATTCTGCTGCGAAGGCTATTTGTTGCCGATGGACATCCTTCGGGATGCCATCAACGACTCTATACTGAAGGCGAAGGGCAACAAAACGGAAGGTTACGCATATTTCTCCGAAGCGCAGCTCGTCGCAGAAAGGCGCGCTATACAGCTGTGCTCCACTGATTCTCGCAGTCCGACGTCAGCTATGTCTCTCGAAGCTCTACTATATCGACACGAAGCAGCCCAGTGTCGGGATTTTCACGACAAAGTATATGCGTTGATTTCCCTGAGCCAGGAAGCTCAGGCGCATCTAATCGTGCAGTATGACATCGATCAGGCAACGCTTATGTTGAAGGTACTGGAGTTTTGCTACAGATATGAAAAGCTCTCAAATTTCAGGATCTTGAGCTTCATGTCCTTTCTACGACAACATCTTGAGGTGGGGATAGGCGTTTTACGCAGCAGGAGCTTCGGTCCGCAATCACCAGTTATCACGACAGAGTTCGTTGTCCGCGGCACCGTTCGCGGCAGGATTAGCGAACTCGCTCCAGGCCGTGGTGCAGAAGATGCAGCTTTGGGAGTTCGCAACAAGCTCCCGACACTATTATTGCGTCATGGTTTGCTGATCAAAAAGCAAGGACATTTTATGACTCTCGAAGACGCAGACGCCTCAGCAGATACGAACAATCATACAGTGATGGAAGTTTCTGGATTAGATCAGTGTCTCTTCTCATTTACCGGCAGCAACCACCGAGATCGACCTTTGAACGCTGTCGATGATGACGATTCTGCACATACACTGTCTCCGGATCCCCCTGGATATTCATTAACTCAAGAACCCCTTCTCGTTGGATTTGCCTCCACTAGAGTCCGCATTGGTGACGAAATCTGGCAATTCGATCGCACACCCGTTGCCATAATTGCACGGAAGACGCCCCCTGGCTTCAGCTTGGCGGGTCGAGCTATCCTCCTCCGTGATCCTGGGGCAGCGAATATGGAAGGTCATCAGTGGCATTTGGAGGACGAGATCGCGTGGATCAAAGACGGGACGAAATATCCACAGTCCACACCGGTCATCAAGGTTGATCTTCGAGGGCTGTATAAGCTAATGAGTTGGGTTAATTTAGACTTGTGAGGCACTGTGCAGGGACTATATTCTAGACCTCGGAAGGCACTGCGTTTGGACAGAACTTGAAGTACACGTGTGTAAAGTGGATGGTTGCCCGGTCCAGAAGCTCTGCAGACCGTGTGCAATCTCGCAGCGCCCGACTGCAGTCGTCTCAAGAAGGAGGCGTCAAGCAAGGCAGACATTGTCTCGAGACAAGGCAGATACTTCGTAGGACAGGCTCCACTGAGTGCTCATTATTGGCTAGTAGATGTCAAGCAGGCAAGTCCTATGGAACGAAAAAGCAACGCTTCATTTGACGCCCAAGTGCATCAGGCTGTGTGTGTATCCTCTCATTTTCAGCCTGATCACAGCAGCTCATAAAATTGCTTCGACCCCGGCAAGTCTCAATCATGACCTTATTGCACGAGAGCTAATTTGTTCACAAGCGCGAAGGCGAGCAAGGGATCAACAGCATGGGTTGGACGGTGGTGACGGAAACCGATACCTCGACATCGACATTGATAAAGACACTGACATCGACATCGACATACTTATTGACAACAACATCGACGACAAGCGTGCCATTACCCGTAGCCGGGTACATGCCTCTGACGGCGGAGGCCTTGACAACGGCGAGTCCTCCACATGGCTCAGCACAAAGCCCAGAGCTAATACCGACGGCAGGATGGAGACACAACCGTCTTCGCCGCCAGCGACTGTTCGTCAGCCGCCAGTACATGCGTCTTCGCCGACCCTATCACCTTCACCGCTGCTCCTTCTACCTACATGTTCAGTGGTAAAGGCCACTGGTGGGTAAATCCCACGATCCACTCGAGCAGAACACAGATACTGATAATATCTTGCTAGGAACATTCTCGGCCAGCTCGACTGCGCCATTGACGGGGCACATACTTATGCACAATGTGCGTGGACGATGGGATCTTACCCTTCGACCGAGATGGCAAATCTCGCCAACAGCTGGGTCACGACCTCTGCTGCGAGCAGTGTGACGATCTCGCCGACGATTTACGCTGAAGGTGATGGTGTTTCTAGCTCGGGTTTTGTGGGTGTGGCATACACTTCGAAGTACCTTATCACAAACTATACCACGAGCCATGTCACGAGCTATTCCACGTACTATGTCACGAATTATATGACGACGTGGGTTGATGGTGGCGCGACAATATGTGCTGGACTGAGCTCCATACGAGCTTCTATAGTTGCCGTCATTGCGGTTCTGTTGATAATAACACTGTTGTAGCAAGAGTAGAAGGCACAGTGTATGATAGGAAGCAACTTCCGGCCGTCGCATTTGATTATGGGGAATACCAGGGTCTAGGCAAGAGAAGGCGTTCAGAGATATACGATCCACTGGAACCAGAATATATATCACCCATTTTGTGGACAGTATGAGCAGTTCAGATGGAATTGATTCATGTGTCTGTCTGGATGCTCAGATTTGAGCATTGAGCTGTGTTTATATACACAATAGCCGTGGCCAAAGCCAGTCGGTCAAACTCTGGAAACTGCCTTGAATGCTGCTGCCTGCGGGTGCCTGCTGGTGCCTATTGCGCCCCGAGGGCCAAAATCCAAATGCCGCAAGGCTGCGCAAGGCTGAAGTTCTGTATAGTCCTTCTCGGTGTTGGAGTGCTGACGTGAGTTGCTGTGGCGTTCAACACGATGGCTTCATAGCCTCGCGGCAGCCGCTCCTGAGCTACAGTAAGTCGACGACGGTCCCATTACTTCCCTTTGTCTACCGAATTCGTTCTGCTCCGACTACATCGACAACGAAGGGTCTTCGGGCCCGAGTATGCTTCCCTCGCCATTACCGGCAGTTCCATTGAGCTCTACGTCTCGCTAACACATCTTGTGTGTGCCTCTCTAGCAATCCGAGACCCAATCCCTCACCCGCGTCAACGTGGGCGACGCCGTACTGCCCAGCGGCGGGTTGGACTCGGAGTAGCAAAGGCGTTGTGATTTCAACGCTCTTCCGGTTTGGTTCCTGCTCCGGTTTAGTATCACATCCTCTTCAATCCAACTGTATCCGGTCTTCTGCATATTGACTCTACTGATTTGTCTAGCCCTGCTCAAGCATTCGATATTGTCTATGTAGGGACGATGACAAGAGGCAGCAAAGATGCTTTGGCAGATGGGGAACGTGCAGCTTCATCCCCCACTGCGAGCGAGTTCCATAGCCTCATCAGATCTATACGAAAAAAAAGTGAATGGACCAAAAGCCTGGAAATTTTGCAAGGTCAGTCTGATTCGACCACCTAGACAATTTTCAAACAGGGCTATGTGCAGCTGGTTACTATACATATCTACACAACTTGCCATGCCACCATGTTCCTGAGGAGGTTCCGCGGGCCCCAGATCTCCCGTGTCATGAACCGTTGGACCTCCACCTCGTCGGCATCACGACCAATTTCATGCACGTTCTCGGCCCGTATCTCGGGCTTCCCGGTGCCGTCTTTCTCCGTCACAGAATGCTTCTCGTCTAGCAGAATCCTCTCCTGCCTTCGCTCCCTTTCACTCGCCACTCGGGCCTTCCATTTCAACTCGCCAACCTTCCATCCTCTGACCACCCATAAACACAGTCCCGCACCAATGTACATGAAGGCCGTGAATATCTGGGGCGGGAGGTATATCCAGCTATCCGTGTTCTTTCGTCGAAGTTCCAAAGCGATTGCCTCTGCACACGTCGTGGGTGGCACCATGACTAGCCACGTTAGCGACAACCCAGCAGGCAAATCCTGGAGGCCCAGGACCTCGGCGCCGACTGGGGCAATGGTCGTCCAGAAAGTCCCCGCTAGAGCACCGCCAACGATAGCGAAGAAACATAACAGACCCATAGGAGACGACACTGTCTCGGCAGGGATCCAGAATGCGAAGCAGAAAACGCCACACAGGAAACTGAGGAATGTGGCGAGGTTGATGCGACCCCAGCGATCAGAAGATAGACCGATGAACGGCCGCCCGAGCATTTGGCCCAGGTTCAAGATTGCCCCCAGAACCGAGCCTTGTTTTGCACTCAGGCCGATGGATCGCGCGTAGGCGGGCAATGAGAAGAGCAGGATTGTGTAACCGAACATGCTGAACCACGACCAGCCTTGGACGAGCAGGAATTCAGGTTTGCGAAGGATCATGGTGTCAAATCCCTTGTGGCGAGATCCGGTTTGTTTGTTGCGGTCACGGATGAGGTTTGACGCTGTCAAATTGACCGCGAAGGAACAGATTCCCAGGATGCGAAATGCCCAAGGGAGGCCCATTGTATCAATGATCCGCTGAGTGACAAGGGAATACATCAAGCCACCGAGTCCGGAACCCGCGGCCGCGATCGAATTTGCCACGCTGCGTTTCGTGGTGAACCATTGAGCTATGATACCGACAGAACCCACAAACAAAAATCCCATGCCCCAGCCAAAGCAGAATCCCTGGGCCAGGATGATCTGGTATTTCTGCGTGGCAAAGCTAGCGCCAATGAGGGAGAGTGTTTCAAAAAAGACGCCCAGGTGGAGGCATACTTTGGAGCCGTAGAGGTGGATGATACGTGTGGCTAGAGGCGCGATGAGCATGGCCTGGGAGATGGACAGGCCGCCGATAAAAGCGTATGCCAGCGCGGAGGTATTGGGGAAATAGTTGTGATTAAGATAATAGGAGAGAAAGACGCCATATGAGGAGTTGATCCCCCAGGTGTGTCCTGTATGCCAATTTGTTAGTGATTGGTGGCAAGTTGAGATGGTTCGAGGCGATAAAATGCTTCGACCCCGGATTGCGTGACGGTGCTAATCTCCAGATCTCCCGTTCTTGATACTTAGCCGCATACCCCAGATTCGATCTCGAGATTGGATTCGACCAGTACACAGAGATTCAAAAGTCGCAAATTGGGGACATTAACTAAAGAAAAAAGCTATCCTCACCATTGATGAAGAAATTGCAGGCCACGCATACCCAGCCATATCCGCCGTCTGGAGGGGAGTCGTCTAACTTCGGCAGAGTGGAAGGGCTCTCCTCAATGTCGACCGTCTTCTCGGATTCATTGTCATGACGCGGGTGAATCTCTTGAGGAGTGCTGCGAGGTTCAGCGACATCAATGGGCGCCGTATCTGCCATCTTCCTTCTCCTTTACCCAGAAACATAGAAAGGAAAAGTAGAGACACAGGGAAAGGGAATTAGGAGCAGGGTCAGGCGAGGAATCGTCACTTTTTACAGGGCACTGGCAAAATTCTGAAGGAATCCATCGAATAAACCTGTCCACCGAGCCATGTCCGGGGCATTTGCCGGCCACGAGAGGGGGGTTTTGAGATCTCGGTCATAGGCCGTGGTGCCGCCTGTGCGAGATGCGACGTCGGGCTTGACTAATAGAATCGATGATTGGGTGGAGGAGGGATTGCCATGTACAGAACACGCCTTTGGGGAGCATCGGATGTACGCAGGACGGAGTAGTCCGTACAGCGGGAGGACGATCGCAGGGAGACATGGCGGTCACAAGTACCTAGGCAGTTGTGGCAGTCCAACATCGTGCGGAGAGTGAAGCGGAGATGGAGGACCTGAGCATGCCGCTTCTTCCGACCAAGATGGAGATGGAGATGGAGATGGAGGTTGATGCTGTAGCTGAAGTTGTTCTCTTTCACATAGGTGTGCGCAGGCGCGGTCGTCTGGCCAAGGCAGTGCACACTCGACGAGCACCCGTCGTCATGTTGTTACCACTCACATTGGGGTGAGAAATGAAGCAGAGAAGGAATCCAACAGCGTGAGATGGGCAGACGGTGTTTTGTACCTCGTAGTGATGGCCATGGCTGACGGCTGATGGCTGATGGCTGATGGCTAATGGCCTAAATGCCTGAGCGCCTGGGATGCTGATGCCCAGCGCAGGTGGAGCCTGATCTGCGGTTGGTTGTCGTCTCAACCACGCAGCCCAAACAAAAAAACCACTGCGGTCAGAGTGTCAATCGCACTGCCCGATGACCGTCTCAACACACTATCGCACCATCTATTGCTTTCGTCGCCGTAGTTCATCTTCTCTGCGCATTTTAATGTCTCCTGTGCTGATCAAGTCCTCATTTTGGTTATATTTTGACTTGCGCCTTGCCTGATATCGCTGTCTTGCGTGATAGTACAGGTGCAAAGTTGGGCGTCAAGATCCCTACGCCGGTTGATTTGGTGCATATGCGGTGAACCCATCTCAGTTCGAAATTCAACAAGATACACAAAAATGTTTCACAAAAGAAACAGCCTGAGCGGCAGAAAAGTCTCTCCGCCCCAACCTACATGCATGACTGCTGAACAGAAATGTAGGTGTCACTTTGGACTTCACCCATTCCCTGCTGCCGTTGTTCTTCACACCCAAGAAGATGCCTCCGCGAGAACCTACGTTTAAATCCAAGTACTCACATAAACTCCCAGCTACCTATCTCGACGATCTCAGAAACAATCGTCCCACTAGACCAACCGGATCCAGGCCCGCGCCTTTTCCCTCCCGGAATTATGGCTCCCTGACGTCGCAGTCTTCGTTGGCACGGTCCGACTCAGCTCCCACGACGACTGGCTCAAAGCATGGAGATATTCTGGATGATGTTGAAAATGACCCTCCAACGGTACAAAAGTCGTATTCTTTCTCTTCCACCTCCAAAGGCCGACCTCTCGCACAACCCCCAACCGGTGACCGACCGATCTTGAACGGAAGGAAGGTTTCTCCGACTGCTACTGTCCAGGTCCCGTCAATTGCACAAGAAGGAGTCTATGTCGAGTCGGTCACGCGGAGGCTAGAAAAAGAGGAGGCACACAGTATACGGGAAGCGTTGGAGCTCATCGACCAAAAGGATGAAGAACGACGGATTTACGATGCTGCCAAAGACGAAGCTGCCGAACTGGTCTGGAAGCATCAATACCCCAAGGCCGCCGAAGAGGAAAAAGTGGCTCCATATCGAAACCCAGACTTGAAGGCTAAGGAGAGACGACAGAACAGTGGAAACCGTCAAATCAGTGGTTCCAGGAAAGTCTCGTTTCCGACTCCGAACAACAAGATATACGAAGAACCAGAACCCGAGGAGGAGCTTCCAAGGACGTCCATTCCGCCGCCCAGTGCAGACCTACCTTTGAGGGCTAAATCACGCAACAAACTCCCCTGGTTGAGAACGAAAAGTCCAGACACGGTGGAGGATCCTGCCCAAATCCCCCAGGCTAAGAAGTTCGATCGCTTCGAGATTCACAGAAATCCACCCACCCAGTCACGTAAGGCCGACTACACCGAGAACACACCTCCGCGGGCACCTGCCATCGATGTGATTGAGGAAGTTGACACACCCAACTCCACCAGTACTTTGGAGATTCGGAGTGAAGAAATCCGAGCAGCAACAAGTATGAAGAGGAAGGACCGGAGTCCTAATCTTCCCACGCCTACCGCTGTCAGTGACCAACTTGGGCGACCCATTGTCAGCTTCGATCCGACATGGAAACGCCCCAGTGACTCACCGAGAACAAGTGAAGACGTCGAAATACCGGTCGTGAAGGTAACCGAATCACCTGCAGTACGACCATTGCCGAAGCCAGCGCCCACTATACCAGAAGTCTCGGTATCTGCTCCTGCCATACCTACGATCAATGCCCCGGACGACGGGCCTGTGATCCCGGTTATCAATGTCCAGGAAAACGACGCGCCTCCGACTGTACCGGCAATTAACTTCCCAGGTGAATCACATCCTGCCCCAACAGCCTCCAGACCGTTACCAAAGCACTCATCCTCCGCACCGACGAAATCCAGCAGCACCGTGGTGAAGACGCCCTCACAGCGCCTTCCTTGGCTTTCATCTCGACAATCTATGCCCACAGTGTCTTGTTCGAGCTGTGCGCTCCCCATCTCTGGCCGCATCGTGACGGCCTCGGGCTCTAATGCCCGCGATCTCAAAGCCCGCTTCCACCCTGAATGCTTCACTTGTCACCACTGTGCCACTCCCCTCGAATGCGTGTCCTTCTACCCCGAGCCAGACTCCTCACGCCTGTCGCGCCTCGGCATCTCCTCTACTTCCGACGCCGATCCCACCAACCCTCCCGCTCTCACGCCAGATCAACTTGCGCTTCTCGAGAACGACCCCCTGAGGTTCTTCTGCCACCTGGACTTCCACGAGTTCTTCTCTCCCCGCTGCCGGAGCTGCAAAACCCCCATTGAAGGAGAAATCGTGATCGCGTGCGGTCACAGCTACCACGTCGACCACTTTTTCTGTGCGGAATGCGGAGACCCCTTTTCGTCCACCACGCCCTTCGTGGAAGGGAATGACGGATACGCCTACTGTGTGCGGTGCCACACGAAACGCACATCCGCCCGGTGCCGCGGCTGTAAACTACCCATCCTGGACGAAATCACGGTGGAGGCGTTGGGCGGGAAGTGGCACGGGAACTGCTTCGTGTGTTGCGAGTGCGGTGGTGGATTCGGCGACGAGGGCAGATTCTTCGTCAGAGAGGTGCATGTGGAGCCGACGGACAAGGAGAAGAGGAAAGGCATTACTAGGAAAGTAGAAGAACGCGCGGTTTGTGGAGAGTGCGAAGAGAGGAGGCTGAAAGCTTGAGCGGATTTGGTATGGTCGGCCTAGAAAAGAGGACGGAGGACCGTGGACCGGGGCTGGTATGGCGCGATGGAGGGCGAGGGTCTCACTTCCTGGAGTCCCGGCATGGATCTCGATGAAGGGGGAAAATAGGTATCGCGGGCGTTCAAGGATGGGATGGGAATGCATGGTAGGTATGCGATGCTTCTACGCTTCTACGCTTCTACCCTGGACGACGTACGGGAATGCGGATCGGAGTTTGTGACTGGATTCTTTCTTCCCGAGCTCTCTACTGCGCATATTGTAGAATCTATCGCATCAGAGCCAGTAAAAAGGAACAGAAGGGAGTCGGCCAGCTCGCTCCTAGCTTGTATCTCCGCCACTCCTTCTCCGCCAATTGGTCCGAAACGCTAAAGATGAAAGTGATGATTTGTATCATTGAGTTCTAGAGCAATAATGGGGGGGTTGCATATGGTCTTCTGTCCGAAGCATCCATCGATCACGACGATCCATGGCATCAACCTCAACAGCAGCCTGGTACTGTGGCATTCCGCTCCGAGCCACCAAGCAGGCAAATCCATATTCAATCCACGAGGCTGTAATGTGCCCAGCTTGCCTTCTCTGGATCTGTCTCCCACTCCCCCACGTCGTCGTCATTCTTGAGAGCGTACATGTCCACGGCCGTTCGATCCCATCACCATAGCTTCGTTCGCATTAACCTTCCCACCCCCCCCCCCCGGGAGCGAGATTCAGTTGTCCATCCCCCACAGGTCATTCCAGCCTTTTCTCCTTCTTCCTCCCAAACAAAAATGGTCTTTGTCTTCATCTGAACTCCCATACTCCTCGCTTGGGCAATCGCTGCGTGTCGAATGACTTTTTGTCCAATCCAATTCAACGCCAGCCCTTCGTTGAACCCCGGAAAATCAAGGACTGAAAAAGATTGTGCCAGCCTCACCCCGAAAGCAGATTAGACGATTGTCCTGCTAAATTCGCTGGTCCACTTCCTCTTCCCACGGTCATCCGGAACTTGTCTTCATCCATCTTCAATGGGGTTGCAGAGTATCTTCCGTGTGCGATACCGTTGACCCTACCGACCGACTCCGTTGATATAAGTATAACTTGTTTAGCAATATTTTCTTTTCGAAGTAAATGCGTTTCCCATATGTGTTTCCCCTTGTAAATGTAAGATGCAAACCCAGTCAAGTAGGTCGAATATTTCTTTTGATACTCATATCTGCGTATCTTACAGCCGTGAACGCACCACCTATCTGGGCATCCTCACGAAAACCTCCGCTTCCTAACGCGGAGGTGAAGTCTGATAGCTCCCGTTCGTCGCTCGACCGTCGACGTTACTAGATTCGTCGTTGGGTGAACCTTCGCCTGCAAGCTTATTGTCCGACGCAACGATCTTGCCGTGGATGTTTTGAAGCTCTTTACCTTTGATGCCCTTGTTGGGCCAATATGTGGCGGCGTAGTCCCTGTGATGTGTTAGCAAGACCCATGCAGGACGTTCATCGACAACACTCACCAGAAGCGCTTCTCCACAGACTCTTGGTTGTCGTCGAGTTCCGCAACTTGGTCGGTGATGAAATTTCCGATCTGCTTGAGTAGGACTCGCAACTCGTTAGCTCGGGTCTGCCCGTCCGGTATTGCGCCCTTTGTTGTGGCTTTGATCTTCCTCAAGCTTTCCCTGACAGGCTTGAACAACATGTCCAAGAGAGGATCCACTTCGGACGAAGCGGCGTTGGCCGGATTTTCAATTCGTCGGTGATCACTGCCGTGCCGATGGTGAGAGCTGTGAGCATGTTCATCACGGTGTCTGCGCTCTTTATGTTCTCTGCCTTCACTGTCATGCTTGACATGGCCGTGACGACCCTCAGATTTCGGGGTCCCATATCTTTCAGAGCTCTCGCGATGAGTCTGGCTGACTGCTCTGTGTCGAGGTTTCTCAGAATCGCGATGTCCTTTGCGATTCACAATGGAAGCGGGAGACCCGGCAGATTTCTCGGCGTGAAATTTCTTGTTGTTGCGGTGGTGGTTTTCCACAGCTCGCCTGGCTGCTGGGTCGTCTGCATACTTGCTCTTTAGGACGGAAATTAGATAATCGGCGCGGCGAACAAGGTGGACTGCACCAGGGGATTTGGCGTTCTTATCATCCATCCTCTCGCGTTCTGCTTTCTTATCGACTCGATGCTCTTCCAGGAAGAATTTGTCTTTCAAGCCAAGGTCGGGATCGTCACGGATCTTTTCCCAAGCACCATAGCCATGTCGAGCAATACCTACACACAGCATACCATCTTCTCTCGCCCCCCAGGGGCAAGAATATCCCGCAGCTTTGGTCGCTTCTGGGATGCGGAATGATTTGTAGTCGGCCTCCTTTGACGTGACATCTCGGAGGAGACGCATCTCTCCAGGCCGTTCAAGAATAGTCTCAGCATTGATTCTTTTGACGCCGTGTAACTCGAACAAGACTGCTTTCTTGTCCTTTTTGGTGATTGGCCGGCTCGATGTCCGTTCAAGGTCCGCCATTCGTCGTTGCTCTTCTTTGAACAGCTCCTCCGACTTGTCCCAGACTTCTTTCATCGCGGCCTTGACAACGGAGAGGTCTCTACCGCGGAGACGAGCTTCTGCCAAAAACTCTTCTTGACGGTCGTCAATGGAGCCGTAGCGGAGATGGCCTTTGATGAGATATCGATATTCACGCTCACTCAATGGACGCGACGGATCTGCCTTCGGACCTTCATCGGATTCGCTCTCTGATTCGACGTCTTTGTGGCGTTGCTCATGGCGTCGAGCTTTGCGCGCCTCACGATCCTCCACCTGGTGATTCCTACTTCGAGGCTTGTTTTGTTCAATGACTTCCGCCAGAAACTTTTCGTCGGCCTTTCGCTGCTCCTCTTTCTTGATCTCCTCTAACTGTGCCTTGGGAATGATGTCGTCCCAAGAAAGTTCATCGACCTTGACGTCGACAAAGTCGAAGCTTCGAAGGAACTCTTCTCCACCGTCAGCGTCGGTGCCATCCGGTTGTTCAACTTTGTAGTCTTCGGCGTTATTGAGCACTGCATCTAGATCCAGCTCCTCGAGCTTCTTCTGGTTGTCAGTTTGCTCAAACATCTTCTGACCGCGTTTCTTGAGAATTCTTGAGATCTCACTAGAACTACCTGGTTCCCCAACCAAGGCGTTCCGGCGAGCCTGTGTCTCCTTGTCGGTGACACCACGTTGTATGGTCAAGAATTCAAGCATCAATTTGTTTCTAGCACGCTCGAGGATTTCTTCCTCGATAGTCTCCTTGGATACCAAGCGGTACACACTTACTGGTCGGACTTGACCAATGCGGTGAGCTCGAGCCATTGCTTGCAGATCCGCCTGAGGGTTCCAGTCAGAGTCAAAGATGATGACCGTGTCGGCGGTCATCAGGTTGATCCCGAGACCACCGGCGCGGGTCGAGAGCAGGAAGCAGAAATCGGTGCTGTCCGGAGCATTGAAATGATCAATGGCTATGCGGCGAGGGCCTGCAGCGATAGTGCCGTCGAGACGTTGGTAGGCATGCCCTCGGTAATCCATATAGTCTCCGAGGATATCAAGCATCCTGACCATCTGGCTGAAGATCAAGACACGGTGGCCGTCACGTTTGAGCTTTGTGAGAAGTTGGTCGAGAAGCATCATCTTGCCACTGCTGGTGACCAAGGCTCGCAACACTTCCTCACGTCGAGCACCTTCCGGAACAAGGCGTTCCTCGGCAGTGGGAAACATGAATGGATGATTGCTGGCCTTCTTCAGCTCCATCATAATGTTTAGAAGCGATTGTTTCTGTCCTTTGGCACCTTGGTTGAGGGCGGCATAGTTCTTGGTCAGAATATTTTTATAATATTCAAGCTGGATGTCGGACAGTTCAACGCGAATGATCTTTTCGGTCTTTGGCGGCAGGTCTTTCTCCACTTTCTGCTTGGTCCTCCGAAGCATGTATGGCTTGATGTCCTCGGTGAGTTTGGCTATTTTAGCACTTGCTTCCTCGTTGGTCAGGTCCATGTTCTCATCGATGTTGACCACACCAGGGTTCAAAAAGTCGAATAAGGCAGAAAGTTCCCCAAGATTATTCTGGACAGGAGTACCGGTAATTAGTAGTCGAGCTGGGGCTTTGAACTCTCGTAATCGGTCGTACAGCTGAGAATCACGATTCTTCAGACGGTGGGCTTCATCCACAGCCATAAACTGCCATTTAATCTGACTCAAGAACGGCGCATCTTGCAACACATACTCGTAGGTTGTGAGGAGAACGTGGAAGCGCGGATGGCGAAAGTTTCCATCGGGTAATAACTCGTAGTCTTTGATGATATTCCTAGCCGTCTGATTGCCGTTGTAGACCACGTAGTTGATATCAGGCGTCCAGAGATCGAAAGTTTCTGCCCAGGCCGGCATAGTGGACAGAGGAACGGTGACAAGGAAAGGCCCCTGCTGACCGCGATCGTGTCTAAGCCAACTCAGGAATGCAACAGTTTGGACGGTCTTGCCGAGACCCATCTCGTCGGCGAGGACAACATTCTTGCCTTTGACCCAGTTGTATGCGAGAAAATTCAAGCCGGTCATCTGGAAATCTCTGAGTGTGCCGCCTTTGATGTAGGATGGCTGATCTCGGACTGGTTGAAACGGGGAACGAGTCGAGGGGTTGCTCTCAGTTGGGTTGGACTTGAACTCTTCTCGCCTGCGGTTGATATATCTGTCGATCTCGGTCTGTGCAATCTGACTGATCAGGGTTGATGCTTCCCAGGTAGCTTGGTCATAGAAGAGGCCTTTCCACTTGACGTAGTATTCAGTAGTACCTTCTTCGCCATCGCGGTCTCCAATGACCCTTTCGACCTTCTTGTAGTCATCGAGGGCATCGATGTATTGTTCACGGTCCAGGATCCACTTCTCTTTATCTTCTGGCGCGATGTTGGGGTCGGTCTGGATGCGAATATCCTCCATTAAGGTCTTCTTGATGTAGTTTTCCAAACGCCGGACGCTCCGGACGCCAGCAAGTGACTCAATCGTCTCCCAGGTAGCGTGGTAGTACGCCTTTTGCTGCCATTTGATGAGATACTCGTACTCGTCCCTCGAGTGCGTCGGCGTGGTAACATCAGCCTTGAGACGATGGTTCAAGACAATGTCAATGGCGGGCGAGTTGTCCTCCTGACCGTTTACCCAGTAGTTGGGTGTCATTGTCTCGGGGTCATCCTCTTCGAACATGTCGTCGTCGTCGTCCTCGTTGTACGTGGATACTTTGGCAGCTCGACGAGTGGAGAAACGGATTTCAGCGTGTTGAGGTGTCAGGCTCTCGGCAGACTGCAACAACCGTCGACGCTGCTTCTTGGACAGCTTTGCGCGTCGACCGCCATAAGCATCGGAATCGTCGTCAGAATCGGAGGGAGACTCGACTATAGGGGTAGGCTGCTTTGACGAGCGTTGAGAGATGTGGCGCGGCCGCTTCCGGGGAGGAGCAACAACGTCCGAGTCCGAGTCATGCTCCTCAGAGGATTCTGCCATATTGGGAACGTGTCGAGCCCTTCCGCTCCGTCTCAGACCATACATTTCTGGGTTATTCCGAATGTAGTCATCTTCTTCGAGTGGATGTGCCTTCCTCTTCGCAGGTCTAATGGAATCATCCGAGGAAGAATGGCCCTCTTCCACTGGTGCACCGTTTACCCGCATGGAGACATCCATCTCATAATCAGCATCACCTTCAGCATCAGGTTCATCTGAGCTGGGTTCGTCATGATCGGGCATGTGTTCATCGTAATCCTCGTTGTCGGCATGTGACGACGAGGGTCCGGCAGCAGCAGGCTCCGCGGGCTCCGACAGTTCGCTCTCACTGTCAGAGTATTTGGCGCCGTTCTGCATGAGGGTGTCGGGCGGTGACGGAGGAGGTTCAGAAGTTGGTGAGGGTTGGGATATTGAGGGAGGTTGCGGATCGGCGAGGGCACCGGAGGCTGTAAGAAAGAGAGCGTCAGCAAGGTCGGGCACACGGAGGAGACCGGTCCTAAAACAACCGCGGGACCAGGTGATTTGGGCTCCCGCGATTCAGAAAAGCTTCAAGAAGGTAACGTAGAGTGTTTGTGAGATGAACAATGGGCAATATAAGATGGATTCGATGAAGTTGGAGGACGACGAGATGATTTAGGTTGTGTAAAAGTCGGGTGACTCTTGCGCGGCTTTCCCTGCCGAATCTCGGCCAAAGACGGTCCTGGAGAGCACAGCAGAACAGAGTATGGCATTTCCGACAAGTTGCAAGATTTCTTCAACCGAGATGTGTTGTACTTGACTGGGGAGCGCTGAGCTTGAAGACGAGGCCGAGCAGCCGCCGATCACAGGAACGGGGACCCGAGTCTGGAAATGGAACGAGCAAAACCAGCGCGACAACGGGATGACTTACACTCCATCATCAGAGGACAGAGCCCATCAGGCACCTGAAGATCGCTTGAGGTCGGACTAGAGCGTGTATATAGAAGTGGTCTGGAAGAGTGGTGTGGGTGTGGATGGAGAGAAATATGGGCTCACACGAGACGAGAGAGGGACGAGGCTTTGGGGTAAAAAGTAAGAGGAAGTGCAAGCGCAGTTTGACAGGGCAAGCGGCAGGGAAGGACCTGCTCCATACCGAGCCAGCCAGCCAGTTAGCGAGAAAGCGAGTTAGGTTTAGGGAGGACCTGCTCGCCGCCTGAACCGCCCAGCTCACCAGACGCCGGGAGGGTCTGGTTGGGCATTGGTTTGGGCTGGTTTGGGCAGGTTAGGCGGGACATGGGCGCCTGGCCCAATCACGCGCCTAGGAATTTTGATTTTTTGGCCGGCCACTGACTGTTGTGTGTCATTCACGCAGGCCCCGTCGAGGACCATTTCTGCCCGTCCACAATTCACAGCCCTCATTCAATTCACTCTCTCACCGCACTCTCAATCAACCACAATAGCCACCTGGCAGGTCAGTTGGCTGCTGCTATTGTTGGCGGTGACCCATTTACGCAAATTTTCCCAATTTCCCTTGTTCAAACTTCTCTTCTTCCCACAGCGTCGTTTCTTTCAGCCATCTGCAACTAGTTCCTCCACCATCGGTCCCCCTCAACTCGAGCCACAATGGCGGACAAATTGACGAGGTATGTTCTCATTCAGTGGTATCCCGACGGCTAAGGGCTGATTGAGTGTCCCAGAATTGCAATTGTCAATAGCGACAAGGTAGGGAGAGCCTCTACTCGCCTCTACTTCACCGTTTGTATGTTGGCTAACAATTGAAAATCTGCCCCGCAGTGCAAGCCAAAGGTGAGCCAAACACCCACCAACACCCAAATTCTGTAGATACCAAGGGCTGACCCTGTCACCAGAAATGCCGTCAAGAATGCAAGAAATCATGCCCTGTTGTCCGAACCGGCAAACTGTGCATCGAAGTCACCCCCGAGTCCAAAATCGCATACATCTCGGAAATGCTGTGCATCGGCTGCGGTATCTGCCCCAAGAAATGCCCGTTTGGTGCCATTCATATCATCAATCTGCCAACAAATCTTGAAACCCAAGTCACCCACCGATATTCGGCAAACAGCTTCAAGTTGCACAGACTGCCTATGCCACGGCCTGGTCAGGTTTTGGGATTGGTGGGGACAAACGGTATCGGAAAGAGTACAGCCTTGAAGATTCTCAGTGGCAAGTTGAAACCCAACTTGGGGCGATATGACAACCCACCGGATTGGGAAGAGATCCTGAGATACTTCCGTGGATCTGAATTGCAGAGTGAGCAACACCACGAGCTCTGTTTGAAGGCGGACTTCTAACCCGGGCCACCAGACTACTTCACAAAAGTACTCGAAGACAATCTCAAAGCCATCGTCAAGCCACAATATGTGGATCAACTCCCACGCGCCATCAAGGGCCCAGTGAAGACAGTCAAGCCGCTCATTGAAGCCAAGTCCGAATTGGGCAATCTCAACCACATCATGGATGTGCTCGGTGAGTGACGAGGTCATGTCACAAGCGAGAAGAAGACAAGGACTAACTACTCTTGCAGAGCTGAATGCTGTTTCCGACCGAGAGATTGGTCTTCTCTCTGGTGGAGAGTTGCAGCGGTTTGCTATTGCCCTCGTTTGCGTCCAAAAGGCGGATGTCTACATGTTTGATGAACCCTCGTCATACCTTGATGTCAAACAACGTCTCAGCGCCGCCAGGACCATTCGCGAACTGCTCAGACCCGATGACTATGTTATTGTCGTCGAACACGATCTGTCAGTCCTTGACTATCTGTCCGATTTCATCTGTGTCCTCTACGGTAGACCTGCTGTGTATGGAGTGGTTACTCTTCCTGCCTCGGTTCGGGAAGGCATCAACATCTTCCTTGATGGCAACATACCCACCGAGAACTTGCGTTTCCGTGAGGAAAGCCTGACCTTCCGCATCGCCGAAGCCGGTGAGGACTATATGGTCGACAAAGCCCGTGCCTTTGAATACCCCTCGATGGAGAAGACTCTCGGCTCGTTCCATTTGAAGATCCAAAAGGGAAAGTTCACCGACTCCGAAATCATTGTCATGATGGGCGAGAATGGTACTGGCAAAACGACCTTCTGCAAGTTGCTCGCTGGCGTGGAGAAGCCCGATGGCACTCAGAAGGTCCCCGCCATGAACATTTCGATGAAACCGCAAAAGATCACTCCCAAGTTCCAGGGCACTGTCCGCCAGCTTTTCTTCAAGCGAATCAAGGCCTCCTTCTTGAACCCGCAGTTCCAGACTGATGTCTACAAGCCTCTCAAGATCGACGACTTCATCGACCAGGAAGTGCAGAACCTGTCTGGGGGTGAGTTGCAACGTGTGGCGATTGTCTTGGCACTCGGTCTTCCGGCAGACATCTACTTGATCGATGAGCCTTCCGCCTACCTGGATTCCGAGCAACGTATCATCGCCGCGCGTGTGATCAAACGCTTCATCATGCACAGCAAGAAAACGGCCTTCGTTGTCGAACACGACTTCATCATGGCCACCTACCTTGCCGATCGTGTCATCGTGTTTGACGGCAAACCTTCCGTGGACGCCCGTGCCAACACCCCGGAATCCCTGCTGACCGGCTGCAACAAGTTCCTCAAGAACTTGGATGTCACCTTCCGCCGGGACCCCAACTCGTACCGTCCACGTATCAATAAGTACCAATCCCAATTGGACCAAGAGCAGAAACTATCCGGGAACTACTTCTTCCTGGAGGAAACGAGTTGAAATTTTCCTTGAACATTCGCGAAGGGCATCTTCAAGAATGAACGCGATCATCGACGCAATGATCGTCATGACGAACACCACGAGCATGAACGCCAGCACCAGCATCACGAGAATAAGAATGACGAATGTAACGAACCTTTCGACGCCGGGGCGGCCTCAAGGCTGAAAAGCACGGGTAAAAGTGCCAAAAAGCGCCGAGGTGGAGTCGTCGTCTCGGACGATGACGAGGCTGAGGACCATGACAATGAGGACGAGGCTGACTGTAGGTGGTTGCGGCGGCGGAACACGACTTGTTGGGTTGTGTGCTTCTCGCCATGTACCGGCTGTCTCAGAGGCCTCTTGGCTGCTTTGATGGGTCAAAATCGAGATCGAGTCGGTCATCACTTACGAGAAGCACAGCTCTGAGTCCAGCTTGGATCGGCCACCGCCGATCGGACTAGCCATCGACATGTGGTATCCTGGGTTGCTTTACCAAAATCCACTTGGCGTCCAACGTCCGACATGAAGTTGTAACGGCTCCGACAGAGCATGGAAGACCGAAAGGGTCAACGTAAGGGTGAGGTCGGCTACGGCGAAGAAACGTCTCCTGCCCGCCGGACCAGAGGGAGGAGGAAGCGTCCTGGCTTTCATTGGGAAACTGGGACAGAAGAGTATATTACAGGATCGCCATCATTCGAAACACGAAGGGAAGATCGGTGCAGTAGTGAGAGATAAAGCGGCGGCTTCGTGTTGCAGGGGATTGGATTGACCCGTAGTCATTCATTCACTCGTCCAGACGGACGCCAGACGGATACGAACAAATATCTATCGCTTCCAGAAAAGGGTACCTTGATCTCTCAGCGTCCCTGCCTTGGACGTTTCCCTTTTCGTGCGTCAGTACTGCGCCCAATTCCTCGCCTGTGCTATATATCGTGGGTGATGGTGGTGGTGGTTGTCCTCTGGACGCTCATGCCTGGATCCCCGGACCCCTACCCCTCGATCCCAAAGTTCCCCAGTTCCCAACCGCCCGACCGATCCATTACACCGGCCTGCCGATCGGCCCGGCCCGATCCAAGCATCCCTGCATCCCAAGGCGCGTTCGTCTCCCATTCTATGGTCATGGGCGTGCCTTTGCCAGACGAGTAGACGGGGGAATACAGCAAAAGGACGAAGAGCAAGACTGGGGCAGAAGAACGTTATTCCTGGCTGATGGTGAATTGCATTGACTTTGTCCCAACTGAATCGTTGTGGAAACAACTAGGTAGCAATCAATCAATCAATCAATCTTATCCCAACCATTTCAACCTCGGACAGTTTCGTCTCGGTATACCGAGTAAGTATCCTGTCTTCCACCTCACACATTAGGTGCTTCGGGGTAGTTGAAACCAACGCCCATCTTCACCATCTCTTCCCTCCTCTATGCCCTCCGTCTCTCGCAAACATTCGCGCACATACGCATCTCACCCCAAAGTGCCGATATAGAGTCGCCGGAACACCTGGTCGACCAACGAGCATACTCGAAAAAGCCAACACCAGGAACAAAAGAAGTACATTAACAAGACGAAACGGCCTCTTCCAAAGTCAACCTATCCTCAGTGCCATCTCAGGTTCACCTCCTTGTCTGTCCGAGGTGTTTCTTCTTGTCCGTCCCTTCCGTCTTTTCCAACTTGGTTGTGTGTCGAGTGCTTCAGGCGACTGCCCTTGAGAGTTGGGTGGGCAACCGCATACCCAGCAGCTCAGTGTCTCATAATGAGTGAGATGCCGTCTCCTCCACCATGAACAAAAGAAATGTTTCGATGTAGCTATTGTTGTAGGTATACCCTTTGACACAATACCTATCATCCGCGTCATTACCGTATGTCGACGACAAGATACCGGTTGAGAGACGATAATTCTCCGGGCGACGCAACTCATCACTCCGTGCAATAAACTAATATGACAGAGCTGCAGAACCATATTCCCAGTACGATCAATAAAGAGGACCGGCGAGTAGAGCCCCTGCGAGACGAGTTGTGTGCTCTTCATCATCCCTTTTCGTCCTTAGTAGTTGTCGGAATCGCAACCTGCCCAGTCTTGGTCTGGGTTCTCCCGCTGTCAAGCGGTAGCTGAAAGATGCATTACAAATGAAATATCGTGAGAGGTAAGGTACCGTGCGCCGGCAACGTGCGAGTCGATAAGCATCGCTGTCCGTCGACAAGGCCAAGATCGAGCTGTCGATCGGGAGAGAAGTGAAGTCGAATAACAGCTTTCGCGGCTGTTGGTAAAACCAAAACAAAGAGAAGGGATCATCCACCGAACCGAGCCAGCTTTGGTCAGAGGCTCAAGGTCGTCAAAAAGTCATTCATCAGTGGAGTGCGGTGTCGTAATAAAAGATTGCCAAAACGCCCAAAAATTTCGTGACCTTCGTCAAGAAGTCACGAGTGCAATGATTGAGTACCGTGCATCCCAAGGAGGGCTTGCAATGTTGAATGCCGGCCAAATTGCGCGTCGACCGTCCAACGGGAGGAACCGGTCGTTTTCTCCAAAAAGTCATCATAATGTTACATAGATCCCAGACTCAGGAGGGCTTCGATTGCGGCTCGTTCCTGAGAGTCATTGACGCCAGCGCCGTTGGGAAATGCAAAAGTCGTCGAGTGGTTGACGGGGATCGGGTTGGTTGGGGCAGTTTGGGCGACATCGCCTGGTGTTTTGGAGCGATACCTTGGCCGGTAAGAGTAGGTCGCTATGGGCTGATATAGTCTGGCTGGACCAGACACCGACCTGCCTTGGTTGGGGAGAGACCTGGCTCGAAGTGCTGCAGCGCCAATACTGGCCCAGTCCTCTTCGTCCGTCATCTCCCCGTCACCGAGATCCTCATCAAAAGGTTCCGGAGCGACGGAAGAGACGTAGCCGTCGTCGTCGTTGTCCAAGGACATCTTGTCGGCTTCATGCTCCAGCATATCTTGGTCCTCATAATCCATCTCGGAGTGGGAGAAGACCGCTGAGTTGCCGGTGTAGCTGGTTCCCAGATTTTCCGAACCCGTACGCCAGGAACGTTGGTTCGGCACTTGAAGGCCTGGTTGGGAGTAGGAAGATGGTAAACTGCCTGGAGGAGTGATGGTAGAGCCTTGACGCTCGCGAGGTGGCTGGCCCTTCATTCGAGCGTCCCATCGCCCCCATCCGACCTTTTCAAATATAACGTCGCCGTCGCGGCCGGCACCTTCTAGCCCACCACCTTTGCCTTCAAGCGCCGCCACGACCAAGCGACGCGCTTTGGCCGAAGTGATGCGAGAGAAGCCGGGCACCGAGGTTGTCAGATAGCCCATGATGTGCCTGATGGCCAGCGGGCCGTGCGACAACAAGATGTCGGGGAGATGATGTTTTGCCAACATGCTCGGGGTGATGGCGCCAGCCGAGTCCAGATCACCTAGGCTGTCAAGAGCTTCGGCGCTCAACGCGGTCGGCTTCGGGTTATCAGGCGCATCTTGCAAGTCGATGTCCGAATCCAGCGCCGCGCTCTTGGGCGACATGGGACCGTGCTGGTTGCTGTCTCGACGACCATGGCCGCGCGGTGGGAGATTCGGGGAGATGGAGTTTGGAGGAGTCGGCAACATGCCAGAACGCTTCTTCGAGGAGGAGTTGGCCGTTACAGCAGTGAAGTTGTCCCGGCCTTTGAGGGCATCGCGAGGCTTTGGAATGTCGACAGACGCGGACTTGCCGTTGAGGGCCATACCCAGAGCCGAAACAGACGGAGGAGCCATTGTTCTTGGTATGCTGCGATGAGGAATCGTGCGTTGGATGCTATGCGATGTATGAGTCAGCTGGTGCAGCAGGGAGAGATCGCGACGCGTCATAGGGGAAGATGGCCACCTAGTGATATAGATGGATGGCTATGACTCACCACACGACAGTATTCAGTATTCGACAGATACAAGTGACGATAGCAGTTATCGGGATCGGGCGGTGGTTGAGGACACTGGTTGGGCAATGTTGCGCAGAGGTCAGATACCAGGCCAAAGGTGGTTTGTTGGGTCAGCGACGCAGGGTTGGTGAGCTTCTGAGTAGGAGCGTGGCGAGAAGAGACGACCTGGACGGTGGTCTCCCTTTGCAGCGAAATCTTCCCTTTGGATAAGGAAGATGTAGAGGGGAAGAAAGAGAGAAAGACAAGACGATGGAAGTGAATGGACGTTCTGATAAACAAAGCGGGGGTGGTGGGCGAAGTTGGTTGCGCAGTGGTTGTGCAGGTGCCGACTTGGTTGGCAGACAGATTGGGTAATGCTGGGTTTGTTGTATGCAGAGTTGCAGACGGGAATGCGAGGATGGGGGGATGGATGGAGATGAGGACCTGGAAGTCTTGGGAAGGGGGGTGCCCTAGGTACCTACTGGGTAAGCGGCTAGGCGTGGTCACTGGTCACCACTTGTCCCCAGGGCCCTCGAGAAACAAAGGCCCTTGCCCACGAGCAGGTTCCAAGGTCCAACGGGGAGGAAGTTGGTTGGGGGGGCGAGGCGTGGGAGGGCGTCAGTCTCCCAGAAAGGGCCAATTCGGCCACAAGCTGGACGGAGAGCCTGCAATTGGCATGGGAGAATTGGGCCAGCTGAACACCCCCACCCACCCTCCGGGAATCGGTGGAGCGGGCTGGTCGGAAGTTGTGGCCATCACGGGTTCATGTACGAGCAGCACCGGGCACCAAATGGCTGCCTCCCGGGGCGCTTCTCCTGGACCTGATAGGCCTATAAGCAGGAACTCTGGGGGATGCCGCGTGGCTACAGATCGGCGCTCTGACAGGCTACAGACGAGCAGTTGGGCTGAGACCGAGGGCTTGTGGGGTCCCAACCCAGTACCCAATAAGGGGCCCTCGAGACCAACACATGGGCATGATTCACAGAATCGAGTCTTCCTCACCAAGCACCATCGCCTGCGCAAACCCCTCCGTGTCCCCCGTTCTCTTTGGTGCTCATCTCATATCCTGCTTGCTTGACGCTCCGACCACACTAGAAAATCTCTGAAATGCATGCGACAAACTACCGCCCTCCCAGCCCGGGTTGAACCGCCACCACTCGCAAAACGCCAGTTGTGGGCTCGTTATCTTTGGGTCCGGACGAGATAAGCCAGAACCTACATATTTGATACGGGCAAACACGGAGGAGTGGCCACATCCCCGAAAGAGTCCAAGGACTATTATCAGAGAGAGAGAGATACGGAAAGACAGCCAAGATACGAACCCTGTCGCACAGCCAATGTCATGATTGTCTCGAGGTTGGCCCAGACAAGCAAAGAACAGCCTCGTCGCCGAGATCGCCTTAACGTCATCGTCCCTCCTCGTTCGAATGCCGACCGCCGCGCACCCTGCTCGTCTCTTCCTTGCTTTCGTCACTCTCAGGCCCGGGAACATGACACGCAGATGAGGATGAGGAGAAAGGAAGAATGATGATGATGATGATGCTTATGATGAAGTAAGACAACTGTCTGATCGCTCAGCTGATCCATGATCAACCGTCAAGCACAGGCTACAACAAGTGGAAACACTCCACCTCCAGACTGCCCGCCCTGGTACTATCCTTAGACTCCCTGCCCGCTTGTCCCTCCGGCACGTGTGACAACCGCATGGGTATATCAATCCTGGTGGTTGTTGTCACCCTCGCCGTCGATGCCCGGCTGTCCCCATCCCTACTACCACCGGCTTGACGGCAAGCAAGCTTGCAGCTTCGTGAAGAATTCTGCCCGGTCTTCTCCACATCAAAGCGGGAAGAGAGACCAAGAGGAGAAAATTGCAGACATGCGTCCGGTATGAGGAAGCGTCTCTCTGTCTCGGGAGTCCACATTGCCCCATGTTGCGCCATCTCCGGTCAGGCCTCGCCAGGCTTCAACAGCAACCACTCCGCACATTCACGCGCGTCGATCCTGTCTTTTGATTCGCGCTCCCCAGACGACATGGCAAAGTTTTCCTTCATCTCCAGCTGTCTGCGTTGCATGATTTATTTGGGAGATGGGACGGTCTCTTCCCTCTCCGCAATGAATCCTCCTCCAACTCGCTCGCCTTCTGTAGCTTTTACCTCATCGCATTGACAACTCTATGCCCAAATGCAGAAAACTCGGTCAATTATGTTTTGCTCTAGGATTGCAGGGAATAGAAGGCCAAGTTCCAAACCGCTCAAGAGGCTCCGACCATGTTGTCTACGGAATCATTACCATTATCACCTTGCTATCTTGAAACTAGCTCTGGCAGTATCGTACACTAGTACATGAGTCGGACATAGATACAACATCATCGTCATCACAGATCTTGAGCCCCCTTTGCACAGTAAATGAGCGACTTTCCACCTCATCCAGCAATTTTGCCGGCTCTGTTCATGGCGCTCCTTCTGAAAGCAGCAGAGATGTAAGGATCGAAAACGCCAGCTTTGTGCAGCTGTAGTACGTCGCCCCCTTTTTGCCTCCTCCCGTTCGCCTCTCCCATTTTACATGGTTAGCCTCTTGCTCTCCCTCGACCCTTCAGTCCTCATGGATTCTCTCCCGAGTACCACCCGAGGAGGCAACGTTGGACTGTCCGGGTCAGGTGGCAGAGCCTCGTCCTCCCAGACCTCTCCTTCCTGTATCGTTTCCCTTTTCACCGCTTGGAGCGGGTAATGAAACGCATGCGTGCGGTTTTTCGGCATGGACTTTGTTCGAAACAAGCTCACATGCTTCTTCGTCGTTGTGTCGGTGACCCCACCCTGGCCCTCAACAGATCCCTCGTCCTTACTCACTCGCGACGCCTTGCTGCCCGGCGGCTTCCTAGCAACGTCATCGAGCAGGAACTGGTAGAGCACCTGCGAGAACCGGCTGGATAGTCACCGGCTCGGCGTGCCGAGGTTGAGCCAGGACATATCCGTGTTGACGTTGGCGTGGTTGTCTGGCAGTTGCCGACTGTTGCTACGTTTATGTTTATGGGCTGCGCTATAGCTGAAATAGTCGTGGGGTTGACTGCGGGGTGGCTGTTCGTGACTAGGTCGAGTCTTTTCTGGATGGACTGTTGTACTGTTGTTGATGGCGGTCCCTTCACTTCCTCCAGGCTGAGCAGATCGAACCGAATTGGGCATCGGGAAGGAGGGGATGGATGAATCCAAGGTTCCCGCGGTATCACTGGTCTCGTTTGAGCTTATCGTCGGAGGCGAACGTTGCGCCTGCGCCTGTGCCTGTGCTTGCTGAGCCGCCAGGTAACTGCTCGGAGGCCGCAGCGGTCGTTGCGGCGGGCCCGACCACGTATTCCCTACCGGCGTCCAGGGCGTGTCATGCACGCTGGCAGGGATTCCACTTGAGAACGCTCCGTCAAAGACTTGCTCATCTTCATAGTCGTCGTCGTCATCGTCGTCATCATCCGTGGAATTTACCGTTCGCACAGAGCCGGCATTGGAAATTTGCCCGGATATACCCTGAACAGATTGCAAGCCCCTTGACTGAGGGTTAGGGGGTCCATGTTCAAGACTCGGGCTCCCAGCTGCAACATTCTGCGCTTCCAGAGGATTGCCCACGCTGTCCCGAAGTATGAACTTGGGAGACCGGCTAGAGTTTTCCAGGACGCCGGATCCAGGCCAGAATCCGCTCCTTGCGCCAGAGCTCCGGGACAAGAACGTTGTTCGGTTTCCCGAAAGCGGTTCGCCCTGAAAGTACTTGCCCCATCCCTCGTCAGTCTTGCGCTGAGAAGCCTTTCTTTCGGAATCTGCAGCACCTACCGGTGCGCCAGGAGGTGTCGCTTTCCCAAGTTCAATACTCGGTCGCGCTTGGTAATCGTTCAAAATGGGCATCATGGGCTTTGAAATGGACAATCCAATCTTCTCCTTCTCCTTCTCCTTTTCTCTCTCTTTCTCCCGCTTGAACAATGCCTGTCCAAACCCTATGCCTGACCCACGGTATCCTGACGGAGCCTGATCTGAAGATACACGTCTAATGAGCATAGCCGGCTCAGGTTTCGAGTCTCCAAACATGGAGGCACTGTCTGCTTCGGGGATATATGCTGAAGCAATCGGACTTCGTCCCATGGGCTGCCCAAGCCCAGCCAGTGGACGAAGCCCCCGTTCTTCATAGTTGAACTCCCCACTTCTCTTCTTGTCGTCTGGGTATTCTTTGCGTTTCTCAGATCCTGCCATCCGCCTTCTTCGAACAGATCTCAGCCAAAGGAGGAGGATGACCAGGATCGCCAAAAGTCCACAGATACCACCTAGGACTGCTCCGAGTACAGTCAAACCTTGATTCTTATTGCCAGAAGAACCTGCTGTGGCTGGAGTGCTCGACCCTGTGGGAGTGGCAGGGAAAGTTGGGAAGCTCGAAGAAGTCGGCGAGGGCGTTGGTATCCTACTCGATGATGACGCCGGCGGCTGCTGTTCATTTCCAAAGAATTGGGACGACGCTACCCAGCCATTCCCAGACTGATTGAAGAATAGGACCGGGCTATCGTCATTACCTCCCACTAAAGCCACCAGTCCATTGTCGCCCTGTGCTAGATCAAATCCCGTCCGAGACGCTGTAGGGGCCAGTGTATCATTGTACGCGGGGTAGGTGCCGAGTGATACTTGTCTCTTTGTGATTGAGGAAGTTGTGGAAGAGGGTGAGGGAGTCTCTGTAGTAGCGCTGCCTCCCGCGGTCTCACCGAATGCGGCGGGAGCACCCCCTGGATTCAACAGAACATTTGTCGTCACCGTTGGTGGTACTTGACCAAGGTCAAAGGTTTGTAGAATGATGCTGTTGTCAGGCAGGGTGAGAAGGGCGCTCTGTGCTATTGAATGATCCGGTAGTGGAGCCGGCAGTGTAAGACCAAGGTCTTGCCAGCCATCTGATGGACCAAATGTAAATACTCTATCATTGGTCGAACTGCCGCCCACCATCAGGGTATGATCCTGGCTCCATGGTAACATAAAAGGACTGACTGTTGGCGGTGCGGTCGAGCTGTATGCCAGCACTGAGTAAGGAGGAAACAACCCGATTGTAAAGGTCTCTGAGGACGGCCCAGCGTTGTCATTCTGGGACCCGCCATAGACGACCAGTGTCGATGAGGCATTCAAATAAGCCGCTCCATGGTAGAGGCGATTTTGGGTGACGTTGACAACAGGGACGATAGTCTGCCATGATTTGTCCTCGAATGAATATCGCTGTAAGCCAGTATAATCCGTTGTCGACGCATTTGTCGCGCCACCCACAACATACAAAGCTGATTTGGAGTTGTCACCATCCAGGCCACCTTTTACACAGACTGCTCCTGTTACTGACACGCCATTTGCCTCTTCTTCCCACTTGGCGCCCTCTTTCAACGCCAAGGTCTGAAACGCGTCTGGCGAATAAACGTAGATGACTCCGTCATGAATAACGGAGCATTGATTCTTGATCGCAACAGGAGGCTTGGGCACTGACATCTCCAAGGGACTGATCTGTCACCGAACGCAGGGCGCGGGCGAAAGGTCAAAGCCGTAGTGGCATTTTCTCCTCGAAAGAAATCGAGAAGGTCTATTCTGTAGGGTGTGTAGTGCGTTGGCGACGGACTGTGTAAAGGATTCAACGGCCAAAGAAGGTCGAGGTGGTCTGGTCTTGCCGGTTACTAGAAGGCGAGGGTACGCTATCGTTTCGTTGCCCAAGCAAGGGTTACTTTCGAGAGGCAATCGAGCCCAGTCTCAGCCACTCCAAGAAGCGCAGGAAGGCCAAAGCAGCAGGACGTATCTTCGGACAAAGTCCAGTTCGATTGAGGGGATGCGGTCAGCGGGTGGGTTGAATGCGAATTGAGGTCTCCAAAGGGGTTGTTTTCGGCGCGCAACAAGGCGTGATGCTGATAGTGAATACCGATTGTACCACGACTCGACAGCTTTGGAAATGACTGTGCAGTTACTGTGAAAGCTGTTCTGTGAGGGCAAGTCGCGAAAAGGGAGTCACCTTGGGTTTGAAGAGGCGCTCAGTCGCGCCGCAACGCAGGTGGGCTTTGGCTTTGGTTTAGTCCGGGCCTGTGGGTCGGTGGAACAGCTTTGCGCGTGGGATTGTCACAGAGCAATGTCGATCGGCCCTGGGGCTTGGCCAAAGGGGAAAAAGTGAATGGATTATTTGCGGGTAAGATGTTCCTGTGGCTCCAGCTCGAGAGAGGTGTGAAAGTGAGCAATGTCCATCAGGGAGGAAGAGAGAGGTGTAGGAAATGCAGAGGGGGGAGTCCGCAAGGGGAGGGATGGCAGCACGACTCTGGACGCAATAGTTGTCAACTAGTGAGTTGTGACTGCGGGAAGCGAGGTGCCCAGTGTCGGAAAGAAACACAAAAGAAGGCTTTGGAAGCGCAGGTAGTGAGCAAAGACTGGTAGACTGGCCGGATAGACTCCGTGCCACCGTGCCTATGGGCCGTAAAGAGACATAGCTCCCTGCAAGGCACTGCGAGCCAAGTCGACGAGTTACGACTGATCAATGCGTGGCTTGAAGCTGGAGCGCTTTCTTGGTCTCGTATTTTCCTCCTCTTCCAAAATCACCCGCGAGAACAGCCAGACAATTTGCCCTGATCGCCTCCTCTTTCTTCGGTGCGGGTGACCCGGCTTGACGTGTTACACCCAACGCCTGTGTGAGGGCGGGAATCCGGCTTGGTTGGAGTGACGGGGAGGAGAAGAGGTGGTCGAGGTGTTTCATGCCGTCGACTTGAAGCGCGGGAATTGGCTGAGCCAGAGGGATTTGATCTCCACAGCCGGGAGAGCGTGCTGCAGGTACGGATACAAACAGGCAAGCCAGGCACCGAACAGGGGCGCGAGGGGCGATGACACGAAGCTAACTTCCAGGGGTAAGCGAGCCAACGAGCCAACGAGACAGCAAGCCTACTGCGTGAACAGCCAGGAGAGTGGAACAAACCTGTCACCAATTGCAGGAAGCGAGGCCTGAAGGGGAATTCTGTCGCTCGGCAATGTGTGTGAGAGAGAGACACAGAGGGTGGGCGAAAAGTAGTAGAAGGGAATAATATTATCGACACCCTGGTCCCTCCCCAGGCCAACTCACGGTCTGTGACTGCGCTCGTAGACTAGCAACTGCAGCCAGCTTTCCGCTGCACGATGACATACTACTAGCTGTTGAGCGATGTAGCCACCAACCCCGTACCTCCACCATGTACCTCGTCCTCCGTGCTGTGCTATTCTACTACGAGGATGGAGAATGCAGCCAGTACTCCTGGCCTCGCCCCTAGCTTCACTCCGCGCCATCTGCACTGCCGTTGGCTTGCTGTTTCGACTTCCATGCATGCGCCATCTGCAACAGTTTGGACATCTTGGCTGCACTCTCGTCGTCGGCTGGGAAGACATAGTCAATGTACTCCTCGAACCGATCCTCCTCGATCTTTCTCCTCTTCTTGACCTTGCGAGGCATCTGCTTCTCAATCTTGTCAATATCCTCCGCCGAACCGTGCGTCTGCTCAAATGATCGCCATGCATTCAACAGGTCCACCCGTTCTTCTTTCAGCTCTTTCGACTTGAACAAGTCGTGGGCCCGTTCAAAGATCTTTCGTGCCCGTCTCTTCGCTTCTTCGCTTACCCGTTGCTCCTCGCCCTCTGCCGGCTCGGGCTCGTTTGGATCCGGGACGTTGATCTCGAAGCGTGCATAGTTGATCCAAACTTTGACGTGGTCCGTCTTCTTCAGCAACCGCTCATATAGCGCCCGGGCCCGATCGTACTCTTCTTCGTACTCCTCAAAATCAATGTACGCCTTCCAAACCAGCTCAGGCATGTCCAGGGTAGGCTGTTCGATCCCCAGTTCGAAAATCGCTCTTGCTCGGTCCAGATCGTCCAGTCCGCGCTCCAGCTCTGCGAACTGGATCCATGCCTGGCTATTGGACGGGTTCCATTCGATCTGCTTTTCAAACAGTGTCCGGCACCGCTCGAATTCGAATAGCTGTTTCTCCAGTTCAATGTAGCTCCGGAACAACTTGTCCTTGGGACACATGCCGATAGCTTGCCCAAGAGTCTTCCTCGCCGCTGTCAGCTGCATTTGCCGCACCTCGAATTGTGCTTTCATGATCCAGATTTTGGCAAAGGTCCATTTCTTGTGCGGAACCAGCTTCAGACATTCCTGGTAGACTTGCCTTGCCCGTTCCACGTCGTTGTTTGCCATTTCCTCCCACAGGGCATAGAAGATCCATAGATAAATGTATCTTCGCCAGTGTCGTTTTTCCTGGGAAGGCGGAATTTGAGCGATTGCCCTTTCGTAGACATCTCGCACCCGTTCCACATCGCCCCCGGTCTCTTCTAGACGTGCAAAGTCGAACCACACGTCGTAATTTCGAGGGTTGGTCTTGAGTTGCTCTTCATATTGCACCCGTCGCTTGGCGAGGATCACATCCTCTACTCCCTCCCGATTGCCAAATTGTTTCTCGAACTGTGTGTATGCTTTGTGTAGTGCCTCGGATCGAGAGCGCGGCAGTCGGTCCAATGCGTACTTGTAGATTGCGCGAGCTCTCTCATACTCCTTGAGTTTGGCCTCATAGCGAGCATATGCTATAAAAAGCTTCTCATCCATGAAGTCCTCCCCCAGGGTCTCGATGGCGACGCCAAAAACATCGCGAACCAATTGACTAGTCCCATTCTCCTCTTCGAACTTGGCCCATCGGATCCAGTTGCGCGGTTCTGGGTGTACAATAGTGAAGCGTTCGTAGATGGCCCGCGCGCGGTCATACTCTCCGTACCTCTTCTCTAGCTTAATATAAGCCAGCCAAGCTGCTTCGTCTGGCTCCCAGCTCATCCACCTCTCGAACACCTGTCTCGTCCCGGCAATGTTGCCAAGGGTTTCTTCCATATAGACATACTTGTACCAAAGCTTATCGATCCGGGGAAGAATCGACACCGCTCTGTCCAGAAGATTTCTGGCGTGGTTGATGTTTCTATTCTTCATCTCCGCCTCGATGTAGCGAATCCACAGGACCACACTTGTGCTGTCCACGTCCAATGCCCGCTCAAAGATCGATCTTGCTCGGCGAAACTCTTTCTGTTCCAGCTCCCATTGCGCATAGCGCATCCAGTTGTTCATATTGATTCTGTTACGCCGAACATAGTCCTCGAATTCCTTGCGCTTCCGGCCCTGGAATTCATGCAGTTCTTCCAGGTCGGCAAAGCGTTGAGTCGGCGCTTGTAGCCCAGTTTCTTGTCTGTCGACAGCTTCCCGAAGCAGTTGCTCCGCCGAAATCTGCTGGGGGGCGGCCGCCTTGTTTTTGACCCTGGGAGGGCCTCTGGTAGAATCCATCTTCGTGAGCGCAGGCGGGAGTGGGAATTCGAAGGGTAGATCAGGACCAATCGCTCAGTGCAGTCTCGGTCTTGGGAATTTCAAAAGGGCGACCGGAACAAGGCGCAGAGAGGATGAGACGTGGCTTGGACGATAGGACATTTACAGCAGACGTCTGATGAACTTTTGTTTCCATCCAGAGATGGCAAGGCAGTGACTGCGGAGAAATTTTGCCAAGGTTTCCGTTGCCCAAGTCCTAGTAATTTCCATGCCAGGCTGAGTGTTGGGACCAACTCCGCACTCGACCTTTCAAACTCCAACGAGGCTTCAACTTTTGAATAAGGCCGAAGTCATTGCCAACCACTCTCACCAGCTACCTGGCAATGGCGACCTTAGCAGACGAACTACTTAACGACTTTGAGGATTCCGGCGACGAAAACAACGACAACGCAAATGGTTTTCGAGACGGAGACGAAGCAGACCATACAAATAGCCTGGAACTCGCGACCGAACACATAGAGAGGGATGGCGACGAGGAAGAGCTGGAAGATGCGGAGGAAGAACTTGCTGCTCAGGAGGCTAGCGCCAATGCCGTCGAGGCCGTCGACGATGAGGAAGATACCAAGGCTAAGGTTGAAAAGATGCGACTGGGAGGCGTGCGCGATGTCAGAAGCGTAGCCGGTCTCATGAAGACTCTAGAGCCTGTTCTCGAGGTAAGATCATGCCCTTCCCCGTAGATCAAAGCCTTGTCCGTTTACACAATCCGAACACAGCCCTGACGGTTCCTCCACCTTGCAGAAAATAGCACATTATCAAAACATACCGCCCGATCAACGGACGACGACGGTCGGCTCCGTCGAAGATAACCCCGAGTACGCCCTCTTGACTCAGGCAAACTCCCTGTCTACACAGATTGACAGCGAAATCATCCTAGTCCACAAGTTCATTCGCGATCACTACTCTGCACGTTTCCCGGAATTAGAGACCCTCGTGGCCAACCCGATCGATTATGCCAAAACAGTCGCGATCATCAGAAACGGTCCTATAGACAACATCAAAAGTTTAGCCGACTCTAGCGATAACATTGTCGGGGCTCCTCTGAGGGCTGTCTTGGACGGACCGACGTTGATGGTTGTCACAGTGGAAGGCACAACAACAAAAGGTCAAGATCTGAGCGAACAAGAACTTGAAACAACCCTTCGGGCCTGCGAAATGGTTCTGCAGCTGGACAAAGCCAAGAAGATCTTGACCGAATACGTGCAGTCAAGAATGAACGTCTTTGCTCCAAACCTCACCGTGCTTATTGGTTCGCTTACTGCTGCTCAATTGCTCAACTTTGCCGGTGGGCTCAAGAACCTCGCAAAGACACCTGATCGCAACGTCCCTGCAATGGGTTCAAAGAGGCAGAGGCAGAGTGGCTTAGCCACCAATGTGGGGATTCGACAACAAGGTTACCTCTACCATTCACCCCTCATACAAGAAATCCCAAATGATCTAAGGGTGCAGGCGATGCGAATTGTGTCAGGGAAGCTCATCCTTGCTGCTCGAGTCGATAGCGTTCATCAATCCCGCGACGGCTCAACAGGCGAGCAACTACTCAACGAGTGCCTGCGGCGGCTCGATAAGCTAACCGAGCCCCCACCGAACAGAGGTGTGAGGGCTCTGCCCGCCCCCGATGACAAACCAAGCAGAAAGCGTGGAGGAAGAAGAGCCCGCAAAGCGAAGGAAGCATATGCCATGACCGAGCTCAGGAAACAACAGAACCGCATGGCGTTTGGTAAAGAAGAAAGAGAAGTGGGCTACGGAACCGGAGAGGAGACAGTGGGACTTGGCATGATTGGTGCTCAAAATGAGGGCAGGATACGAGCCACACAGGTCGATCGTCGAACCATGGCGAAGTTGAGCAAAAAGAATCCCGGCTGGGGTGTCTCTGGTACGGCAACAAGTTTGAACAACGGCACAACCACTTCCCTGCGAGGCTTTGGATCTTCTGTTGGTGGGGGAAACGTTACTGCACTCCGAGCTCAAGGTCTTCGAACCAGTAGCGTTGGGGCAGGCACTGCAAGTTCGATCGCATTCACACCCGTCCAAGGCCTTGAGTTGGTCGATCCCAAAGTGCAGGCCGAGCTGAAGAGGAAGCGCGAGGCTGAAAGCGCGGGTTACTTTTCAAGTGGCACCTTTACTCAAGTCAATTCTTCAGCGTCAAATGGAGGGTTCAAGGTGCCTGGATTGCCTCCGACAAAGAAGACTAATATGGGTCCTCCCGCTACGCCTGGAAAATGAGCTGGGAGAAGACACTGTTATTTTCTTGCTGCTGGGCGCCGTCTGAAGCACGGGCCTTCGAGACATCTTCAAGTAACAATGCAGTGAAACCAATTTTAGAGGCAACACAGTGCTGTGGGAAGCACTATGTTGGAAGAGCCTCCAGACAGCTCGGTGGTTTGCAAGTGAGGTATGTACTCGCTGACGCACGGCATGGTACCTCGATTTATCAAGGTATAGCTACGGAAGCAAGGCATGGAGCATTCCGGAAGGAAGCACAAACAAGGGGCCCTCGCTCTACCCGTCCCCCGGTGTGCTGGGGCCCAAAAAACAGAAGAAACGATGAGAGCGTCTGGTGGACCAAGTTGAGAGACAGCCAGGTTGAGGTAAAAGGTTACGGTAGAGCATGATGCTTCGAACCCGTTGGTCTCCCTCAGCCCGTCTCGGATCGTCCCATTTCACCGAGCATCTGCGGAAGGAGAAGCACGGGCGGAGAAGTCGGTCTAAGCCGCTTGTTCGAGCATGTTTATGAACTGTCTACAGTCGATTTAGCGAGGTCACCGAGTTATATCGGATTGGCAGTGTCCAGATGGGGGGATGAGTGAGCGGACTGTGACGGCGTGGGCTGGTTGCGAGAGCAAACAAAGACACTACACGGGAAGAGCCTCGGAGCCTTGTTCTTTCAGCACAGTGGCCCCAAGGGTTGATCCCCTCTCCGGGTCTCCTCGCCATGGTCGAATGGTCATGTCAGTCCTCGAGATACGAAGCAGAACGGTGTGGAGAGTGACAGGCGAGGGTGGAGGGATATCACGCTCCCGGTTTTCGATGAACAATCCTTTTTGGGTGTGGGACCCTGGGATTGTCCTTTCTACGTACACAGAGAGGTAGGTAGGTATCCAAAGGTCGAAAGCGTCCCAGATCGATAAGAGTGAAAGACAGCGTTATTTATTATGTCCCCATCATCATCATCATCATCCCACTTCTGCTGGCCGCCCATCCTTCCGTCTCTAGCTAGCTAGAGATATCTCTGCTTTTCCCTCTCCCACGGGGCAGCCCGCCTCCTCCTTTCCCTCTCGGCACGCCCCTCGTGCGCAGCTGTTCGGGCAGGTCGCGGACGGCGCCCTTGCCGGCCTCCCAGAGCAGGCCGAGGCCTTGCTTGACTTCGACGGCCGCGGCGAAGAACTCGACCGGCACGAGTTTCTCGGCCTTGGTCGTGTCGGCTGCTGCGTCGGAGGACTGCGCGGCATCGGCATCGGCGCTGGCGCCGGCGCCGGCGCCAGCAACCAGGCCGTCGGAGAGGATGACGCCGTTCTCGCTCCGCCACCATTTCATGGCCGGGGCCTCGGCCAGCGCCCTGCGGATGTCCACGTAGATGAGGATCTGGGCGTCGCCCCGCATCCCGCTGATGACCTTGTTCCTGCCCAGCAACGCGCCCAGGGTTCTGGGTTTGCCGTTGTCGTCGCCGCCGTCGCCACCGCCCGCGGTCGATGATGCGGGTGGCAGGACCTCTGCCAACGAGGGGCCCGTCGCGAAATGGACGTGGTTCCTCGTCATGCTCTTCAGCCCGCCGCTGCGCAGGATCTTGTCCCACGCGCCGTAGAACGTGCCGTGCACGACCGTGTCCGGGACGCCGGCCGGGTCACCCAGCGAGATCGGGGTCAGCAGGTGCTCGGCCTCGACGGCCTTCATGCTGTGGCCCTGCGTGGCGCGGATGAAGAACCTTCTTCTCGTGTCGGCCTCGGCCTCAGCCTCGTCCTCGTCGTTGCCTAGCGACTCAAATGTTGAAATTGCGCGCTGTGTCTCTGTTTCCGCCCGCGTCTCGTTCGTGTCTGTCTCGATGGTCGGCGTCTCCGTCTCCTCGACCTTGGCCCCAGCATCGGCAGCCGTCTCACCTTCCTCGCCGGCGCCGGCGCCGACGTACTTCATCGCGAACCTCTTCTTGTCGTTCTCCCTGACAACCTCGACTACCTCCGCAAACGTCACGGGCGGCTTCATGTTCCGTAATTTGTGCCATCCCAGCAGGTGATCCATCCGCACGTATCCGTGGTTGTCGATGGGGATGCGTTCCTCCACGGCCGCATGGCGCAGGAGGCGGGAGAGCGCTTTGGAGACCAGCACCGAACGAGGCAGCGAGTCGTGGCGGAACCCGCCCCGGCCACGTCCACGTCCACGGCCTGGCATGAGTAAGTAAGTGAGTGTCGGGGGCGACAAAGGCACCAGTAAAGAGCCCCTGAGCAAGGAGCTGTTAAGTGTAGACGTCGAGACGTGAGGGGAGACACAGAGTCCAATATTTTCCACCGTGAAGAATCAGACCGCGCCAAGTCTTTATCACACGCTTGAGGTCGAAAGAAACAGTCCGGAGGCGAGAGCCAGAGCTTTGAAGGGACGATATATCGTATCGACTGATCTTGGCCCCCTGACAGGATCCCGAGGGCGAGGCTTGTACACAATGAGTCACGTACAACACAGGACACGATGTGGTGGTGACTCGAGGCATTTGGCCCCGGTACCCTCGTGGAAGCCGAGACGTTGCCTCTGATCGCTCGGGATCTTGGAGATGCAACCAATGTCCGCAAAGATGAAGATGCGTTCTTGTGCCCTGCGACAACTCTCTCAGTCTCGCCAACGTTGAGTCTGAAATGGACGAGGGCTACCTCAATTTCTCTGGGACTCGAATGCATCACACCTTGGAGCCAATATTCCACGTCGCACAGAACAAGGCTCTGCTTATCGATACGATTAGTGTCAATCTGTCAGCCTTGCGTTAATTTCAAGGATTGGTTGGCTTCTTCTAACGAGTCGTGATTAGGATCGAACAGAAAGATGTCAAAGTGCAGAGTAGTCTTCAAGAGGTGGATTCCCGATCTCGCAGGACCATATTGATATCGGCTGCACAATCTCGACCTTTGTCAAGGTAACTTCTGCTGGAACTTAGATACATCGACCGTCGACAACACCCTGTCGGCCACCATTGCTGCTCCTGATATTTCGCAGCTCGCCCCTCCCGTCTCCGTAATTACATGCTCAATCCTGAGCGAATAAAATGTGTGTATGCTGCCTTTGAGACTCCCGGAAGATCTCGTTGGATGGCCAGCCAGTACTCCAGGTGAAATGCGAAATTCCCATGATCCATAAGAGATTCGTCAAATGTCAGCGAAGGTAACAGTGCAGGGTATAAGTAAAAAGAAATGGCGGGTGAGATCGACCCGAAGAAAACTGCCCAAATGCTTTTCCCAAACTGACGATGCCTCCCACAAATCCACATCAAAAAGAATCCAACAAACAAAATCACTTCTTAGATCGGCTTAAAAGTTCTGCGAAATTCCGCCCTGAGCTTGCGGGAAGGTTGGTGCTCGCTCGATGCGGGTGTTCCTTCGTGCTTGATTGTCCCGGATGACTGGTTGCGTCCCGGCTCCCCCGTACGAACCGTCGCCGTAGGGTCCGTGGCCGGCGTTTGCTTCGTTGTATATGTTGTAAGGGACTTCTTCCTGATAGTATGGGCCAGGCATTTGAGGCGCCTCTGAAGAGGCCTCGGAGTGGTGGCCCGAAGAATATGCGGACGAAGCATTAGAGGGTCCACGGCGAATGTCTCCTGTCCCACTGCGATGCCTGCTGAGTCCTCCGGTAGTCCCCAGGGCCGCGACGCCATCGCCGCTCTCCGGGTGACCGTTCATCAAGGGATCTGCAGAGTATTGGTCAGAAGTGGCATTAGGTGAAGCCTGCGTAGCGTAACCCCCGGGTTGACTGCTGCTCTCCGACAGAGCAAGACCTCCAGCAGCTCGTCCGTTGGAACCTAGCGTGGTCGAAGCTTTCCTATTCGACGATGTTGCTCCCCATCCGCGATATCCACTGGTGTCATCTTGTCCTTCAGATTGATTGTCAGTGTAGGCGGCTGCGGCGACTCCCAGCGTCGGATCGCTGTTAGGATTGAAGCCATATTCTGCCATCTCGCTCTTGCGCAGTTCTTCCGCATTCTTCCTGGCCTTCCGCTTCCTCCAGCAGAAGAACCCAATCAAAAATAATGCTGCAATCACCGCAATAGGTATGATGACCGCTATGGCGATCTTGGCACCAGAGCTGAGACCGCTGGAGCTGGAGCCGGACCCTGAAGCACTCAATGCTGACGGAGTGGGAGATGAGCTGGTGGAGGGAGTGACCGTTAATGAGGTAGTTGCAGTGTTTGAGGTCGGGGTGTCTGGGGAGAATGTAGAGGTGACGACAACAACCGTAGGGCTCTGATTGCCTCCTGGGGACGATGAAGGAGTTTGAGTGACAGTTTCTGTGGCGATAATGACACTGGGACTGGTATCAACAGGCGTGGTAGAGGCAGGTACCACGGTAGTTGAGGGAGGAATCGAGATAGAGGAGGTGATTGTACTCTGGGAGGTGTCGGATGTGGTATCGGACGTCGATGAATCTGTGACCGTGACGGTGGTAGAGAAGGACGTAGTAAAGCTGGTCGAGGTAGTGCCGATAACAGTCGTGATGACCGAGTCGGTCGCACTCGTATCTACCATCTGTTAGGTTGGGAGTTGAGGCAAAAGGAGCCTTTCCATACCAGTTGACATTGTGGCCTGAGGCTGTGGAGGGAGTCTTGATGGCAAGCAATCCCTGCCTCACCACCTCCCACGCGTAGCAACACCCACTCTGCCGGTCTTCCAAGAGGTCCTCAAAATGGTTGTAGGTGATTGAATTCCAAAATATCACGACCTCCCTGTTGTAAAGTGAGAAACTCGAACTTGCCCGTCAGCCGCAAAAAGCCAGGTAGGGGGGCAGACAGAGTCGAATTGATGTGTCAGGACGCGAGGGCTGTGAGTGTGGTCCCTAGTCCGTCCAATGATACATGCAGGGAGATGATGATGACTATGAGGATCGACTGCGAACGATATCCGATCAGACGGGGGAGCTATACAGTGAGGTAGGGGACGATATAATTATGCAATGACTTCGAGAAACACAGACAAGGAGAGACGACATTTCAATGTCGAGCGAGAGAAGATGAGCTTGCCGGAAGGCGCAGCAGTGGCGAGCCCGAGACAGAAAGAGGCCGCAGAGGGAAGCGAGGAAAACTGGCGACGATGGAAACAGCAATAGTTGAGGGCTGTGGATGATGGGTGCTTGGTGGTGGGGCTCCTATGATTATTATTGGGTAAGCTGCGTGCTAAACTTACCAGGACTCCAGGAGCTTGCAGGACACCGGGCCCTGGGCCCTGGCACCAACTGGCACCTGGAACATGGCCGCCAACTAAGAGGTTAAGGGCCTCTGCAGTTTGCTGCTCTGGGGCTTCAACTACCTACTTGTAACTGTCCACCCAAGGCGACTCCCGCGCTATTAGGATTTTCAGTTTAGCACCCTCTTCCAACACCCTCAGAGCCGAGATTCCGTGCAGACTGAGATTTGCACCAGCCGTGGCGGCCGTTGTCGAGAACAAAACTGGGCACTACCCTAGCATTCATCACGCCCGTCTGCCAGGATCCTCCTCATGGCGTTGGAAATCATCCGCATCATCATACGATGATCGTCCCATTGATGAGGGGCTCCAAGGGCATGGACTGCGCCAGTACCGGTACAATGTATGTCCTGTGGTGCGGCTCTTTGCAGCTTCGGGACCGATCCCATGCCCCATAGTACTGAGTGCGCTGTGTATCATCGACGACCCGATGAGGTGAGACTGCCGCCGTCACAACCAAAATACAGTCCACCTCCCTTTGTCGATGTGATACACAAGCTGCTCCGAAGCCAAGGTATTGTACGACCATCAGCCCCTACCATTGGGTCCTTGGTGCCCATATTGAGCTGTTCGGGAAACGCCAGTCCTGCAAGGTGCCGATTCTCCCAGCAGTCCTTCCTGGCTTTCTGGATCTGTTTCCGCCTCTCCGCTTCTGCTTCCCCGTATCAGACCTTCCGAGCTGCCCGATTCTGGCTGGTTGCTGCGCTTAGGGAACCTCTCCTCTACCCATTGTCCACTCGGATAAACTTGGAACATGAATCCCGAGCTGCAAGAGCGGCTTCATGCAGCTCGCATGAATTCCGTACGAGAAGAAGCAGAACAAGCTCGCAGGAGGGTCGACCATCCAATCACAGAGAACGCTTTTTTGCTTGGTCTCCAGTGAGGACCGCAAAGATCTTTAGGGGCGGGAGATAAACTCCCCAATGTGATATTGTACATGTGAACTTTTTGATAAGGACAGTGTGCCCAAGAGACACTCAGGCCTCAGATACCCCGAGCGAGAACGACGCTCCGCCGAGAGGAGCTCTCCAAAACGCCACTCGCCATGCTTAGAAAAGTCCCATATAGAGTCATCTCCTTGAGTCAAAGATGTCGGTCAATGTAGGTAGATACATCACGCTCCGTCAAGGGTATTCATCGGTTTAGATCCCACTGTGGCCTCAACGCTGCCGCTAGCTCGTCTCTGGTCCCTGCAACTTCCTTCGGTATGCGACTGACTCGGTACGCGCCAGTCCGGATGTTATGGAGGTGTACAGCCGATATTCCAGATCGATTGCTGCGAATACTCCCCGTTTCACTCGCCGTATCGTTAACTCGTAGTCGCGACGGCGGTGCAAAGTCAAGGGCGGTGAACGTGGATGACTTTCTCAATTGATGCCTGCCGATAAATTGATTAGCCACGATCACCCATCATATGATTTTGGAAAAAGACTTACGGGCTGGGTATGACTGCCAGGTCATCGAATGAAGATGCCAGTGGAATGTGAGCTCTGACTGCTGGGGAGTAAGGTCTCAGTCCTCCGCGAAGAGTATCCGGAGTACCAGACCTCTGGTTATGAATTTTCTGAGGGGGAGCGAAATCAATCGGCAAAAACGTGTCCTCCTTGAGTTTGGCCGGTGTGGGCAGGACGTTCAGCGGCTTGGGTGGCGGCAAGTTCTTCTTCGGTGGCATACGAGGATATCCTCCATACCGACCCGACGCCGATGAAAATGCCCTGGGACCTGTCTGGTAGCTTCCATTAGACACCGTAGCGCGATGTCTTCCATAAGTGCCGTTTTGTGACATTCCTCGAGGTGGATAATACGCCGCTTGATCATAGTAGTCATCTTGATAGGCACCAGGCCCATAGTTGTCCTGGTAATAACCTTCAGCACCGTCATGATATTGCATGTTCTGAGCATGGTTTTGTGGTTTGGAGTCATCAAAGTATTCCTTGTAAAATGATCTGATACGGTTGGCGCGCTGCTCGGGGTTTTCGGAGGGATCGTCGGGAGGCAATGGTCGCAGGCCCATTGTGAGTCGACGAGGATCGTACCCAGTGTAGTCATCATAATCTTGGTAATCGTAATACCCGTGATCGTCATTGTATTGTTGATCCTGGTCCCCATACGCCTCGTATTCCTCGTAGTAGTCGTCTTCCTCTTGTTGAGCCGGGTGTTGACCCTGCGACGGCTGATTATGCGAGTGTTCTGAATGAGAGAGTTCTGGTGAAGGAGCATCATGGACCTGGGGTGTCTTCGATGAATCGAAAGTAGTATGAAGGTCGTCTTTGGGTGCCGGAATCTGATGTCCATTGCCTGAGGAGTCGATGAAACTCAGTTGGGGTAGTCTTGGTTGACGCTCTTCTGGTGTATTCAACGTAATCCCGGGTACTGTAGGTGTCTGCCCCTGAGATTTTGAGGTTGCGGGCAGTGGGAGTGAGGGTGGAGTGTCTTTAAGTACGGCCGCAGGAGGCGCCTGGACTTGCACAACAGGTGTCTCAGCGGGGACCTCTTTCACGGACAGTATGGGTTCTTTCTTGCTGGGTTCCTCCTCAAATGCTCCGCCGCCACTAATGAACTGGCCAAGATAGTTGTTGCTGGCTCTCAGGGCATTCACCGCACCATTACTACTCGCCGTGCTCACGAACGAGTCTCGTACGGGATCGGGCATGGTAGGAAGAAGCAAGTTATTGTTTTTGCCTGCTGGCATAGGATTAAGACCCCCCGGTGCTGATTCTGCTGGAGTATTGCGTCCGGAAGGGGGCGGCCCATTTGCAGGCTCTTGAGCATTGCGTAGCAAATTCTGCTTCGAGTCGAAGGGAAATCTGCGGGTGGAAGACCCGGTATAGCTTGACGAATCGTCCACCGGACTTCTGAGACTTGATGGTGGGCGAATAGAACCATCGTCAGGAATGAATGTGGTGGCGCGATATTTGTCGTCACCAGTGTTTATGGAACGAGACAGCGAATGCAGCGACTCCCGAGAATGATGGAGTTCAGGAGGCAGAAGATAAGGGTTGTTCGCACCCATATCAAGCGACAAGCCACGTCCACGTCTACCGCCCGTCTCTTTCTCACCGGCCATTGACATCTCTGGAGCTTTTCGGCCATTCTTCTTCCCTGGGTTGCTCTTCGATTCAAGGAGGCCGAAGTCGAGGGATTTGTGCTTGTCTTCTGCATCTTCCCGCCTCAGCTTCTTCACATGCCTTCGGTGCAGATATAGCAGCAGGATCAACGCAATCCCTAGAGGAATGACCACCCCCAAAACAATTGGCAAGGTTGTACTCGACCCATCGGACCCGTAATATTTCTCACATGCGCCCGAATTGTCGTTTGGACCACATGAGGTTGTAGTTGCCGGGCTCGATGAACTTGACGATGATTCGGCTCTCTGTACCAGCGAAGGGGGTCTTTCCAGGTAGAGGCCTTCTAACCGGATATCGGGGATGGGACCTGGTCGAGCAAAGGGGTTCCTGGGCTGGATTTGCGGTTCATCCTCAGGGAGAATGGGGGAGGACATGATATTAGGGCGGATAGAGGGTTGTTTGTCTGCCGACAAGGGAAAAGGCGTCGATTAACAATTACTCTAGCATGACATGGTGACGGGCAGAGAACTGTAGCCTTTGGTGATCCGGGAGGGGTGAAGTTGTGTTGGTGGTCAATGTGAGGTCCAGACTGCGGCCGGAATGAAGGCGAAGGGCCAATCCACAACAGCAGCTGGAGTGCTAATGCAACGAATGACTCTGGTGAGGTACCAAAAGAATGACTGCAGTTGGGGGAACGAGTGACAAAGAGAATGACTGAAAGGAAAGACGACGGATGGCGGTCTTGCTCAAAGCAGAGCACAAGATGCTGAAAGCAAACGATATTGCATAGGTACAAAGGAGACGAGGAGAAGCAACACTGCAGACTGCCAAGGCTCCATGTGCAATACGCAGTGCTGGGTCCTGGTGAGATCGGAGCCACGGAGGGCTTCCTCATGGTGCCCCGACGAATGGGTCGCTTTAGGCGCATCAGAGATTCTCGTTGAGCGGCCACTAGCCTGACTGGCCCTGACTGGCCCTGACTAGCCGGGATCAGGGAGCTCCAAGCTGCACGGGTTAATGAAGTTAACGGAGTGGCTGCGGGGACTGAATTTCGCAACCCCCGCCTGAAATTTGGGCAAAACGGCAGCGCTGCGCAGGTCCCCGCTGATCTCAAGCGGCGCCAGGAACAAGCCAGTGCCTCCAGCGGGCGCCTCTGGGCTTGCGGGTGGCTATTGAGTAGTGGGCTTTAGTAAGGGTGTCGAGAGCTTGAAGGAACATGTATGGGGTTACATGGTATCTGTCGATTCCTCTCGCAGCGTACCTGATTCCGACTCCTCAACCAACTCCATCAGTCCAGCAAACTCTTTGAGAGAGAAGCATCTTCCTTCTCTGCAGCAACAACCACTCACAATTCCCTCGGTCGGCTCTCCAATCGGGACCTCAGGGACATGTTTATTGGCATCGCCACAATGGTGACATCTGGTTCGCAGTCACGGCTAGTGGTCAATCAATTGTCAATTTCCGACCCCCAACTTCGCGCATCCACTAACCTCATCCCAGGCTCCCTCGTTACACACTGCGCCCACTCCAATCACATTTCTCTGGCCACCGTCTTTGCCCCTGCAAATTCCCTCGTCTTTGATCAGACTTGAATTGCGTCTCCATCGTCGAATCATCCATTCATGTTGCAGGTGATAATATTCGTTCGATGCACCTGCGTCCACACATGGCATCAAGCTAGGCCAGCTTCAAGACGTTCTCGACCCCAGCTGGACAAGATGAATCTCTGCTCGCGTGTCAGGTCGGCTGTCTTCCAATCGTCTTACACTTTTCGTCATCAGCCATCATCCCCGTCAATAGCGCCTTTGCCCTCGAGCCTTCCCCTTGGCTATTGCATCGGGTCACTGCGTTAGATCATCTGGATATCGACAATGTGCTCTCTGAGCAATCTTCGGCGAATCTCCATTACGATCCGAAGTGTCTTACCTCGGTGAAACCACGGAGGACAACGTACGGAGTATAATACGCATACTGGGACCCGAAGAGGAACATGCTTGGGTCCGCACCTGAGGGTTGGCATGGGCAAGAGATGTTTGTTTGTATAAAGCTCCTCTGGGCAAAAGGTTGTCGATCCGTAAACAGATCCCCGCATCAGTTTCGACAGAACAAGCTACCCGCTGCCACGTGACTGTATTTTCGTCTAATCTCAAGCCTGGCATGTTGAAGCGTGCTGCTTCTCACTCTACCCAGTGTCTTACAACCATGCGTCAGCATTGTAAATCCTGGATGCGCCATCAATGAGAATATGACACTCTGAGCTTATCCTGGTAAATACAAGACCTACTTAGCCAGAATTGCGGAATTCCGCAGTCACACCGTCACCCATTGACAAAGAAATCTACACCATCCACTCATTGTCCCAGCTTAACATTGATGCAGATAGACAATGTACGACTTAGTGATCATTGGAGCCGGTGAGTCGCCTTGTGAGGGTGGGTCAGAGAACGCTTCTGAACTCGAAAAGGCATCCATGGGCTTATCATGGCCAAAACATATTTGGATGTGTATCCAGCTGCTCGATTGTTGATGCTGGACTCGGCTGAATCAATTGGAGGAACGTGGTCGGCCAATCGACAGTACCCAGGCCTTCACTCGAACAACCTTGTAGGCTCTTACGAATATTCGGATTTCCCGCTCGATCGAGCTACGTTAGGAATCAGCGCTGGAGAGCACATACCAGGTCCGAAGCTGCACCAATACCTTCAGGCATTTGCAGCTGAATTTGATCTGACTCGGCGGACGAAGCTCAACTCCAAGGTTGAGGTTGTTGAGCGTCTATCTCCAAACGAATGGAGAATCAGCTACCGAGATATTTCCAACTCCGTCGTGAGTGTGACTACGAACAAGCTCGTCATTGCTACCGGGCTGACAAACAATCCATTTGTTCCTCAATTTCGCGGTCAGGACAATTTTGAGGCTCCCGTCTTCCACGTCAGGGATCTCAAGGGTCGTGTAGAAGGGCTGGTGAAGTCGGCGAGGAATATCATTCTCCTCGGAGGCTCCAAGTCTTCGTACGACGTGGCATACACCTTTGCCTCGCAAGGGGTCACGGTCGACTGGATTATTCGTGAGTCTGGCCACGGCGCCAATTGGATGTCACCACCCCTTGTTACACCTTTTCAAAAGAGACTTGAAGGCTTGGTGGGCGTGAGGTTTCTCACCTGGTTCAGCCCGTGCATCTGGGGTGCCCAAGACGGCTTCGCCTGGGTTCGCAAGATGCTGCACGGTACCTGGATCGGAAGATTCTTCGTCGACAGGTTCTGGGACGTTCTAACGGGCGATCTGGATGAGCGGACCGGATATAACAAGCATCCCGAGACCGCAAAGCTGAGGCCAAAGCTGCCCACTTTTTGGCATGCCTCGTCGGTGTCAATCTTGAACTATCCCACTGATATTTTCGAGTATGTCCGCAACGGCACCATCAAGGTTCATGTTGCCGACATCGATCATCTCTCCAAAGGAACCGCCCATCTGAGCAACGGCACAACAGTCAGTGGCGACGCTTTGATCTGCTCGACAGGCTGGCACCATCGACCATCCATGAAATTCCTACCTGAAGGTATAGACGCAGAGCTAGGGATTCCGCATGATTCTACTGAACCAGAAACCAGCCTCGTCAGTCGCGCTGATGAGGAGATTCTGGGTCGCTTTCCACGACTTAAAGACCAACCAGATGTATACCAGAACTACCAGCCTCTGCAGCCAGCAAAGGATGAAGCCGTTGTCAATCAACGTCCTTTCCGGCTGTATCGCTTTATGGTGCCACCCACAAGCATCAATACTCCATCCATCGCTTTCCTAGGTATTCTTCTGACGATTCACACCGTCCCAGTCGCACAAGCCCAAGCTCTCTGGCTCACTGCTTATCTAAACAACCAACTCTCCGCTCAACGACTCAACCCCACGAAAAGTTTCGACCCCGATGCTGTGGCCTACGAAACAATCTTGCAGACACAGTTCGGCAAATGGCGGTACCCGGGCGCGTTCGGGAAGCAATTCCCAGACTTTGTATTCGATGCGGTGCCGTACATGGACATGTTGCTGAGGGATCTAGGATTGAGGTTCAGGAGGAAGAAGACCTGGTGGGCGGAGATCTGGTATCCATATGGCCCAGAGGACTACAAGGGTTTGGTGGATGAGTGGCGGATTCAGGTGAGTTGAGAGACAGCCGCACACGGTATACCTTCGACTGGCCTGTCGCCGGTTGGATGTGGTATGTACCTTGGACCCTGCTGATGTACTCTTTAGCAAGCGTAGGCGAAAGCGTTAGACACAAGAATGTCGCCGAGAACGATGGGAGCATGCAATGAGAGTGCTTAGTCCAGCAAACGGGCATCAAGCTGTCTATTGTTCCTGGCTCTAGTGACCATGCTGATGGATCACTTTGCAGAGCACCCTCTGAAACGAGATATTGTCGACGGGCAAGGCGAGGCCACCGAGACTATAACCAGGCCGCATTCTAATTCATCTTGGGCTGGCGCTTAGAGTATTCCACATCCTCGCTACCTTTTCTTCTCCCCTTATCAGGCCTCTTTCCAGGGCACTTTTGACCATCAAAGAGGGCTAAGATTTGATCCGAGATGTCTGAAACATGAGACCATGGGCCAAATGCTGGGCGTCAAATTCCGATCCAAGAGACTATACAGCCGAGCAAAGCGACAGCGCCCTAGGGTGTCGCCTTGGAAAGGATGCACATCCACCTGCGGCTCGTGTCCAGTGCTCAGCCAAGAATTGAGGCTTCCCCCAACTTCCCTTTGGACGTGGTTTTTCCTCTGGAAATGGCCCTCGAGGGTTTCAGACCGGTGAATTGAAGCAGACATCGCGGTTCTGAGAGAATGGCACGCGAAGCGAACTCGGTGGCACCGAGCTAACCGCCTTGCTCAACATTTGAGGTGATGAACGCGGAGTCACCGGGGGCCAGGATGGTACCGTAGTGTACGTAGTAAGGGCAATGGGCTGACCATCGCAGAGGGAACATATTCGTTATTACGTGTGTCTGTTTTCCTCGCTGCGGTCTTTTGGGACGCGTGGACGCTTGGATGCAAACTTAGTCATGGATCGGATTCCTCGACCCAGAACAACTCACCTCCCGGAGGCTCGCCTGCGCTGTATCATCAACTCAAGTCCACCACCATCAATTCCCACCACCTCGGTGCTCCAATGTGTTTCTTGGGCCAAGACGCCAAACATAACTCTTCATTGCAGACTGAGAGGATGGGACGGTGGCATATCCCGCAGATTTATCCACCTTATGCAGAGGAATTTGCATCGTTGCAAGGCACCGCCTGACCATAAGGCACGCACCAAGTGTGGACGAATGAAAAGGATGCGTGGCTGCGTTTTGGCCCTACAAGATTCGCTCTATTATTGACAATTGGGCAGATGCTAGCCAAATCAAACACCCTTCAGCAGAACGGCCCTTGACGCTTCGGGACGTTGGTGCAAACCTACCTCGCCTACTCGTTCATCCACTTGCAGCTGGGCTCTGCGACCCAGCCTCTTTCGATAGGGTTGATCGACCTGAGATGTGGCGGCTATCACGGCGACAAGAAACCTTGCGCAACCATCACTCTTGGGGGCTGGAAGTATGTATTGTGGTAAAGCCGCAAAAACATCTCACGTCTGAGCCGACTCGGTTTCGAAACGATGCGTTTCTAAAACACTTACAAGAAAATGGTCACTTACACGCGACCCCACTACCTCTCCGTCTAGACTGCTTCGGTCTTCCGAGGGCGCCTTGTTGAAGGGGGCATTCGTGGTACCTAAGGGCGAACTTTGTTCTTCTGTGCCCTCTCCCAATCTCCCCCTCTTGCTCGCAGCCCCAGAAGGCCCGAGGAAAGGGTCGGGTCGCTCAGAACGTGGTGGACCAGGCCCGCCACGACCATTATACCTTCCGTTCGCAGTTGGTTGTGTCACCGATGATTCATCCATTGTCCAACGTTGACGACGCAGCTGAGGCTCGGGTTTGAAAGAGCGTTGTGAAACCCCCCTTCTGCTGTACTGCATCTTCTTGTGTGGCTTCTTTCCCTTTCTGCCTCTACGCTTGTCTCAGCGGTCATGACTCTTTCCACGAGGCTGTGTCATTGATGGCACCCCTCAACCAGCGACTTTGTGCAGCAGCTCATGATTTCACATACAACCATTCTGACTGTACGCCAACTATTCGTATTGAGGCTTACAATCTCTCAAAGCGCGGATACATACGGACTCTCGGCGATTCCACCTGTTGGGCGATTCAGTATACCAGTCGGCGACAATGCACGGCGCCGTATATCTGCTGGTACTTGAGCCTCGCCCGTTTTTCAGATGGGCCATTCGCTCTGCACATATAACGACTGTGCCCCTTGTTCCTTGAAATTAGTCCCAGGATCATCGACTCGAGTTTCCTTACCTCTTCATTCCAACAGCAACAGGCACCATGAAAATATCTTCGGGTTTTCTCATTCTATTGCTTTCGGCATCAGGTGGCGCGCAAGAAGACAGCAATAAATCCGATGACTTTGTCTCATGGCAAGATTCTCCCAATCAGCGAGGTACGATGGATATCGTCTGGTCATGCTTGTTCACCGTCTTCATTTGTGTATGTACTTTTCAAATCGCCTATCAGTGTTCTGATGAGCTTTGGCGGACGCCCTGTATATCCCGACCTGATTGACTAATGCTAAAGGGAACACTAGGTTTGGACCGCCGTCCATCTCAACGTGCCGGCTCCCCCTGATACCGACACAATGTTCGCCTTGTGGCTGAGGAGGATAAAATGGGGTTCGCTCCCCTTCATTCTTGTTGAACGTCCAACTAACGCATGCCTAGTCGGAAACTGCTGCATGGTTCCCGAAATCGTTTTACTGTTAGCTGCCGGCCAGTGGTCCTTGGCTCGTGCTTGCTGGCGCGAAATGAGAGATGTCATCGCCGAGCTTGACGAGGCACATGAAATGGAGGCTGGCGAGAGACTGAACGCAAAGTCCACGGCTACCCCAACAATCGAGCTTAGGGGTCCCAATCTTGAACCTGATTCGGAAGAGGCACCGGAAGCAGAGAGGACACGACCAAAATTGCGCCGAGCTGAGACGTTTGAAGAGCTGAAAAGAAGGAAACATGATGAGAGGTGGACATTGCGGCATGCATTCTATGCCAACATGGGTGGCTTCCGGCTCAGAGACAGCACGGGCCAGGTGTACATTGTCACCGCCAAACACATCAACCACCTGGTTCGGAAGAGATACATCGACCTGCCCAAGATAACGCCCTTGGAAATCAATGACCGAAGCAAATCCGACAGTCTGGCCAAATTCTTGGCCATCTTGCAAGTGGGATCGCTTGCCATACAGGTGATCGCCCGAACCATCCAAAAACTGGAAACAACGACACTGGAGGTCACGACTTTGTCATTCGTTGTTTGTACGTTAGGCACTTTCATCGCCTGGTATCGGAAACCCTACGATGTGCAAACTTTTATTGTGCTCGATATGCCGGGCTATGCCATCGAAGACATCGAATTGAAATTCGTGGAGAGGAACGGCAAGCAGCGAGATTTGCTGCAGGAATATATCACAGGACATCAAACGAGTAACGTGGTCGACAACGATGGCAAACTCCTGGCGCCGTACAACAAGCTGACGATCATCGATGATGGCCTCCCGACATTTACCGCCTCATTCACCGACGTATATGGCCATTTCTGGGGGCGAAAACCCTATGATGCAAATCGAATTCGCAACGACCGCCTGCCGGTGATGGAAAAACCAGTCACACTTGTCTGCGCTATCACAACGCTTGCTTATGCCGGCCTTCATATTGCAGCATGGAATATACCTCTGGCGACCAACATTGAACGATTGCTCTGGCGGATCGCGTCCATTGTGCTGATAAGTTGTGTGGTCGTCTGGTTCTTCATGGACCACTTTGAGGAGTATTTGGCCCACAGAAGAGTCAAGAAGGGGAAGGTGACTGATGGAGTGATTGTCCCTTGGTGGAGAATCCCGGCATCGATCGCTGTGGCTTTTGTTTATGGCTTGTCTAGGCTCTATGTGCTTGTCGAATCATTTGCGGCGTTGAGGTGGATGTCGAAGTCAGCATACGAACAAGTAGACTGGGGGAAATGGGTGCCGCACCTGTGATCACCGACGGCGCTGAGACGGTTGCCAAAGTCAGCATACGAACCATTAGACTGGGGGAACTGGGTGCCGCACTTATGTTGGTGTCTTGATGAGGACAACGAGTGATGAGAGAGGAACCTTAAAGAGACGGCTAGTATGGGAATGGCGAATGATGAAGGAGTTCTGGGTGCACATATCTTGCCCTTTGGGATGGGTCGGGTCGATCTGGCGTTTGTTAGGATCCAGGGTTGTTCACTGGTCTTCTTTTAATGCTTCTGTTGTTGCAAATTGAGGCCTGCGAGTCATTCGATTTTGTGTCGCTTTTGTATTGCAGTAGTTGTAGCCTGCACCATCTTCCGCAGGAAACTCTTCGCAACACCTCCATCATCCCTGACTCCAGTCTGATCTTGACTGCATTGATTCTCTCTCATGAGGTGGCAGAAATCGTCAAACCTCCCAAGACATGACCTGCTTCTGGTATGGTTACCAGCCCATGGTCAAACCCGGCAGACTGCGCCACTCACTCGGGGCTAATCATGTACCTACACGCCAGTGCCTACCAGAGAATCAAAGACTTTACCGAATTCCGCAACAAATCCGACCCTCAGGTCCCAGGTCTGTCCTCAATTCTTGTCTCTGAGAGACCATGGACATCTCTTCCACCTGTCACTCCCGGTGCCATGGAGATACAGAATCATAATTACCATTTACCGCTTTTCCAACGGCGCCTATTGTCTTCTTAGAACAGCACCCGCCGCCTTCTTTTACCGAGGAAAATTTGCAAAAGTCTTGTGAATGTGAATCTAAAACAATGGATACATTCGGGGCCTTACTGTTGTGCTCGGCCCTATTCCTCGCGTGGGCTGGGATGGAACGATGGAAACGATGGAAGGTACAACATACTCGCATACCCGCGGCCCCATACAATTCTCATACGGGACGATATGTTTGGCTATCGGACTGACCTGGCTCCTTCAGGACTTGTCAGCGTTTGCATCCTCCAACGGCTGCAAACCAGCCCAGAGGCATTTACACAACCCGTGGTGGCTACCCTTTGGCCTGGACAAGTATCATCTATTGAATCCCTACTGTTTGAGCCTCATCCTGACAAGCCTAGAATGCTGCCGACCCTCAAAGCAGACCGAGCAGGTAGACTGCCGGCGTTCATGCTGCAAGAATTCGAGAAACATGGCCACACCTATAGCCAACGAGTGACCGGCCAGCTGGTGGTTTTGACCAGATCCCCAGCCAATGTGCAAACCGTGTGCAAAACCCGCTTCAAAGGTTGGTTGTGCGTCAACCTCGCACGACATAGCAGGTCGTACTGACCCTATCTTCCCAGACTATGAGATTGGGTCAGACCGTGCGGGAAACTTCGGCGCCCTCATCGGCCACGGTATTCTGGCCTTGGATGGTCGAGAATGGACTAGATCTCGCGCCATGTTGAGGTCTGTGGGCTTTCCGAGATCATAGGACGATACTGATATCAATATTGGTGTAGACCACATTTCACGAGAAACTTTGATCAAGACTTTGTACAATTGGAAGGCCACGTCCAGCATCTGCTGCGCCGGCTGAACGACGTGGCATCCAGGAACATGCCCGTCGACATTGGCGACTTGTTCCTGAAGTTGAGCACCGACTTCGCAACCGAGGCAGTCTTCGGGCACAGCACCGATTCCTTGCTCTTGGACTTGAAACACTGGTCAGGAGAGCAGGATAAAGGGAGCGCAGGAGATTTTTCTCTGGCCGTCGATCACGCTCTTCACATGCTAGGGCAGAGAGGTCAGCTCATCAACTTCTATTGGCTTCGCGATTCACCTCGATTTCGACGATCTTGTCGGACTTGTCAAGCATTCGTCAACCGATACCTGGAAGACGCACGACAGTCCCAGTCGCAGACGATCGTCGAAGACCTGGGAAAAGGAGGTACCACGTCGTTCATGCATTCACTGGTGGCCAGGGACAATATTCCCGCCGATGTCATAAGGGATCAGCTTTTGGCTTTGCTGGTGGCAAGTAGGGATACCTCAGCCTCATTCGCCTCATGGGTGATCTATGCCCTGGCCAGACATACCGAAGTCATGGCAAAGCTTCGGAGCTTGATCGATACTCACTTGCCCAGGGGTAGGCTTCCAACGGCGGCAGATATCGCCGCTCTCCCGTATCTCCGCCACGTCCTGAACGAAACACTGCGGATCTTTCCTGTGGTACCCCTGAATGGGCGTACGGCCAAAGTCAATACTATACTCCCAGAAGGGGGCGGTCCTGACGGCAAAAGCCCGCTGTTGGTACCGGCAGGCACCAAGGTGGCCTTCAACATTTATGCATTGCACCATCGACGAGATATCTTTGGGATGGATGCTGACGCGTTTCGACCAGAACGATGGGAAGAGGTTGGCGCTGGCACAGTGGGTGACTTCGAGGGAGCCTTCGTGCCCTTCATACTCGGACCCCGCGTCTGCCTGGGCAGTAAGTCACTGTCGATTAGCGTCGTTGAGTTTAGCCCTGAACAGACTGACAAAGTGTCCCAGAGAACATGGCAATGATGACCGTCTCCTATCTGATCGTCCGCATCCTGCAGAAGTTTGACCGCCTCGAGGCTGTTGACAGTCCCGCATCACAAAGCCTACCGAGGGATTCACGCAATTGGCCGAGTGAAGACACTCGATACGATATGGAGGATAAGGAGACAACCTTCAGCATCGGCGTAACGATGTCTCCTCGTGACGGTGTTTGGGTGAAACTGCGATCGGCAGGAGATACATAGGGGAGGATGATCCAACAATAAGGATACCGATGTTTCAGTGCATACCATATCTTTGAAAAGGGGATTTCTTGCTGTGCTCGAGTTCGAGTTTTCGCCCACATGCCAGGCGGGTGGACGGCACTCATGCTGCAGAGGCATGGCCGGCGACGCGACAGCGTCCACGCAAGAATGAGGAATTTTTGGTGCAGATGTTGTCATCTGGCACCATGGGCGCCCTGAACGAGAGCCTAGGCCAGTCCAGGTCAAGCCATCGCCAAAACCTGGATCTCCATTGGGCTTGAAGCTCCTGGTGGATTGCACCCTGGCCGCTGCGCCCCCCAAGGCCTGGGAGCGGTGGGCATCTCCACTGATGTCCCAAAACCAGTGATCAACGTCACACAAGCGGCCCTGAGCGTCCCCAGCGACCTCCCAAAATGGACGATACTTTCTTGCCCAGAGCAAAAACACACAATGAGGCTGGCTGGAGGCAATAAAACAATCTGAGAGGAACTTCCGACAATAAGGGGCATCGTGGAGTCCTCAGTGTCTGGAACGGCACATGGCCTGGCGATGGGAGAATGTTAGCCATCGCATGACCCAAGGGCTCATTGTTCCAGGCCTTCAGGATCGAAGTCTCGCCGAACTCAATAGCATTGGACACCCACCGCCCGCCGCGGCCCCCGAATCGAACTATGCGCTGAGACTCCCATCGGACAAGGGAGAATAGTAACAGCTAGCGCACCAGTTTGAGGCTGCTGTCATGCGGAGAAGGACCATGGACAATGATGGGCTCTATTTACGAACGCCTCCAGCCGGAATCCTTGGGGCGCTTCGAGTGGCTGCCGTGGTGAGATGGACTTGATGGATCTGCCATCAGCCTCGATCTCGCAAAGCCCTTTTCCTCAAAGCCTCCTGTGTGCTGTGGAGAGGCAGACAAAAACATATATACACGTGGTCCTCCCCAAGGGCTGCATCACTGTCTACTTGGTTCAACCATCGCCCATCAACCCAGCCCAGCCACCAACTTTGTTTCCCCCCAACCCACAGGACTGACACCCGGCACAGCCGCGCACACCCCTTCGGAGAGCAAAGACATCATCCGATCCCGCAAGTCATTCCACTGCTACTGGGTCCCTTGAACCCCCCGCATCGCTACCCAGTTTTTTGGAAGCAGCTGATGCAAGCGACGACGTCGACATTCCACCCCACTTGCTCGCACCACTCCCAACCTCAAGGGGTGGCCATATCAATGGCAGCATATCTGCTCGGCTTCGTCTTGTATGCTCTTCTCTCTCTCCCTGTCTCTCTCCAGTTCGACCACACCCTCGTTGTGCACTACCCATTGGCGACCATGATCAAGAGTCTAATGCGATTGCTCTTCAGCACCGGGTTCTCGTTTGAGAATCACCGAGACGACGATTTCTTCAACGAGCCCTCGACTATGCGGCCTCGATTGACTGCTGCAGCCGCCAAGGAGGATGGTTCCACGGAGCACCTTGCATCGCTGTCCTCGCCCTCGACGTACCAGGTGGTCGCCAGAGGTCTGCCCGGCGCAAAAATCCACTATGCAGCACCGAGTGCCTGACGACGTCACACCTTGACACACACACACACTCTCTCTCTCTGTCTCTCTCTCTTTTGCGACAGCATCATCCACAAGCTCTTGACCATGAGCAAGCACCATTTTGTCCTTTTCTCCTTGGTACCTAGATAGCATTGGGTGCGACACCATTTCCAGCCGAGGCAAACCCTTCCTGCGAGGCCAACATCTCGTGCGACAGTGGCCAAAACCCCTTCCCGAGCATGACGACTGCAACATTCTTGGAGCTTGGAGTGCAGCTGGTGGATCTGCCGGCACCACGGACGACCAACAACCACAACTAGACATTTTTTTCACGATCCCCGCCTTTCCAGCGCTACGACGGCAACAGTTGGTCATCCATGTTTCGTGGTCTTTGCGAGCATGGCACCACACTGGGACGCCACTGTCTCGCTTAGAGAGCTGGTATTCGCCCATTTTCTCGCATCCACCGCAGCCCTAATGCATTGAAAAAATACCGGTTGATTGACGCACGGACCTTTATCGACCACACACGCACACACACACACACACCACACACACGAATTTCCTTTCCGTTGTGAATCACGCAAAGCCACCAAGGCTAGGCTTCAGAGCACGACGACTTGACGATTGCATACAACCATGATGATATGATACCACACGATATGAGGCTGCCATGGATATGGCCCCCGGATTCCCGTCAGCGTGTTATGATGGCAGCCAGTATTCGATTCTGGGATTTAGAGGGCAGGGGAGATTCTGCGATTTGATTTGTTGGGGAAAAGATGGATGCGGAAATATAGGTAGTTTACGACGCCAATAGTATTCGATGTTAATTGCCTGAGTCTTGTCCCTATTGTACTCCTTTGTGTAGCCGATATTTGTTTGTGTGTGTGTGAGGCCGCGAGCCTGAGTAGACAGCCCAAAGGTGTGCAGCAACTGAACGCATGAAACAGAACAGAAACAGAGAGCATTGCGTGGCTGGGAGGCGCAGCACCACCACCACCACCTTGTTGCTGTTTTGGATGTTTCGAACTGCGCCAGGATCATTGTTGATGAGGCTGTAGACCTTCTTCTCTTCTCTTGATCCGTCCAGCCTTGCTCCCTCCAGAGCAGTCAACTAGTCAGCAGCCCTGCCCCGTCTCTGCGTCTGTCTCTGGCTCTATCTCTGCCTCAGCCCCCCTTTCCCCCCCAACTTCGCCCATGACAACGACTCTATATTCGTCGACACGTGCATCAGTTGAACGATCCCATCTCACTCGTCGCCCATCATGTCTCCACGTCCCCCGTTTCAGCCGTCGTTGCATCTCACCCGGTCAATAATGAGGAGCCGTTGTTGTAATAACATGACACCCAGCATTTGCCTAATACGGCCGTACCGCCCAAGATGCTTGGTTTGTGCTTTGTTCGTCGCCACTGGCTCAAAGATTGCCGTCCGGCTTCCCGTCCACATGGATCCTACGCTGTGTACACGAGGCAAGTGGTCCTCATTCACCAAGCCATTCATGAAGACCGCAAGAGGCCTGCTATTGGCGTGTCTGTGCGCCGTCGTCGGTCCTCCTGCAAGGCCATCTCCCCTTGCAGGCGCATTGTTCAGCCCTGATGACTATTGCCGTGTTCGGTAAGAGAGACTGTCGCGTTGGTGTCTTGAAGGTTTTCTTTTTGGTCATCATCCGCGCCTTTTCTGGTGATGAATATCGAAGAAGAGAGCGCTGTTGCTCTATCATTCACCAAGGACGAGAATACAATCTGCGTCAAGGAGTGAATGCGTTCATCCCTGCAACAAGGTAGAGGCTTTTCTATCTATCCTGTCTTTACTATTGCCGTCGTGCCAAACAACCAAGGAGGGCGCCACAGAGAGCACTGATCGAATAATAGCATTCGCACACCGCCATGATCTGACTCGCTCCTCAGGCGAATGAACATGCACTGACCCGTGGCCGTCCAATGGCTGCGCCCATGGCATTTCTCTTCGTGGACTCGTCACCAGCTACCACCGACGTAAGAGACAAGGAACTGATCCGAGCTGAAGCTCGATCTCATGCGGCGAAAGTCTCTCATCGCGCAAGTCGCCGGGTCGATTCCACTGGGCTTGCTCACGAGAAGGGTGCTGTCACTGTTCAGAAATTCAGGAAGCCGGCTTTCAACCAGCAAGACGCGATCGCATCCTCATGCCCCCATGTTACGGACGGCACCGGGCAAGAACCCAGGCCTCGTCCGAGTCGCGAACGAGGAGGTACGTCTTGCCATGTGCGACGCTGGCGTCTCGGATATCAGGATTCATCGAGACAACCTGACACTCGCACTGACTCTCTCCTCAGCAACAGGTCGACCCGCCACTCTCCTGAGAGTACTCGGACGACCATCCCGGTTTACAAGGGAAACTCTGACCCGTTCGACTGTACTGCCGTCCCATTCACCGCTTTGGACCTTTCTCTGGTCAAGGACGACCGGCAGAGTCTGGTTGACATCGTCTGGCCCGCCGAGATTTCCATGCGCAGAAACCACCCGGCCTTGCTGGACCGGATGTGGAATGTCATGCCCAGCATCCTCGATTCTGCCGCCGTCGTACACGCCGTCATCAGCCACGCGCACCACAGCAGGGCTTTGCGCCATCTTGCCTGGGGCCAACGCGACCACAGTGCGACCGTCCTAGCCGAGCAGCATAAGCTCCGGGCGGTGAGGCATCTGCGGCATCTCCTCGAGAGATACAGCCAACGTGGCGGTCTCGATGTGCTGCAACAGATCAGAGGTGCTTCCGCGCAGCTCGCGGCCTGCGGTGTCATTTCGGGAGATGCTGGCGCTGCGCAGATCCACTTCGCCGGCGTGAAGATGGCGGTCGATCGCTTGGGAGGCTTGAGGAACATGGGCCCCGGCCAGTCTGAGTGCCTGGTGTTTTCGCAGGTGGCGGGCGCCTGGTTCAACCGCTCCCGCCCGATCTTCCATCCCGACGAGTGGGATCCGGGGCCGTGGGCTGAACAAGGATTCGACTTTGGCGAGCTGCCCCCTTCAATGTCCGGGAGGAATCCTGCTTGCGTCTGCGGCCCCTGTCCTCGGCCATCGACCATATCCCCCGGCATGCAAGTTACCATCGATCAAGTCAGGGAGCTTTTGCGTGTTGAAGACCTCAAACTCGTCCTGGCGGCTTCGGGGGATGAGAGAGCCACGCAGGTGTTCCGCTGGTCAGGGCTGCGCAAGCTTGCCGTCCGGGCCCACAACCTGTGTTTCTGGTGCGACATCGACGAAGCCGTCAAGTCCACCGCGGGCGGTTGGCACCCAGGCGGCAGTTCCAGCAGCGGCACCATGGGGTATCGTCCGCCCGTGCCTTTCGACACGGTCCTTTGCCTGACGGTGCGCTGCTTCGACCGAGCCATCTTCGAAGAACACTATTACGCCGCCGCCGACGCGCCGTTTCGGCTGAGCCGGATCTTCCTCGCCGAAGTGGCTGGCTGCCTCCAGCGCCTGGACCCTCCGTTCCCTGACGTCGCAGGACCGCAGGGCGCGTCACCGCACGACCGGCGCATCCGGGCAGACGAGCGAAGGTACGACATGCTCTGGGTCTGCTCCGTCGGGGCACACATTGAGGAGCACCATCTCAGCCTGGCGGCCCGACAAGCTCCGCCCCTTCCATCGTCCTCGATCTCAGCCACCGGATCGCGACCCCAAGACACGACGGGTGGGAGTGGACTCTTCACGGCCGGATTCGCGAAGCTGGCACGGACGCTGGGCTTCGAAGGGTTCGACGACGTCGCGACCTTCCTGGCCGAGAGGTACTTGTACTGTCCGCGCCTCCAGGATGCGACGTTGAGGAGGCTGCTTTGACGCGGGACTCCTCTGAGTTTATATATAACGGGCCAAAAAAAAATGGCCCTGTCTAGGCCTGTGGCCTCCATGCTCAGCTTGTCCCCGCGGTGGTCGAGGAATTGGACAAAAACCCTCAGCGAGAAATTTCGAGGGATACCGACTTTAAGTCTAGTCAGTGAGGCAGATTTCCAGGCCGCCGTCGGAAACTGTGCCTTGGGTGTCGGGGCTCTCACTCTTGCGCGCTACTTCCTGCTGGATGGGAGAGGGGGGGATGAATACCTTGTATACCCTACCCGCTTCCTGCTTCCCGCTTCCCGCATCGTGGAATCAGGCCTCCTTTTTGGTCCCGGCCCAGCCTTCCATGGTAGTAACAGGCAAATATATGCGCGAACGTGGGGGCAATGTCGGCGTCCCAGCAGAGAGTGCGGAACGACCCAAGCACACCGTCGCACTCGCAGCAGCATCAGCAGCGCATAATTGGACACCCCGTAAGGAACGCCGCCTTCACAGCTGAGCGGGCCTGGTCGCCACGAGGAGGACATACTAGAGCCTAATACGAGGAGATAGATGGTGAAGCGGCAGGGAATGGAAGGAGACTAAGATTATATTTGCCGCGAGCCATGGTATGGCATTGCCTGCGCGGAAAGGGGATGGGAGTCGAAAATCTTCGTAACATCATGCATGCCCTGCGAGTTTCTGCCCGTCACTCTCAAACTCCGTCACCTCGACTTTCCCAAGACCCTTTGACAACGAGAATGCTACATATGATACATCCCACTCCCACTCCCATCCAACATCCAACATCCAATGCTCGGACAGATTCCAACAATGGCTGCCCAAGGCTAGTATATGCCAGTTTTCTATAGCGTCTGTTCTTACAAACGAACTTCGCGGACTCCGATGTGCCGAAAGAGCGACTTCCTGCTTGCCTCCCGACCATGTGTCTCGCTGAAGACCAACTAGCTATCCAAGCACCGAGAAGACAAAAGCTGCATTGTATATGGAATGACGATAAATTGAACGAGTCTGGCCGATATATCGAATGGTGCTTGCTCAAAGGGGGTACCGAGACCCCAGGACGGGCGATCCTGAGTGTCGGCTTTTCGACGTCGGGCCCGGCTGATCCCATGCAAATGTGAGGACATGGCGATCTCTAAGTTATCCCGGAACTGATGACGATAGATCATGGCGGACCGTCAAGGACCACGTGAGGGAGCAGCGCGTGGCATGGCCTTGGAACCACTCGTCAAGCGATTCCTGGTGCAGGCTCTGGAGGACACAAATCGCCTGATGTAAAGGTCAAATGTCGTAACTTCGTCTCGCTCGTTCATTGCACATCAAGTAGCCAACACAACGCTGGTTGGCTTGCACAGCTCCCTCGGGAAGTAGCAGAAGGGTCCGATAGGGCCCAGCTCGTCATGATCCCATTGCGTCCACAGCCCAAACACGCCCCCGGATCTGATGCCCCCTGGCTGGACACCTTCCAACTGCCACTGATCATGGCCGGCGTAGTTGATGATGAATTTCCACCTTACCTCTCGTCCACCCGGGACAAGGCTCGCACAACCTCTGACTCCGATGGCCGGGCGGTGCATCGAGGTGTGGCTGTGGGAAACGCCAGAGAAGTGTAGCACGGGTAGGTCAGTAGACGCGGGAAGCGATGTCGCCAGGCGTGGATCTGACGCAACGGTGTCGTCGAGCCGGAGTTCGAGCCTCATCAGTTCGCCACAGTCTTCGGGTTCGTCGTCCAGGGTCGGCTGAGTGGCGATGTCATTATTCCAGGTGTTAAATGCGACGAGGTCATTGTGGTCGATCCAAGAGTAAGTCCCCAGCCACGTCCCGGTGACCCGGGCCCAGTCATTGGGGCTGGTCGGGTCGGCCAGTGTACGGTGCGGCAGAGAATAACAGAAACCTTGAGGCAGGGCGAGGCGGCCTTCGACACACATGGAAAAGTTGCGGCTGATGACGCTGACTATCGCCTCGAGGAGCGACCAGTCGACCGTGCCGCTGCCATCTCGCCGAAAGGGGCTGTATTCATTGTCCGGTCCGCTCATACTCCAATTGTACACTTTCCGCCTGGCCGCACCTCTAGCCCGGTGCTCGATGCGCTCACGAGTAGTCAGACCGTAAAACACATGGAGCCTTGAGGCGGATTCGGGCCGGTTCTGGTCATTTGTGCTCGCGGCCATGCTCCTGGTGAACCGCAGTGTCGCACCCAACAGACGCTCGTCAGATCTGGCGTGCCGCAGCGTCCTCTGCATTCCCGTATCGTGGATGAGACTTTCGATGCCATCTCGATGGGCGGTCAGGGCGGAGAGGACTTGGAGGTTCAGTGAAGTTGTCCGGTCGTCCTCTCGGGGAACTTTGCCACTAGCAATGTCCCGAGCATTGAGTTCGAATTTGGCCGTGTCGCGGATGTCGAGTAGGGTGGTGAGATAGGCTTCAGCCTGACTGTCAAACCCACACTGTTTTGACTGGACACCTCGCAGCGCCATTAGTCTTGTATAAAGTTCATGGTGCCAATCCCACTGGCGCTCTGTTGCCAGTGGCGTGTGGCCGGGCATCATGGACCAAGCATCATTCGGATCATCAAAGACATGCAAGAATGCAGCTCTCCAGAGAGTCTGGTTTTGAGGACGCACAAAGTCATGTGCAGCCTTGCAAGTTCGACCCAGACGGACAATGTCCGCAGGGGGCAGATACGACGAGATATGTTCTAGGATTTCCTTGGGCAGATCTAGGAGCTGCATGGCTAGGCTGGAGAGGGAGCTCCTGAGATTGAGGTCCAAGTGAACAGATGGCAGAGAAGTGATGGCAAAGGGAGGACGGAGAGGAATGAGGTAAAAAGTAGGTTGCTAGATCGCCAGTATTCGACTTCGCCAATCTCTCAGCAGGGCAGCGTGGCCATTGCTCACTGCCCCTCACTTGGCTGCTTCGAGCCAAATGTTTCATCCCTGGCAGGGAACCCAAGCCTGTCAGTGGGTGTCACAAACAACAATATGGCGCCGTGGATGCAAGGGGGATTGAAGAGCAGGAGGCTGCGCCGGGCGCAGAACTGATTGAACGCTCAATGGCCACCAGAGCGCATGATCGCCATCTAGCAGCTGTGGGAATGGTGAATTGTAGGTAGAGAAATAGGTAGCTGTCGGGGTGGTTGTTTAGGCCCCCGTGCACCGCCATGCCTCAAGACACGCCGTCAAATTCCCCCTTCCAAGACACCAACAAACGCTGCCACCACTGCCAATCTCACCCCCAGCTCGCCAGTAACCGCTCGCACAGCCGCAACGCAGTCGCATCCAACTCTTCTGCCTCGCATCCTCATGTGGAAGTCCTGCATGCATATTAAGAGGTACTGTCAATATCGCAGCATCTCCTGACCACCTTCGCCCGCCAGCTCTTCCTCAAAAGCCCTTCCACCCACCCCACAATCTGTGTCGATTCCACCCTAGAGACTCTCCCCCATCCACCGCTACCGCCTACAATGCCTCTGAGAGACTTGCTCAAGAAGAAGGACAAGATCGATAGTGATGTCGCTTTTCAACCGCCTCCCCTGCCTCAGGCGACCGAATTCACCTTTGTCCGCACCGACACGCATACAGAAGAATACATCAAGCCTCCTGGATTTGAGGATGACCCAGAGCTCGCTGCGTCCGTCGAACCCAAGAGTCCTTCTCCATCGAGACGCTCATTTGGTCGATTCCGAAAGAGCCACAGTCCCGGTGCTGCCGACGTGTCTTCCCCAGAGAAAGAAAAGAAGGAACATCGACGCCTGTCTGAGCGGCTGCATCTGAATAGGGATCGTTCTGCGAGCACGAGCTCGGTCAATCTGCCTTCTGATCTCCCCGAAATTGACGAAACATATGCCGAATCTGGTGATCGTCAAGAGACAGAAGCGAAGTGGGAGGAACGTGCGACCATTTTGGCGAGCAAAAGCCCTGCCATGCCAGCTCATTCTTTGACAGGCGAGCTAGAGACGCTCAATTTGGGCCTCCCTGGGCAATCTCCATCGCGGCCTCGAAGCATAAACGACCCAGAGAGCGACATTGACATCCAGAAAGCAATCCAGCTCCACGAGTCTGGTGACCTCAAGGAGGCAACCGAAATGTTCCACCAACTTGCAGAGTCAGGCAACGTCTTATCCCAAGTCCTCTACGGCCTGTCGCTGCGGCATGGCTGGGGCTGTGAGCCTGATCCTGCAAAAGCAGTCACCTATTTGTCAGCTGCAGCGTCCAACTCTGCCACCATTGAATCTGATGCTTTGAAAGCCGGAATGAAAAAGGGAGGCGCCGCCAAGGGCGAGCTGGTGCTTGCAATCTTCGAGTTGGCAAACTGCTTCCGCCACGGCTGGGGAGTTCCGGTCGACAAAGTTGCAGCAAGGCAGTATTACGAGACGGCGGCAAATCTAGGAGATACGGATGCCATGAACGAAGCTGCGTGGTGCTACCTCGAAGGATTTGGGGGCAAAAAGGACAAGGTGAGTTTCCGCGCTTTTTTCTTCCTCAAAGCTTTGCTTGGAAGCCCAAAATACCGCAGGCGCCTTGGGATATCTGCGTCTCTCGATCAACGCGTACCCCCCCCTTTCCCTCTTGACACGTGATGGACGGCAGCGGCGGCGGCAGCAGCAGCAGCCCAGCTGAGCCTCATCCGCCCCCGAAAGCGGTCCGACCATGGAGGTTCGGGTGTAACGCAGTCTGACCCATATCGGGAGTGCTATTACTTGGAGGGGGCCCTTCTGACACAAACTTGGGCGTCGTGCGGCCCCCAAATACGCGAAATACCCAAATACAGCTCCCTCTCAATGGCAGCTTCACTTTGGGCAGCAATGCAGAAGGCCCTCGTCCACTCAGCAGCCAGCCTCAGCCCCCTTGTCCCCGTACCTTGCATTAGTCTCAAGTCATGCTGAACTCCGCGAATCACGATCGATGTTTCTCTCGGAGAAATATATGGCTACTAACACATGGGGCTTGCGACATAGTTTAAAGCGGCACAACTTCTCAGATTGGCCGAAAAGAATGGTGCAAAGACGTTGGGAAATTCCTGGTAAGTCATGGTCTCATGTCATTTTGTCCCAGAATTGCCTATCACCCGATCACCTACGCCCCTCGCCTGGGCCCTTCATCACACCCGCTCTGCCTATTTTCACACGAATTGGGTCGAAATTCCGGCGGTGTCCTATACCTCGATGCCAAGAGATGCCTGATTGGCGGTCAAACTTTGGAGACACTTATGCGACCTGTTCGGCGACCCGGTCCTCCACCATCAACCCTGCGAAATGGTTCGTGCTCAACGCTCCAACTCTCAAAGGCGAGGTGGCTGGGCCGCAGTCCTCGATGAGGCGTAACAATCCAAGGCATTGAACGGACCGGCTCTTGACCTCAACGAGAACGAACAATGTTTCATTAGTGACCCGGACAAAGAGCGGTGATGCGTGACTATGTGCTGACGTCTTGGTGTTTGTGATTGTCAGGATTTGGAAGGAGAAATATGATCCACCAAAATGAGACCGTGGCCTTGACCATCCTCAGTAGCATGTCGAGGTCACCTTGGACGATGGCCTGATGATCTCTCGATCCAGAAACCAGGAAAGCTGCGCGATATGACTCAAAATCGAGACGAGGGAGCCGATGAACCCGACAACAGATAAGCAAAATGAATAATGACCTTGCCCACGACTGGCTGCTTGGGGCCTATCTGCCCTGTTCTTGCATCCCTCGCCTGCGGTCTGCCCAGGCAACCCAGATCGGGCGACAGCTCTACAGTGCTCTCCTGTTGCCACTTGTTGATATCTAACTTCAGAAAGGATTCGACCCGTGAAACGCCCAGGCACAAGGGTAGACATGGGCAGCGCCACGGCCCTTTCCCTGCAATCTAGGTCAAGTTGTTGGTCAGCCGTTGTGGAGGTGGGTGAGGCCGTGCCTGCATGACGCAGGGGACTTGGAGGGAACTGTGTCTCTTCTCGTCCCTTAGTCCGGGGATGAACATCTGATCACGATGGTCCGTTCTGGCCGCGCGGTTCTTTCAGGACACGAAAGGTCCCATCAATGTTGCCTTTCCTTGGTCAGACCGCGGACCATTGAAGTTTATCACGGCCATCACCGAAGAGTGGTGCCCGTCGACTTGGTTGAATATGGATGGTCAAGCTCCAAGCGAGCAAGCTCGGTGAAACAAGAGACGTCAAAGCAAGGCAAAGCACATGCCCGTGACAGAATGTTCACACGGCTGGCCGCCCGGCGGGTTTGGGCCCTCGAAATCTTCGAGCCTGTTTGGCTTCCTTTCTCGACACCCAGCTCTAGAGAGATGGTCTTATATTGGGATACGATATAGAATTCAGAACACTTTGGATTGTCATTGAAAGAGCTCGCAAGTGGGCCTCGTTTCCCATTCCAACGATCCTATCTGCTGTGCTCGAGACACTGTGCTCGGTGCCCTTTCCTGTGTCTTATTCTTGCCCGAGGCATGTTTATACGGTTGCTATATGAGAAGGCGTTATAAAACTGTACGTCTGGTCGTTTTGGTCGTAACATCGTTGCGAAGGCTCTTGATTTGCCCTCAAGTTTCATCCTTTCATCGATCCATCCACCCAGCCCAGCCATATCTGTGGCTTATTTCCCTGTGCTCGGTCCCTATCCTTTCATTTGCTCCCTTGGAGCGTCATCTGGTCCAATAAAGCCGTTCCCTTTGTCGGGTCGTCTTTCTCCTGATAACTCAGGCCTCATGGTTTCCTGTCGTTTCCTCCCCCTTGTATCTTGCTTGTCTCCTTCCCCTTTCCCCACCTGAACCTCATGACTTTGTCATAGCTATGTGTATGTGCAACTTTCCACCACCCTCTCCCAACTTCAATTCCATCCCGAAATAGTTAAGAACGCAGGAAGCATAAAAAGGAAAGAATTTTTTTCATGTCATAGGCAGGCCGTTAAAAAGTTTCTGGGTCATCATAAAAATCAAAAAAAAAAAAAATCATGTCGTAATCCTATCGTATCAACTGATTCCCAGATCCCGATTCCAAAAAAAAAGTATCCCTAAACTGTTGTGAAAGAGATAAGGAAATTGTGCCCTGAAGCATATGAGTCTTTTCGCTTTCGTAGGTTTGTGTTTGGTCTTCATCATCAGACCCTGTTCCGTCTGAAGAGGGAGAGAATGTAGCTCCACAAAAAGAGAGAGAGAGAGAGAGAGAGAGAGACGACGACGAATAGAAAGAACCATAAAGGGAAAGATTTTCCACCACTCCGAACAAGAAACCCCCTCTGTGATGAGAGAGAGAGAGAAAGTTCTGGTTCGGATTTGTAACAAATTTTCTCGTGCCGGTCGTTCCAGAGAGATCGTAGAGCCTTTCCTGGAGAGTGTGTCTGGCTCTTTTACTCGACCCTGGCTATCATTTCGCGGAAATCTCGTAGGACTTTCTCGGGGACGCGGTCGAGGAGCACGCTCCGTTCCCGGGCTTTGCCGCCGAGGCCGCTCATCTTCTCGAGGCCGTCCCTCTCAGCTTGCATGTCCGCGAACAGTTGTTGCAGTCGGGTCGGTTTGACTTCGACCACATCGTCATCGTCGTCGAAAGCGCAGTCGGGACTGCTAATGTGGTTGTAGGAGGCGGCGGAGAGGGAGAAGGCCGCGGCAGCTTGTTGGCGGCGAGATGGCGTGGTGAGGGACGCGTGGAGATTGCCGAGTGGAGTGTCGGAGGGCTGAGGGGTCATGCCAGACACACCCGAGAGTGCGTGGGGAAAGCCGTTGTTGTCTAGCGAAGGGGCGGGCCGGCTGGGGAGAACCTCGTGTGTGACCTCGGGCCCGGAGGCAAGGACCGCCTGGAGCACGTTGCCGGCCTCAGCGCGATATTCGTCGGAGAGAGCAGGCATGTTGGGTGCCACGACGGCAACAGAGGACGCGGCACTGGCGGCTCGTGATCCGGCTTGCGACATGATGAAGGCGCCGGACAACAAGCACATGTAAAAAGTCTCCCAGCTGAAGGTGGCGTCGACCTTGACATCAGACTTGGTGGTAGTGTTCGGCTGGGTCGAAGAGGTGGTAGGTCTGGGGGTGGCTTGTCGCTGCAACGACTCGGATTCCTCCATCTTCATGTCTTCGTTGCCCATCAGGCCGAACTCGTCGTTCCACTGGTCCTCCAGCCCGAGATCCTTGAAGTTCGAAAAGTCGTGCGAGAAGGCGTCCGACGGGTTGGGGGCATAGGCACGCGCATGTTGGTTGCGTTCGAGTTCCCGGACGGTGTCCCTCAGGATGGTGTTCATTCGTCGAAGCTCGCCGGTCTCCAGAGTCGACGTCCGAATCAGATCCTCGTTCTGATACTTCAGCTCCGAAATACACTCCTCGAGCCGCTGACGTTCGAGGATCCACTGTTGTCTTTCATGGTTGAGAGCGTTCTCGAGTTGGCCAATGACTTCCTCCAGGTCGTTCTTCTGGCTGATGAGAAGCTTCTTGTCTTGTTCCAACTTCTCGGCATTTTGCTTCTTGCGCATGCGAGAATCCAGTCTGCGGAAAAGATGGTTAGAAGGCCAACGACGACCGAAGGGGTTAGGGATGATACATACGCGGCTTGACGATTTCGCAGCAAACGTTTCTGCTGTTTGAGCTCCTTCTTCTCCTCCTCGTTGGTGGTCGAGTTGATCAAGGCGTCAATGGTGTTGATGTTTCGTTCGGGAGGGATCTCGAATTTGGCATTCTTCTTCCTGATACCGTCGGACCTCAGCACCAGCAGTGGGGACGCAGGTCTGTATCTGTGTCGTAGCATGCGACTCGACTCGGCAGCATCTGACGAAGTGGTCGAAGCCCATCCGCCTTGACTGGACTGCGGCGACATGGAAACGGCAGAGGCAGGGTCTTGCTGCGGGAAACCCGAAAAGGTGACTGGGCCCCCGGTATATTGAACCTGCTGCTCAAAAGGCTCTTGCACCGGACCGAAGAAGGGGGTGGGAGTGCTCGCTTCAGACCGCCCGGACAAGTGCCACGGTTGGTTTGGCATGAAGCCGGGACCGCAGTTTGTAGGGTTCATCTGACTGAAGAACTGGCCATTGGGGGTTGACATTGGGAGCGAGCTTTGCGAGTAATGGCGGACGGGGCCCATGACTCCATGCGGCCTCTCCTGCCAGACATGGGCAGATGCGGGATAGTCATCCTCCAGCTTGGGGACTGAAGGCCGTCGATTGTCAGAGGCATCGGCAGCAGCTGCCATGTCGGCGGGGGTGGAGGATTCAAAGACCTTGTCGTCGAGGATCGAGGAGGAATCGTCTTCGGTGAGAGCGGGTTTGACGTCCTCAGGCCACTGAGGCTGCCCGTAAGGGTAGTAAGTTTGGGGCTGATATTGCATCGCCATAGGTGCGACAGAGATGGCAATCGACGATAAATTGGTTTTTGTTGTTGTGCCGATAGAATGGATGGACTAAGTGGCGGTGAGCGAAAAGGTGGGGAAAAGGCACTTGGTGGGAGGGTGTTGGGTTTTCTCTTCACAACGAAAGTGTCAAGTCTTCAGCAGTGGGTGAGAGAGCCAGCCGCAAAGAGCATATTGATAGTGTTTGAACTTCAGAGTCAAAGAGTATGTCAGATGTTCAGAGATGGAAAGGGAGGAGGGAGATGCAGCGGGTTTAGTACTATGTATTGCGAGCAGGACCAAGCAGCACTGGTCCGGTACAATACAATACCAGTGGGAGAAGAGGCGGAGGGGCAAGGGATCCAAGATCAGAAACATGGAGCCTGACGAGGAACCGTCAATGCCCCATTTTCCGGTCTTTGGACGGGTCTGGGACGGGTGATGTGAGAGGCAGGGAGGGTGAGAGGAGCGACGAGTTGCAACTGGACCGAGGGAGGGAATCGACCAAGAGGGAGAATTCCTGGGTGGAGAGAGTGAGGAAGAGAGGAAGAGGGCGCCGGAAAGGTCTCCAGTCTGAATTGGCCCTTTGCCAGGGCCCTTTTTTCCCCCTTCCACACACGCACAGTGAGAGGGGAGAGAGGGAGCGTAGCAAAAAGCAGCGAGGAGGCCCTCGAACAGGACACGAGGAGAGAGGAAGCCATGGTTGGGCGGACGAGATGGAGCCAGGGTATGGATTGGATGCTCTGCGAATCCCCAAGCACTGGCACTCGGGGCTTGTGCTTTTTTCCCTTTTTCCCCCTTCTTCACCTGCCGTTTGGTCTGCTTCGTTTTTTGGGCAGCGATTGTCCCCCAGTGCCAGTAGCAGTGGCCGGAGTCGCGGTGCGTGCAGCGTGCAGGAAGTTTGCTTGCTCCCGCGCCACGAGACTGGCTGCCAGCGACTCCGCCCAACGGCCACCCTTCATGCGACCACCTTTTAGGTCGCTTCAGCTTTTCAGCTTTTTTGCCCTCTGCTTGACTTCTCCTGATTAGGCACGAATGGGATCTCGTCCGCCTCAGAATGTGAGCACCCCGTTGCTCCCCTTTGCCGAATCGAGCCCACGAGAGTGGTCCTCACCCGTGGTCCTTTGGTGGCTTTGGCGGGTGGTGTCTGAAGCGACCAGCAACCAGCAAACCAGCAACCTGCGACCCCCGAGCCCTCGAACCTCGCCAGCCGGGCCAGAAAGAGCATGATGAGGCCAGAGGTCAGAAGACAAAGAGACGGACCAGTGACCCAAGAGGAGATGCGGATGACCAAGAGGCCAAACCGCGTCCCATTCCGACCATGACAATGCTCAGAAGTGATGGTCCCAGATTGTACGCGACGTGACCTGCTCAGCCGATGGCCTGCGTGCCTGGCGAGCTGGGAAAAACAAACAAAGATGGCGGCATGGGCCTTGCTTCCCGGGGGCTGGCTTCCAGGCCACTAGGCTTAACTGTTTGCTCTCTAGGCTCGGTTCGCTTCCCCCCTTGTGGTTCTTGTAGCGATGGGCGGCGCTGGGGGGCTGGGAGCATTGTGCTCGGCCGGCACGGGCCTTGACTCGTAGCTGCACATCACATCACGCTTGCACTTGTCCTTGTGAATCGCCCTCCTGACCTTCCTGTCCAGGCTGCGGCGATTTGGGGGGCCACCGATCCATCCCTCAGCTTGGCAACGCAGCGAGCCGATGTCAACAATAAGTGGCACAGTCTGACGAGAAATACACAGAGAAATGATTCATTATTGACTGAAGAAGGTAACCATCATTGAAAAGGGCATTTATCCTGTCCTTAGGCATGATGGTATCCTTACCCTTAATTAACAACATAAGCTATTTGATCTGGGGGGCCACTTCGTCGCTATTGAGTGACTGGTTAGATTCCGAGATGGCGTCTATTCTCTGTCAGACTGTGCCATTTTTTCCCTTCCAGGGCCTAGACAGATCTCGTCTGTCGATCTCCCAACGCTCATCAATCCATTTCGAAGCGAATCCATCACGGCATTCTTTTCACCTCTACTACAAGTACAAGTCCTGCTTTTGCTTATGCTTTCAGTAAATTTGTCATATCCCGGTCCCCTCTGGCCATCTCCCGATTTCCTCGCTGCCGCCGCAACCCTAAAGCCCCCCAGATGTTGACCGCCCACAGTCCGGTGATCCTCAATCTCATGATTTGCTTCTGCACTGTGTCCTCGAACCTGACCGCCCTCGCCCTCAATCCACACTAGCTGGAAAAGGTCTCACTGGAGACTCTGAATAGAACAGAATGTTTGCGGGCCCTGACCCCTGCATCTCTCGCTGCATGCTGGACACTGGATGCTGGGAAGGGCGAAGCCCAACACAGACCACCAAGGTTCGATGCCCAATCCCATGGCCACTCACGTGACGCCCACAGGCATTCAAGGTGCCGCGTCAAAGCCCACGCCCAGTACACGAGAGAAGATGTGACCCGCTCGATTACCAATGTGCGCTCATGCTTCAACAGGGCCCTTTGGACATGAGTTTGGACGACGAGACGGAAGCAACCGCTACCACCGACATGGGCTATATCCGCCATTGCATACAAATGAAGTGAGAAGAAAAGAAGGCGAACTCCGTATCCTATCTCAAGATGCCTGGCCTCTTCGAGTGGATGCGTGGGATATCCGTGGCCACTACACCCATATCCTTCTGTGAGTCACGTCAGCACCCATTCGACACCCCCAGCCACGCTGTTGGCAGCAGCGAAACATTTGCAGGGCTGTGAAAGTTGGAGGTTGGCCGTCGGTCTCCTACGACAGTTGATGGACTTTATTCGGGGACTTGTCCTTTCCGGCAAAGACTGTGTGTCCTCGGTACAGCTTATCGCGCAGTATTGTTCTGCCTTCTCGTCTGCCACAGCGTACGTTTCCTCGTGACGAGTAGATCTACGCCTCCTACATGGCGACTGAGGTGGGATTGGGCTTCCCCCTTTGCCCCCTTATGCGCTGTTTCTTGCTTCCGAGAAGCCTCCTGGAAGTCAATGCTGGCCACCCGCCATTCGTTGGACATTTGAACAATGAGCTTCCCGCCCAGCATTGCCTTCTCTACTGTGCCGAATACATTCACAAATCTTTGTAGTTGTTGATTATCGAGCTGGGACGGCAAGAACATTCGTTTTCAGTGGCCCAACAAGATCCCTCAAGTGTTTTTTATGGGGCAATACAGCGATCAGCTTTCTGCGCCGTGGATTCGCTATTGAGAGAGACTGCTAAACAAATGTAATCGGTTACAGACACTCAACGCCTACAATTTCAGAGCAGCGATGATCGGACCTCCAGGCCCTCCCTGCACCAGAGCAACCCTTTCGAATCCGTCCTTCTTGAAGTTCGGCAACATGACTCTCGAAATACCGCCGTTCCACTCTCCGATCTTCATCAGCTCCTTGACGATGTTGCGATGAGGGATCTTCTTCGACTTGTTCGGGCCAGCACGAGGCTTGACAGTCTGAACCATGGGATCGTACTTGACGATCAACACATCATACACCATATCCGCTTCTGGTACCTCAGACGCGAGCCTCAGCTCGTTTCCCACCCGGTCAATGCCGAGCGCCCAATTCATCCCATTTCGCAGTTCCATCGCTTTCATGATGACCTGGTCGATATTCTCCTTTGTTGCCCCAATTCCATCAGAGGCGCCATCGACCACGATCTGCGGCGTGAAGAGACTATTTCTTCCCCACTTGGTTAGGTACTGGCGTTGTCTCGAGTCCCATTGTGTCGAACCGAACGTGTCTTCCCACCCGCTGGATGGGTTCCAATACGTCACATCGTACGTGAGAAGCAGGAGGTTCGGGTTGTTCGTTGCATCTTGAATGAGTGGAAGAGCTGGTGGGCAGGACGCACACCCCTGAGACTGAAAGAGCTCCACAACGGAAAGGGGCATGATCTCGACGAAACAGGCCTGGGTGTGAGTGTGGCCTTGATCAAGAGACATCACACAGGCGAGTGGTGCCTTGCGCTTCTTGAAGAGGCTGAAGAAGGAGGCCATGGTCGAAGTGTTGGATCTAAAATGGTCGCTTTCCGTGAAGAGGACAGGCAGTGAGGAAATCCGAGGAATGGCTCAAGATGAAAGTACCAATGTCAATGGACGTGAGAAACAGATGTGCGCGAACTCGGTACTTATAATTCTACAACCATCACTACCTGCCGGCCACGATTTGAAACACACCGGGCGATGCCCTGCCTCCTGAGATCAATTCCAATTGTACACTCAAAGCCTCCGGCCTACAGCCCCCAGAAACACCCTTGAGGGCGATACGACCAAGACCAATTACCGCTCTCGATCTCTCTTTGCCGAGTAGAATTCGACTCAGGCCTCCCGAGCTTAAGAGTCGGTTCCTACATGGATCATCTCAAACAAGCAGCCTAGGCTTGCAGTGTACAACACTGTTCGACTTGTCTTGACCATGAGTCCAATCCAAGGAACAGCCTCACACGCCTACGGACACCCAAATAGGTAAGATCCGCTGAAAGCACTAAACTCAGTCGGGTTATATTCCTCGAGATGCGAGATGAGCACTACGGGCATGCTTGATGGGAGCATGCCAATCATATGAAGTTCAGGGGCTAGTTCATGAGAAGCCCCTTCGCAGCCTCGCATCTCGAAAAGAGGCCGACTTTCAATTCGACGACCACTTTTAGGAAATGCTTGCGACTCTCAGCTCGTCAAGCAATCAAGGGCGAGGAGGGTTTGATTAGCACCGCCGTGATTGTGCAAAGGTGCTCAATTTGGGGGGGTATCATCCGCTATACACAATCGCTGCCACGCCTATCAAACACGACAAAACAGCCATCAACACTAGAAAAAGACTGGAGACACCACATCTTCAGAAATCATCGTAACTCTTGGCATAATGCATATCCTGCTCAATCCATCACATCTCGCCCCTTTCCAACATCTCCGTAGGCTCAGCTCAGGCCTCCCCTTCGTCCACGATACCTCGTTTTTCCACAACGTGTCCGTACAGCCTCCCTGCCTGGGCTTGCGGGTGCTTGGCCTTTTCCTCAGGGCCGACCACCATCTCCAAATGGCCTGGGTACGTCTCCCTCACAGTGACGACCTGCCTCCATGTTTTCGCCGCTGTAACCCCTGCACAAGTGTCTTGCAACCTGGGTGAGGGCGTCGAGTTCATTGCGAGCGTTATCAACTCTGCGACTGTGGTCCAGGAGGTCACCAGCCCTTCCTTCAGGATGACGACCTGATAGATGACGAACAGGGAATGGATGGCAGCAACAGCGACATGAATCAAAAGGACAATGATTCCAAACTGGACGGTCTTGGAACCTTCCCAGCGATAGCCGTACCCGTAGCGGTCAAACACAGGGTCAATGCGAAGCCAGTTGCGGACATCGGCGGCAGTGGAATTCAATACGGTGTCTTCACCGCCTTGTGCAGTGCTGACAGGGAACCTGCCCACAAGACTTCCGTCCTCAGTCTCGTTGGTCAAGAACATGGAAGCGGAGTAAGGGTACAGTCCGTTACCAGCGATACGGGCCAGACCATCGGTGATGACGCCTGCTAAGATGGTTGATATCATCGTGGCACGGCTCTGACGGACCTCGTCATCAGTGAGGTTTGCGTTTGCGCCCGTCTTAGCGCTTCCGACAAATGGTGATTTGAAAGCGTTGAGCACTTCGTCCGTAACCCGGTCGTCCGGGAAGACTGCTTGTTCAAGCATGCCTACAAAGGCAGGGGTGTCTCCTGTAACAAAAGTGATGTTCTGGTTGATGGCGTTAGCAAAGTCCATGTCGATGGTCATGTTCCTGATGGGTTGATCGACCGCGGCATTTTCGTGAGGCAGCGAAAGGCAAGTGTTGGCCAATTTGCCTTTGACGTTGAAGGCCACCTGATCGCTGGTCCGTGGTTCGTAGAAGACATCGACGGGAACCCATTGGGCGTAGATGCTACAGGCATGGATCTCTGTTGCTTGCCTCAGCTGATTGTTATCGTCCACTTGGATATATTCCCAGGGAACTCTGACCGCCGCACCGATGGCTGGATTGTCCGCCCCCGCTGGCATTTGAACCCAGTCGAATGTCGTGTCGTTGAGGGTACTGTGGTATGGCAAGATGTAGTCCTTGCTGGGAAGCTGCTTGTCGGGTGTGAAACTGGGAAAATTGACATGGGTGCGGGCTTCGACCTCGGAAACATTGTAGAAGTCGAACCCGTTGCACATGACTTCGACCTTGGGTGCGTAGATGGGCCCAGCGAGACTGAGCTTAGGCTGTGCAGTCATCAGAGCAAGACCCTGCCAGTTGTTCTGGGCGAACGTCCAGTAAGCCGTCAATGCTCCGGTGATGAAGCTGTTCAGCGACACGCCGGATGCCCTGCCGTCGAAGTCGCTGGTGCAACTCTGCGTGGACAGCACTCTCCGAGTATCTCCGCGGGCGTCAGGAAAGCTGATGTTGGAACCAGCGCTGGAATTGGCAAACAGCAGATTGCCTACCCAGCTGTAGGTGTCTCTGAAGCCTCCGGCCGGACAGGCGTCTTGCTCGGTGGTCGTTATCGCAGCAGTAACGCAGTCGATCCCTGAATCAGGAGCATTCTCGCTCGCACGAGTCACGGCGTCTGGCCATAGGACAGTACTCTCGTTGAAGATGTAAAAGGGGAGCACATCATTGTCGAAGGGCTTGTCCACGCTGAACCAGTTGAGGGACGGGATGACTGCAATGGCGGAAGACGGACCAACCAATGTCGCTAATAATGTAGCCAGCACGGAGAGCAGCCAGAATCGCCAGTAGTGCGCCTTGCCCGTCCAAATCGAGGACCAGAAGCCCTTTGTCCGCATGTAGTCCCCTGAGCCGATCGCGAAACTGTTGGCGAGCATTCCCAACGGCAGTCCATGGTTGCCCACCAAATGTGCCTGGGCGACGTGCATGACAATCGTCCCCAATGAGGCAACCAGGATCAACTCATGGAGCTTGGCCGCTAGCTGGAGGGCGTTCATTGCGCCGCCCTGGGTGATGCCGGGGAGGATTTCGACATTTGGGTCCATCAGATCCATCCAGTACCGATTGCGGAAACTCAACTGGATAACTGCTACCGTGACCGCGCTGGCAACCAGATGAGGTAGCAGCTTGTGCGAATTTGGCCAGAACCCTCTGCGGATTGCTTCTTTGGGCCCCTCGAGGGACTGGCCGAATGTCGGGGCAGGGTTCGGAGTCGATACATCGCTCAGTTCGATCTTCTCGTACTCGATGAACCTCTCCTGCGGACTGGACAGACTCTGAACAGTATAACTTCTTTTCGCGGCCGGGATGATAGGATCGAGGGATTGCTGGGAATCGAGCGCAGCCGGTTCTCCGACGACATTGAAGAGTTTTCCATACAAAGAACGAGAGGCTCGGCGGCCCGCGCCGATGTGATTCATCGTGAAAATAAAACAAAAAAACAAAAAGAGTGTGACTTGGTAAACGATTATGCTGAAGAATGGTTGCCCGCCACAAATAGAAGCAGAAATGCCCGGAGTATATGCCTCTGGCACCACGACGGAAATATACTTTGGGAGCGTGCCATGAGCGTTTGAGGGCAGGGGTCGTCGCACAATGAAGTGGCTAGAGCATTTATCTCGACGACAGTCAGCAAAGACGCTCGCCCTGGAAAAGAGTCAGCCCAGTGAATAGCCCCTCATATTGCGACATTATTGATATGCTGAAGACGCCACGAAAGGGTTCAGGCCCAGGTCCCAAGGGGCGCCATCAGCCTCACCAGGCGAGAGGATCCCACATAGCTCTTTACAAAGACACAGGCGTGCCAGGGAATGGACGATGAGCGTGAGAAGCGCTCAACTCGACCCAGTTTCGAAACTTAGCGAGCGAGCAAAGGAGGTCGTGGTAAGCACTAAGGCTGTTTGCCAAAGGTGGCCCACGTTTCAACTTGGGCCTTGCGCAGAGCACCGTCCTAACCGTCCCCTCGGGAGAGATTTGCGGTTGCCGGAAAGAGCATGACTCTGGTGATCCGAAGGCATCGTGGATAATATACGGAGTACTTGTAGAGGAAGGGCAAGTCGTCGACACACACGATGGAATGTCAATTTCCGGGTGGTTGGAGATTTTGTGCGAACCGACCCGAACCGAAACAACGTTGATGTTTCCATAATTCTGCACTGCACTGCACACCTTCGTTACCTACTACTAGATACTACTATTACTGATCAAAAGAACCTCAGGGGCCACAACTACCCGACAAACCCCGAAAAGAACGTGTGAATCCTACGAGGATCAGAAGTCCCACGACGAATCAGCAGCACACCTGGTGGCGCCCTCTGTCGGATGCTGGCTTCCTGGCACCAGGGCAGGTTTGCCAGCCTGATAGAGGAGCCGTCCAGCCCTTCGGGTCCTTACTCATTCTCTCTGAAGCTGACCTGAGGCAGAAGATGGGGGCCGAATCGGTCTTTGCTCTGGTGAACGAATACGGATTCCATCAACGAGTCGCGCCAAAAGCCTCCTGCAAACCTCCTTGTTCCTTCCCTCTCCCTGTGGCGGTTAGGATCTGATTGCGGCCGAAATGCTCCCTCGATCACGCGTGCAGCCTGCATTCCCTCCTCGCTCCCAGGCGGAGGAAGGATTCAAAAAATTCCACATCGCGTTGGAACTGTGGCTCCATTTCTGACCCGGCGCCAGGGCTGCTGATGTACGTGTCCGGCTTTGGATCCAGAGCAGCTTTCCTCTTCTGCTTCACCATGCGTGTCTCCTCGAGGCTAATTGACTCCGTGCGCTACTCCTACATGGCAGGATTGCTCGAGGTCAGCTGGACATCGCGTACGGTGCGCTACCTTTCCACCGTCAAGTCTTCCCCTCACACGATCCTATGAAGAGAATGTTATCGACTAGCATTGTTTTAGGCTGCACTTAGACTGTGCGGGCAGCCTGAGTGGGAAGCAGGACGTGTCAGGGCAGAGAGCAACGAAGATAAGCCAAATGTCCCTCGTGTGAGACTGGAAATTCTGCTCCACCAAGTTCGTCGACGAGTTTCTGCAAACGTGCCATTGATTTACAGAGACGCTTTGAGAAAGAAACTGCCTGATCCGGCTACATCTGGATCAGAATGGCCCCGGGCAGACAAGCCAGAGGTGGGCAATCTTCTGACATCGCAGCGGCTGCGAGTGCATGAATGAACGCACCATAGTGCCGGGTTTCACGAGCGATATTCCGAGTCTTTCCACGCTCCCGGGGACGTCGGCGGTCAAACCGATCTTAGCAGACTTTCTCAAGGGCTGTTTATTGACCTCTCAGAGCAGTGCCGAAAGACGTTGTACCCGATTTTGCGACGAGCTGCTTCTTGGTGATGGCTCTTATCCCCACAATACCAACACGAGGGATCTGCGCTGCAACCTAAGAAATGCGGGGGTTCTTCCCATTCGATGTCTGCGAAGAACATGCCATGCAACAGCTTGGTAGCATTGGCTTCAAGTCTTGAGCGACAATCCTCCTTGGCTTGAATCAGTGGCGTCGAAAGCCAAGATGGAAGCGTCACCCAGCAGCTATGGTTGGCATAGACGTTATCGGATCGACCAGACCGTCTCAATCACGGTCAGAGAAGAGCAGGATGCGACGGCCCTTGGAGAGACCTACACAACGTGCTTCACACCCCTGCACTGCAGGTGCCGGTCGAGGCTGGGCGTCAATCGATGATCGTGCTGTAAGCGACCTTATGGCTGATCAACATGGCAATGGACGCGTGCTTGGGACTTGCAAAGTCCCTTTCTATCTTGCATGGATAAGGGGAAGAGCATGACACTATCATCAGGGGCAGGGTCTTGAAAGGTATTTGAGGTCGACTTCTCCAAGTAGGACGCTGCATTCCTTCCTTCTCTTCTCAGATCTTCTTTGTTATTGACTTCCGGCCTTCAATATGTATAATCATATGGCAGCAGGGTGGTTTTACTCACCCAAACAGATTGCCCGCTACTTCCTTACTCGACCGACCAGTCTTAAGCCCCCGCGGACCCGACTGCGCAATCCATACCATATCCTCAGAGAACTCGACAGGCATCAATGGCTTATGTTTTTGGCAGGCTTCCTTGGATGGACCTGGGATGCATTCGACTTCTTCACTGTTTCTCTTACCATCACTGAAATCGCAAAGGACTTTGGCGTCGAGAACTCGGCGGTCTCATGGGTGCGTGGCTCTCTGTTCTTGAATGCTCAACTCTCTAAACCATCGGCAGGGCCTGACTGTGACGTTGATGCTGCGCAGCGTGGGCGCCTTGACGTTTGGAGCGATATCCGATCGATATGGCCGCAAATGGCCCATGATCATCAACCTGTCCCTCTTTATTGTGCTGGAACTTGCCTCAGGATTTTGCAACACCCTCCCTCAGTTCCTCGGGGTCCGGTCCTTGTATGGCATTGCCATGGGAGGTGAGATGGCTGTGCCTCTTGTTGAAAAATGCACTCTAACTTTGTGTTAGGTCTTTTTGGCCCTGCCGCAGCAACAGCTCTTGAGGACTTGCCTTACGATGCTCGCGGGCTCTTGTCGGGTTTGTTTGAACAGGGTTATGCGACAGGCTATCTGCTTGCGTCCATCTTTTATCGTGCCGTGAGTCCAACATGCCCTCGATTCCTACTGTCGCTCACTACTTGCAGCTTGTGCCCACCACCTCCCATGGCTGGCGATCGCTCTTCTGGTTTGGGGCTGGCCCTCCAGTCCTTATCATCGCTTTCCGTTGGTCGCTTCCAGAGACAAATATGTTTCAAGTCATGGCGGCCGAACGAGAAGCACAGCTCATTGCGGACAAGCAAACAGGCGATCATTCGCACGTCAAGTCTGCAGCTTTCAAAGCATGGGTCAGAGACTCCTGGGTGGCTATCAAGCAGAACTGGGTCCTCTTTGTAAGCCTGATCTTAACCTTTTGGCGGCCGGCTGGAGCCATACTAGATTGAATGTGCTGACAGATTGATTTGAAGGTGTATTTAGTTGTTTTGATGACCGGTTTCAATTCATGCAGCCATGGAAGGTGAGTCACTGCCTGGCACTGAAAAATGTCGGAATAATGCTCATGAAACCATTCAGTCAGGATTTCTACCCGACCTTCCTCAAGAATCAAGTCCTTCTAGGCCCGACCGACGTGACCATAATCAGCTGTATCGGTCAACTCGGGGCTCTTATCGGCGGCACTACGCTAGGCTATGTGAGCACATTCTTCGGCAGGAGACTGACCATGCTCGTGGCTTGTGTTTGCGGGGGAGCGCTCGTGCCGGCGTACATCATACCACACGATATGAGTCTGGTAGCTTCGGCATTCGCGCTACAGTTCTTCGTGGGAGGAGCCTGGGGCGTTATACCAATCCACTTGATGGAGGTTGTCCCGGAGGCTCTTCGAACCACGGCAGTTGGACTCACTTATCAACTGGGTAACTTGGCATCGTCGGCGTCCGCGACCATTCAAGCAGTTATCGGGGAGCGGTATCCACTTCCACCACATAATGGAGAGAAGCGCTTCGACTATGGAAAGGTGATTGGGATCTTCATGGGCGCAGTGTGGGCATATCAGATTCTGTTCTTGTTCTTGGGACCCGAAATGAGCGAGGCGGAAAGAGCAGAGTATGCGTATCAGGCGAATGAGCTTGAGAGACTTCGACAGGAAGGACGCAGTCTAAAGGATATTGGAGTTGAAAGGGTCAAGTCCAGGCAGGCAGAGAAAGGGACGAATGCTGAAGCTACTGACAAGGCGACCGAGGGAGAACATCTGGAGGTAGCATGAATTGACCGCCGTCAGGTTGTAGGGCATCTTCAGGCAATCCTTTGGCCGAGATAGAAGCCGTACCAGACCATAGCAACCCATGACATCAGGTTCACCAACGAAGATGTGCCATGCAGCGTCTGAAATCTCTTATTGAGTGCTTGCATCTCTTCGCTATGCGGCGGCGGATCATAGCTCTTTTTCCCGTCCTTAGTCTCCTGGTGTTTCCTCTCCCGCATACATTTGGTCGTTGCCGGGCCGAGGTATGCCATGTTCATCAGTCCCGAGACGAGCATGGTCACCAGTGGAGTGAATACGTGCAGCCTGTTTTCTGGGAGGAGCACGCCCGCCATGCTCGCCGGATTTGTTCCGATCGCAGTCCTCTCGGCAGGAAAGGTCAGCGCGAGAGCCACGGGCAAGGCGGTCTGCATGGCGAAGTATATGGGAAATGTCGCTTGCTGGAGGGTCGCAAACTGAGGTCGAGGAAGCGTTTTGAAGGCTACGATACCGCCCACGAACGATTGGAAAGTCGTCGTGCCCAGGAGCACACCATAGCTTTGAAGGGACGACATTAGCCTGGCCTGGAAATCAATGCTGTTACAACGTCGGCGAGCTCACCTAATGATGTGGTAGGGTGCTGCCGAGTAGAAGATTGATGTCTCTGGCATATCGAGTGAAGATCCTGGTACCGGAGTAAGTCTGGAGCGCTACAATTAGCCGCGTGGAATCTTTCTCGACAACGAGGCGCGTTGGTAGCGTCAATGAATGCGGTCTGGGAAAGTAATAATGGCGTGGCCTATTTTACGATGTAGGTAATCCCGTGCGAAAGCCCTGCTGCACCCATCTTCCCCACATGACTGACACCTCGCCGTCTCTGGCAACAATTTAGGGTTTTCGTTCGCGTGTAATCTGGGGCTCCGTACACGTGAAGACGCGAGACATTCGTGACCGTTGCCTACTCCCCGCTTTCGACAATCCCACCAGCATTCACCATCGCAAGCACCCCACGATCTAGTCACACGTATCTCTGCCTGGCCTCTCGAAGCTGGCTTGTCCGATATTCCTTTCCCCTTCATCCTGCCTGGCTCCTCACACATGTTCCACCCGCAGCCCTGGTCCAACTGCGGATTTGATGATCCGAGGGAACTTCAGCCTGCGTTGGCAATATCGTAGCCAAGATGGAAAAGGAGGTGACAATATACATTGTTGACCTGGCCCGGTCGATGGGCAGGAAGCACAATGGTCGAGACCAGAGCGATCTCGACTGGGCTCTACAGTGGGTTTACGACAAAATCACCAACGTGGTCTTCACGGGTCGTAAGACGCTTCAGGTCGGGGTTGTTGGACTCGGCACCGACGATACCGACAACGAAATGCAAGGGGACCCCAGTTACAGACACATCAGCGTGCTTCAGCCAGTTGCCCAGATCCTGATGGCCGAGTTGCAGAACTTGCCCAGGCTTCTCAAACCCAGCGGGACAGACGACCGCGATGTTCTCTCGGCCATCATCATTGCCGTCGACATGATGATGAGGCATTGCAAGCATCTCAAGTACAAAAAGAAAATTGTCGTGATCACCAATGCGACGGGAAGTCCGATTGACGACGACGACATCGAAAGCACGGCGGAACAATTCAAGAGCAATAACATTGAATTGGTGGTGTTGGGCGTGGACTTTGATGATCCAGAATATGGATTCAAGGAGGAAGACAAACCCGAGCTCAAGGGGAAGAACGAAAGGATTCTGCAGAAACTGGTTGATCTCAGTGGAGGAGTGCTGGGAACGATGCAAGAAGCCATCGACGAGCTGTCCCGACCGCAAATCAAGCCGGTCCGACCGACGCCTACATATAAAGGCCAAATGAAACTTGGTGATCCAACCCAGTATGACACGGCCTTGTCTATCGATGTCGAACGATATTTCAAGACGTCTGTCAGACGACCTCCCACGGCTAGTGCATACGTCGTAAAACCCAGCGACGGCGCAGAGCAAGACGACGCGGAGAATGTCACTAATGTCCACAACCTGTACAAGTATAAAGTCAAGGGCGAAGAGTACGAAGGCGGAGCCAAGGTCCTGGACCGCGAAGAACTCGCCAGAGGGTATGAATACGGGCGAACAGCGGTACCGATCTCGGAGTCGGAGCAAAATATCACCAAATTGGAGACAGAGATGACATACGATATTCTGGGTTTCATTCCAGCGGAAAACGTGGAGCGATACATGCTAATGGACAACACAAACATGATCGTCCCGCAAAAAGGCAACGACAAAGCGGCACTCGCTCTCTCCTCCTTGATCCATTCCCTCTACGAACTCGGATCTGTAGCCATCGGCCGTCTTGTTAAGAAAGACATGGTGGAACCAATCCTCACGCTCTTGTCACCGCTCGTCGAAGCAGACTTCGAGTGCCTGATCGAGAACATCCTCCCCTTTGCAGAAGATCTCCGATCCTACCGCTTCCCGCCCCTAGATAAAGTCCTCACTGTCTCCGGAAAGGCATTGACCGAACACCGCAATCTTCCCTCTGAAAGCCTATTGCAAAGCATGAGTGATTTTGTGGACAGCATGAGTCTACTCCGAGATGAGGACGAGGAAATGATGGCCATCGATGACACATTCTCACCTCTTCTCCACACGATCGAGAGCGCGATCAAATACCGGGCTGTCCACAGCTCCGATCCAGAGAAGAAAAATGAGTTCCCGAAAAGACCAGAAAGATTCGACTCACTTCAAGAACAACCTCCGGAGCTGCGGGAGCGTGGTAAAGGAGCGCTTAGACGCCTGATTGAGGCAGCAGATGTGAAGAAAGTGCCCAGTAAAGTCAAAGGGAGAAGACGATATCGCGATAGAGAGGCAGAAAAGCCTTTATCGGGACTCAATGTGGAGGAGTTGTTCCGCAAAACCCGACCATCTACCGAGCGCGGGAAGGTCCATATTTCGCCGGACAACGCAATTCCAGAGTTCAAACAATTGTTGGAATCGACGGGTGATATGGAAATTGTAAAGGATGCGGTGAGACAGATGCAAGAGATCCTGGAGGGATTGGTGAAGAGCGATTTCGGCGGCCAGAACTACCCACGCGTCGTGGCGGGTTTGGGTGAGATGAGGCAGGAGCTAATCGGATATGAAGAGCCAATGTTGTACAATGCCGTCATGCGCCAGCTCAAGGAGAAGATCTTTCGCGAGCAGTTGGGTGGGAACAGACGCGAGTTGTGGTGGACCATTCGCAAGAGCAAGCTCGGATTGATTAGCAAGGATGAGGATGACCGGTCGAGTGTTGATGCAGTGGATGCAGAGGAGTTTCTGAACAAAGTTCCCAAGCCGCAAGGGTGAGCCATTGTACCCTAGAATGGACATGGATCCAGGGAATGAGGGCGGTTTCCAAAAGTGTTGTTTTGTGTACCAGATACCACGAGTGATGCATGCTACGACGATTACATCTCTCGAAGCAGGATGTTGATGATAGTCATGATGGTCATGATATCTTCCCGATCCTCCGCTTCGCAATCTGGATCTTTCCGTGGACGCGATCGACGTCCTCATCTACCATCCTCAGCATCTCGTTCTGTACCTCCAACTCCTGATTGATGGCAATTCCCAGCTCCGTTTGCCGCTGCACAATTTTCCGCAATTCTTCAACGTCGAGGTCCTGCTCGGCCATCTTTTGCTTTTGGAGTTGGAGGACGCCTTGATTGTCGAGTTCTCTCGTTTCGGCAGTCTCCTTGCCGAGGACCCTGCCTCCGCCGACCTTAGGCTTGTTGTTACCGTTGCCCATGAGATGTTGGGTCTCTTGCATAGAGGCGACTGCACTATCGAGTTTGGACTTCGTGGCCATGGCGTTCAGCAGGTTCTCGAGGCCATCTTTGTCCTTTTTGGCTGACGCGATCAAATCTTTTCTTCTGCGGACTTCGCCCTCTCCGAGCTTCTGTCCACCCCATCCTCCCTCTGTAGCATTTTGTATGTTGGTCAGGCCTTCCTCTAATGCAGCAATCAAAGATCCCGCCTTTACGAGATGGCTCTTTGCAGCCGCACTTGCTTCGTGTTGCTTTTGGGGTGTGGATGCTTGGTCACGGTTCGTCAAGTTCAGACGCGCGTCCTGTAGCTGGGCCTTCAGATCACGATGGACATCAAGCCAGATAACCGGGTCTGTGATCGGAGCGCCTCCCCCACCAGGACCGGATATGACAGAGTGTAGTGTGCCCGCTTTACTTGATGTCTGAGTCGCAAAGGAGGATGGAAGGTTGAGAAAGGCTCTCCACACACTGGTCGAGCGCCACCGTGAGTCGTCAATCTCGTTGATGGTCTTGAGGTATGTCTCTAGCCCCCGCCGTCGTTCTTCCGTCAGTTGCGGATTGGAAACAGTTCGCTGAAACCATGATTTCGCAGGCAATGTGCAGGGCGGTGGTGAGCCGACCTGGTCGGTCAACCCATTGTGCAGGACAAGGAAGTCGGAGTAGCGCTTCTGCACGGTGAAGGATCGTAGGGGTAAGCGGAGCGTGACGTTGTAGATGGTATAGGGTTTTGAGCTGCCAGATATCGTGGTGTTAGGGATGGAGATTTCGACTTGTGGAGCCATGGTGCACAGTGCACACAGATGCTCAGTCAAAGCTGGACCCGTTGGTGTAGTCGAGCCTTGTTTATTCAGGCTGGCACTTTGCGAGATGGAGGCGCATGCGGCATGACGTCGCCTTGTTCCAGACCAAGACCCGCAACACCAACAACTAGAGACGAAGGGACATACTCCGTACAGGGACGGGCGATCACCACAGCCACACCACGAATCACCCTGATAGAACCAACCATGCTATCACCGGCGTGAAACAACCAGGCAGGCATTTCTTCCTGTCTCCGTCATGCTGAATCTTTCTCTCCAGACTTCCTGCCGCCATGGCAGCACAATCGAAACCCCCTCTTCCTCCCAGAAACCCATCAACCGCTTCCAATGGGCTTGTGGGCTATCTATCGCCCTCCATCAGTCCAGATCCCAACTCATCTATCTATCTCGGCGGTTTACATGATCCACGGGCATCATCAACCCAGTCGCTCCAACCTATCAAACCAGTTGGCGACAATCGCCGCACGTTGCTCGTTGTGTATATCCATGGCTTTCTCGGCACGGAGACCAGCTTCAAGAGCTTCCCGGCTCATGTTCATAGCCTCTTGACTCCGGCTGTGGCAGAAACCCATGTTGTCTACACGAAGATCTATCCTCGGTACAAGTCGCGTAGGAACATTTCCTTCGCCCGAGATGATTTCAGCAATTGGTTGGCTCCTCGCGAATCGAGTACCACGGATGTGATATTGGTCGGCCACAGCCTGGGAGGTATACTCGCTGCCGAAGTGGTCTTGTTACCCTCCCATTTTCCTCCGGGGAACAACAGTCTCTTCCAACATCGTGTTCTTGGGCTCATTGCCTTTGACACTCCATTCCTGGGGATGCACCCTGGGGTGGTGGGAACCGGTATTGCCAGCTTATTTCGGACTCCTCCTCAGCTCCCAGATTCACAGCTACCTCATCCAAGTCCCTTTTCAGATGCCTCGTCAACGTCTCAGGATCCAACATATAACCCCGCGTACTCCAATGACGTTCATCTGGCTAACAGGAAAGGCAAACTGCGAAGAGCCTGGTATTTTTGGAACAAGCACTGCGGAGAATTGGCGAAAGCAGCCGGAGATTATGTTTCTTCTCACCTCGAGTTTGGTGGCTGCCTTGCAGACTATCCGGGCTTGAAGAGGCGCTATAGTGCGATTCGCGCTCTAGAGGACGTTGACGAGACGTTAGAGCCAAAAACGCCTGAAGGGAAGCTGATGAAGCGCGTGAGGTTTGTCAATTACTATTCGGCAAGCACTGGGCCTATCAGGGAGAGATCGCCTTCTCCGGGCAAACATCAAACATTACTAGAACCTCCTACAACGGAACTTCAGGATATGTCCACACGACGGTCATCCGGAGAAAGTCTTCATCCCTCAACCCTCTCGAGCCCGCGCCTGTCTCTCGAAGAACATCGTGACGGTGAGGTCATTTCAAAAGACGTGGCCGAGCTCAAGATCGATCCAGATCCACCAGTTTGTACTCCTGTCTCCAGCGCAAGTGAGCACACTTCGATTTCGGGTTCAATATGCGATAGCCGGGGCTCGGCAGAAGCCCTGTCTGTTGAACTGGGGTTACCACCACTTCCAGCATTGCCGGAGCGACCGGCGGAATTTGATGCCAGCCAATATCACGACGAAGACACCCTCAAATTGGTTCAAAAAGAACATGAACGGCAAGTGCAGGCATATGAAAGGGCGGTGAAAGACTGGAACAAATCCGTCAAAGAACGCGAAAAGCTATCGCGAAAACGTCAGCGCAAGCAGCAGGAACAAGCGCTAAAGTCCACCACAGAGCAAGGAATCCGGCTGCAAAATGAGTTCCTCAAAACATCTCCCACCGTGAACCCAGAAGACTATGAGAAGCAGCTGCGGCAAGATGCAAAAGTCTCTGGGCCTCCGCCAAAAAACGGAAAACCTCAGAAAGACCGCAAATTTTGTGCTCTCCCCGCGGTAGATCCGAATACACGCAAGCGAGACGCAACATGGATTAGAGTATATATGGGAGGGATTGATGAAGTGGCCGCACACACTTCGATGTTCAACGAGTCAGAAACTTATGCAAAACTCGTGGGAGACGTGGTTGAGAGAATTGAGACGTGGGTCGCTGAGGATGCGTCTGTACGGACAGTTCTCGCTGCGATGGAGCAATGATTCTCGATCCAAAAGCGCTGTTTAATTATTGATGAGCACATAAGATACCCCAATATCTGAATGAAATGATTAAGCTCGTTATGTGTTCTTGTCGTTCCGGCTACTCACGATCCATCAAAGTGTATATGTCTTGGGGCGGTTTGGCGCGGCGAGGCTGCCAATTCTCGCGAGGCTGGCATTCTCCAATGGTACCCCCACTATGATTTCGAACAGCCCACTTTTCATCTCATGACTCAATTCCAGTCTTTCCTGCTCTCAAAATTCTCCCGCAGTCACATTGGTTGCGTTCTTTGTCTTGTTTCTACTTTCTGTAATCCTCAGACCAAAATGGAGAACAAGGAAGCCGCATTACCGACACATGCGAAAGACAACCCTAACGTGTCCGCCGACGGCGCACCCTCGAAGAATGCGTTGAAGAAAGCGCAGAAAGAGGCAGAAAAGGCCGCAAAGAAGGCCGCGGCAAAAGCAAAAGAGGCAGAACAAAAAGCAGCTCAACAGGCACAGGCCGGCGAGGACACGGCAAAGGACAAATATGGCACGTTGCCGCAAGACGACCCCGAGATAACCCATCTCAAGAAGCTAGGAGAGGAGCATGTCGACAAAGAGGTCACCGTGATCGTGAGAGTTCACAATTCCAGGAGCCAGAGCGCAAAACTAGCATTCCTCATGTTGCGCCAGCAAGGTAAAACCATCCAAGCTGTCGTTGCAGCCACAGGGGAAGCTGTGTCCAGGCAAATGGTGAAATGGGCCGTGAGCGTCAACGTCAACTCGTTCGTGCGCGTCTCAGGAATAGTCAAGAAGCCCGACCCTCCTGTGGCCTCGGCCTCAATCAGCAACCTCGAGCTGCACGTCACAAAAATCTACCTCATCGCTTCCGCTGCCGAGCAGATTCCTATGCAAGTGAAAGATGCAGAACGGCCACCGCCACCATCAATAACAGGGGAAGAAGAAGGACCGGCGGTCGACGCTGAGGGAGCTCCTATCGTCACGTTGAAAACCCGTCTCGACAACCGGGTGATCGATCTACAAACGGAGTGCAACCAAGCGATCTTCACCATCTCCTCTGGCGTCGAAGGCTTGTTTGAAGAATTCATGCGCAAATCTGGTTCCCGCAAGTTCAACACACCCAAGCTCCTTGGTGCGGCAACAGAGGGTGGATCTGGAGTTTTTGAAGTGAACAACTATTTTGGCAAGAGCGGGTTCCTCGCCCAGTCTCCGCAGCTGCACAAGCAGATGCTTATTGCGGGGGATTGCGAGAGTGTCTTTGAGATTGGCCCGGTCTTTCGCGCCGAGAACAGCAATACCCATCGCCACTTGACGGAGGTATGACTTCCGACTCACTCCCTTGAGAGCAGTGCTAACCGCCCCTCAGTTCACCGGTCTCGACTTTGAGATGGTCTTCAACCACCACTACCACGAGGTCCTAGAATTTGCCGAGAATCTCATTGTCTTCATCGTCCACGAGCTCCAATCTCGCTTCAAGGACGAGATTGCCATTGTGCAAAAGTCCTTCCCCCGCGCAGGAGATTTCCACATCAAGGAAGGCAAAGCCTTACGGTTGAAATATTTCGAAGGAATTAAGATTCTGAGAGATGCAGGCGTGGACACCACCGAACAAGATAACTATGTCACAGACTTGACGACAGCCCAGGAGAAGAGACTGGGACAGTTGATCAGAGAAAAGTACGATACGGATTTCTACGTGCTGGATGAATTCCCAATGGTAGTCAGGCCGTTCTACACGAAACCACACCCGACCGACCCGAAATTGTCCAATTCCTACGACTTCTTCATGCGGGGAGAGGAGATCATGTCCGGTGCTCAGCGTATCAACGATGCCACCGAGCTAGAAGCATCTATGATGCGCAAAGGGGTCGACCCGAACGCGGAAGGGTTTCAAGACTATGTCAACGCGTTCAGGCAGGGGTGTCGGCCTCACGCCGGTGGCGGATTGGGTCTGAATCGTATTGTCATGTTCTTCCTAGGGTTGGACAACGTGAGGCAGGCGACACCTTTCCCGAGAGATCCGCAGAGATTGAGGCCTTAGACTTTCTTCATTCTGTCCGAGGCTTGCATGGGATGGTCGGTGGATTTTCGGGGTGGGAGGTACCGGGAGGTAGGAGTCCGAGAACCCATTTGCTTCGACAGGCCATGTTAGGTTCAGAGAAAGTTGAGGAATAGAGACAGACAACCACATGGTGTGGGATGACCCAGATAGATCGTAGTCTTTAGACAATTCTGGATTGAGAAAGTCGCGCAACTCGAAACCCTTCATTCTTCGCCAAACCCCACAGAACACGCCACAGCCTTGCGGTGGCACCGAGTATCCTTGTATATAGCCTTGGGGCGCTATCCGGTCCCGCAACCCCCTGCCGATGCGGGGGGACGTCACCCCGGTTCCCCCTGGACGAAATATATCCCACGAGAATCCGAGTGCTTATACTCGATAGCCCGTACATATTCTTGTCTCTTTTTCACTTCCTCTCACCTTAATTATCTCTGATTCTCCCGCAGAACCCCCCTTCCCGAGCTCAATTTGGAATTCCCCCTTCCTTCACCATGACGTACACGGGCCAAATCCCCCCCTCGCTCGCCGACAAGATCGACCCCCGCATCGTCCCGTTCTTCGAGCGCTTCTACGAGGTCTCGGACACGCCGACCGCGCACGACGACTACGCGGCCTCCTTCCTGCCGGACGCCGACTTCGTGATGGGCTCCAAGGCCGTCAAGGGCGCGGACCAGGTCCTGGCGCTCCGCAAGGGCCTCTGGACAGGGCCGATCCAGAGCCGGAAGCACTCGCTGCACAAGATCTTCCCGTTCGGCGAGGGCGGGCTGGAGTGCATGCTCTACGGCACCGTGGACTACGGGCTGAAGAACGGCAAGCAGTTGACCGTCGAGTGGGCCGCGAGGGCCGTGTTGGCCGAGTACGAGGGGAAGGAGTTGAGGTTTCGGCTGTATCAGGTCTATTTGGTAAGTATTTACGTTTATGTCCCGGCTGGGTGCGACGGGGGAATTGGTCAGGAGGAGAAAGCGGGAGCTAATAACGGGGATTCACAGGATTCAGCGCCTGTCGCAAATGCTGCGAAGGATTAAGGGCAGGCAAATCTAGAGTGCGAGGAATATCCATGCGAGCAGCTCTTCAAGATCCCTTTCGAACACTCTCCGAAATCACACACATCGTGATTCGCGTAGGACCCACCGTGATTCAACCCGTGTCTGTGTGTTATCCGGCCATCTCGTAGTACGTTCCTTTCCGACCGGGCACCCTCAAACCACCATCTTGCGTAGGTCTCGTAGGAGACATTCGGACCGGGCTGCCCTCGACTTCCGCGCTCTGGGGTCTCTGGAAGTCCTGGTATCGTGGGGCCGGCGGCGACGCACTCGTCACACTTTCGTCGGCAGGAAGTTCTGACTTGTGGCCTGACCATGCCGGACTCCTCATCCCGGGGTCGGACGGTCTTCTCTCCACTTGCGGTAGCGTGGGTTCCCTCATCGGCGCTTCCTCTTTCTGCCCCTGTCTTTTCTTCGCGCTGCGACGGGCGGCTGTGCATAATAACCAAGCAGAAACCGACAGGATTGCTGCTCCACACACTGCTCCAAATGCTATTCCTATCTTTTGTCCTGTGTTTAAACCGGAGTTGGTCGATGCTCCTGTCGATGTTGCCGCTGGTGCAGAGAAGGTCTGAAAAGAGGTGGAAGGCGGAGGGAGACTAGAACTTGCTGCAGTACCGGGAGTGCTAATCATTGAGCTGGAAATGGAGGTTGAAGTGGTGGTCTCGGTATCTGAGGAATCAAGCGTCGAAGTAAGAGAGTGTTCCGATGAGTACGCATCCGCGTCTTTCCAAGTGACGCTGCCGCCCACAGTTGCTGGCAAGGACATGACATTCGTGAGAACGGAGGAGTCGGTGAAGGCAACGGTCCTCGAGTCGGTCTCAGGACACCAGCAAGGCAATGGAGTCGTAACTGTGCTGCCTTCATCTTCGCACGCGACCCATTCATTCGAAGTGCCATTGCAGTAGACCAAGCCGGCCCATGGTTGCTCTGCAGGAGTCAACGAGTGTGGGACGGACTGGATACGGATCCCTTCCCCTACCTTGAAATTCTCCTTTACGCGGACAGACGGGGTCGTCGTAACTAGAATCTGTGCAGCCGGCCAAATATGTGACGCCAACTGACCATCGTTAGAGCGAGAGATCTCAGGGTAGCAAAGGGTGGCCCCTACATTGACCATTATAGCAAGCGTGCGACGACAGACACATGTCCAGGCTCTCACAGCATGACTTGTGGCCGAGGGCGGCATTCCCACAAGGGATATACCTGGAATCGGCCTGCATGCCATCGTCGTAGTAGCAGGTGCCGTTGGAGATATCCGGGTTGTAATCCGCCATGGCGTGCCGAATGATGGTTGGCATGAAGAGGACGAGGCATGTAAATAGCATGGTTGCGGTGATGGAACAAGGCAACCCAAGACTGTGTAACCCCACGAGACGTTGTTGACAGATGGATGCAGTTGTCAAATCCAGCACCGGGTACCGGCAGCAAGAGGCTCGTTTGTGGTAAGACAGCGGAGGGCTGTGGGTGCGGTTTCCCGTCGCCGGATTGAGAGGGGATAACGTACTCCCTGGCAGATGTGCGGCAGTGTGTCTCATTTATCAATTCACTTCATCTCACTTGTCATCAGTCAGTCCATTTGCTCCGATGATCCAGCAAGTCTCTCTGGCCGTAAACCTCGCCGGCAACCGTGACGATCATGTCCAAGACCACACTGACACACTTTTGTCGACTCGAATCCTCAATGATTTCAGCGAGCTCTGCCTCTCCATCCCTATTTTTGAGAGTCGGTGTCTCTTCAAGACTGTCATTGGCGCCAGCATCTGGCTTTTCACTTGGAACCTCCTTCTCGTCCTCGTCCTCACCCTCACCCTCTTCCTCAGTCTCATGCCGTTCGCCTCCCGTCTCCTGTAACCGAAGCGCCTTCTGCGCCAATTCTCGGATATCTCCCACTTCTTCGCTCGACAACTCCCCACGATCTCGGCACTTCCCGAGGACTGCCCACGTCCAAGCTCCGATTCTCGTGATCCTCGCCATGTCCCTCGTGTGAAGCATCTTGTCCAGCTTTGCCGAAAGGAACCTGACCAACTCCACGACGGTATCTGTGTCCATACATGCCACCTGAACAGGATGAGGATCCACAGACAACATGTGCTCTTCCCACTGCTTCCGCACCTTTCGAGTATTTTCCGGAAATGATATGAACTGTGAGGGGCCAAGTGCTTCAACGGCTGGAAGAGGTGGTAGACATCTTAAGGTAGCACGGACTAGTCTGAAATGCGCAAGGAGCGAGTTGTAGTATTGGAGTTGGGCAGGCGGCAAGGGCGTTTTGGCTTCAATCCTGGAGAGAGTCTGGTTGACTGCTGTGTATGCTCCGTCATAGTAATACCCGCCTTGTTCTACCTCCTCCTTATCCTTGAGTCCATCCAGATGGCTGGCGGATATCTGTGTAGTTATAATCGACGGGACACCTTTTGCCTCTGACCTGCAACATGGTTTCAAATATCAGCCCTTGCTTGTCCTTGACCTGGAATACCAGACATTCAGTGACAGGCGACCGAGGGATACTGGGAAGACTTACCGCACCATCCTCAGGTAATCAACTCCATCACTCGCAGGACCATAAAACAATTCACCCGTGTCCTCTCCGAGCCCAGGAAAGGCGCCGACCTGGCCACTAAACTGGTCGACATACGGGGCTTCGTCTGCCTCATCCTCCTCTGAATCGCTCCGGTATCGACGCTTGACTGGGGGAGACTCGTCCGGCTCGGGAGAGGACGTGTTGCGGCGTTTGCGCGACATGGTATCGGAACGCTTCAAGTCATCTTGCGCCGAATGACAAAATAACACAATCCTGGGGATGAAAGTGAGCCCCAAAGACCAGTCTGCTACAAAATGCGCATTCTACGCGTCTGAAAGCCAGTATTTCTCCTACGGCGGATCACATAATGTTATGACGATTCGCAGATTACTCCTCGTTGTCACCTCTGCCTTCCATGAGCTGCAGTTCTTTATTGAGAATGCTCTCTGATTCACGGACAAATTATCTGATCATAGTATGGAATCTTGACAAGTCATCAAAGAATACCGCGCGGCAACTCAAAGCAATAATGCACATCAATATCCGCCACTGCAGCTATGCTGCAGCTAAGCAACCCCGGCGAGCACTATCATCTGCAAGCATCGTCTCCGATCAATCTCTTTCTTCAGCATCACCAAGCATGTGGCCACGATTATCGCCTCATCGAGATGGCTTGTCGCTTCCTGGTCGAGTCTGAGCTGCCCGCCATTCCCAGCGCTGCATTTGGAAGTACCCTCCGTCCGTGTTCCATCGGATCTGATCAACTGCGCCAGGATTGTTCCCGTCTCCTTCTGGCGCAGCGCAAGGATGTTCACTTTCTTGCCCAAGACATCTTTCATGTGTGAGTAACTCCATTCAAAAGAATGCCCATCTGTAGTGGTGAAGGTTGTGGACCGCGAACCCAGCTTCCCACAAACTTTGATTTTGTCTGCAGCGCCGCCTGGACCAGCCTGGTCTTGAATGAACCTCAGTTCCGGCTCGCGCTTGGGGCCAAAGAAATATGATGTGCTTATCAGGTCGCCTAGTTTTGCGTGGTTGAGTACTGCATCTCCAGAACATCGCTTTGCCTTTGTCGAAGTATATGCCAAACTCCCGTCATCGTGAAAGACTTCAGTTTTCAGCTCCGACGAAGGGCACGGAAACCGGAGCACGCCAATTCCACGAGCCGAAATATGCAGGATCGTACCGGCGCGGAAGTTAACAGGGTCGAGGAGTGTAGTTGCGTACGAGACATTGGAGAAGAGGGAGGCTGCTGCAGATTTGGCATCCACCTCAACCGCCTTCTCGGTTGAGATGGGCACCTCATGCTTGTACTCAAAGTAATCGGTGGTCATTCTGTTGTGGTTTGACGTCTCTCCAATGGTAGATAATGAAACTGACTGACGGTGACGGCACAAGAGTTTAGCTCTCCCAGGCTGTGAAAATCTAACTGACATACACCTTCATGAGAACACCAGTGAACCAGACCCAGGGCCTTTTATTGCAAACATCCCAGGGAAAGGCCAGGGGTGTTGGCTTGTGCGCCAGGCTCTGTCGTCGTATTCGGAAATCCGTATCCAGACTGGGTTGCGGAGGCTGATTGTGATTGGCCAAAAGTGCAAGGCAGATTCCCAGGCGCAGCATTGCAGGCTGGGCGAACTCATCGAATCCCAAAGATAGAACCAGCCTCTCCCATCCTCGGCTCGAACAGATCGACCTTCTTGTGGAAAATCGAACAATTGCGGCTGCCTGTTATCGACTTTTTGTGCGCTTCGGGCCCTCCGTTGCAGAGCCACGTTGTTGTCAATCTCGTCCGCCCGCCGCTTTCACCACCTTGATGTCCGGCAAGTCTCTGATGTCGGTTAGCACTCCCGTTGCTGCAGCACCTTCCTCCACTTCTCTGACTAGATCTACTATTCTCATCGCGTCGACTAGTAGTGTCCCGACCTCAAAAGCGACCATCTCAATCTCGCTCTCATGGCACTGGTCAGGGGCCAGGGGACCAATCCGCAACTCCGCCGTCAGGGCCAGCAGATCAGTTTCCGGAGGAACAGGGTAGGAGTGGTGCATGGCATAGACGACGTTCTCATCGACAATCGCCTGTGCTATGTCCACGTCCTCGCCCTCCTTCGTGTGTCGCCGCTCGCTTGGGTGGAAGGAGGCGGTGGATGACTTCGGAGCGTGTCGTTTGGCAAACATTTGGGTCTGGGTAGTTTGTCGCTGAATCCGAGGTAAAGGAATGATGGCGATCTTGGCAATCTTCTTAGAGTTGTTCATAACCAGGACCTTCCACGTGAATGGTTCGCCAACTCGTACAGGCATGTCGAGAGCTGTGAAAGATATTGACAACCCACTCCTCGAATCAGCATCAAAGGCTGGTTGTAGGCTGGTGCTGATAGCTGCCAGGGACGCTGCTGCACCATTGTCAGGGTGGACTGGGAGGCTTGTGGGTCGATTCGGCCGTTGTATCGGTTGTGAGGGAGGGCCGAACGAGGGGTTCAGGGCTGGAGTGAAATCGACGTTGGTAGTCCAATTCATGAGGAGAATTGGATGACATTTCTCATTCAACTGGATCGCCAGTCTAATCACAATTGACAGGACGTCAATGTTTGGGTTAGCGAGTCCAAATCCAGGGGCGCGGTTTGGACCTTGTTTTTGATGGAGTCTATACAGGAATGTTATGCAGTCCCCTGAGTGGGCCTGCATAGGCAGAAACCCAGGCATCAAAGATTCGGTCCGACCATTCTTAAGGGAGAGATCAACATGCTCAATTGTTGCATCTACTCGCACAAATGGAATGATGTCCATGTCCAGCAGAGCAACAGTGGCTGGTGTCGTAGCAGAAGTGTTCACCTTTTGATATCGGATTCGTGACATTGTCGCAGGTACTGCTCTGTGTCGTCTAGAAGGGACGTGTTGGAGGTGAACCCGTTGCTTGTGAGCTGCCGTCATGGGAAGTACTCGTTCTAGCCTCGAAGCAGCAAGGTATGGAGGATTGTCCTTGAGTCCCGGGAGAAAACGCATGGGCTCAAGAACATTTGCTTCCAGGGGCTGAAAGGGTGCGAGATCGTCGTTCTTCTCGATTGCGTCCCCCTGAGGAGAATTGATGGTGGCAGAAGGGATCAGGATGATGGCAGGCTGCGGAACACGAAACCTTGGTCGATTGAGGGAGATTTCAATTTCCCAGACAAGAGTTAGGGTCTGACCACGGTTTGCATCCTCACTGACCAGGACTATAGGTTCGTTCTTCTGAATCGATTCCGCCGAATACACCAGGTCTTTGGGAGGGGGTGCATTGGGTGTATTTTGTTCACTTCCTGGCGACTCCTCGATGGCCCACACGTCAATCTTAAAAGATAGTTGTGAGAGAAACAACTTCAAGACGTCTTCGTTGCAATGAGGCAGGCGGATCGCCGCCAATGTCCTCAATCTTTCATCTGATCTGGGGATGAGTAAGACAGAATTCCCTGGACGACTTGCGCTGAACATACCAAAAAAGAGTAGCTCTCTTTCCTTGATAGCGAGAAGCTGGCTGGAATCATTCTGAGCCTCCGCCCCTGCTTGTAGAATCTCGGAGACCTCGGTCACTGTGTCTTGCGGGATAATCGCATCCACCAAGGCAGATTTGAGAAGTTCAGCTTCCATCGTGGGAGGTCAATTCGGGGAAGATCTTGTCAGGCATGTCTTCCCTGTGACTACTCGAAGCCACAGAGTCGCGATATCATTGTGAGTTGCTCGCTTGAAGGCCTGAAGGAGCGATGGTCGTCAATAGTTGGTGCAAGACACAATGTGAAGTCTTTGGGAGTTGAAGCCACAGTGGGCGAGAAGCTTATGTAATGACGGGCTTGGATTTTCCCTTTCTACTTCTTCACTTCTCACTGCGATAACCGTAGCTCTTCCTCCACCGTCAATGTCTGACTCGGGCCCGTCGCTCTTTACTGTTATCGTCACTATTTTTCTCGTATGATCGGTCAACACCCTTGAGGCACGAAAATGAACGGGCTTCCCCCAACACCAGCGCAATGGCGAGAGGCGCGCGCCCCCGACGGGCGTACCTACTACTACCACACGGTCACAAAGGAGACAAAATGGACCAAACCCGCCGAACTCATGAGTCCGCTGGAAAAGGCGCTCGCCACTCAGCCATGGAAGGAATACACCACTCCCGAAGGCCGGAAGTATTACTCAAACTCGGAGACCAAGCAGACGGTGTGGGAAATGCCACAAGAGTATCGGGACGCCCTGAATTCCGTCCAACTTCCTCCAAAACCGGTCCAGCAACCCCCTGCCTTCGTCGCCGGCGGAACTACTGCCCTTTCCGCCTACAATAACGCGCGCGAACGAGACGATCACACGCCCTTCGACTCGAAACCTCGACCTGAGAGCGCGCTCTCGGTACCATCCATCACGAAGGAAGTGGTGCCCGATTACTCTAGCTTTGAAGAGGCGGAAGCTGCATTCATGAAATTACTGCGACGGTCTAATGTGCAGCCTGATTGGACATGGGAGCAGACGATGCGGGCGACGATCAAAGATCCTCAATACAGAGCCTTGAAAGACCCCAAGGACAGGAAGGCAGCTTTCGAGAAATATGCGGTCGAGGTTCGGCAACAAGAACGGGAGAAGGCCAAAGAAAGGCTGGCTAAGCTACGCACAGATTTCGGTAATATGCTGAGAACGCACCCTGAGATCAAACACTATAGTCGGTGGAAAACAATCCGGCCCATCATTGAAGGGGAGACCGTTTTTCGATCTACTGACAACGAAGATGAGCGTAAGCAACTTTTCGAAGAATACATTGTCGAGCTTAAGAAACAGCATATCGAGCAGGAAGCCGCCGCCCGCAAATCAGCGTTGGATGACTTGGTTGCTATTCTCAAAGCCCTCGACCTGGAACCTTACACCCGGTGGGCACAGGCCCAGGATATTCTTCAGTCCAGCGAGAGGGTACAGTCGGATGAGAAATTCAAGCTTCTGAGTAAGTCAGATGTTTTGACGGCTTTTGAGAACCATATCAAGTCGCTCGAGAGGACCTTCAATGATGCACGTCAGCAGCACAAAGCTAGCAAAGCAAGACGCGAACGACAAAACCGCGATAGATTCGTGGAACTGCTTCAAAGCTTGCGAAGCCAAGGCAAGATCAAGGCGGGCACCAAGTGGATGACCATATTGCCCGAGATCGAAGAGGACCCGAGGTATGTTGCAATGTTGGGTCAAGGCGGCTCAACACCTCTGGATTTGTTCTGGGACCTGGTCGAGGAGGAGGAAAGGGCTCTACGAGGAAGAAGAAATGATGTGTATGATGTGCTTGAGGTAGGCTGGGACCCCTTTTATCTACACAGTATATGCTAACCCACGTGCAGGACAAACGATATGAAGTCACACCTCGAACTTCCTTCGACGAGTTTCTTGATGTCATGCTTGCTGATCGACGAACAGCCAATATCGATCGAGACGCTCTACAGCTCATCTTCCATCGTCTACATGACAAGGTGGTCCGTCGGAGTGAGGACGAAAAGCACGCTGCAGACCGCCATCAGCGCCGTGCTGTGGACGCACTGCGCTCAAGGATCAAGCATCTAGAACCTCCGGTCCGCATTACTGACTCATGGGAGGATATCAAAGCACGAGTGGAAAAGACAGATGAGTATCATGCCGTCGAAAGTGAGGAACTGAGAAAGTCTGCATTCGACAAGGTGATTAAGCGGCTGAAAGAAAAGGAAGAGGATGCCGACAAGGACCGAGAACGAAGGCATTCCCGACGAGGTGATGACCGAGATCATCGAAACGGCCATCGCGGCGAAACCAGATACGGCCGACTCTCCAAAACCCCAGAGCCCGATGCCTATGAAGCAGACCGCCGCAAGGCACAGGCAGCTCGGGAGAAACAATATAGAAAGGCGAGTGGATTCAGCCCACCGCCTTCACACGCTCGCGAGCGAAGAGACCGCGACGAGAGACACGGTCGCCTGGATCGTGACAGAACCCCTCCAACTCGACGCATGAGTACTTACGAGCGTGAACGCCGCGAGAAAGAAGAGGAACGAGAGCGCCTATATCGCACACGAGCCGAACCGCGCAGCAGCAGAGATGAGCTCAACTATGGCGAAGAATCAAGGAGTATTACGGGCAGCGATCGACGACGGAGACGGGAGGGAAGTGAAGACAGTGTTGAGAGTGGACGGCGTAGTGCAAAGCGGAATCGCCGAGAGAGAAGATCGCGGTCGCGTGAGAAGGGAAAGAGTAAAACCCCCGAACCGTCGTCGGCCAAGAAAGACAAAGACAGTGACATGCTGCAAGTCCCGGAGCCGAGTGGAGTGCATTCAGGAAGTGAAGAAGGCGAGATCGAGGAGGATTGAATGGTGTGGTCAAGCGGAATGGCCCTTGAAGGAGGCTCCATCAGGTCAGTCTGATACGGCGTTCTTGCGCCTTTCCTTGTTACTGGGGACTTACAGCAGCTATGTCTTCTGCTCCTTTCTGCACACGCGCAGGATAGACTTCGGGCAGCAAGCAAGCTGGAGTTGTTCTCTCTGGTAGAACGCTCGCGGCAAGCTTCCAGTTTGTCTCCTCCGAAGCGCCACGTCGAGATCTGCGCATATTGTTAGGTACGTAGAGCCCTGCATCCCAGGCTTCTAATCATAAAAATCCCAGTGTTTGTTTGCATTGCCTTGCATCTTCGAGGTCTGTAAATGGTCCTATCGTTCAAGGTGAATGGCTTTCCTGGAACCATTCTGTACCCGCGTCTGTGTTCTCGTAGCTCTTTCTTTCCTTCGGCCCAGCGCCACATTAGTCGGGTTTCATGACTGCCTGACATAGATGTTCACTGGCTCCCATTGCAAGGACCCTCCTCTGACGATGCTGGGCGCATGTGGCACGTGTGACGGACGGGCTTAGGATTCGAATGGTGGATGGTAGACGATGGACGCCTAGAAGGGCATCTCGCATCTCGCATCTCGCATCTCAGGACCCAAGATCACGCACGCACGACTGCCTCCGTCCATGGCTTCATACACACATACACATACTCGGAATTTCAGGGGACGAGCAGAAAGCAGCCCCAAAAGAAAGGGGAGGCGATGAAGTAGAACACGAACAGACATAAGTTGGAAATCCACGACGTATCTGATATCTGGTATCTTAGAGCCCATCACGACGCACGCCGCCCCGCAGCCCGCCGCCAAAGATGGCCGGGCTCGATTGAAATGGCTAACCATTTTCATTTCGACCTACATACCTAGGTAAAGCGCCAGGTCTTGCAGGTTGTTGTGTCATGGCCTTCAAACTCGCTTCCGTGCAGACAATGCGCAAGCATTTTCGGTGGACACACACATAATACATGGCAGCTCAAACGGTTCAAAATTCCATGGCGTCCACTCCGCCTCGACCTCCATTTCTCGAAGAAAGTTTCGATAGATTCAATCTGGATTGGCTCTGATCCGCCATCATCTCCTCGGTGTCTTCTTCGCTGTCCTCGTCTCCGTCGACTTCAAAGTCGAAATCTCCACGTTCGATCCGACTACACCGGTCCAGAATGGCTTGGTATTCTTTCCGCAGGTCTTCGAGCGTGACGATCACCCGCCGCCGCTTGGGCATCTTCACCATCAGTCCGTCATGTTGCTCGTCGACGTCTTCTCCGTCCGTCTGGTTCCGGGCCGTCTCGCTGTCCTCGGTTTCGACAAGAATGTACGCGTCGTCTGGTGCCATGCAGGCCATAAGATTGATGAGAGCCAGCAAGACGTGTCTCAATGCGGTGGCTTTGGGATCGTGTCGAGCACGACCGGATTTGCGGATCAACTTTAATCGATCATAGAGGACAGTAACCGCACCACGGTAGTCATTTTGAGAAATGCGGATGGCATGCATGATGCTGAGGTAGTCAACTTTGCCGTTGTCGGAACTCAGGCTCGATGACATCAACTGGGATTTTGCGAGAGAAACGAGGTGTGAATCCATGTGGCGGGCAAGTTGAGGATACATAGCCCAAGGAAGAGACTGAAGAGTCCGGACCACACCTTCAGGCCCGAAGACAGATCCACTCGAACTCAAGATTGAGTTGATCAGGGCCGTCACTGATGATCGCTGCAATGCTTGGTCTGGCAGCTGGACCAAAGCACTGTAGGCGCGATCAAACCTAGACAGTTTGAGCTCTGCGGTGACCAATCTAGACAGCACCTCGGCCCGGAAATTGTGAATTGGCTCCTTCTGCCCAGCGTCCAGTGATTCTAACGTCAAGTGAGCAAATTGAGCTGCTTGGTTGTAAGCTTTTGCAGTCTCGAAAAGGGTCGTGATATGATGCAGGTAAACGGGCAGGCCGTTGTTGAAACACTCCGCTTCGATCAAGGACAACAGTCCTGCTGAAAGGGCAACCAAATTTCCAACCGCTTTTCCGCATGCTAGACCATACGATGCCTTCCGGAAGTAATGTGCTGCCACATCGTACTCGCCTTTCGCGGTGGCCAGACGTCCTTTCACGTAGCTTGACCAGGATGTCGAAGGTTGGTACTGTAAAAACTCTGTGGCAAGGTCGAGTTCGCCCTGCACAAGCAGGTCACATTGGAGGTAGACGGCACCTTCTTCTGGATCCAATGTATCTTTTCCAGAAGCCCAGTCGTCTATCTCTGACAGCTGGTCTGTGATTAGATACATCAGTGGTTTCTCGACGGCGGGTTGCGGTCGGACGGCTTTGCTCAACGTGTCCTCCATTATGGTAACCTGTCTTTTGTTGTCTGCGACGGTATCAGAGCGCCGGCGGGAGGCATTTGGGTGTCCATCAGCGCCGAGGATCTCTAAAGGTACCAGCCTTGAGTGCGACACTAGCCACAGATTGCGATTACACAGCCGAAGAAGGGGTGCAATCTGATCATATAACTCGGACGCGTCGAATATTGTTGATTTCGCCTCCTCCTGGCTCAACTCGCCCTCCACAAAAATCGCCAGAGCAAGAAGGTCCATGAGCAGTTGATTTTGGGAGGACAAAAAGTCGAGCACCCCGGCAGACAAAAGAAGATTTCCAAACAGGGTAGTCCTCAAGGCGCTTTTCGCTCTCCTACTCTTCAGCGCAAAGAGCTCCAAAATCGCGAGAAAAAGTTCGTTATTCAGCCCAGAAATGCCACCCATAGGGGAGAGATCAGACTGAAGTCTCTCAAAAGTATCATTGGATACAGCGTCGCCGAATCCTGTACTGTCATAAATATTGAGTGTTCGCATTGGAGTGACATAATCGGCACCAACGGACATATCGCCTTCGATTGTAAGCGCGAGATCTTGAGCGAGATCGGGAGAAAACGATTCTCTGAACGTCCTCGCCGCGGAGATGAGGACAGCCAGGTCGAGGAAGGGTTCTCCGTCTTCAGTACTGACTTTTCGGTGAGGCCATAATCGAGCAGTGGTGTCTTCGAGATCCTTTATGTCGGCGAGGGCGTTCTGTTGAAGGAGTTCAAACTTGCTACATTCTCGGACCGCACAGCATTTGTCCGCCATGGTAATCCACACCATTTCGCTGAATGCATCGTACGCCAGGCTCAGCGGGGCATTGCGGCCGTCATTGACGTTTTCAGCTATCCTGTAGAAATTGCGCCATTGGGTGTCGGTGTCGATGGAGAACCGATCAAAGTCCATCTCAGATTCTCCATACTTTCGCAGCGAGATGTTGGCCGCCACCGTAGCACACATACGTTGTCTCAGGGGAGCCTCCCTCTGAGAAGCGGTCAGCTTCGCCGAAGTCGCATCCTCAAATATGGATAATGCCGTGTCGAGCGCAGCCTCAGAGTAACGGCCAGGATGGAAGAAGAAGCCCAACCATTTGGACGCCGGATCTTCCTGGTCGCCTCTGACAAACTCCGGAGGGACAGTCTTTGCGGATACGGTTGCGTTGCATTTGACCCAATTTGACTTCCAGGAACTTGCTAAGCTGCCCAATTCAAGTTGACAGTTGTAAAGTTGGTGGTAGTTGTGATTCCGCCAAAGCACCCAGAGCTGCACAGACCTGTAATTGGTGCCTGGATCGAGCTTGAATCCGATCATGGACCAGACAGTGTTCCCTGACGGATCTGGATCTGGAGCGCTGAGCTTTGTCTCTGGATATCTGTCTTCCACAATAAGCGAGTCTGTGAGGCTGCCCTTAATGTCCCAGAATTTGAATTGCCCTCCTTCTTGAGGGCTGTAAGTCAAAACTGTGGGAAATTTCTGCGCTTCGTCTTCTCTGAATACTTGCAACAGGGCGTCTTCTGCTGGGTTCAAGTGGGTTCTGTCATTGGGGTCTCGCGTCAGGCCCACCAAGTCCTTCGTAGCAACGATTCTCCCATTGTTGAGGTTCCAAATTCTCAAAGTATGGTTCAGGCACACAGTAAAGAGGAGATCTCCATCCGCGGAGACGGCCATGGTCTGGGCGGTTCTCGGATCCAGTTGCGTCGAACCAAATTCGATAGCGTGATATCCTCTTCGGCCGACGAGCCCTCGGATCGATGCGCCCCATGACCGGTCATCGTAGTTATCCTGTTCCCAGCTGTCGTGTACAGACCTTCTCTTCAGTCTCTGTAGTCTTCCGCTCGCAAAAGATATCACCACAACCAAAGGGGTATTGGCGTAAATGCGGTAGACCGTATCTATTCCAAGGGTGGAGCTTTCGAGCGGCTGGCACCACTGACTGAGGTTTTCGCTTTGCAGGACATGTGAGTCGCGGAAGGCACTGGTGGGCATTCGAAGGTTGAAGATCTCATTTCTGTCGGTACAAACAAAGGCGCTAATCTCGTCGATATTCTCTGAATCTGCAAAAGTGACGCCTCTAGGGATGATCTGGTCTTGGAACTCGAACTGAAGGGTGAGGTAGGCCTCGTGCAAATCGGCTTCACTTCTTGCAAAATCCGCGCACTGTACGTGCAACACCCTTCCGTTGTTCACAACCTTCCAGTAGAATGTCCTTGGATATGTTTTCGACGCCCGGAAATATATCGAGCTTTGAGAGGCTAGGACATGGGAGGAATAGGAGTGTTGATCGCTTCTCCACGCTCGGCCATTCTCAGACCGGCTTGAGGAAGATTTGGGCTTGTCATAAGAACCATTCTTTCTCGGAACTCGGAGGCGTATCACGGAGTCTGCGCTTGGTGCAGTCACTTGGAAGGCCGTCTCAGTATAGAGGTTGAGCATGGCTACGGCTGTTATCTGAGTCGCATCTGGTCAAGGAGCGTCGTTTTGAGGTACAAATCGAAGGATAGTTGCCATGACAGTGGACTTTGCGGAAGGGCTTGCGCAGTTCAATAGCAATAGCAAGAATTCTGCGACGCGTCTATTCTCCAAATGTCGCGGTCAATAAACGCCAAGCGCAGGAAGAAGAGCCAGCCTCGCCAGCCTTGCGGCCTCGCCAAGTCACGAGCGCTTGGCGGCGAAGGAAGGCTGCGGGATTGGCACACTGGGGGCCGCGCTGGCAGATTGTGCCTGGCGTCTTGTTCGTTCTGGTTCATTTCATTGATAGAGACTCCGTCCTACAGTAGGTATCGAGGGCTAAACTCATATTTATATCATAGGTATCGTTTGTTTGTCTTTCCAAATTCCGTCCGTCGTCTACCACCAGTCGCCTTGATCTTTCATAGCTGCTGCGACCTTGGTGAAGCCAGCGATGTTGCTGCCGGCCACCAAGCTGGGGAATTCATCTTCCTTCGGGGTGACATATGTCTTGGCGGTCTGCAATCCGTTCTCGAAGCAGTTCTTCATGATGAGCTTCAGTTTCTCGTCCACCTCTTCGGCGGTCCATTTGATGCGGGCCGAGTTCTGAGCCATCTCAAGCCCTGAAACTGCCACACCACCTGCGTTGGCAGCCTTTCCAGGGGCGTACCAGACCCATTTCTCCTTCTTGAAGTTTCGATGTGCCTCAAAGGCGTCGATCGCATCTTTTGTGCATCCCATGTTGCTTCCTTCGGCCACAAACTTGCATCCAGCTGCGATGAGACCTTCGGCTTCCTCACCAGACACTTCGTTTTGCGTCGCCGAGGGGAGGGCCACATCGACCTGACCCACGTGTAGCCACGGTCGCGCACCGTCGATGTATTTGACCTTGCTGCTGAATGCGGAGGTGTGGGCGACCTCGGAAAGCTGTTTCCGGTCCACCTTGAGTTTCGCAATGATCTCGATCATCTCTGGGTCAATACCCTGAGGGGTGGTGGCGATGATGGCACCTTGACTGTCACTCAGGGACAAGACAGTCCCTCCTAGTTCGATCACTTTCAGGGCAGCATACTGGGCCACATTTCCAGAGCCCGAGATAGTGACCTTCTTGCCGGAGAATGATTCGGTGCCACCAGAGGCATATTTGATCATGTGCTCAACGTACTAGCAACAGTCAGCCAGACTCTCCCCGCCGCGATGGAGGAAATCTCACATAGACGACACCATACCCGGTGGCTTCTGGTCGGATGAGAGAGCCGCCCCAGCTGCCTACAATTTGTCAGGATTTGTGTTTTCTTGAAGAGTGTGCAGTCCAAACTTGCCTCCTTTTCCAGTCAAAACACCTTCCCACAGCTTGGTCTGTTTCTTGTATTGTCCAAAGAGCCAACCGATCTCTCGCCCAGACACACCGATGTCGCCCGCTGTCCGCATGATCAGCCTACCGAATCGAGCAAGTGGTCGCGTGGGGCTTACCAGGAACATCAGTGTCTGCGCCAATATGCTTTCCGAGCTCGCTCATGAAGGCACAGCAGAATCGGCGGATCTCATTGTCTGATTTACCCTTGGGGTCAAAATCCGCACCGCCCTTTCCACCTCCCATGTTCAGTCCCGTGAGCGCATTTTTGAAGATCTGCTCGAACCCCAGAAACTTCAGGACAGAAAGGTTCACAGTGGGATGAAATCGCAGGCCGCCTTTGTAAGGACCAAGCGCCGAGTTGAATTGTACGCGGTAGCCGCGGTTCACCTGGAGTTGGCCCTTGTCGTCTTCCCACACCACTCGAAATTGGATGATTCGTTCGGGGATGGAGCAGACCTTGAGGGCTGTCTTGTACTCTGGGTTCTTCTCAAAAAGCGACGAGTTTTCGAGACTAGAAACAAGCTCTTTATATGCTTGCTCAAACTCGGGCTCGGACGCAAGGTTGGTCATGGTGTCAGGTCAGGATGAAGCGACCAGGACTTAGGGAACAGTGAACTGAGACCGGAACTTGATGAAAAGTTGGTGTTGGGGGTGGAAAGAAAAGTGGGAGAGGAGGAAGGGAAAACGGTCACAATATAACGGCCAGCACTGAGTCTTCAACAAGTTGCAGGTCGGTCTGGATTGATCTCTTTCTGTAGTCTACAACCACAGCTCATCACCTTGGCAGCAGAAAAAAAAATCTATCAGTACGTCAGTTCGAAAGGTGACGACATCCACACCCTTTGCGCAGCCATGATGCATGTGCAGCTAGCAGGGCCAGCATTCTGCTCTAGCTTATCTGAGGTCCCAGGAACAAGGAGGTCTCGAATCCAGCGTATCGACTACTGTTCTGTCAAAGCTGATGTTGACAAAATTTTGTAAAGGCTGAGAGTGAGCGCGTCGATTGGTTCGATAAGGGAGGGCATGCTCGTTGATAGAGCTGCAGTGGGGACTGGGGAGGGGACTAGGGGGCACCTCAAGGGGCCCCAATGGGTAGAGGCTAGCAGGGACGTAGAGGCCTGGCACCATGGGCACAGTGGGTAGCCTTCGGAGCTGGTGACAATGACGAACCTGCAGACTCAGTGATGGTCGCCTTGCAGCGCCCTGGCTGCCGGGGGCTGCTGGGCCCAAATTCTATCCACGCGCCTTATCGAGACCCCTCGTCCTTCCGCCCACTGGGCAGTGGAGTGCAAGTATTGAGCGGCTGGTCCTGCTTATTCCGTCCAGACGTTGCTCGATCCGATGTCGCTGCATCGCTTGCTTTCCCCCCCCAAAAGCTTCTTCTTTGCAGCAACCCTAACCCATCCGAGTCCAGTGTCAGTGCCTCAGAAGCAATGCCCCTCGCTAAAACTGGCCGCTGCAGGTGGGAGCAATTTTTCTTTCTCTCGCTAAGCACATGAATGAGCGATTCGGGTGTACCCGAGCTCGAGCTCTAGAGCCTGCTGACGAGGAGGAAAACCCATCCCACCAGATCCCGCGTTATAGAACAGAAACCCCTGTCCATCATGAAGATTTTTCTCCACGAAGTCGGGCCACACGGCTGGCAGTGGGACACGTGAAACAGAAAATTCTTCCTCGACTTCCTCCCCATCCCTGCTTCTGGGAGCCAAAATTCCCTCCGGAGATGTCTGGGTATCAACTCCAAAGGCGAAGCGGCACGATGCACCGGAGTGGAGAGGGTTGACACATACCCGGAGGGGGCCACATCGCCCCGGAGCCTGGACCTCCCACAGTTGAGTCATACAATCCGATTGCCTTGTGTGCCAAATACCAGGACCCCAGAAGCAATGGCTGTTCAAACAAGGACCGAGACCAACCTTTCAAGCATTGTAGCCCGGCTTGACGATTGACTGGGTGCATTGCCATTTGCTCGATAGCTTGTGCACTTTTACCCTTCGCCGAATAGACATAACCTCGCCGTGTTCCAAATGGCCAAAGCAGCAGCCAGCTTTTCCATAACTCCAGTCCGACTTCCAGACGACTTGACAGATACCATTTCCCTCTTTTATGCGTATGCAGGGTCGTTAGGCTTCGACCTAGCTTTCCAAAATTTTGACAATGAAATGGCGGGGATGCCGGGGAAGTATTCCCCTCCGCAAGGAGAATTGCTTTTGGCCCGGAATGAGGCTGGGGTCGCCATTGGGTGTGTGGGACTGCGTCCTCTCCCCTCTGCTGGAGTGACAGGCAAGGTCTGTGAGATGAAGCGCCTCTACGTCACGCCAGCAGGGCGAGGCACTGGGGTCGGCAAGGCCCTGGCCTCCACCATCATTGACGCAGCAGAGAAGCTCGGGTATGATGAAATGAGATTGGACACCCTTCCGAGCATGGCCACAGCATTGAGGATGTACCGACACTTCGGGTTTGAAAACATTGCCGCATATTATGAGACACCTCTGGAAGGGACTCATTTTCTCAGCCTGAAGCTGCCGAGGCAGGCAAAAGAATGAACCCGACCCCAAAAGAGGAACAGTTGATGGACAAAAATGACCAGGTCGGCGCTAGCACCTCGATTGACGAATATCATCGAAAACTCGGCACCAAGCATGACGACAGATGGCATCGAATGCATCATCACAGTGCATTTGGATGTTTCTGTTCCCATTTCTTCACTGCGTTGAGAGCGGCTGTGATTTTCAGGCCCAGTCGGGCATCAAGCTCGTACTTCTCCCAGCCTTTCGCCTTTTCCAGGTGGTGTTTGGCTTCTTGAACCAATTTTGCATCATGAGCGAGGTCGAGTGGAGGTAACTTCTCCGTGGGCTCCCCAAGGAACGTGGCCCCGTGTTGCTGAGTGTACGCTGTCCGCTGCATCCACAGATTAACCGCCATTTCATGATGCGCGGTTGGAGCCATCCAGTCGTCCTTGTTCGAACCCCTGAACTCATGGGCCCCTTGAGCCAACAACTTTCTTTTCAGCAGAGTCTTGGATTCCTCGTGCCGGCGGAGATTTCGGAGGATGATGGCTTTGAGGACATCAAGAATCGCGTACTCATCGACATCTTCCTTACTCCAGTTGGGTGTGCTTTCAGACCATGCAAGATTGTCCAAAGATTTTTGCAGCTGCGATTCGTTCATCTTCTTGAAACCGTTCCAGAGAAATATCATCTCGTCGAGTGGACTCACACCGATTGCATCAACGAAACTGCAGTTCCACCGAGAAGCACGTTCTTCCCACTTCGAAATCTTGCGCACCACGAAGATGTCGAAGGGCAGTTGCCTACCCATCATCTTCTTCTTTCCGACTTTGGTTGGCGCTGTTTTGAACAGTTCTTCGGCGAGCTTGGCATGCTTTTCTCTATCCTTGCTGGAGAGAGTTTCATCATGGCGGTAGAAGCAAAGGTGGGCGGCTCCTGCAATGTAGTAGTACAAAGCGCGAGACCACGCGTTGAGGTCCACGCACGCGAGGATGGAGTCTGCACACAGTTGGTACCTGTGGGCGTGCATAGCGCTCAAACTCTTTTCAAACATATGCAGCGCTTCGATCTGCTTTAGTTGGCTCTTGCCAGGAGAAGCGAGAATGGCCAAGGCTTGATCAAGGTTTCGTTTCGAGGCTGCTGTCCTTGCTTCCTCCACAACCCAGAGATTGCTGTTGGGATATCTCTTCCTCATGTCGACCAGGAGTGCCTCCAAGCGTTTCGTAGGATACGCTTCGACATCGTCCGGTTTGGAGGGATCCACGTCGGCAACGATATCGCAAAAACCGACCAGGCCATTGTACCAACCAAACAAGATTAAGCCCGCCATCCCACCATTAATGTTGGGAAACCTACTTGCCTGCCATAACATCCGAATGCCTCGTTCTCGATCACCGCGGAATCCGACGATGTACAGAAGTTTGCTGAACGCTGGGGGAATGATGGAGATGAGCAGCGCCAATAGCCCAGACATGAGGTTCGTGCCCGAGTGGATGAAAACGTCGAGCGAGTTGCTAAAAACCTCCGATTCGGGCCCTTCTGTGAGCATTCCCAGTGTTACTGTGGTCGACCGGCTGAGCACGCCTTCTGGAGGCAGTTCATTCATTTTTTCAATTTCCAGATCCAATTCCGTCGTATGGTCCGATTCCACTTCCACCTCCAAGCGGCCGTGGTATTCGTCTGTGACCGCGTTCGTCTCGTCTGCCTCATGGAATTCATCGTCAGAAACGCTATCTGGCGTAGCATCAACGGCTTCCGCATTCCTGAGGGCAGATGGATGTGCAGGCTGGATTTGGTGGTGAGGCAGGGGTTCTGAAGCAGCAGGGCCCGACTTTCCAGAGGTGGATGAGTGCAAGCTGTCAGTGGACTGATCTCTCGAAGCTGACAGACTGCTCGTCGACCGAGTGCGGTTGAAGTTGATTTCCATCTGCACGAGGCTGTCAAGGGTAATATATGCTTTGCGGAGTTTATAGAACCCTCGCAGAGACTCGGTCAGACTCTCATTGAGCACGCCAACCACGGCAGACATGATCTGGGCCTCTGCCTGGCACAATGCAAATTCCGAGCCTCTCTCGTAGATGGTGGACTGGAAAGCACGCGAGTCGTGCTGGGCGCGCGCGTGACTGGCTGAAGCACTCGATTCGGCCTCATAGAGCGTTTCCGAAGCCTCCTTCATGAATTCTTGCTCGAATCCCAATGCTGCCTTCATGAAGGCCAGCGTGCCTTTGGCAAGCTTGTGGAACGAGGAGTTGCCGTCGGCGAGGCCCGCCTCAGCACCCTTGATGTCGTCATCCATGACTCGGTCTACGGCTCGCATAGCAGTCTCGAGGTTTTGAGACTCCTCGAGCGAGTCGAGGCTGTGTGTTGAAGCATTGATCGAGGGACGGCCGCGGTCGAACCATCGTCCGACTCTGTGCATGCTGAAGTCGAGAGGAGGGGGGAGTAAGGGCGAAGAACCTCTAAAGCGCTGACTGGTTAAACCAAGGGATCTAAGAAACGGGGGGCAAAGTTGGCCACAGCAATATCTCAACACATCATATTGGAAGATATCAAGTACTTCAAGCAGATAGAGGACAAGATACCTCCCAATATGAAGCACTCAAGAGAAAGAGGAAGAAAGGGGTGATAAAGAGAAGACGTACAAGGAGGGAGATAGATTTCAGCCTAAGAATGAGGATGAGGATCGAGCTTACTTTGTTTCCGGCCCCCGCGTGCTGGCTGCAAAAGAAAGTACCAACGGGCATATACTACGGAGATGGGTTCGTTGTGCAATTGAGCTGAGGTGTTTTGCCTTCAAGAGGATCAAATGATGACGAACATTCAGGCAGGATCTGTGGAGTTTGCGTGTTATGCCCGTCTGAGGCCGCCGTGCTGCGGCTGCGCCATCGCATGCCCTGCTGCATTTGTGCCTGTTTGTGCCTGTTACAAAGGCTTGTCTTTGGCCACTAGTAGCGTCCTGGCTATCCGAGCCCGCAACGGTCCAGAGCTGGCTAATCACAGGGCCGCACGACTCCCCCAGCAGGCGCAGGCTGAGAGATCGCTCTTCAAAGCACACCTCACTACTACTACCGACTGGCACGGGCCACAAAGTACATCAGCATTCCTCATTCGTTAATTTTTTTGGCCTGTACACAGTGACGACTCGAAGCAATTCCCTCATCGCACCAAACCAAGGCTGAATCTCCCTTGCTAGAGAAAGAGTCTGCATTTATTTCCGACCACAGGTTGCCCTACTTCCAGAAGGGAGAAGTTGTTTGGCTGCTTTTGGCCACCGCGATTCGCCGCAAGAGACTACCTACGTACTTGACCCGCAGCCTGCGCTCACCTTCCAACAACACCATGTCCTCGTCCGGCTCCTCCAACGCACCAACGGCGAAGATGCAACCGACGCAGAAGACCGAAGTCGATGCCGCCCAAGCATCCAAGACAGCCTCGAATCCAGCCCCGGCCATGCTCGAGGAAGACGACGAGTTTGAGGATTTTCCGGTCGAAGGTACGAAACGCGCAGACAAAATGCAACAGAACGGGGTCCATGTTGACATAATATCGAACAGACTGGTCGCAGGAAGACGCAGAAGTACCCGGCGGGACTACTCATCTCTGGGAAGAGAGCTGGGACGATGATGACGAGAACGAAGATTTCAGCAAGCAACTGAAGTGAGTCCCGGACAACACTGTGCCATCACCACTGCAATTTTACGAGGCTGATTTTGTCACACAGGGAGGAGCTGAAGAAAGTCGAATCAAGCAAATAGAGCTTGTTGTGCGAGAGCAGTGCATTGCATGGCGTTCTGGTATCATGGACCGAGGGCATCAATGGTTAAAGATACGGCATGTTCCCTTCTAGCAGTTCGTGGGAGGAGAAAAAACTATCATACAACAATGGACTGTCTTTGTTTTGCATTGCCCTCAGAGGTTCGGTCTCGCAGTACCGCTTGCTTCGATACCAATCAATCGTGCGCGTCGTCGATCATGGAGGATGTAGACTACTTACTAGACAGGTTGACCACGCCTGGCAGAGCTTTGCCCTCCAGCAGTTCCAGGCTTGCACCACCGCCCGTGGACACATGGCTCAATTTGTCCTCCACCCCATACTTGGCTGCGACAGTTGCTGTGTCACCTCCACCAATGATGACAATCTTCCCAGACTGGGCTGCTTTGACGCAGGCATCCAAGGTCTGTTTGGTGCCATTGGCGAACTTGTCGAATTCAAAAACTCCCGGAGGACCGTTCCACAGGATCGTCTGCGCCTCATCGATGGCTTGCTTATACAGTTCGATGCTCTTTTCGCCGCAGTCGAGACCCATCCATCCATCGGGGATGCCTTCAGCATCCGTCGCGGTGCCAGTCTGGGCATCCTTGTCAAATTTGTCTGCAGTGATATAGTCGCAGGGTAGGACGATCTTGACGTTGTTTTTCTTGGCCTTTTCCACCAGCTCGGCACATTTTTCGCTTCCGGCTTGATCGAACAAGCTGTTGCCGATCTTAACACCCTCCAGAGTCTTCTTGAACGTGAAAGCCATGCCGCCACAAATGATCAGGATGTTGACCTTGCCGAGCAAGTTGTCGATCAACTGGATCTTGTCCGAAACCTTGGCACCGCCGAGGATGGCGAGGAATGGCCGCTTGGGGTTCTCAAGAGCTTGAGCAAAATAGTCGAGTTCTTTCTTCATCAAGAACCCAGATGCCTTCTCAGGTAGCTCTACTCCGACCATGGAGCTGTGGGCTCGGTGAGCGGTCCCAAAGGCGTCGTTGATGTACACATCACCCAACGCGGTCAGACCCTTCCGGAAGTTGGCAACAGCGGTTTTGTCGGCTTTGACTTTGTTGCCGTCCTTGTCCTTGGAGCTCCCTTCTTCCTCGGCGTGGAAACGCAGGTTTTCGAGCAGGATGACTTGGCCACCACTGGCTTTGTTGACAACCTCTTCCACCTCAGGACCAACGCAGTCGTCGGTGAATATGACACTCTTGCCTAGAAGCTTCTCGAGCTCGGGGACGACCGGCTTCAAGCTATATTTGGGGTTCTTCTTCCCGTCCGGGCGACCGAGGTGGGACATGAGGATGACGGCTTTGGCTCCATGTTCGATGGCGTATTTGATGGTAGGTAGAGCGCCCACTATTCTCTGGTTGTTGGTGACCTTTTTGTCGGCGTCAAGCGGGACATTGAAGTCGACCTGAAACCGGTCAGCAAGAACAGGACGATGGCATGTGAACCAGACATACTCGGATCAAGACACGCTTGTCCTTGAGGTCGATGTCGGTGATCGCGAGCTTGTTAGACAGAGACATGTTGAAATAGGCCGGGTAACAATGAGGCAACAGAAAGAAGCGCTGCTCAATGTGAGAAGGGAAGAGAGAGAAAAATATGAACTTTGGTTGAGCTACGGAACTGTGCACAGAAAAACGACTGACCTGTTGAACTTATTGGCACTTGTCGGAGGGGTCAAGTCGGGTTGGGCTCAATACAACGGAACTGGTGGGGTGATTGGAAAAATACAGGCTCGCAGGTGCATCGGCAACCGACGTCACAGGCTGCTTGACTTGAGGCCGTTTGGGGGGGTTAACTTGTTAGCAAGCAGCATCTCAGCCATCGCTCGCTCTCGCCTAGTATGCTTGTTCAAGGGCCTGCATGAGATTTGAAGCTTTTGCTGCTTCGCCGAGAAAATGGGTGTTTTGCATGCCTCATATGTGCCAGTCCAGCTTGCACATGCACCTTGCACATGAAGGCAGCCGTCGCGGGACCGGAGGACTTGTGCTGACGACTCTGCTCCTAGCCACCCCCTCGTCGATATTTATACGGAAGAGAGAAATGGGAATCCCATCTGCGACCACAACAATATCTTTTCCTCTCCATTTGCTCTAATCCAATCCCAGGTATAAATCAGATCAGGTGGATGGGCAAGATGGGCCATCGTGGGCTGGTGTCGATGCTGACTGGCGGGGAAGATGGTCATGCGGACTTCCGACACTCCGGCGAGCAGACCCTGGAAACGCAGGACGTATCGAGGCTCAGTTCCTGTGTAGGCGTAGCTCTGGCATCTGGTGAGCCTGGTGAGCCTAGCGAGCCCTTTCCTTCCAGGCCTGGCCCATGGCCCCCTTAGTGTTTGCTGTCAACCACCAACCTCACACTTTCGTTCACTTTGTTGCGCACAGCATCTAACGACCTTTGACGGATAATAGCCAGAACCTTGATTGCCAGTAGCACAAGACACCCCCTCGTCACTGCGTCCCTCGCTCTTTCAGCACTGTCGCGACATATCCAAACGACTGGCGCTTTGTCCGCCGGAGCCTGCGCCCTAGTTAAGACCCTGGCGTCACGGACGTCCCTCACTTCAACTCGTTGACCTCATCTTCCCACAATATTCCAGACCTCTCATCTCGTCCATTTTCGCACCTCCTCTCCGACTTCCTCCTCCTCACAATGCTGGAAACCTCGAGACGGAAGTCGTTGGCGTGGTTGAACGGCACTTATGTATATGGCAGAATCGTGCGTCAACCTCCTTTGATTCCTGAAATTCCACAGCCTTTGTTTTCCGTGCTCGAAGCTGACATTCTCCTGTTCTTCAACAGCCATTATTACACACTATCCTTTTCCTCGTCGAGTTATCAATGGCTGCCCGACTCATCACCAAATTCAACTCCTACTATGCCCAGAAACCTGTTCTCACTACCATGATCACGAATGCGGTATGTGGATAAACCTGTAGCGGTTGGATGATGGCTGAAGGCGGAACAGATTCTTGGTGGCATTGCAGATACGGTGGCACAATCAATAACTGCAGTTCGAAAGAGACAGGCCATGCTGTCGACCACGACTGATTCGAGTTACCTCATCTCTTCCGGGGTCGAGCTCGAGGACCTAAACGAAAAGCCCGCAAGATTGTCGCCTGGTCTCTCTCCTCGAAGCAGCGGACCTCAACCTTTCGACTTTGAACGTTTGACTCGATTCATGTCTTACGGCTTCTTGATGGCTCCAATCCAGTTCCTTTGGTTTGGTCGACTCACGAAATGGTTCCCTATTACCCCCAAGAGTGGCACTGTTCCAGCACTGAAGAGAGTGGCCATGGATCAATTGATCTTCGCACCGTTTGGCCTGTGCTGTTTCTTCACATTCATGACGGTGGCCGAAGGAGGTGGAAAGAAGGAGGTTGCGACCAAGTTCAAGGACGTTTATCTGCCCACCCTGAGAGCCAATTACATCCTCTGGCCGGCCGTACAGATCCTCAACTTCCGGGTCATGCCCCTTCGATTCCAGATTCCGTTCGTGAGCACCGTGGGAATCGCCTGGACAGCCTACCTCAGCTTGACCAATTCGAGCGACGATGAAGCACAAGCTCTCCAGTGACCACGGTCATGCCTTCCAACATCCATCAGTGACTAGATACCCATGATCAGCATCAGCGGCGTTTTGAGGTGGAACAATGATTCATAAATTGTACATGGTCGGAGCGCAAGCCCATGGAGCATCAATCTATTCTCGTCGTTTTCATCATCTCGGTGGGAAGACTTCCCGCCTTTCCTTGCTCAGCACAGGACACTTGTAAAGGCCTGCTTTGCTTTAGCTTATGCCCTTCAGACAACGTACTCAACAAATACAGAAGCCAGGGTGAACGAGAGGTCACTGTACTTCCAGCTTCGGCATCTTATGATTATGTACGTAGTCTCATCGCCCACCGTTATCCCCCTACGGTATCCCTCAAGCAATTGCCTAAACCGGCGCTGCATTTTCTATCTTTCCCTCACCGGGATGTGTCTGTTCGCTAGAGCAGGAGGAGCTGGTCGCTGATCGGGAATGGCTGGACAAGGCTGCGGCTGACAGCCTTGTGTGAGCCAGACACACTAGGCTATCCTGGTTATGATTGGCCCAAGGCTGGGCTTGCCGTTGTCCTTGATGCCGAACCACATCTCTCTCTTCTTTCTCTTATCCCGCCTCCTCCCCAACAATCCTAACCCCCTGTTTCTTGTTTTAACTTACCGTAGGGCAAAGAGACGGATGCACGCTGACAGAATGGCGTACCCTCCGGTAGGATCGGGCGGTGAAGCAGTTCAACCACTCCTTTGGAAACCTAACATTTTTGGGCTTCCAAATGCAAAATCCAAACTCTTCGGAGCATGCTGGTACTCGCAAATTTTACTGTCGTGCTATACAAGCTCCTTCAAAGTCTATCATGCCTTCCATATGTATCACCTTGCAAGCGTCACTGTCACTAATGGTCCGCTCCCCAACGTTTCGAAGTTTCTTCCGCTTTTCGCTGGTTTTCTCAAAGACCATCTCCCTAGCGCAACGCTGGTTCGTCGGATCGAATCTCAGTATGTTGGAACAAAAGCGTTACTAGGTCCTCTAACCAAAGTCTATATCCTGGGCAGGCACTTATGTCAGTATGAAAAAAGCCTGCAGCGTCCCTGCGGCAGAGGAATTGCGAAATCCCCTAGCAATTCCTCGACCTTGACCTTGGATACCTCCTCAACCGCAATCAACTTTACGTGGTGCTCTCTGCAAAGGTTACCGTTATGAAACTCCCTCTGATTGTCTACAGTGTCCTGCTGGTCGCCGTCTGCACAACATATCCCTTCTGTTTTGCACAAGCGGCGACTGTTATCACCTCGATACTGACGACGGAAACCATCATTACCAACCTATACACATCACTACTGGCCGGGACGGTCGCCCAAACGCCCGTCACTGTGACCCATGTTATACCAGCGCTGGTAGGGCCAGCGTCTCCGACGGCCGCTTATCCTCTACCCTACCCTCAACCAGCCCAGCCTGGTGGACAGGTCGTCTCTGGTGGGCTCGGTCTGCCAAACCCGTTTGATGACATAGGAGGCATTGTTGGCGGCGTAACTGGCGCTGTTGGCAATATTGTGAATGGTGGAGCTGGAGTCGCTGGTCAAGTGGTCGGCACTGCTGGCGATATTGTTAAAGGTGCCGCTGGAGGGAACTATCCAGCACCGTTACCAGTGCCGGTGCCTATCCCAGGAACACCAGGAGTTCCAGCGGTGCCGGTGCCTATCCCAGCAGCACCGGGAGTTCCAGGGGTACCAGGAATACCGGGAGCACCAGTCATACCAGGGATTCCAGCCGCTCCAGGGGTACCAAATGTGGCGGCAATTCCAGCAGTCCCTGGAGTCGCAGGGGGCGCTGTGATTATTCCTACACCTGTCCCTACCCCAATGCCACCGCCAGTCGCTCCAGGGACGTTAGTACCGACATTTACCAGTCTTGGAGGACAAATCCTTGGCCCTGCTATAACTGTTCCTTCAGAGTCACTGGCGATTCCTAGTGCCGGGTCTATCGCCAGTTTTGTAGCTGAATCTCCTTCAATACCTCCAGTGAGCCTTTCCTTCACAAACAGACCAACAAATGCTCCATCGATGTCATTGGGACCAAGGCCGGCGCCTCCAACTTCGAAGGTTATAACCCCAAGTTCGGATTCATCTTCAACGACCGCTTCCAGTCCAGTCTCCAGTACATCAGGACCAGCAATTGTTTCTTACTTGACAGAAACTCTCACGAAGCCAGGAACTCTCAACGTCCAGGTCCATGGGACGGTGACGCATGTTTTTCGAGGCAGTTCGTTCTTGTCGCTGGTCTCGTCACGGTCGTCTTCGCAGCCTTTATCGCACTCCTCATCACATACCTCGCCACAAGCTTTGCCAACACCAAGGGGATCCGTCTTGGTCGGTCCCTCAGATTCTCGGCCCCGAATGACCCGCACATTTGATCCTACCCTTCCTGTACCGACGCATAGCTGTCCACGAGATGCTATCGTAGCTCTAGCACACTATCGTGACTATTGCAATGGCCCTGGGGCTGACCTGTCGGCTCAGCGGAGATACTGTGTGGGAGAGCCCAAAATCGAGTCGTGTTGTGGGCTATGGACTCCAGCATCTGATGGAACGGATGCAAGATATGAAACTGTTCGTCTCCGAAAGATCCTTGAGTCACCAGACCCGAAAGCCCCCTTGGTGTCCCGGCCGTTTGAATGGAATCTGCAGGAGGTTAAAGATGATGCGGGTAACATTCTCCACCGTGAGGTACGTCGTTGACTGTCCCATGTGCTCTTCCCTGTGGACTTCCTCCCCTAGGGTTGTTCAAATTCGATGGCATCGCCTCCAATCCCGCCACACATAACTTGTGGCAGCCATGACTGTGTCCTCAAGGCGGATGCCCAACGTCTTCAGCATATCTTGACCTTTGAGAATTGCTAAAAAAAAAAAGAGACAATCATTCAACCAAAAGAATCCACTGACAATGATTGAAGGTGATCAAACAACTACCAGACGAGTTCAATTTAGAACCCAGGTCCTGTCGCGTATGGAGAACTACCAATGACCAATTCGCCTTTTACATGCAGAATCTTGACAATTTCGGTGTCTACGATGTTGACGAGACCGGGCGTTCAATTGGTACCATAGACTTCTGGGAATGGGAACCAGAAGGGCGTTGGCCGCCTTATGAAGAGCATCGCAAATGGAGAACCATCGGGGTCAAACCCAAGACAGAAAAACCGAAGCCGGGCAAAGGGAGCGACGCACAGCCAGGCCCTCCGCCAACCCTGGACGACTTGATGGCCGACTACGACAAGCGCAGAGAGTGGTTTAAGGAAAGGTTTAGAGAAAGTGAACTGCACCTTCACGGTGTAAAGGACAAGACAGGCGAAGGATGCTCTAAGCGCCTCTCACCAGGCAACTTCGCGTCCCGGATCGAGAAGTTTGGCATGCGCACTGACGCCTTGAATGACCATTTGCCTCCTTGGCCCTCGAAAGAGGTGTGGCAGCACAAAAGAGACCGGGAGTTGGCTCGTCTGGTCTGGAAAGATTTCTTCACTCCCCTCAATGTTTGTGCCGGAACCTTGGAAGGTCGCCTGCCTTCGAGACCGCAACGTTCCGAGTACGTCAGCGAACAGAAGTGGATGACCTCTGAGAAGAACTGGATAAATCTCTTCACTGACGAACCGGCCGAGGAATACAGAGGCACCATTCCGACGCCTGACCGCCCGACATGCCCAAGGGCGGCCATGAAGAAACTTGCCCAACTTGGAAAGCACCTGAAAGACGTGGAGGGCGTGCCGAAGGAGGACGAGAAATGGGCTTTGCTGGATACCTATGCGTCCGAGCTGCTGGAGAAAAGGATGTGCCGGGACCAAATCCTCGTGGTCCTGGCCAAGCCCAGCAGGAAGGCGTACTCGAGCCTCCGGGAATGGTGGTCCGACCGGCGCAAATGGAACAAGTACATTGCCAGTCTCGAAAAGGGAGAGGATGTCCCGCTCCCGAAACTGGACATTGACTCCGTCGGAAAGAAACAGCCTGCGCGAGACCAACCGGCAGAGGGAGAACATGACCGCGCGAAGGATCAGCACACCACGAAAGGCAAACTTCGCGGCAAGGACTTTCCGCGGACGAGACTCGATACCATCCCCGAAGCTGGGGCGTCGGATGAAGGCGAGGAGCGTGCCGGCGGAGACGACTCCGCAAGAGATGAAGGAGAAGGAGGCGTCCAGGACCACGAGATTGATGACCACGGCGTGCTGGACACCATCCCGGAGCGCGACGAGATTGAAGACAACGCGCCCTCCGAAGACAGCACTGCTGGTCCTGGAAGCAGGAGGCGGGGCAGAAATAGGCAGGGCGCGGATCACATCAAGAGGTCCTTCAGTGCATGAAGAGCTCGAGGCGAGATCGAGGTTGAAGAGGCGGCCTCCTTTGTTCCAATTATTCTCGATTACTCCAAGTATCACAATCGTGGCCACCCCCCTGATCGAGTTCTGCGCTCGGGAAGGGACTGTTGTCTGGAATTCTCCCGTGAAGATGGTTCTCCCCGATTGATGGAAGCTCAGTCTTGATGCAATGATCAATAGCCATCGCGTAGTTGTGCAGTTCATTTTTCTTGCTCCAGCCACGAGCCAAACTTGTCCAATCTGCCCCCTTCGTCTGCTTCTTCCTCGTCCTCGTCCTCGTCAAAGCTGACCTTCTTATCGCTCGATTTCTTAAACTTCTCGCGACCAGTCGCAATGTACGCCTCCAGTTGTCTCTCATCGAACCATCTTCCATTCATCAGCTGTCCTCCAAGTTAGCATCGACCGTGGAAAGGGGGGGCCCAGCACCACATACCTTGACGCAGGCGGCAGCAGCCTGTGCGTTGGAGAATCGGACACTTGCAACGCCTTCTGCTTCCTTGTCGAAGAGAACCACGTTTGTGACTTCGCCGAGCTTTGCGCATTCTTCGCGGATGTCTTCTTTGATTTCGAGCATCGCCGCAGGGTCCTCCTGGTTTCCTGTCAGTCTTTGCCATCGCTAAGCCTGCTGCGGAAGCGCGGCTTACCTTTAGCTCCTGCAGTGTGAACATATACTTCAGGATAACGACCTTGTCCCACTTCGAGCTTGTCTCCTGAAGTGCCTGCGGGTCATCGTCGTCCCAATCCATGAGTTTCCTGCACGCCCGATCAGCATGAAGTCCCATGATTGCCTCGGTGGAGCATACGCCTGCATCTTCTGTGTCCGCTGAATGACCTTCTTTTGCTCCCTCTTGCTTGTTTTCGCCGGGATGTCTTGTTGACTCTTGTATGAGAAATCTGCTGCTTGGACTCGCATCTTGCCCATGGGTCCTTCTGTCCCCAACCGAAAGTCTGTGTCGTCGAGCATCTGCACCGCGAGATTGACCGATTCGGGTCGGAAGTAGACCACAAGCGCGTCGCCCTTGAACTGTCCCTTGTCGTCCTCGTACATTTTGATTCGTGGCTTGCCGGAGTCGATCTCTTCTGCGATGACGCCGCACTTGGAGAAGACGTGCTCGATCTCTTCTTGGTCGGCGTCGAGCGGTATCGAGGTCACGTAAACGGCCGTATTGACTCGAGCCTTCTTGGACTTGTTGCCAGACTGCTCAAGCCTCGATTAGTATTGCCGTTGATATACCTCGAGGGGTCAGATCCACGTACCTCATCGCCGTTTGGTTGTTTCCGTTTCTTCTTCTGTGATGTAGTTGCCGCATCCTCGTCGACCCCTGCAACCTTGTAGATCTCGCCTTGTTGGTCCAAGAGTGACTGGTCCAGCTACAACGAAGACACACGACATGGAGCAGGTTAGAATCTGTTGCTTACACCGTAGTGCAAGAATGTTGTGCGGAAATCATGGAGGGCGCGATATAATTTTTTTTTTCTCGGAGGTTTCTCATGTTTGCGAATTTTAGCCTACCACTGGAATCCATCTTTTCAGAGCAGTGTCCCATTCGAACTCGTTGCCCTCTTCGGTCTCGAGGATGAATTTGCTGTCGAGTTTCGACCAAGAGATTCGGGGATCAGCGTCGAATGAGGACGGGTCGAGGGGCAGACCGGTCTGTACGCCCTCTGTCGAAGGACGATCCTCGTCGGCCATGTTGGCGCGGGTTTGCGTGCAGTATATCCTGATTCCAAGCAGCGTACGCAGCAGGCCGGGCAATGATGCAGTCCAAGTTGTGACAAAAGCAGCAAACACGCCAAGTCCGAGTTTCAGCCTTGCCGGGAAATGGCAGCCTTGCCACCCCTAACTATCTCTCAAAGTTAAGCCTACTCAATGCACTCACAAATCAATATATGTGGATCCGACAAGAGATGGGTTAAGAAGACAGACGGTTCCAGTGATGGGTATCCAGACAGCCCGTGAGTCGCAAGGGGACACCGAGACTCGTTATGACATATTCTACGGCATGCGACCAATGCTTCTAGTTTTGCAGCCGACGAAACCTGTTCGACAGAGATTTTGTTGACGGATATTATTTCTGCTAGCAGCAGTGCAGACCCGACCGCTCTATGAGCTTCCTAGGTCGGAACTTTGAGTCCACAGAATAAAACATATAAAGATTATTTTGCTATCAACTCATTGCCTCCGTCGCGCTCATACCCGTGTCGTCCAGTCATAAACACGTAAGGAAAATGTCAATGAAAGCCCTGTGATATCTCTAGACAATCCATCGCAGAGAATGGGAGCGGTTTTCAAGTCCTCTGGCCACTCAGGCACCGTATTATATCGTGCGATTCCCCTGCTCCCCTATATCGATATCCTCTCCGGAAACGCTTCGTGAAGCTCTCGGCCTGTTTGGGAGAGCGGATTGATCCTCACCGTCTGGTGATGGCAGCGATGAAGCGCTGCTGACATCAGAGGCCTTGCGCTCATGCGCAGGTCTCGAGTCCCGCCGGAGATCAATTGGTGAAATCGCTCTGTCAAAGCCCGTGGTGTGCTCATTCCCCAGTGCCATTTCGCCCTCGGGAATGGGTGCAAAACCAGAGCTTGCGATGCCTACTGACGTGGTGTTTGGTGATGCAGGCGCGTTGGAATCTCCTGATTGTGAGACTGAAGAGCTGCCCATTGCCCTACCTTGGCCACCGCTGACGAAACTAGGCGGGTACATGGTCATGTTACGAATATCATAGTTGATGTCGTCAGGGCGGGTGATTCGAGAAGAGCCATGAACCTCGTGAACTTCGGTGTCTGGACCCTCGACCGGGCCATCGTATTCAGCTCTAGGTGATCGCACAGGTGTAGATGATGACCAGCGCTCCTGGTTACTTCCTGGATCACTCCTGACAAAGTAGCCCCCTTCAAGCTCGTGAGGCGCAATTTGTGCCATCGATGGTGGAGAGTGAGGATGGTCCACCTCAGTGACGGATGACTCGGTTCCAACGTCTTTGCCAGGCGCTCCTGAAGATGTCGACCGCAACCACGACATGATACCACTCTTCCTGTTGTTCGCTTCGGATACCTCTTGCTTTTGTTGGCGGTCTTTTCTTGCCCTCCGGCAGCAGAAGAATATGAGGCCGGCAAAAAAGGCAACACCAACCACAACGGGGATGGTGACAGCAACTGGGACGACCCAGCCCCTGTCGTGATGCGGTGATGGGGTCGGAGTGTTCGTGGCAGTGTTCGTTGACGTCGTGGTGGTGGTTGCATTGTAAGGGGCCCAGGTTCTGATCAGGTCCTTGTTGTACGCCTGAGCGAACCAATTGGAGACCTGCGAAGACATGCCGCTCGCGGTCGGGGTCGCGGAAATGACGCTGACTACGGTCGGAGCGGGCTTGTAGTCATCATGAACAGCGGGATCGTATTTACCTGTCCAGCTGAGGTCGTTCAGATTGAAGACGTCGACGCTGTTGTTGCTGTCCAATCCGGCTCCATAATCTCCCGTACCGCCAATAACAATCATTTGGTCGGGGTATGGAGACACGCAGACATGGCCCTGTCTTCTGGTCCCATCAACGTTTGCCCTGATCCATGTGAAGGAAGGCACGCTCAAAATCCACACATCACCATTCGAGAGGCCTCCGTTGCTGTCCCAACCTCCGTAGACAAAGATTTCATGGTGAGAATAGTCGGCGCTGGATGCGACAACAGTGCAGAATTGTGCCAGCGGACCATCTGGTATTGCAGATCCTGGACTAAGCTTCTGGGTACTCCATGTGCTAGAGCCGATATCGTACACCGGAAATTCGGTCAAAAAGCTCTTCGCCACCGTGATGTCGGTTGCGTTGTCAGTCTTGAGATACCCGTTCAAATCTGCAGGATAGACGACACCCCCAATCGCAATTAGGAGTCCTTGTGTTGAGGCAGGAATCCAGACAAGAGCCCCTTCGGATCGCAGAGTGATGTCGCTGAGTGTCAGGTCCTCTCGCGACCAGTCCGCGTGGCCTTGAAGGCTGGTGTCAACCTTGATGAGCCATGGGGAATAGTCCTTTGGTGGGTCGAAATAGGAGAAGGCCGTGCCATCTGCATTGTATTTGCCGCTGAAGTAGAAGCTGAGGTTCTCACTCGGAGCATTAGCGCCAGCGCCGTTTGTTATGTCTTTAATGAAACTCCCACTCTGGGGGGAGTATGCAACATTGGGCACGCCTGCCACGATGTTCGAATCCGGGGGAATATCGTACAGAGGGTCGTTCACTGTGCGGTCTGTGATAGTGTCTCCAGAAGTGTAGTACATGCCCCTTGAGAAAGTGTCAACTTCATGGCGCAACAAAGTAGGAGGCAAGGAAGTTACCCGTAAGCGTAAAACTCATCATAGTCGGCGAACATATATCCATCAAGGTAGTAATTGCTGATGGGTCCCTCATTGATCGATTGGAATACGGCGGGGTTGGCCTTGGTGGTATCAAACGCGTCATGCATGCTGAGTTTGTACAAAAAGCCCTCGGACGAGGTGGAGGATTCCAACGAATTCCACGTGCCATTGACATAGATTCCAGTTTGCATATAACCACCTTCGAGATATACATTGTCTCTGATCAGAGCAGCTCTTGGTCTGTCCCAGAGACCTATGTTGGCAGAGTTGTGGTCACAGAAAGCGAAGCCAAAGAGGGTAAGTACCCACGCGCTGCATTGTAGTAGGGACAACATGATTGCTGTATCGATTTGAAACTGACCTCGAGGGGGTAGAGTTCAAAATCGAACCACGAGGCTCAGGTCGTCCCTCAGGCTATAGATACGGCCTTCCATCGGCTCCAAGGAAGGTGAAGGTGCCAGTCAGAGCCTCCCACTACTACCATACATGAACGGCTCAGATGATCGTGGTCCCTGCGGCAATGGCACGTCGGCTAGAAGAGTCTAGTTTGTGGCGAAGAGGTCGGAGAGACAGCGTCCTCGGGCTCTTTTCCGCCATTGAGGGCCTCCTCGACCAGCCATCCACAAATATCTCAGAAGAGTGATGATCCAGACTACGATTGACAAGGGTGCTGATGGTCGTGCATGAGTGCTGGTTGCACTCTGGCCCAAGAAGGGCGAGGATAGCAAGCGAAGTCCCCACAGCCAGCAGCAAGAAAGAAAAATAACAAAAAGACGGGAGGTCGGGCGCAAGAATGAGCCTGCCTGATTGGGGAAGCGTGCAAAGCGATGCAAGGGTTTCTGGGAGCAAGCAAGGATGCTCACTGCATGCACTGAGCCCAAGGGCCGTGGCCTCGAAAGAGCGGGCAGCAAAGGAAGGCTGGGGCAAGCTAAGCCCCTCGGTCGAGCTGCAGCTGGCGTTGGTGCTTTCACCAGAAAAAGATAGCTTTAACTGAGACGCGTAACAATATAGCCCCCACGGATTGGTCAAGAGGAGTATGCTCCGGGCCGTAATCGATGACAAAGACAGAAGGACAACCATAATTGGAGAGATAGAGAGTAGTCGTACCGCAGGATAGAGCTCAGCCTCATCACGACTCAGAAGGTCAGCGGCAATGGGAGTGGCATCTGTCAAATCCTTCACATCGAGTCCTTCTCGGTGGTCTACCTCTTGTGCGCCATCAGGAAAGTCATCTTTTCTGTTGTATTATTTCCCTCCTCTTGTGAGAACCCTGGAATCGAGCGAGCAATCCTTTGCTGACAAGGAATGGGGAGGGCGATGGGGTGAGGTGACGGGTTTCCTGTTCGGTCTGTGGGTTGCATCCACACTGGTATGTGGTTCAAGGACGGTTTGATGCTGAGTTTGATGTGCGCTGTTCATTGCCAGTGTGGGCTGCGAATAGTGTTGGAGCCCCCGCACGGGACGGCGCAGGGCGGCAACACCAAAACGCTGCCGGCTGCAGGAATTCAAGCCTAATCATTCGCTGTCAAGCTTCACGTGCCGTGACTTGCCGATCTTGGGGTCTGGGCAGCTTCTGCGCCCGGAGCTGAGACGCCCATCACCTAGCACCGAGAGCTTTAGGCGGGAGGCCTCGTATTTTAGTGAGCTCTTGCGTCCACCATGCCGCCACCGAGCTCCCCGATGCGCAGGCCTGATGAGTAGTCGTAGCCTTTCCGGAACCACCTAGCGAGTTGGCTATTACCTCACCCTCACGAGCCTCCACTTGACCATGGCGGCTTCACCAAGCAACCCTCTTTGGTGGCGTCCCCCGAAGACCAGGTCCCATCATCAGGCTGACAACTCTAAATCTTGTCGGCATCCTTTCGACTTCGACGGAAAGGCCAACGAAGGACGGAGTATTCCGCATCCATCTCAGCTCATCGCCAAAGGGAAGATGAAGGGTTGACTTCGTCTACGTTCACACTGCCCACGATGCCCAGATGCTGTGTTCAAGCAAACCGCCGTGCAGGGACGGGAGGTAGCTATGCGTCCTTCTCGCACCTCGCCTCTCGGTGCAGCCGTACAGAAAGAGTTGGGCCAATACTATCACACCAACAAGCCGAGAGGCTTGCATTGTGCATGGGTCTGGGGCAATGACTGCTCCAGCCGACCCTACCAATGCCGACAGTGTCTCTGAGAAAAATCCCGCTTTGCTTCTCACACCACCGGCGTCACTGGTCTGCTTTTTTTCTCCGCATCCATACTGTACCAGGAATTCTCAGCCTCATCCCAACCACCTTCTCGACCCTCCGAGTGGATCTGTCCCGCGAGCCATCTTCAAGACAGTCAAGGCGCCTCTCTTCGGCATTTGTCCGTTTCTCAAATGGATACGTCTGAGTTTAAGGCTTAGATCAATTGGTAACCATGTCCGTTGTGATCGGGGGATATTCTCTTGGGTCCGATTTCTTGGGTCACGGTTCACAGCCGCGTCCGCTTTTGTGCTGCGATCAATGTGAGCAGATTCGAAAATCCGCCCCTACGACTCCCTGCTCCGCTTCTGACGCAAGCTAAGAATATGAAAGAACAGGGGGAAACCCATCTCTGTGCTCGATAGCCTCTACCGGTCGTCCCAGCCCTTCTCTTCGCCCGGCGGACCTAGGGCGCCGAGGCGTGAAGACTGTGGCTTCCTCCAAGAATCATGGTCACTCATCGATTGGCGGCCTTTGAGGTCCAACTCCTCGTCATTCGCTGGGACAAAGCAGGTTTGATCCCCGTCCCGCAGTCAGTGGCTGCCTCGAGACAATACTCGCGACCGGGGTGGTGAAAATAGTTCATTGTACTTTGTACACGTGCACCACCACGGCCCAACGCTGGCCCGCTCGACCATGCCCGATATGCAAGCCATTGATCTGACGGGACTAGGTAGCATCGCTTCCGTTGAGACACCGCTGATTGTGGTAGCCATGACGCGAGAGTGAATAGGAACAGGACAGGACCTGCAATCCTCATATATCAGACATGGTATGGATCATCTCCCCAGATTTCCTCCCATCTCTCTCCCTCTAGAGACTGCATCCCCCTTCCTGTCGCTATTCATTCACTCGTTGTACATTCGTTCAACTCCAATATGGACATGATGAGGCTGAAGCTTGTCGGCCTTGCCGCCTCTCTTCTTGTCACCTTGATTCAGGCTGGGGACACCGGAGACAGCGGCTGGGGCTCAAGCTCCTGTGCTACTGTCTACTCTACCGTGTGGTCGGTGTCGACAGAATATGTGCCGACCACAACGACCGAAGAGAAGACAGTTTACTCCACCGAGACCGACTATGTGACCATCACGACCACCGACACAGTCTATATCACCGACACAACCACCCAAATATCGGTCCAGCCAACAACCATCGTGGATGTCACCACTGAGACAGACGTCGAATCCACCACTATTGTCAGCCCTACCACCATTGTTGAAATCTCCACCGTCGTCAGCGTCCAAGCAACCACTATCACAGACATAGTCCCTACCACCATCATTAGTGTGAGTGCAACAACAGAGACAGTCTCGACGTACCCAGGGCTCGTTACGTGTACCTCGAGGATCGTCAACCCCACTTATACACCCAAGGCTGCCTTGCCCACCAACTACCTTTGGGGATGTGCTCCTGGCACCATCTGTACTCCTCCACAGATTGGCTGCAACTGGGAACAAAACCCCCCTGCTGATACATACGTCTGCGCTCCGGAGGAATGCAAACCTGTTCCCGAGCTCTTCTTGCCGGCAAACCTCAGCTCCCTCTGGCCCAACCCGACTGACAGCACCTGCGCTTGGGACGAAGCACCCCAAGGGTACTTCCACCTCAACCCACAGCACTTTGGACTCAGCTTCGCCATCTTCGATGTCTACGGCCAGCCCCTTTGCCCGGCTCCAACCACGACATCCACTTGGGCCGACTGGGTTCAGTCTACTCCTCCACCCAAGCCCACATCTACGTGGGCTCCCAAGATGCCCAGACGTGGATTGATGGCAAATCCAATCGCTGAGATTGTGAGCCGACAGAACTTCCTTAGCGCTCCAGCACAGTGTTACCGCATCTATGATGCTGCAAGTCAAGTTGGCCAATCGGTCGGCCTGGTCTATGACCTGCTCTGCCCCACCGGCACGCAATTCCAGGACGCCCTCACACAGTGTCGCGCATGCTCTCAACAATATGCTAGCAGTGCGACAGGCACGGATACCTTCCCAGAGCTCCAGAACTACTTCCAATATTGCCAGACCCATACATCGTAAAGAATAGGACTACATCTCACAGGCACCGTGGATTCAGCCTTGCCGACTCAACCACGACACGCCATCGGCGGTCTTCAACGGGTCGTTGAATCTCGACAACGCAGACCTGGATTGGCTCATGATGTCGTGGTTGAATTTTATTGCCACGCCTTGCAATAAAATGGTTGCGAGGCACGGTCGGGCCGCTATAGAGCATCAGGAACTGTGAAGCAACTCTTTTCATTGTTGTATATACCCCTTTCCTACACTATCTCCTCCCAAAGTTGCTATTTTTGTTGCCGGGCAAGCTTCGCGAATTTGACACAAAAGCATTTCAAAGGGGGTTTGTTTGGCCCCGATGAGACTCAATGACCTGGTTGATGTGGAAAGACAGAAAGAAAGAAACGACGTCACTCCTTCACGATGGACCATGCGCACAACTCATATAATGATAATACAAATGGCGAAAAGTCATTGCAGTAAAAGCCTCTTCTCTCTTTTTGACCTGTCTCATCCTCCAAGAACGTAGAATGGTAGGGTGCCTCAAGCTGGGCAGGAGAGTTGTGGGCGTCGCTGTACGGGTAGACGCATCGGCCGGCAGCAGACATCGCCCACGGTGGCCATACAAATTTCACGCGTCTTGAATCTTTCCAATCAGTTGAAGATTGCCCTCGAGGCTTCTCGACGCGTCCTCGGTATCTCGTAACTTGCTTGCAGAATGACGAGCGCGGCAAAGAGTACAAGGTGCCTAGATGCCCGGTAGGCTGCCTATATGCATGCCCGCAACCTCTCCGGGGGCACGGGGGCTGTATACTCTATTGCCTAGGACCTCTTGCTGGTAGGAACGTTATGGAGGGGGGCAACCGCGATGACATCCTTCATTTCAGGCTGTACGAGAGGTCCATATGAGAAGGACGTCAAGGGGCATGTCCTGAGCTACGGCTGTTGACCGAGTATAAGACCAAACAACGAGCAGGCGCAAACAATCTGCGCGATTCCGACGTACATAGAAAGACAGCTAACAACAACCCGGGACAAAGATTGGACGCTGCTTCTTATAATCTCCAGGGAACTTGTGATGGGTTTTGATTAACAGTGTCGAGGATAATTTTAATGAGCTAACTCAAAAAGATGAAGGAAACTCTTATCTATTCAATACAAGAGATGGTCGGTGAATGGGAGCCATCTGTAGAGCTGTGGGTACTGTTTGTCACGTCTTTGAAAATCTATCATCTCCTCCCACCGTCCTCCTCGTTCATGGTGAATGGGGTACATTTGCCGGCTTCTCTGGGTGCTCGCCATCGGAGCTTGGGGCTTCTCGGTGGGCAGGAGTGTCCTGTTCGAGACCATTGACCACGTCTCGGGACAACTCGACATACTGTATAAAGAAGTCAGCTACTGCAATCTGTACAGATTCGGCACGAAAAACTCACGTCGTATGCAAATTCGCCAATCTCGGTCTCGTCCATACCCATGATCTCTTCTTGTTCAGAGGCGCGAAGATGCAGGCCTGGGATGAAGTTGAGGACGAACAAGATGATGCAGCTGAGGACGAAGGAATACGCCATTCCAGTGACACCGTCGCAGAGCTGGTAAGCCAATTGGATCCAGTGGTGATTGAGCCAACCACCAGGGATCTCGCTGAATCCGTCCAGATGAGCGATGTAGTCCGCGGCGAAGAACCCCGTCAAAAGATCTCCGACAAGGCCGCCGATGCCGTGGATGGCAAAGATATCGAGGGAGTCGTCGATGTGGAGGAGGAACTTGAGCTTGGTGGCATAGTTGCAAGCAGCGCCACCCACAACACCGAAAACGACAGCAGCCCACGCCGGAACGAAACCACTGCCTGGAGTAATGGCGACCAAGCCTGCGATGACACCGCTGCAGAAGCCGACGGTAGACCATTTGCGTTCCAAGCGGTAGTCAAGAATGCACCAGGTGAGGCCACCGACGCTCGCTGCCAAGTTGGTGACGACCGCAGCCATGATGGCACGGATATTGGCAGACAAAGCGGAACCAGCATTGAACCCGAACCACCTGAGGAGCAATTAGTAGAGCTCGGAAAAAGCGCGAACAGACCACGTACCCGACCCAAAGGAAGACAGTGCCAATAACAATGTGTGTCACGTTGTGTGGGCGATAGTTCAGCTCGTGAGTACCGTGGCCACGACGCTTTCCCAACATGAGAGAGTAGGCCAGAGCAGCAGCACCGGAGGAAATATGGACAGGGGTACCGCCCGCGAAATCAAGACCACCCATCTTAAAGACCCAGCCGGACGAATTCCAGGTCCAGCAGGCAATAGGGTCGTAGACGACGGTCGCCCAGATGAAGGAGAAAACCATGGCGGGCAGCATTCGTCCACGTTCGGCAGCGGCGCCGATAGCGAGGGCGACGGTGATCGCAGCGAACATTCCTTGGTACACGGCGAACATGAGGTCGGGGATCTTGCTTGATCCGACCGAGGGAGCACCCAAGACATTGCGGAAGCCAAAGTTTTCGAGATCGCCAATGAATTTGCCGGCCGTGTGGGAGAAGGTCAGGGAGTAACCCCAGAAGAACCACTGAAAGGAGATCAAGGCTGTGGCTGCGACAGACAGCCAGATGAGTGACAGGGCGGACTTCCGTCGCGCAAGGCCAGAGTAGAAGAAGCTGTGATTCGCTCGTCAGCATCAATCGGCCACCGCCGAACTCGACGGGAGCAGCGCGCGTACCCAACACCAGGAATCATGAGCAACACCAAGGCTGTGGCCGTGATCATCCAGGCGATGTCGCCGGCATTGTAATAGACATTGAGATCCTCCGTGAGAGAATCCCCACCGGTCATCGACGTTCCTGCAGCGGCGAGATGGTGTTAGCTGGGACATTTCTCGACGCGCCTAGGCAACGATCTGCCTCGTGGAGGACAAGGAAAACGCATCGTACCATTGTAGACGTCCAGCGGAACGTAGGGAAGTGATCCCAAATCGTCAGTCGACATCTTGACCGAGTGACTGCTCTACAAGATGTAGGGTGGCGGCCGAATCTCAGGGGCTCGAAGCGTGTAGGAGAGTGTATGCAAACATCAACAATTGAATGGCGATGGAGGCAGAAATCCCTGTGACAATGCGCACCCAAAAGTCGACACCAGGGAAGAGAACAAGGCACAGTGTCGAGAGGTCAAAGGGAAGTCGGAACTGGAGGGAAAGGGAGGGATTGAAAACGAAATTGACTCTGGCAAAAGGAACGAATATAGCAGCACAGGGAACGAGAGCGTGTGGTGAAGTGCCCTGCGTGCCACCATGTTGACCTGATGGTGTCACCTGCAGGGCTTGGGTCAGGCTTCGGGCGGCTCTTGGCACGTACTTTGGGTGATACGCCCAGCAGAGTTCGCCGGACAGCGCCCGTCGAGCCCCGCGAGCCCCTGACCCAGACCGGACGGGTGGCGGTGATAGGCTCGATAGGGCTTGATAGAGACCCCGGGAAGAGCCGGGCTAAGGCCCTGACCAGACGCCACCCAGCGAGCGAGGGAGATTCAATGATGATAGTACTAATAGTGGTGACAAAGGCGCTCAGGCTCGCCCGTGGGCTGATTCAACTCTGTGCAAATGGTTTGTTGTTCCAGGCACATCAGCCAAGAGGCTACGCTGTGGCCATCACTGCATGCCTAGAAACGCAAAGAAAGACGCTCGCCTTTCAATTCCAGTCCCCATCGACAGCGGGGTTGCTCCTACGATTCCTTCACTTCCCCTTCCCGTCTTACTCAGAGCACTGGCACTTCCAAGTTGTCGCAGGCTGCTGGCAATGTGAACGTCTTCTCGTCGTGTCCATCATTGACACCCCTCAACGATCCCCTGCTCGTGTCCGTGTTCAGCCCAACGGTCCAAGATATCCGGGCTTCAAGGCTGCCTCGTGCTTCTCGGCTACTAGTTGTCGCTAAAAATTGAAGGTTGCATAAGCCCCAAGCTCCGACTTCGCCAGGCACATTACACAAATCTGGGCGAGATAAGCAACAGACTGTCCATTGGCTCATACCCAAATCGAGGCTTGGGGCCGCCATGGCGACTCTCAGCCCATCTCCACACAGATAACGATTTGGACGTTTCTGGCACTGTTTCATCTCCTTCGGCTGCTGGTGTTGCCGTGCCACACCTCCAACTCTGGACGGAGTACCTGCGGACCAACTCACCACCACGCTGTTCTTACGAGCGGGGTTGACACATCCAGCAGTGTCGTTGACCTACAAGTACTCGTAAAAAGTTATTTTGCGAGTCAGGAACGGATCCATACCTGCCGTGACATTCACCTGATGCGTATGCTGACCGAGATGGTGGTGGCATCTGTGTGTCTTTGGGATGCACCGATGTCATCCAGCAATTACTCCATCCCTCGCTTACAAGTAGGTTCATGGCCGGATGCGACGGCCTGCCAAACTTCATCTGCTCTGGAGTCTCTGGAAGTGGTGGCCAAGCACATTTAGCGGAGAGGAGGCACTTGACAAGACAGCGAACGGAACTCGGCTTCTGCGTCGACGTCCTGGAGACGTATCCTACCTGTCCATCGTTGGCAACACAGCTCACTTACCGATCGCAGCCAAGAAATGCAAAGCAAATATGCAATTCCATCCATCATAGCCAAGAAGGCTGCTGCAACTCGCAAGCCTGAGCATCGCGCGGGGTGTTGCAAATGGTCTGCGAGCCTAGATACTTGGCCGCAGTAAGACCTCGAGTAGGCTCCTTGTTCACATACCATTCCGAGCTCCGTGCGAGGTGCGCTGATCCGCTGTCTTTCCCTCGTCTGGGCACCGAACGGTCGGTTGTTCTCTGTTTGGTATCGGTCTTGCTATGTAGAGCCTGTTGTGTTGCACTCTGGCCATCCACTGGCTTCCCAAGACGACCGACGCATATTGGTCTGATGACCCTCTTCCTGTCGAGCCTTGCTGCGAAGGTGGACTCGCTCAAAACCGACTTGTTGAAATGTACTTGCCTGCGAGCAGGTCGGGGGATTGGAGGTCGCTTCTTTTCGAAGTGGTGGCAGTGGGTAGAGTCTGCTAACGCGAGCACTTGCGGCGTTCCTTCGACTGCATGGGAAAACACTGTTTTGCTTGGGGAATCATCGGTGAGCGGACGACGAGTTTTCTCCCAGGTAGACATGTGCGAAACGGTACCAATTACTTGTACTTCGTGACACTGAGGAGGACAAATTGTCTAGTAGCATAAATGTGATGAGTTGAGTATCGCATGGCATCACAGTGTTGTGGCTTGGGACACCCAGACGCAACATCGTCGGGTTAGGTCTGTTATGGTAAAGGATCGGTGACCGAGTTGGAAAAAATCGTGACTTGGTCAATAGGAGATTTAACACAGCATGTCAAGGGCGCCAAAACGCTTCAGGAGAGCGATCTCGCCATCCTGCCAGGTTTTTGTGTCAATTGAAGTGGGATGGGCGAATAGTGGGCGGGTAGTAAAGCAGGCTGCCAGCTTGATTTCCTCGTTTTCTATGCTCGGATCACAGATCCAGGCAATCAACCATCCTCCATCGGCGACTCATCGATGGGGAGGCGACAACGGGAGGCACGGCACCGGACACCATCGTGAGACGCGTGCCCGTGGAGATTGGCGTCGACGTGATACTGGGCCTCATTTTTTTTTTGTCATTATCCTGCTCTGAAGTTGCCCGAAATCCCTCTTATTTCTATCGATATTGCCCTTGCAACCCCCTTTAATGCAGCGGGATAGAGTTTCAAGAGGAACTCTTCTCCGCAGCAGGGGACAGCCAGTTGGCACTCATTGCAGCCATGCCTCAGTCAGCAGCAAGCCAACCAATTCCAGTCCCAGTTGGAGTTGTTCATCAGCCACACATTGCGGCCGCCACGAGTGCCAGTGCTCCTCTTCCCGCAACACCCGACTTGCAGCCAGTATCGCTACATCCAACGCTCTCCCAACCAGTCCAGAGTCAGCCTCAAGTCGTCGCTCCCTCACCTGTGCATCCCGTCACACTCTCGAGATTCGGACCCCGTGCTCCCAAGACTGAAGGGCAACGCCTCGAAGAAGGCCGCTTGCCCCTCGTCATGGAGCATGAAGAGATGCCAATGCATCGCCCAAGCGGCAACTCTTCGTCTGGCTCGGACGAAGATGCCATCCCGCCCTCTGCCTACGCATACCCTACTGCTTCGTACGACAACCCCGATGGCCCTGTAACGTACACTCCTACCTCCTCCATCTCAGCGTATACGCCCTCGACCGGCTTCTCCTCTGGACTATCCTCCTGGGGCTCATATGGACCCCGACCAAGAGGCGGAAGCGGAGGACCCCAGAACATGGACCGATCTTTTTCGGAAAGCGCCCAGAGTGCGATCGCAGACCTGCGAGGGACGAGGCCTGGGGCTCCTCTCCGGACCCCCTCAAACACCTACGCACCTCCGCGAAGGCCGCCTCAATTTCTATCCCTCAATTCTAAGAGAATGCATTCGTCAAATACCATGCGGAGCACGCGGAGGGACCCGAATGCCCAGTACAAGGCGCAGGAGAAGGCCTATGTCCAGCGAGTCCGGCAACAACCACAAGATTGGCTTGATAATGATCCTCGGACTCCCAGCATCGGGTACAGTACGGATGACGAGACTGACGATGAATCGCCCTCCGGCGAACACGCGTTCGACGACCCGTACGACCCCGAGACACTAATGTTTCTGGGCAACGAGGAGAATCTCCAGCCGACAGAGGAGGAACTGCGGAATTCCGAGAACAGAGAGCGCCTCGAGTGGCATTCGATGCTGGCTTCTGTGCTTAAAGGTGACGTCGTCAAGCAGGAGAAACAGAGGTTGATTGGCACAACCGAGCAAAAGAGCAAGGTCGAATTGGGTGCCGAGATCTGGCTGGGTGTCAGAGCAAAGTATTACGGTCGGCCGTTGCAGATGCAGAAGAAGCTCATAGAGGAAGGCCGCTCACATATCGGCCCCATCATTGAACAAATTATCGCCTTTGAAATCAAGGGCGAGACGGTGGTGGGCAAATCGCCGCTGGAACAGGTTGAGGAGGCAGTGGCAAATATCGAGAAGTGCGAATGGCTGTATCCGTCCCGGAGGGAACTCGAAGCTGCCCAGAGCAGGGCTGCCTCTGATGCTTTCAAACAAAGCTGCGACGCCATCATCTCCTGGCACAATATCACACAATCCATCAACACCGAACTGGCCGTCCTTCAGGCCTGGGTCGGGAATTCCGACTTGGATTTCACCCGGCAAAAACGTCGGTCTAGCAGCGATGGCGATCTCTCGGACGAATCATCGTTCATCGACCGGATCCTGAAGGAGGATGGCCTGAAGTCGCTTCAGGGTGACAAGAGCATGTTCCTGGCGATTAGCGAGGTCATCACGAAGGCCAAGAGCACTCTGATCGAGAACGCGGAGGCCTTTGCCGCCCGCCACCTTCCTCCTTACATCGAAGAGCTTTTGACTCTAATCAACTTCCCTTCAAGGTTAATCCAGGAGATTATCCGTATGCGGTTGTCTTACGCGAAGAAGATGAAGGAGTCAGCGCAGCAGTCCGTAATGATCATTGACCAGATGATTGCACAGTTTCAGATCCTCATGCGGCTCGCCTGCCTGATCAAGCAAGAATACCTCACAATGGCGCATCCTGAACCAGGATGGGACTTGCCTCCTTGTATCGACGAAAATTTCGACAAGGTCATTGTGGAAGCTCTCAAGTTCTATTTTAAGATGCTGAACTGGAAGTTGGGTGCGAACAAGAACACATTCCGCGAGGCTGAGATTCTCGAACAGGAATGGGGCTTTTCAAACGAGATAGGACGTCAACTTGAGGGTGGCGATATCGAGGTCGCCGAGCAGTTCAGTTCCCTAACAGCCAAGTCGCTACTTCGCCTCACTGGTTCATTCGAGCGAGAGCTTCGAAGCAAACCGGACGAGAGTCAGCAGGAAATGGAGAAACGCTACAAGGCGATTTTGGATTCTGTCCGTGTTCGACAACGGAAACTGTTCAGATTTTCGCGGATTTTGCGGCAAAGGTTCGAGAACGCGACCGAGTTCAATGTGGGAATGGGGGCAGAGCAGCTCCAGGCATTTGCCGAAGCTCTTGTCTTGTCTGGACACTTCCTCGTGGAGCCGAGCATAAACACTCCGAATGGGATTCACTTTGTCGCTTCAGCCTCCCTTTGGAACAGGCCGAAGGAGGTCCAGTCGATGCTGGGCACATCATTCCATGAGGATGATGCGGCGGAAGACCCCTCAAACCCTTACATCCTGATCATCAGACCGGAGGATGACATGACTTGGGAGGGACCTCGAATGGAGCTCGACACTTTGGAATTGCCTACTGACGTGAGACTGGGTAGACTCCGTCTCGTGGCTGACGGATCATCGCTTCGGCTTCAAGGTGCGCGAATGGAATTCGCTAATGCTATTGGTAAAGAGTTGGACGTGGTCATCGAACAACGAGCCAACTTGTCTCGGGTGAATCTTGAGCTTGGGAAAATCAAGAAGACAACCTTCAAACTGTCCAATACGATCATGGAAAGTGTGGAGGTGATTCGGTCGCAGAATGGTGGGATCGCCAGTCCAGAGTTGGTGCAGTCTTGTTTCGCCTTCGCAACTGAATTTGGGAAACGATCTCTGACGTACATGGATGCCAATCGACGCATGATGAACAACATGAAACTGACTCGACTTGCTCTGGACTGGGTCAGCTTTATTTGCGACGATTGTGATGCGGCTGACCGAAGGACTTTCAAGTGGGCAGTGGTTGCATTGGAGTTTGCGATGGCCATGACGCGCGGCAGAAACATTCTGGACATCTCGGACGAGGACTACAAACGTATTAGGATTAAGGTGGCGGGCTGCATGTCTGTGTTGATCTCTCACTTCGACATTATGGGTGCGAGATCGACCTTGGCTGCGCAGCAAGAGAAATCGCGAATGGAGGCGTTGACGGGCATGAACAAGCGACTTGACTACAACAAGCTGCGCAACGACGAGGACTGTCGTAATGAAATGTGCCAGCAGAGACTGACAGAGCTGAATGCAATCGACGAGGTTCGCGAGGAACGAGGCACAAAGACCACTCTTGGGCGGGTGTTGGAGGGATCAAACGAAGCCGACCGGTCGCTCACGTTCCTCTCTTCGTCTGCAACTAATATCACCATGAGATGGCAACAAGGCCAATTTGTCGGCGGAGGCACTTTTGGCTCGGTGTATGCGGCCCTCAATCTCGATACAGGGACTTTGATGGCTGTCAAAGAGATTCGTCTGCAAGACCCGCAGCTGATTCCCACCATCGTCAAGCAGATTGGCGACGAGATGGGTGTTTTGGCCGTTCTCGATCATCCCAACATTGTGTCCTACTACGGCATCGAAGTCCATCGCGACAAGGTATACATTTTCATGGAATATTGCTCTGGTGGTTCAGTGGCCGGCCTTCTCGAACATGGACGGATTGAAGACGAGACCGTCATCATGGTCTACGCGCTGCAGATGCTGGAAGGATTGGCTTATCTGCATTCGGCACATATTGTGCACCGGGACATCAAACCAGAGAACGTTCTCCTGGATCACAATGGTGTCATCAAATACGTCGATTTCGGAGCGGCAAAGATCATCGCACGACAAGGACAAACAATGATGGCTCCAGAGGCACCACAGCGCGCCAACGCCGAGCCTGGCCAGCTTCCACGGCAGCCGCAGAAAACCATGACGGGAACACCCATGTACATGTCACCTGAAGTCATTCGCGGAGACGGCCCAGCAACCTCGCGCTTCTCGGGAGCCGCCGATATTTGGTCATTGGGATGTGTGATTTTGGAGATGGCCACTGGCCGTCGCCCTTGGTCGACGTTGGATAATGAATGGGCCATCATGTACAACATTGCTCAGGGGAATCCGCCGCAGTTGCCCACCGAAGACCAACTGAGTCCGACGGGGATTGACTTCTTGAAGAAGTGCTTCGAACGAGATCCAGCAAAGAGGAGCTCGGCAGCGGAGTTGTTGCAGCATCCTTGGATCGTGGAGATTCGGCGCATGGTGGTGGATGATCCAGATGCGCAGACGCCCAGGAGTGAGAGCAGCGGAGGCGTGTCTCTTCCCAGCCGCCAAAATTCGACAGCGTCGTGAGAAGAGGGGTCCCGACAGCTTCATGAACGCAGTATATAATCTATTAATACCTAAGGAAACGTTGTACGGCCGAACAGGTGTCAGTCGCAGCCCCTTTTGGCTGATTGTTCTCCATCTTACGTGATAGGCCCGTGTTTCGTGTTTTTCTCGTACATTGAGCCGGTTCATTTACTCGGGCAGGGATGCGGTTCCTGGGCTCTGATGAACTGCAGGGTCAATGCAGCTGGAGTCGAGATCGGTTGGTGTGGCACAATGCACAACACGGCTAGCCGCGCCGAAACAGGGAACCCTGACGTTGACGTTGCCGGACTCATCGGCTTCGTGGATGGAAATGGAAAACAAGACTCCATCGGGGTTTGTGGGTTGTGCCTGGCTTCTTACCTGCGTATCCATGTGTTCCGAGTCTTCCATCCTCCATTTACTTGGGTGCCGGTGAGCGGATACCCGGTATCGTTTTGCAGACCACTCCTCCATTCATTCATTTTTATTTTATTGTTGGCCAGGGCCGCCCTACCTCTGTTCCACCCTCATTATGCACGCCCGCTGCCTCCGCAATGGCCAGTGTTGACGTTTCCAGTAATGCCCCGTCCGATCCCTTCTCTGATCGAGCCGCAATCCAAGACGAACGCGAGACGGTCGCAGAGTCCACGCTGGGCGTCGGTCGCAATGCCACGCTGACCCTCGGCACTGACGCCGTCATTGTTCTCGGTTCGTTCGTCCTCTGATCGCGCGGGGGACATTTCTGACAGCTTCGCAGATGAAGGTCTCCGCATGAGCGAAGGATTTGATTGCTTTGGGCTCTTTTCTCAGAGTAGGTCTTGAGAACGAGAACTGGGGAGTGCTGGACGACTGACTTCGAGGACCAGGAACTACCAACACCCGATCCATTCCTTACTTTAATGTCCTATGGGCGGAAATCGTAAAGAGCGAACTCACCATTCACTACGCAAAACCGACCTCCAAGTCCGCAAATTCCCCCGTGCGCGTTGCATACATCAACTATACCCTCGAAAATTCTACGGCGATACTGGAGAAGGCAGAAAGATGGGTTGAGCGTCTGTTACGACGGGCCTATGGCCAAGCTCAACGCAACAAAAGGATAAAGGTTCTGATAAACCCGTTTGGAGGGAAGGGCAAAGCAGTTAAAGAATACAGTAAAGAGATCGAACCTATATTTGCGGCAGCGCGATGCGAAGTCGACGCCGAGCAAACAACGCATCGTGGCCACGCGGCCGAGATTGCTCAGAACTTGGACATTAATGCATTCGACGTGATTGCAAGCGTCTCCGGAGACGGACTGCCCCATGAATGTATCAACGGCCTTGCAAGGAAACCGAACGCGGCCGAGGCCCTCAGAAAAGTGGCAGTCGTTCAACTTCCCTGCGGTAGTGGAAATGGTATGGCGTGGAATTTGACCGGGACAGGCGAGTGCAGCACGGCCGCTTTGTGCATTGTGAAAGGTGTACGGACTCCACTGGATCTCGTCAGCATCACACAGGGAGATACCAGGACGCTCTCGTTCCTGTCGCAGTCGCTCGGGATAGTGGCAGAAAGTGACCTGGGAACAGAGAATCTTCGATGGATGGGCGATGCCCGGTTCTACTTTGGCTTTCTCGTCCGGCTCCTGGGTAAGACGCTTTATCCTTGCGACATCGCCGTGAAGACGGAGATTGAGGATAAGCAAGAGATCAAGAGGCACTACGCCCAGTACATGGCCAAAAGGACGACCCAGGCCCCGATCTCTTATTCTGATCTGGACGGTCCGTTGGATGTATCCAAAAGTCTTGGACTCCCGCCGCTAAAGTATGGCACAATCAATGACCCTCTGCCCACCGACGCGGGCTGGACTCCCCTAACCTTTTACCCCAACCTGGGCAACTTCTACTGCGGCAATATGACGATGATGGCACCGGATGCGCCCTTCTTCCCTGCTTCCCTCCCGTCAGACGGTCTGCTCGATCTGGTCACCATCGACGGCGACATCCCGCGACGGAAAGCGGTCGACCTCCTACTTTCTGTTCCCAAGGGTACCTTTTTCGACAAGGAATGCGTGCGCGTCAGGAAAGTCAGCGCTCTCCGTGTGATTCCGCGGTATGGGACGCTGGCGGATTCCGCGGGCGAGAACGACCAGCGACCCAACAAGCCGGACCGGGCGGCCGGCCAGACAGAGACTGGCAAGCACGAAGATCGAGATGCTGGCCATTTCTCCGTCGATGGAGAGAAGATGCCCTTTGAACCTTTTCAGCTGGAAGTTCATAGGGGTTTGGGCACCGTCTTGAGTCGGCGCGTAGGGGTCTATGAAGCGATTGGGCCGAAGGGCTGGGAAGAGATCGATGTCGGTGCCCCTACCACTGCCAATCCACGGTCCCAATGAAGGTGAGCTGGATCGACGGATGCATCAATACAGGAATCCGCCACCAAACATGGTGGTCCGTACCAGAGAGGGAATGAGGATTCCGCCGCCATCATCCGACTAATTCGCCCATCCTGAGACCGTGGTCAGCCTTGCTTCGGAGGCTGGTTGTACCGTCGCTATCGGGATGTGGTTTCTTCTGTTTGCGACGGGTCTTGGTCTACAATAGCAACGAACAGCATTGGAAAACGAAACAACAAAAAACAGCAAAGCTGGCGCACAAGGCGCAGCAAAATGGTGCCATCATAAAAAGAGATACCCATATACGCACGCAACTCTGCCGATTTTTCTCGCGAGCATTCAACACCGAGTGGGGGTGTAGGGGGTGGGTGGTTGTATAGTATCTCTTGCTCTCGCTCTTGTTTTTAGAGGACATAGCGAATATTATAGATGCGGATGATTCTCCAGGTTTTGGAAATTGCAGAATTGCTTCCGCGGACTTTGGATTGGTGTTCTATACCTATGTAGTTCCAAGTAGACAAATCGTACGATGCTGGAGAGATTTTTCTCTATACCGTCCAAATTCCACCCCAGGCCTTGCATGACATGTACGTATGAATGTATGGGGGAGAGAGTCACCCGCCTTATGGAATTTTGCAATGTCCCAACCCAACCAAAACGAGTCGTGAGCGCGGAAAGGAAAGAAGAACAGCATAACATAGCATGTCATAACATCACATAGGTAGGTAGGTAGGTACTTAGGTAGGAGGTATTCAAACACATACATTTCAGAAACGCACAGGAACCCCTATTGGATGAATGGATGGATGGATGGATGCATGGATGGTTTGGGGGCGGGGTTTTCACAATTTGCTCCGCAGATCTTTCCGCTCGTCCTTCCTGAACAGGGTCTTGGAGTCCGGGTACGGGTCGAAGACGACGCTGTTGAGCGGGTTCAGCTCGCTCGCGCGGTGGAACATGTCCTCGTAGACGTTGCCGTCGTACCGGCCCAGGGACGAGTCGAGCTGCCAGTCGGAGAACTTCCACGCGTCGACCAGGCGGACCGCGTGCGGGCGGATCTCGCCGAGCAGCGTCATGACCGTCTTGGTGCGGGCCAGCGTGATCTGCCGCACCGTCACGGCCGCGGACGAGTAGAACTCCGAGGCCTCGCGCTCGAGCGTGTGCAGCGCGTACAGCCGGAACAGCTTGTGCAGGAGCGCCACCGTCTCGCCGTCCAGCTGCTGCTGCGTGCCCGGGTCGCGCAGCGCGTCGTGGAAGTTCTTGACGATCATGTACTGCGCGTGCGCGGTCGACAGGCGCCAGAAGTCCACCAGCAGCGAGTTCCAGGACTGCTTGTCCTCGTCGCGGTGGCGGAGGGCCTCGAAGGTCAGGAAGGAAACGCGCCACGCGAACGCCGCGACCAGGTCTTCGTCGTTGCCGATCACGTCGAACGCACAGCCAATGTCGCGGCGGCGGATGAAGTCGCCCAGGATCCGCGTGGTGTCGTTCTTGGGCGCCTTGCCCTGCAGCACGCTCCGGGCGGACTTCAAGAGGTACCGGGAGACTTGCTGCGTGAGCATGTAGTTGTCGCCTTCCCACGTCACCGTGGGGAGGTAGTCGGCGTACCAGGTGCCGATACCGGAGAAGGACGAGTACCCGTGGCCGCCGCAGGCACGGCGGCAGACTTCCAGGCCTTCGGCGGCGGTGGTAGAGCCATAGGCTTTCAGCGCACAGCTGGTGGAGTGCAGGTCGGCCAGAAGATCGGTGCCTGGATTGAGCTCCTCGGGTCCTGGCCCCCGAGTCGAGTCGGACAGTTTGCCGGCGTCCCCGGCGCCCATGCGTTTCTGGTTTTCCTGATACAGTCGGATCATGCTCTTGCCCGTGAAGTGGAGGGCGTAGGTAGCTGCGAGCAGTGGAAGCAGTCGAATCTGGACCATGGTGTAGTTGAGGACTTGGTTTTCGCCGGGCTCGTGGACGTCGCGATCTTGGAATTGTCGTCGTACGGCGCAGTAACGAGTGGCAATGGTGACGCCACGGGCAAGGGTAGAGCCGGCTTGCAGCACAATAGTGCTTCGAACAAAGGTGAGGGTGCCGTAGACGAGAGAAGGATTTGAGGGTCGGACGTATTTGTTGCTATTGGGGTCGACCCGGGAGAAGCGAGCCAGCATGTTGACGTGAGGAATCTTGACGTTCTTGAACAGCAGGAAGCCATTGTCCATCGTGTTATACCCAAATTTCGGGCCAATATCGCCAACATGGACGCCAGGCAAAGGCTCGTGGGTCTTCATATCTCTAACTTGGACGACAAATGGATGAGGACCGTAGGGTTTTCCGTCGATAAAGAGCTGGGCCATGACAATGGCATAGTTGGCGGTTCTCCCGAGCGACCCGATCCACCATTTCGAGGCAGTGAGATAAGGCGAGTTAATGATGAAAGTCTTGTCGTCGGAGTTCCAGGTAGCAGTGGTTTCCAATCCTCTAACATTCGAGCCATGACCGAGTTCAGTCTGAGCATAGCAGCCGATGATCTTATAGGCCTCCGCTTTCTCCAGGAAGAGCTTGTGCTGTTCTGGAGTACCTTGCTCACGGAGGGTGACGATGAACATGCTCGAATGCAGGCCGTAAGGTGTAGGTTCGCTAATGAGGTCACTGGCGGTCTGATACTCATCTCTTGTCCATTTGTGTTTGACCTGCAACTGTTGCAGTCTCTTGCCCCTCGCCAACGCAGCTTCTATCCGGCTGGTTCTCCCTCGAAAGTAGTTCTGTGATTTGTCGAAAACGGGGTCGGCTTGCAGAATCTTGAGTATGTGTTCATTCCTTTCGAGGATTTCGCGCGTAAACATGAAGTCGGCGAGCTGGTTGACATTGAGATTGGATTTGGCTCTTTCTTGTGAGAGCAGCTCAGAACCCTGAGGGCCGGAGGGCTTGAGGGCCTTGACCCATTCTGGATTTGTAGGCATTTTGGGGCGACTGCGGAGGATCCGGAAAGCAGCAAGAGAGAAGTGAAAGAACGGAAGAATCCAGTCTCGATGGACGTTAAAGGCCCAGAGAATAGGCAGTGTTGGTATTTAAGCTGCTCGGTGCCGTGAACCAGCAAGTGTAATAATCATCGCAGGCCGAAATTGTCTTGTGTCGTGATCGGAACGGTTCGCCAGGTGTGGAAAAGGTCACGCCCTGTGCACAGATGCCTCGGTTCAATCGACGGTGGCCTTTACTCTTTCGAGGATTAGTGAGCCCCGCGAATCTCGACCTTCGTGCGTAACGCACGTCTGCGGCGTATGCTTCGGCAATCCAGCTCCATTCTCATTCATTGAGTGCGACCGGCGACCGGCATTACCGAGAGGCTGTCCCTCCTGTCATGTTGATGGATATATTGAGCTTGGTTCGCCACCTCCACGCCCGGGCATACTCGGATTCCAGGCTCTCCATTTGCTGTCAAGAGCTCCATGAAAAATCCGTCGAAGAAAACCATCCACTGCAAGCTCCAACAATTGGAATTCTGCCTCGGTCGACGAGACAAGCCTCGACACAGGCGTCTGTCGCGTGTCGGGTATTGACTCAGTGACTATCGGTCGCCGTCAGAGCACCGGGCTCATATAGCTTGGATCTGCCGAACCACGACCGCTTTCAGGAGCTGGGTGTGATCAATGGGTCCAATTTGGTCGGTCAGAGCACGGAGCGTTGCGAAAGAATGGCAGCTAGACAGGAATGACTCCCGGGGTTTGAGACGGATCACACACAGTCAATGATATGAATGCACGAAAGAATTCGTTATTCGCAGGGATGAAGATGTTTGAATTGATGAGGATTTCTTCCCAGCTACTCTGGTCTCTCACTATCTAGCGGTGACATCTTCACCTAGTTCTTCTCTTCAATTGTATGTGGCTGAGGCTCGCTAATCGAGATCTCCTCGATATCCTTCTGCGCAACAACGAAGCCTTCGGGCAGCAAGTTGAGTTCATCTTCCTGTTGATCAAGGGACCAGAATTGCCAGATGAACAAGCAGCCACCCACAAAGGCAACAACAGCAAAAACCCCGTAGTTCCAGATCAGCAAGGGATCGCCCGAGAGACGGTTCAAAGCCTCTGCGATGGCAGCCGAAATGGCATTGGTGAAGAGAGCAATAGCCTGAACCAAAGACCGCATGTTCTTGGGCGCCTTGGAGTATGCGTACTCCAGGGACGTGATTGAGGCGAAGATCTCGGAGAGGGCAATGAGAACATAGCAGCCTGTCTGGATCCAGACGTTGAGTGGCGCCGGGTTGACGGTACCATCATCATTGAAGCAGCTGTTGGCCTGGTATCCGCAAGGTGATCTCTTGTAGATGTAATATTGGACGACTGCAGCCCATACCATGGCTGCCGCTGCAAGCCAAAAGCCAGCCGTGATCTTCTTGAGCGCAGTGAAGTTAAAGCCGAGTTTTCGAAGACCAGGATACAGGAATGAGTCGCAGAGAGGGATGAAGATGATGAGGGCGAAGGGGTCAAGGTTGTTGACAACACTACGTGAAAACTCTCGTCAGCATGTGTCCAGAAGCAGCCGGGAGGAGGCGAGGATGAACTTACTCGTTGGGCACACCATTCAGCTGCATGGTACCGGCTTGAGCAGTGAAGTTGTTGGTCAGTTGACCATACGCAAGCCAGTAGAGTGGATAATAGCAGAAGACGGCACAGGCGGCAAAGCCACGGCGGACTTCATCAACCCAAGCATCGTCGAACGTCATCCACAAGGGTCGTTGAGAGGGTTGGATGTTGGACGGCTTAACCGCTTCCCAGATCGAGCCGTTGCTAGTCCGCTTCCACATGGTGACAGGGTTGAAAGACCAACGACCCTTCATTCCGTAGAAGAGGCAGCGGAAGGCTTTGGTGACGACGGAGCCTGCCGGGGGTCTTTGTTGGTATCGCTTGCGTCCCCACCACATGACAAAGGGTGTCGTCAAGAATGCCACGAGAGGGAGCAGGAACGAGAGCCAGAATCCGACATATTTCTCGGCGTAGACCTGGATAGCACGGTAAGCTTTGAACAGTGGACACGCTTCATAGGAAAGGAGCATACCATGCCAATTTGGCCAACGAGCGCGCCAATGTTGATGAAGAGGTAGAAGTAGTGATAGATTCTGCTCTGCGTGATGATGGGATCGACAATCACGCGTTCTCCGGAAGGGAGGGTCTTGACGAAGGCTCGGGTGACGTCGATTTGCTCGACGATCAATGGAGAGATGTTGGGCTTGAAGCTACCAGTCCCAAATCCCATGATGATCAAACCGAGCATGAAGACGGCATAGCAGGCAGTCGTGTTGGTGATGACGGGAGGGATAGCGGAGATGACCAGGATAATGTGACCGATGATGGCAATGGCAATAGAGACACAGATGGTCTTGTATCTTCCCCAGTGTTCGTCGGCGACTGTTCTCGAGTTAGTATCAACGTGCGGAAAGCTGATGTTGACACCGTCACAGGCAAACTTACTATAAGCACCAAGGAGGGGAACGCAGTAGACCCAGAAGGTGTTGAAGGTATTGATGCCGTTGGCAGTCTCAGGGCCTTGACCAAGAGCCCCGGATATGCCCTGGTCGGAGCCACCACCGGCTCCAGTATTGTGGTGAGATCCTGGCGGGCCATCGGGGGCAGGAAGTGGAAGCGAGTGGTTCACAAAGTTGGAGTCTAGGTAGCATGCTGATCAGTGGTCTGGAAATGCAGCAACTTGGATTGGAGACGTACAAACAACTTGAGTTCCATAGTAGGAGAAACGCTCGCAGAGCTCCACGAAGGCGACGGTGTAGACGGCCCAGGGAATGGGGGCGGCGACTCTGCGAAGAGCATTGGGCCCATGAAGCTCCTCTTGCGTGGGCACATTGTCATATTCCGAGTCGCGGCGAGCGAACTGCACGACCTCATTCTTGGAGACGGAGACGCGGCGACCATAGTCGGCGTCCAGGTGCTCCAGACCACCGGCCTGAATAGTCTCGGGGTTGTCAACAGGCATGATGTGCGATGGGCTTGAGCGAGAAGTGAAGGAAGAAGGAGAGGAAGGATGAGCTTCTGATCAGCCATCTTGGGCCATGAAAGGGCTTTATAGCTCCTGCCACATGTTCAAGTGCCATCGCCCAAACCGGCAGGAGCGAAGGGCGATATGGCGGACAGGCACGTAGCATCCTGTGGCATCCTGTGGCATCCTGTAGCATCCATCCGATGCATGCGCTTATCGACGGCGACATGATGGGCAGTTCTGGGCATTCAGATCCTCCCAGCGACCTGTGGCAGCCATTGGCCGGAGTCTGGACGAGTTCATCTCAGGTTACATTCTCCCCCGTAATTGATATGGCGACAGCGAGGTTTTTCCCTCCATGATTTGAGAGCGCAGGCTTGGCAACGGCGGGCCAAGATCCCAATGCAGGGCTTGTCTGGCTTGATGCTGTCAAGCTTCGTTGGCGAGTGTCGGAGCTGCTAGGCTTGTCTGGGGGAAGCGTCCGAGCCGGGCTTCAGATCGTTGCAATGATCGACCAAGGAACCCGGGCATGCTGAGTGGCGGCATGTCTAGCTCGCTGCCCCAGAACAAATTCCTTCCAAACTCTCTTTCCGACTTCATTCGTCGGCCCCGACCGATTGCAACATCCTTGAGCCAGTGTTACGTTGTGATAAGTCCAGCCAGCTGCCACCGCTGCCACCGCTGCCTCCTCTTCTTCCTCCGCCCATTGTTATTGTCTGTCGCTCGCTTTATCACTTGGCAACGCCAGGGATGCAAATCCTTGGTCCCCGGATTCCCGAGCCACTGCCGTTCTCATTATCGGGCGGCATTTCCTCTCCAATCCTTGCCTTGTAAGGCAGTCGTCCTCCCGACTCTGAGCGTCAGCCAAGCCTCGTATCAGGAGAAGAATTTTCGTGGGCAAAAGCAAGGATCGGGGGATGTCTGCATGCTGTGAGGCGAATCCAGAGGCGAGAGGGATTTGCTTCGGGCCTCGAAGAGCTCCACGATCTCAGCCAACTTCACCCTCCCTTCCTCTTTGTGTCTGGGGAACAAGCCCCGGCAGCTGCGGAGATGGAATGACAAGTCGTCGCGTGAGCATCAGCAAGCGAATGACAATGCGAGTGCCGGGCGGCGACTTCGTTCTGGAAGAACGGGGTGGGGGAGTCTAGAAGCAACAAAGAGCAAGGTATATGCCCCGGTATGCCCTCAGTGGATACTAATCCAAGTCTCCACAGAGTCTGACAGGGGGGCTGGGAAATCAGTGTTGCCGGTAGAATTCCTGCAGCTCAAGCGCAAAAGGATATGCCACACAGTTCTCACCAGGGCCAAGCAGTGGCATCTCAGTCGTTCCCATTGCGCCGATTGAGAACCGAGTAATGAGATATTTCGGTTCGTGTCAGATGGGCCTCGGTGCGAGATCAAAAATCCGTCAGTCTAGGTCAGCCCTGCCATGTTAAAAGGTTGGTGGCGTTCAGATGGAGCCTCAAACCAGGCAGGATGAAAGAGAGATGTGGCACCAGTTTGGATCAAAGCGCGACGTCTGAACGCTGGGCATTCATCGTGGCTCTCAGTGCCAGGCCCTAAAAGCTATTGCTTCTTATCCCCTGCCCCCTCGACACTTTTATAGATCTCGTCCTGTCCCAACCCAAGATCCCCTTAGGGTCAGGGTCAGGGTTATTCTAACTGCGCTTTTCAACTAACATGCCAGCCAAAGATCTCTATGGAGATTAGCATTGGTCGATGAATCTGCTGCTCCCTCATCTGTGCGTGCTCAATCTAAGTCCACATAGCGAAACAGACGAACATGCGCAGATGGATCAAGAATGATGTCACCTCTTTTCAAGCTCTTTCCGTCTTCATCTCATTATGACCGTACTGAAAAATCTCGTGTGCTCAGGGAATGAAGTTGGAGAAGGAGATGGACCAAGCTCGGGCTCTGCTCGATACATTGGATTGGGTCAGGTTTTCGATGGTACAAGGAACTGTTCTGAGCACTAGCCAAAGAATTCTCTTCCAGTTACTCGCACTTACACGCGCCAGCTGAGAACCTGGATCCCGTCTGTAACATCTGAGATCATGTTGGCTTCACCTTGTTTTTGGGGTCAACATTGCTGCTGAGAAACGGGTGGAACCTGACTGGCGACCTGGCAGGCCGCCAGATCAGGAAGTGGTGCTGGTGTTGTGCGAATCTACTCCGTTGCCCCCTCTTTGGACGTGGATGGTATTCGCAGCAAGGGTTTGAACTGCAGCTTGCTGCCGCGTCTATTCTTCCATCTGTTCGGCGATAAACTGATGAAACCTTTCGGGCCAGTCGATGTATGTCAAGTGGCAGCGCACGGGACACGCCACAGGCAGGGCGGATGCATTCAAGTAATTAGGCATGTGTCCAGGACCAAAAGTAGTAGTCTGCATGCCGCTGACAGAGAGTCCTGGCTAAACCAGAGTATGCTTCCACTGTCTTCTTGAATTGGGCCCAGAGTCCAGATTTTCCCGTCTCAGAAAAGCCTCTAAGATAGAACTGTAGGCTTGGCTGGAGGTCGTACTCCGGATGGACCAAATCGAGCCAGTATTGGAAAATCGCTTTCGCAGTATCCGTATCCGTGGCTCCGATCAAATTCACAATATGCGTTGTGGAGTGCTCGATCTTCTGTGGGTGATTGAAGGACGGTGGCATTAATCACCCTCCAGATGCCGACCCTGGAGATGTTCCGGGAGTTCATCTTCGTTCGCCCAGGAATCCAGCCCCTCCTCCTCGTGACGATAATGTGGCGGCGAAACATCAACTACTCTTTCAACCTGAGCCGCCACAGTGTGGAGCTGGTCCAGAGCTTTCAGACTTTGGAATATCTCCAGGTGTTAGCACTTGGGAATAGAGTGCGTCTATCGTCAACCTCTTCCCCTCCTCGCCCAGATCTGCTCAGATGCACATAAAGTCTCGGGTCGACGATGACCAGCAAGGTACGTAGAGCGAATGCCCGACGTCGAGGCGTGGGCTCTGATTCGGTGTTGATTTGGATAAAACGATAAACAAGATTGATATTCTCCGTTCACCAAGTTCCAAGCAGGCAGCGTCCAGCACCACCTTTGACTGCAAGGTCTCTCAACATACGCACGTACGATGGAATTATTCGGCATATCGACCAGAAGACGGGCTGCGAAGTGCATCGCCTTCGACTGGCTCACCGCACGAAGTTGGCTTGATCTGTCACTAGCTGTCCATCAACGAAGACTGCTCTTTATAGAGCTCTTCCTCTGGCATATCAACGGATAACCGCTGTTTAGAGTGCTATGCAGTGGGGTTTGGGGAAATACAGGTAAGAAATTTATTTGAATACACTTGGTATTCAGCGAGCTTCAAATTTCAACGAGCGTTTGTATTCCCTGTGTCCTATTCTGCAGCGCTTACTGGAACACTGCAATGGATATAATTCTGAGCGACAGTGCCTCTCCGTCACTGTCCATACGCGTCTCGTGCTACTGACTGTAATCAACAGTCGTTTCTCAAAATCGAAAACCACGGCTTTCATGCCCGCCCCCTGAGTATGCCGTGCCGACAAGGACGGACGTATCCGCAGTATAAAGCTTTGTGAGTGATGCTTTGCGCCTGATATCGCGAACGTCCGTGCTTAGGTCGCGAAAACCGGAAACGGAGAGACGGGATCGTGGGCAGTTGTAACACCGGCAGCGGCAGCCCCTCTCTTCACGGGAGAAGCGACATCGTGGGATTCGTCGTCCGCTTCGGCCCCGTAAACGGCGTAGATTCCCGCGCTGCCCATGTCATCGCCCCTTGGATTGACAGCCTGTCGACCATCCCGCTTGATCATGTTCTTGGCAGTAGGGCCGCCACCGCTTCCATCGGCAGACCGCGCAGACGCATGTGCGAATGTAGGTGGCGACAGAGCATCGCCTTCGCCCCCGCGTTTGGAGATGTAATTGATGGCCAGATCGCCGGCTTCTTCACTGGCAATTCTGGTTGGCAGGCGACCGTCATCACGTTTGAAGATGTAACTTGCGTCCAGTTCCGCAGGAGCCGGTGCACTCGCAACAGCAAGTGGCGTAAGGGCGTCTTCGCGTCTGTAAACAGTATTTCCGGCCATGCTCCCGGTAGATGACGTGTAGAAGGGCAAATTGTAAACCGCATCGCCGTCAGTTGCACGCTTAGCGGCGGCGGCCGCAAATGGAGTTGTGCCGAGTGCTTTGGCGACGGGAGTAGCATCATTGGAGGACGAGAGGTCTTGCTCTTGAGCCTCGCCAGCAAGTTGAGCTGGAGCCAACGGGGCGGCGAGTGTTTGAGAGAAAAGAATGCCAGCAAGGGCGGAGAGGAAGATTTCGGTCTTCATTCTGGAATGGAGCTTGAGTCTGCGGAAAGGTCGTTTTGGTGGAAGAGGTTGGTGGTGGGAGGGACTGGATGATGATCTTGTGCCGTTGTCTGTAAAAGTAGATGAGAGATGGTGCTTGAAATGGAGGAGGACGTCTCTCCTTATATGCTTGATTTCTTTCAAACCCCCAGCTCTCGATATGCAATGGTTTGTATATCGTTCATGTTGGAAGTGCCAAGTCATTGTCGTGCCATTCGCAAGGGGGGTTGACGAGTCGTTGTGGAGCTCGCATGAAGATTGCGAACCTTATAGCATAACTTCCCAGCTATTGAATATACGCAAATACAGTTGAGTTGTTGTGAAGTTCCTTGAAAGGCGAAATGCGCAGCCAACGTGCGGTTTAACACGTCCACCCAGCGAGGTGAGTGGCATAGTCTCAGCCTCGTTCGCGTAACCTCAGCCAATCGACAAGACTCCAAGCGCCAAGAATACCCCGGATTGCCAAGGGCCCATGCGACCTCTGGGGTTGCTCCACCGATTGCGTAGTCTCCTCGCATGGAGCCTCAGCTGACATTTACCCTATTATCCGCAAGTCACGTTGCATTATCTCTTCGCCTTCAATGAGTCTAGAACATTGTCTTCGGCCTTGGTCCAGTCGCTTTTTATCGACTTGCTTGTGATAGATCCGCGGACACTCCAACGAGTGGCTGTGCGAGGCAATAATGTGCATCTGCCAATTGGACTGTAAAAGCGAAGGAAGTTGAGATGGGCTGACCGTGCGGCACCTTCATTTTATCAGCACCAGGAGGACGGGAGAGGGGAAATCGGGGCTTGTATCGCAGACTGCGTGCCGTGTGTACGTCTACGTCGAGTTTCTGGACCCTTCTTGACCGATGATCACGACACGAGGATGAAGCCGGACGAGTTCCTCCTGGACCTACCATTTCCTTTGGACGATCAATTCACTCCATTCTTGTATCCGGAGGAGGGTACGAAACAGAAAATTCAAGCAGGGTTCAGATCGAGTCTAGTGTGCGCCTATGTTGTCTTGGGCTTCATTGTCAAAGTCGGGAATGCCTTACAGTCTACAGTCAAATACCCAGAGGAGAAAGGCGGCCCATATGCTGTCAGCCTAGAAGTATTCCATCAATTCCATTGTATGGTGAGCGTGCTCGTTGTTGGCTTGCCAATAGCAGATTTTGTAACAAATGGACCGGAATCTTCTGCGGAGGGCGACCTATTTCGAATACTACGCCGATAAAGGGACCATGTTCAAAACAACACCTCACATGATTCGGGAGCACCTTGGTAAGACAAGGTGGAGATCCCACCAAAGAGCGGCGCTAAGGGCACGTACAGACCATTGTATCGACATGTTCCGCATCAGTCTCCAATGCACCAGCGACCTGAACACCTAATAACTTTCAGTGTCTCAACGCATGAGTTTCCCAAGGCAGGACAAATATCTGACTTTTACGCCAACGACAGATGCAGAAACTTTGAGCAAGTCCTCGAATGGTACAATGAGTGTCAGATTTCTTTTGACTAGGCGAGCACTGGGAAGGTGCCAGATGCTTCATGCAAATGACCACATCTCTCTGACAGAGCAAGCAATAGTTGCCATCGGAGGATTAGGATATCTATCTAACTGTGACAAGTCTCAAGAGCCCGCACATAGCAATACATAGCTCCTGACAAATACGGTGCGATCCATACGGTGCTCTTCACTCCGTCTTCCCTCTTCTTTTCTCCTCGCCGCCAGCTCCGAGAGAATCCTGAGCTGGATTGCCTGACAGGGCGTCAGGTTCCAGCTGAATGGATGCGGTGACAAGGACAAAGAGGCGGTGGCAAGGATTGAAGCTGCAAGAAACGACAGAATAGAGTTTCGACTGTTCTTGCGAGTACAACGCGTCCGAGTTAAAGTTGGGGTATTCTTCAATCTACCAATGTGGTACTCCACGTACCACAGCTGCGGGTGGATGTGATGAGGGCCAGAATGCTATGGGTATACACCAACAACTCTAAATATATTGGCGCAGATATTTGCCTTGCGTATCTCTCGGTGGGCTAGGTTACAACGAAACAAACATGTGGCTAACCGACTTGGGTACCCAGGGGAGAAGCTGACGAGTATAAAGGATTGCAGTTATGACTTGGCAATCTGCTTGAAATTGACTCAAAGATATATTGACAGTCAAGAAAGTACTTAGGAACCAGGAGGCGACACAACCGACTGTCCTGAGCGAGCAGTCATCCACCTATTGAAGTCGGCCGGCTACGATCCCTCAGTATGACCTCGAGCGGCGAATCAAACCACCATCAGCGCACCAGTGACCGCGACATCCCGCCCGAGGCTTCCCAGCATACAGCCCGTCAACAAAGCCCGATGGACAACTACGACGACGACGTCGAGTCCCTGTACACTTTGCGGGAAATGCTGTCAATCCAAGACCAACCCACCTGCAACGGAACAGCCTGCCCCTTTCGGGGTTCCGTCAACACCTCGACCGAGACGGTCATGTCGGAGCCGCCTCCCGTTGGAGTTTTGAAGGTGTCGAGACTTTCTCGATGCTGGCGGGGCATCAAGCGCAGATTACCGCGAAGACAAAGGAAAATGAGCACGGATGGAGTGAAAGGGGTCTCGTTGAATCTTTGACCACTGGGGTAATCAAAAGCGCCATAAGCGCCGCCGTGAAAAAGAAACAATATCCCGACATATCTTCCGACTTTGCCCTACTTCTGCGTCTGCTCTGCTTCTTGAATCAGCTTTCTCAGGGTGTCGGCGCTCTTGAGCAAGAGACCCTCCTCCTCTCGATTCAGTGGGATCTTGAGGGATCTGACGATCCCGCGTCGTCCGAGGACCACCGGCAGGCTCAAGCAGCATCCCAGGTCGTCGACCCAGTGAGAAATCGGACGGACGTTTCGCTGGTCGAATAGAATCGACTTGCAGATGGCCGCACTCAAGGCGCCGATCCCGTAGGCGGTAGCCCCTTTGGCCTCGATGATCTTTGCCGCTTTGTCTTTCGTCTCCGTCGCGACGGCTTTGCGGTCAATCGACGTGCCTGGCAGAAGACATTGGTCCAACGGCACGGCACCGATAGTAACGCAAGACCAAGCAACCTGTGGTGTATCGTCAGCTGGTCGAACCCGACCCGTTCGTTTGCCCCCCTTTGATGTTCCTTACCATCTGCGATTCTCCATGTTCACCGAGCACGTAAGCGTCGACACTGCCAGCGTCGACGCCGAGCTTGGCGGCCAAGATGCCCCTCAGCCGGGCGCTGTCGAGGAAGGTCCCGCTCCCGATGATCTGGCCTTGCGGGAGCCCGGAGAACTTCTGGCAGAAGTAGGTCAATATGTCCACGGGATTTGCCACGAGCAGAATGACCGTGTCCTCGCGGAACGGCTTCATGTCGTCCGTCGCAGACTTGAGAATGGCCAGGTTCCGACCGAGCAGATCGGTCCTTGATTCGCCTGGAAAGGATCGCATTCAGTGAGACGTCTCCGCGCGGCCGTATAGGCCAGTGGGCGAACTCACCATGTCTCTGTTTCGCACCGGCGCTGATGACGACGATATCGCATTGTCCCGCCTCCTTGTGGGTTGCGGACCGAATCCTCACGCCGCCGCCACTACAGGGAGATCAGTCGGCCGTCGAGCCCCGCGCATCATCAGTAATAACACACCCAACGGCACCGTGGTAAGTGGTGGTATCCTCGAGGTCTTTGACCTGTGCGTCTCGTTGCTTGGTGTTGGGGTCCACCAGCAGAATCTCGCTTGCGACGGGATTCAGGATCAGGCAGAGTGCTATTGCGGAGCCCACGCTCCCCGCGCCGAGGATTGCAATCCGCGATCGGTCGGTCGCCACTTCGGGGTCCATGGGGGTGGGTTCCATGTCGGGCGTGTTTTGATCAAGAGTCAGCTCGCGGATGAGGATTGTTCCCAAACAGCGAAAGGGAGAAGCAAATGAAGATGACGCTGGAAGAGGAAGGGACTCAAGGCTGCCACTCTATATGGGGCAATTTGAGGATCATTTGAGTGGCGGAGACGAATTGGCGCGGTGGAAGTGGGATGATGTCGTCGTTTGGGCTTGGTCACTCTGGATGGACTTATGGCGTCCAACCAATCGAGATCCTACCACTGATTGTAGCATGTGCAACGAGGGGTAATCGACTCCTTTGTAAGATAGCGGCCACGTGCACGTTTTTGGCCAGCGCAGTGCTTGGTGATTCCTATTACCCTACTCATTGGTCTCAAACACGGTACGTTAGATCCCTTGGATCTCAGGAACAAACAGGTCGACGCATAACAATTCGAAATACACGCAAACCCTAGATTTTCGAGCATTGATAAGAGATGGGAAAGCCTGCGTCGACCCTTGGAGTCTCTAGACTCCCTTTCAACCACGAGCCAGCTACGTTTTCCTCCTTCCACAAAACCATCACTACTGGGCACTTCTCTTCTGGAGTGTGTGGAAGGCTTTTGCTCTCAATATTGGTCCTTGCGCCCAGCTCCCATCTTGATTCCTTCGTGACAGCCAAGGCAGGAGACGTGAATTTATCACAAACACTTCCACATTTACATTTGCTTGATGGGTGGCAGCTTCGTTCCACATCCATTGCAGAACTTGTCACCGACCTTGCACTGGGTGCCGCAGGTGGAGCAGAACAGGACGTCGACTCCAGCGTATGTGGGCGGACCACCTCCTCCTTGTTGTTGTGGTTGTTGCTGGGGGTATTGTTGCTCAGCTTTGGCCCGGGCCTTTTCTCTTTCTTCGAGCTCGACCTCCAGCCTCATCCGTTCTTTCTCGTTCTGCAGTTCCTTCTCCCGCCTCTTGTCCTCCTCCGCGCGTCTCTGCTCGTCCTCCCTTCGCTGGGCGTCCTGGGCTGCCTGCCGCCTCTGGAACTCGTATTCCATGGCCTGCTGACGTTCCGCCTCGGCCTGCATGCCACGCCGTGCTCCAGCCCTCGATGCCCCATAGACTACTGCTGCACCTAGAAGCGGGCGACGTCTGAACATTTCTGCCAAATGAACCCTATTGGAAATATCCTAATGCCTTCAACTTGATGAATGCTCTGGCAGAGGACGAAAATGGGATCTTTGCTCAGGGAGTTCGAGACCCTCACTCGAAGAAGCGCTACCACGGATGTTGGTGGCAGGAATTTTCGTATACTTGGCTGGGAGTCGGGGGTGTAGGGTGAAGCGTAGATGTATTAGGATTCCGAGCACCAGTTGCGGGTGGAAAGGGTAGAGAATTCGTTACAAAGTCCAGGTGGTTAATTGAAAAGCGAGGCTCATCGACTGGTTTTATCTCCCAGTCCTTTCCTTTACCTTCAGCTGAAGCCGAACGAAGTCAGTTGGGGAAGCTACATAGAGCAGTTCTAGCCCGGCTAAGCCATGAGAAAACACCAGTGGCATGACTTGAAGGCTGTGACCTTGCTCGGGACATCCGAGAGGGTGTGATCCAAACGAGCTGTGCGGGATGAGGGTTGGTCGAGGGGTTTGCAAAAGGTTACTTGGGGCAGCTGAAGAGCGACTTGGAGGCGAGGGACTCTCGGAAAGTTTCTTTTCGCTTACGCCCCCTCAAGTACGTGTGCCGACAGCTTGCATTGTAAACCGTGCTCCAAGCCATCTGACAATCAATAAGGTTCATGTATCAGACGGGTTTGCCTGGGTGTGGGTGGACTGCCAATGTTCCTCCATCTGGAAGGGGTGGCCGGGGTTTCGGGTAGAGCTACAGTGCTGCATTTCCATAGCCGTGCGACAGACCCTGGAGCATTCGGTAGCCAAATCGAACAGAAATCCGGGCCAGCCACAAGCCATCTCTTCCGCGGACAGAAAATCTCTGCAGGCCCTGAAGGAAAATGTGCACGTTATAGACATCGTCTCATGGGCCTGCACGGTTGATGCATAGGGCTTCAACTGTCAGTCTGTCGAAGGTAACAACCGAGTCACCCGTGCTGTCTGCATGATGAATCATCGCTAGATTCCTTCCAACCATAGACAAATCCGAATTCGCGAGCCATGTATGTCGAACTCTTGCCTGGACACTGCGCAGATTTCGAGGGCGAACTTGTCGGAACTATGTAGCAAGATCTTCAGAGATACGGGTCATCGATCTTGTAAGGAAACTGCATTATTCCGATGCTGAAGTGGCTGCAAGATGCAGAAAGGCTTTCTGGATTTTGTCGAAGTTGTTGTCTCCTTGCATGAGATCAGCCGCGGACCTGAAGACGAGGCGTGGATGTTCTCTCTTCTGGGCTCCGCGGACCAAAGCCTCCAACAAAAGGAAGCACATCCTGATCAAGTCTGCAGTTCGGTGCGACTTGCTTGCGAAGAGTCAGGGGTCGAACTCGCGGACTTGCCGGCTGTGAAGCAGAAAGACCTCGGAAAGTGTGGTTTTTGCGACTGCACTGCCCATGGATAGTCAACTTAGCTTCGAGCCATACCTTCTGATGTGGCTCACCATATGCTTGAATCCATGTGATCAGGCGCGTGCAGTTCAGAGAGGCAGCGATTCCCGACGGCGATTCATGTCGGCCGATGCCATCTCAGGAACCTGGCCAATGCGAACGGCCCTGGTGCTCGCATGGCGACCAAACTCACCATTTCGCCATCGGCCAGTAAGATCTGATTCCCAGGACTTCTTTTCAACCGCCGGAAGAGAGCGGGGAGGTGGGCGGAGATGTTTGGGGAGAGATGGATCTGCCAAGGAAACCTTGGATTTCCGGGCAATAGATGTCTTGCCATTGGAGGAAGAGCAACATTTCGCCTTGCTGTATTCTCGCAAGTCTCGGAATAGGCCGGCGCGCTGAAAAAAGTGGGCAAAACGTTGTGCCATTCCTGAAGCATCCATTCTTTGTTGCCTTACTTATCCTTGCATGGTATGAATTGACCGTTCATCAGGCCAGGCAATCCACCTTGGAATCCAAGGCGGAGCTCAACGCAGGACCTTGTCAAATGATAAAGACAGGCATGACCTCTGGGAGAACCTCGGTCCACCTTCTCTCCGATTGGACCTTCCAAAACTCCTGCAAGGCTGCCAGCGCAGTCGGAATGTTGTGGAATCTAGTGCGCGAGAATACCTCTTGCAGTCGCATTGTGAAGAACTCGCGATGTTCCAGTGTCGAGCTTTCCGCTGCAGCAATAAAATACACCCACACGAGCGTATGATGCCCCGGAGTAGCCGGAGGGATTCGTTCACACAAGCGTTTGAGGCGTTCGAGATCCGCGATAGTCTCATCGTGAGGTGGGCCGCTTGTGACACGTTTCAAGTATAGGTTGCAGGCCATATGGATGGCGGACTTATACATTCCGATCTGAGGCGCAAGCATAGGGTGGAAAATGGCTGCGTTGGAAATGAAGTCAAAGTACGCGGCAGGTCGGGTGGTCAGAGTCAAAGCGCCGGAGCTCTCTCCTAGGAGAGGTTGGGCAAACAGCGTCATCATGCGAGTCTGTTCCGTCAGAAATGAGTGCATCACGCTGTCTCGGCCGTCTCTCGTGTTTGCATCGGCGAGGTGTTGAAGGATCTTGAACAAGTAGGGGAGATTGGTACCGCCGGTGATCGTTTCGCCGGTCAATAGGATGATTATCGTGGTCCAAGCGGAGATGTCGACTAGATCGGCTTGAGTGGATGTGCGCAAGCGAAGCTCAGAAATGATGGATTGGAATCCGGCTTCAGCACGAGACTGCAAACCTGGCCGTTGATGCGCGAGGTGGTGCATGGCGACGACGCACACTGCAGATCTGACCAGCGGATCTTCAAATGCAAGTGGAAGAATGAGATCACGGTAACCATTGAATTTGCCGTCCAGGACCACCATCACCGGTGCAATCGTTGAAGAAAAGTGCGCAAATAATTCTCGATATTGCGGACCGATGAGCTGGAGGGATGTTGGAATCTCATCGTGGCAGGCTCCATCTTGATGGATCGAGTCACACGAGGCGCAGACTATGGGTTCGAGCGATAAATCTGACGAGTGCCCTGCAAATGCCCCCGCGAATGGAAGAGGCTCGGCTCCGTGTGTAGTATCATGTTGGAACGTTGCCAAGCTATTGTCTCCGCCTGAGAGCAGTTCGATGTCCTCGAAGTCGTGGGATACCGACACGGGGCTGAGTCGATCGGCAGTCGAAGTGGTCGTGCCATCTGGCCACAGTAGAACGGGGGCTGTTGTTTGCTCGGGTCGTCTTTGAATATTTGCGGTCGGGTCGATGGGGATTGTGCGCCCTGCAAATCTACCACGGGAAGCTATCCCATCATTAAACCTATATCGGATTCCGTAGCCGGGACAGTCCAGGCCCTTGCGCAAGCACTTGTTGCATTTTGGACGGGATTGATCGCACTTGATACGTCGCTGCGAGCAATTGTGGCATCCTACTTACTCCCTCAGCGCGGATGTCGCGTTGGGCAAACGTGGCGAACTCACCGGTCAGCTCCTTCGGCATTTTATCTGTGCACATCAAGTGGCATCGCAGTGCCTTGATTGAGAGGCATGTCGAGGCAGGGCTTTATGCGGCGAGACTGATGGGAGGCCAGGGTACTGCGATGGAATCGAGGAGAACGTTTGATGGCAAGGAATCTAGATGGTCTGAGGTGTTGATCGAGGCCCACGCCACCAGCCGCCGATGTCTTGGCCGAGATTTTCTTGGCTGCGCCTCAATTACATGGTACGCCACACTCAGCGAGTCAACCTACTCAGCCTTATACCTCTCGTCCGCGAAGACATGGCTTGCATTGTGACGCGAAAGGGGGCAATATCGAAAGCTATATAGAGATACAAATATGTCATTTCTACGGCATCGAAGATTTCAGACTATCCAGTTGTCATCTGTCATAGCCGGCTTGTTCTCGAACCCGGTCGCAGCTCCTGTCGGACCGTCAAGGCTGCCTCAGTTCCCGATTGAATGGCACCATCGATAAAACTCCTCCATCCTCCAGCAGCCCAATCCGAGTTAGCAAACAGTACGGGTCCTTGCCGCTTCCTGAGAGCCTCAAGGTATTGCACCTCCATACCCGGTCTGTACCACACCCTGGACACCGTTAGAAATGTGGTGTAACTTGAAGAGCAGTCTCCTTACCAGGCTCCTTTGGCAAATTCATCCTTGGACCAGTTGTGAAATACCTGAAGTGCAATTTTGTCAGCCAGGTTGGTCTCAGATTCTGCAATGCTTCGCACTCACCAGACGGTCAATTTCCATGGGGCCAAACTCTTTTATGGCCCCCAGAGTCTGGTTGATGTCCTCATCTGCATGCATGTGGTTTGCATCACATCCAAAAAAGACACAATGAGTTTTTCCTGCGGGAGTTGTTCCATCTGCCACTCCGATAACGAGTTTGTTGTGGGGGTAGGTGACGCCGCTCCAAGACCTCATTTCTGGGTCTTTGACATCCGCGTGGACCTTGACACACTGATTGACATGCTTTAAGGCGGCAGCCTCGCGCTTCGCTTGATCCAAGGGTGGATTGAACTCGATCTGCTCGAGTACATTCAGTGGGGCCGTGCAAATGAGCTTTTTGGCCAAGAAAATTTGACCGTCCTTGGTCCGGATTTCCACCAGCCCTTTTGATGAGTCGATACGGGCAACCGGCGTATTGAAGGAGTATGAGAGGTTGCCGCTCGCCAGAGCCTCTTCAAAGAAGCGTTTCGCAAAGCCGGATTGGCCGCATTTCAGCTTGAAGACAATGATGGTGTCCAGAAGCGTTTTGTAGTCGTAATTGGCAGCAGCCCACCAGCGGAGAAAGTCAAGAAATGCCGAGTTTTCCGTCGTTCCGCCACTGCAAAGGAGCACAAAGGCTTCTACAGCGTGCCTCTCGTCGCTGGAGAGATCGTGGCTGATTTGGGCGATTCTCTCTGCGACGGACAGGTTTGCATATTTCAACACGTCTTTATTCCAGTATGCGTTGAATGGGAATGGCATCACGGTCCTACCAAGGTTACCGTCGACGTTGACGAACTTCTCAACGGCCCGAGCGAAAAGAGAGTCCTGAATCTGGTCAGCCATCAAGCAAGAATAACAACTGTGCTAACTAACCTCTTCCTCGTGACTCATGTTCCTGTCACCAGATGCTGTCTTGAAGGTGAAGAAGTTGTGCTTCTTGCTGTAGTCGGTGGAGTGCACGAGTTGGTCTTTCATGCCATATCTCGACAGTTCACGATACACATGTGGCTGAAACCAGTGAACCCATGTGCCTCCCATTTCATAGGGGTACCCGTCAATCTCGGATGACCAGGTTCGGCCACCGATTCTGTCTCGTCCCTCTAACAGCAGCGTCTTCAAGCCTGGTTTGTGGTCAGCCGAAGTAAAGACCAATGCAACCTGTCAGCTCAGGGAAACTGACCGCTGGTTGACGTATCTCTGGCCGCTGTAAGGCCTGTATACCCTGCGCCAATAACAATCACATCAAACACGTCTTTGGGATGCTGGATCAGCTGTGACGGCTCGATCACTGCAATGGAAGGGATACCGGCTTGGAGCCCGGTGCCGGGAGTCCAATGCCAACCTTCTCGTGACCTTTGCATGTTTGCTTCGTGTTTGTGATACCGTCTCGGGTGACTGTTTCTGAGAGCTGGAGAAAGACTTTTTATCCTTGTGAAGGAGGTCGAAACGTGGAAATAAATAGGCTTTGAGGCCGACCGTGCGAAATTCCGCCACAACCCTGCTCCATCGTTTTAGGCAACAGAGAAGGGACTCTGTTACGCTTTTCGATGATAAACAGATCAAGATGCAGGCCTTTGATAAACATATCATCGTCCTGAGACCTTTATTGGTTTGGGTTGGGTGGCAAATCATGAGGACTTTCCTCCGAGCTTCCCCTTCTGAGAAATAAAGTTTAGCTCGGCGCATGTACCAAGACGCTTGTCTAACACGGTTAGACCACTCACTTAACATTCCCCTTTTGGACAGCCAAGTCTGGGGTGCAGGGTGGGTGGGTCGACGGGCCCATTCCGCTGCTCTCCATTATCGCATTCGAGTCCTCGTCCATATGTCTATTAAAGCGTCTGAAGGTCATGACTCTCGGTGTAGACCTGGTCAACTCTCTTGTCCCACCCACTGCATCCTGCGACTCTGATCAACTGCTAGTACAAAGGACCGACAAGATGAGCTCTGTTGAGAAAATGAAGGCTGCGACTCAGGCATATGGAACCCAACCTTTCAACCAGCTTGAACAGGGTATGCACACAACTTGCTTTTCGCCGGTGATGTCTCTGTGGCTCCTTCTATGCAATCCATCATATATATATGACTGACATGGCGCTCGTATCATGGCAGTTGAGACTCAACATCAAGGGACGTTCCGAACGGTCGAGCTCTCCACCTTGGGTCTCCGGCAAGAGACCCAGCGGGACATCGGACCTCTCGATACCATCTGTGTCGGTTGGAATATCTGCAACAGTTGGGCCGGAGTGGCAGCGACTTTGGCTTTGACAATTGCTCAAGGTGGCTCAGTGACGCTCATTTATGGGGTTGTCGTCTGTTTCATTATGGTTGGGTGCAGCGGATTGACCATGGGAGAGCTTGCTTCGGTCTACCCGACCGCTGGAGGACAGTAGGTCATGTCGCCTTCCTGTTCAAGACGAAGAGGACCATAACCTGTTGCCAGGTATCATTGGACATCTATTTTAGCTCCCCCAAAGGCGAGCCGGTTCTTGGTATGCTGTTTTCAGGTTCGCCAAACCCAGCAAATGTCCCCTGCTGACTGTACGGACAGAGCTATGCATGTGGTATCACCAACGCCTACGCTTGGATTGCCACCACGGCTGGCATCGCCATCATTGTTCCGCAAGTTATCCTGGCCATGGTCATCCATTACCAACCTGACTACGTGCCTCAAACCTGGCATTATTTCCTCCTTTATCAGGCTGTCAACTTCCTGGTTTGCATGCACAACATCTTCTCGCTGAAAAAGACCATGTGGGTCAATGACGTCTCATGTCAGTAACAGTCTCTGCGGCCTACACGTACTTAGCTAACCTCCGCGATAGTCGTTGTCACTCTGACTGGCTTCGTCACGATCATCGTTACCTGCCTCGCCCGAGCACCCACGAAGCAGAGCAGCGAGTTTGTCTGGACGAATTTCGTAAACGAAAGTGGCTGGCCGGCTGGTATCAGTTTCCTGACTGGCCTGGTGTCACCTAACTACATGTACGCCGGGATTGACGGCGCAATCCATCTGGCGGAAGAATGCAAGCAGGCCGAGAAGGTCGTGCCCAGGGCTCTCGTCAGCACTTTAACCATTGGCTTCATCACAAGCTTCATGTTCGCGGTGTCGATGACATACTGCATTACGGATTTTGACGCCGTGCTTAGCACACCTACTGGGTGAGTATGCCCGGCCATGCACAGGGCGATTGCTAATGCAGGATAGTTTTCCCATCTACGAGATCTGGCTACAGGCGACCCGATCCAGCACCGCAGCCACAATCTTCATGGCCATTCTCCTCACAGCCGCCACGGTAGCCCTCATCGCCGTTCAGCAAACGGCCTCACGCCTGACCTGGTCTCTCGCACGAGATAAAGCTTTGATCTGGTCCGGATTCATCGGCCACGTCCACCCATCCCTGCAAGTTCCGGTTTGGGCGCTCCTGGCCAACAATACCATTGTCTTTATCATCGGCTTCATCTTCTTGGGATCTTCGACCGCCTTCAATGCCTTCATCGGGACGGGCCTTATCCTACAACAAGCAACGTATGCCATCCCGGCAGCCCTGTTGGTGTATCGAAGGCGGTCTTCGATGTACCTACCCATCAACAGGCCATTCAAGCTATTCAGCCCGTTCGGCTGGACGGTCAACCTCTGCACGATTGCGTTCGCTATCGTGGTCCTGATCTTCTACGACTTCCCCGTTGTCATCCCCGTGAGCGGTTCAAACATGAGTGAGTTTTACCATACACTTGCAGGCTTCGAGTCGAGATTGCGGACTAACTTGGCGCAGACTATACATCTGCTGTAATCGGGGTTATGGCCTTATTTGCTGTCATTAATTGGATCCTATATGCTGGGAAGTCATACCACGGCCCAAGGTTGGACTAAAAGAAACAAGTGCCTCAGTGATGCTGGTGGTGGCTGTCCGCAAACACGGCATTAAAGGGGTTGGGAACGAAAATTACATAACGTGCTTGGAACGATCTCCATTAGAAGGAGAAATGGCTTCGCAGTTTAGCACTCTCCTCGGTTGATGCTTGTGCATTGAGTGTAATGACAATTAGCTCGCATATATGGGAGCGGCCAGAGAAAACTCTGGCCACCTGCCATCATATAGGTTGCTCTGAAGCAAGATCTCTTCCTGACCTACTGCTCTCGCGAAGTCAATCCAGATTTTCAACGAGTGATCAGACCTAGTTCCAAGTCGTCTATCCAGCTTCCAAAAGGATCCAAGTCGCTGAAGAATGGGTTGCTCTGCCCAGCCCCGAGATCTTGCGGATCCGATGGTTGGTAGTCATCAACCAGATTGATGGAGACCGAGCTTGAGTGCAGCGATGGTAGTGGAGGAAGAGCTTCCGTCGCGGAAGCATGCTGTTCCAAGAGCTGGTACTGCCTGCAGAGCTCGGGACCAAAATCCTCAACAAAGGGGGCCAGCCTTCCAACATCACAGTCGGGTACAGCACCCAGGCTTGAACTCCGCAGTGTGAGCCTCTTCATCTCTGCCAAAGCGGCCAGGGCACCCTCTGCGGAACCCCATTTCTTCTTCAACTCTGTCAGGGATGATTGGATGATGGACAATGATTCTTCGGCGGTCGAAACGAGAGAGCTGTACCGGAAGGCCAAGACCTGGGCGAGACCGGCTGCAAAAGCGTAAAAGGTAAATACCGGCCCGCAGTGACAGAGCTCGCCTCTGTTCAGGAGATCCTCGAATATTCCTGCCACAAAAGAGGACGCCACGAATGACATACGGATGGACTGCTTTCGCGAAGCCGAATGTCGAGCCAAGATAAACAGAAACACAAAATAGGGGATCAGGAGCTGCCTTCCTTCGAAATTGTAGGGTCCCAGCGTTTTCGGTGATCCTTGAAAGAGTTGAAATTCCACCGGCAAACTTTTGATCCAGCGGTAAAGGGCATTCTCTAAGGAGGTCTGTATTCTCTCGGTCATAGTCTTCCGCCGAATGTTTTCGGTTAGATCTGCGAGAAGACGAATCATACCAGAAAATGCCATGAACAGGCGCGCTTTTGTGTCTGTACTCGGAAAATCGTGAGTGGTTAGAGGGAGGACGTCACTGTCGTCTAGGTTGATTGTCCTAGGTCGCCCCGTCCCTATAGATATAACATCATCGCGACACTGCCAGTGTTCAACAAGCGGCAAGGGCATATCGATGCGACAAACACTTACCACAATTGACCACCATAGCCTGCGACGCAGGGACCTGTCCTTTTGCGTGGCGGGCTCCTTGTGAAGTCCGATTTGGTACGCCAATCCAGCCGAGATGCGCACCCAAAACCCACTCGTGCTAGTTGAGATGTGCTCTGGGCCTGTCGGATTGTACCATTGAAGCAATGTAACAGCGATGATGGAGGTAAGGGCGTCTCTTTCGTGACCCAAGATGAACAGCAACCTCGCTTTCCGGTAGAAATCCTCGGCGGAAGCCGATAGAATATCGCTCGATGCGACCCTGCTACCGGCCAGAAGTACGGCGTTTAGTAAGAGAGGCGAGGTCCCATTGGCCTGGAGTTCTTCCACCTCCGGAGGCTCCAGGACAGGAGTCCACGGAGAACAATACTTGAAGTAGCTGTCGATGAGACTGGCGAGTACAGACCTCCGCGGTAACTCGAATGCGTTTTGCAGTCGCAGTAGTTCAGAGTCCGTCTGGGAGAGTCGCGAAGTGTCACTCTGGACCTGCGCCATTTCCTCGCGAAACCTGATGTCGTCGCTCCCAATGTAGTCACTTCTGCCCACGTGGCTTTCCGTCGTTGCCACATATTCAGGCGATTCGATGCTTTCTCTGTGAGATCTGTCTGCCAGTTTCTCTGCTGCTACCCCGATATCCGCGCTCCCCCACTGCGTTTCAGACCGGTCGAATGGGATTTGGATTTGGTTGTGTGCCACAGTAAAGGGCTGGAAATTCCGCCCCGGTGTTGGCGCTGATGCTTCATCGCCATGGCGCTCGGTAGAATCTTCCTGGCTCTGTGGGCTTGTGTGGCTTGTTGATAAGTATCGGGGACGCTTTCTTTGATGTGGTTTGCATGGAAGGCCTGCCAATCTGCAATTGGTACATGGTTGATGGCACGAGCTGAAGTCACATTTGATCTGAATGATTCTGTCATCAGTTTACGCAGCCAAACACCTTCTAGCGTTGTGTATCTACTACCTTTCTTCGATGGCATATGTCACATGCTTTCTTGATCCTGGTGGACGCTGACATCTGTGTCGCGTTTGTCTCGGAGCACGAAGCTGATGTAGAGAAGACGTTCAAGTGCCGAAGCCGACATTATCTCCTCCAAGCTCCCCTCCCCAGTGTGGGGTTTCGGCATTACGAGCCGAGACAATACGAGGTACACATTTGTTCAAGTTTCGCCCTCAAATGTCTTGGCTGGAATCAAAACTTATGAGATGTCGTCTCCTTTTTCAAACTGTACGTCGCTGGTAGAATCGGAAGTTACGCCGTGCTACGTAAAAACTGAAGAAGTAGCGAGTTGCATCGTGTAGAGCTGGAGATACTGCCGAAGGACGTTTGTCTAATAGATTCCTGCCGGTAATTCCCAACCACTTCAAGAAAACCTACAAACGCCTGGGTCTCGAGTGTTGAGACTAGTATGAGAGACCCATTTGGGGCACATTTACATGGAGAGGAGCAGGATATTTGAATATAGATTGACCAAAGCTACCCCTCGCTGCGATGGCAAGCCTTTCCGCCTCTATATCGCCATCGACTTGGCCACAAAAGATAGCCGCGACTAAATCATGTGGTTTATCGCGAGACAGCAAAGCGATAGAAAGAGGACAGTGTCTATTCATCGTAGCCGAAGATTTCAAGATGCCGTAAGAAAAATCTATAGTCTCGGCACGCTCTTATAGCCTTGCGCGCTCTTGTGGTTCGAGATGGTAGAAATGCTGGAATGCTTGCAGACACCCTGGATTGATCACAGTGGAACTTATCGTCCGTGGCATCTTCCCGGTAGAAATGACCTCTTTGACAAGAGTCTCGACCTTCTTTCCATTTGAAGTCATCGGAATCTCCCTCACTTCGACCACAAACCGTGGAACGTGCCTGGCGCTGAGGGACTTGCGGATAGTGTCCTTCAGTAGTCGCTCCAAATGGTTGGTAAATGGGTGGCCAGCACGCATGACGACGAAAAGAAACACAGACTCGTCAAAGTCAAGACCATGCCTCTTTCGACCAACGCAAAGGGTGGTGGCGATCGTGCTTAAGAAAGGAGCCGCTTCCGTGATGGAGTAGATCTCTGCGGAGCCAAATCGTATGCCTTGTGGGTTAAGAACGCCGTCACTATCCAAGTCAGTATTATGAAACTTAGTAGAGAGCGTATAATGTACCTTCTCCCATGCACTATCCACCCCTTGGTGGCAGGGTTGACACTCGCCCAATCATGCTGCGCCCAACAGGGGAACGAGTATCGACTGAAATACGATGCTCGGTACTTTTCGCCTTTTGTATCGCCCCACATGTAGACAGGCATCGATGGGAATGGTTTTCGGCAGACAAATTCTCCCGCTTCGCCACTGTGCTTGATAGAACGACCATCAACCGGATCTGCTATATCGACATCGTGTCCGAGGATGGGCATTTGGATTTCTCCTGGGAAAAGCGGACCAGCAGGATCGGTTCCACACCAGGAAGTCACCAAGTCCGTCCCTCCAGTCACACTTGTAAGATGCACGCCGGAGGGAAAGACTTTGTAAAACCAGTAATACTGGTCTGAAGCAAGATGAGAGCCTCCGGTCTGCACCATTCGCAGACTCGAAAGATCGTAATCGGCCTTGGGCAGACACCTTGTCGATTCCAGCTCTTTGAGGTACTTTGGCGAGGCGCCCCAGTAGTTCACTCTAAACTTTTCGACAATTTCAAGCATGCGCTGAGGCTCTGGCCAGGTAGGAGACCCGTCATAGAGGATGAGAGTAGTCCCCATGGCTAAGTGGCCGACCATAATGTTCCAGAGGACCCACGACGTACTCGAGTACTGGAAGACAACTTCTCCCGGCTTCAGGGAATTGTGAAGCTTTCCGATCTTCTTATGCTGTATGATAGCCGCGTGACTATGCACAAGGCATTTCGGGGGACCCGAGGTCCCGCTGGAGTATAGAATGTAAAGAGGTGTTGTGAACGGGAGCCTGGCAAATTCTAGTTCGTCCCCGTCTTTCGACCTGTTCAAGAAGTCTGATAGCGGCTGGAACGTCGTCGTAGGTCCCGTGGGTACGACAAATAGCTCTGGGTTTGGTTTGAGTAGCTTCAGTATGGCAGAAATCTTGGCAGCATTGGACCGCTGTTGACCTTTGTAGGTGCAGTGGCTATCGGCGAACAGTATAGATGGTTGTACTTGTTGTAGTCGAGATATACATCCCTGAAAGAGTTAGAATCGCCCCAAGGCTCTTTTCGCAGGGTCGTACCTCAAGCCCAAGATCCGGAGCAATCGAAGTAAAGATGGCCCCAATGCTCGCCGAGCCAAGGAGCAAGGCAACGGACCAGACTGAGGTAGATATCAGAGCAGCCACTCTATCACCTCTTTGAACCCCACTTCTGACGAGAGCGCTCCTGATTCTTCGCACATTTTCTCGCAACATTGACCATGTCCAGACCTCACCATTGAGGTGTTGACTTTCCCTCAACCCGATCAGAGCAGGGCTCCGGTCGTCAACCAGTGGTTGGGTCAGCACGTTTTCCGCGTAGTTGATCGATGCTCCTTCGAAGAATGGCGGGATCTCCGATATAGGAATGGCTGGGTTGTAAGCATGCTTTATTCCAGGAGGTAACGCAGGTATCAAGCCCACACAGTCCCAGAGATCAATCCAGAAAGCCTGGGGGTCTGTCACGCTCCATTCCTGCAGTTCGTGAGAGTCTTTCAACTGGAGATTGAATTTCTTGTTGATATGCGCTCTGTAAATGTTCATGGGTATCTCACTGGCAGGAATTGTCGGCTTCCAGATTGGTGTAAGTTGCGTTGCCTGGTATTGAAATTCATGTTGGGAAGGCAAGACATTGTTCACTCTAGAAGCAGCCATCTTGATAGTCACCGGAGCTTTCAGTGACCAACAAACATAGAGCTAAGTTTCTTCACTGGCAATATTTCAACTCAGAGCCGATATGAGAAGTCATGCAGTGTTTGAAGCATTGATGTTTATGCTCGGGTACGCCTCCATCAGCTACTTACCTTTCGCCGTTTTACGCCGAGTAACGGCCATACAGGGAAAAAGGTCTCTTTCTCCAAAGGCTCAAGTAGATGTCTGTCCATGTGACGTGACCCTCCAAACGCCGAGAACAGATCGCGCGCTAGGCTTTCAACGGCGCCGTTCGGCACCTCGGGATGCTGCGCAGAATGCAAAGGGAGCATTTAATGTGGGCAAACAACCTCCAACTCTGCGAATGAACGGTTGGACCATCACCGGCAAGATTGAAAGTATGTCTCCTCTCAAGCCTTCCACCGTAGACAGTGGCTTTGTCTTAGCTCCGCCTGCTCTGGAGAATCCTTTCACGTCGGACGAGTCGTATAAACGGGTTCTCGAATGGTACCTCCCACCGCATGTCCTCGAGGTCGTCAATCATCGTCTCACCAAGTTTGCGGAGGAGGCCATCTCACCAGAGATCAATGAATTGATATCAAACGCCGAGTCGCAGCAGCCATACGTCAAGACTCATAATGTGTGGGGTGCTCGTTACCCATATGATCGGTTGGTCACCAGCCACGGGTGGAAGGAATTGGGAAAATGGGGGTCGAAAAATGGGTAAGCCGTCGTCCAAGTATCTCGATGACACGGCCTGATGGGCAACAGAGTGATAGCACTCGGCTACGAAGAAGAATTCAAAGAGTATCGGAGGCTCGTCCAACATGCATTGTAAGTCTTGTCTTATACTCTGCCTGCTAAGGAAATCACTAACAACGCCGTAGTAACTATACGTTCTCTGCCTCGTCCGCGGTATACTCATGCCCAGTTTCAATGACTAGCGGAGCTGCACGGCTCGTGTCGAAACAGTTGAGCTCAGTGCCTGCCGATCATCCGTTTCACGAGATTTATCGTCTACTCATCGCGCGAGAAGGGAATTGGATCTCGTCTCAGTGGATGACCGAGAGACCAGGTGGCAGCGATGTGCAGAACTCTGAGACCGTCGCCGTGTATTCTCCGCTGCCCAACAAGACAGGGCGCTACGGGAGCATTGAAGAAGGAGACTACCTTGTGTCCGGGTTCAAGTTCTTTTCCTCTGCTACCGACTGCGACATGGCTCTTATTCTCGCCAAAACAGAATCCGGTCAGCTCAGTCTCTTTGTCGCGCCAACCAGAAGGACTGTGGATATAGACGGGAAAAGACAGCAGGTCACAAACGGTGTCCGCATTCATCGTCTCAAGAACAAAATGGGCACCAAAGAACTTCCGACGGCCGAATTGGAACTCAACAACGTGAGAGCACATCTTATCGGTCCCTTAGACCGCGGAATCGCTACCATCGCACTTCTTCTGAATGTCACCAGAACCCACAATTTTATTACCGCCCTGTCCTGCTGGCGTCGGGGCATGGCTATCGCGAAAAGCTTCGCCAAAATCCGAACCACGATCGATCAGCCGTTGTGGACGTTTCCTATGCACCTCCGAATGCTGGCGAACATGGAAGTGAAGCACCGAGGCGCTCTCCAACTAGCATTCTTCACCACCGCACTGCTGAGTTTCGCTGACAATGGGTTCCCACCTGAGCATATTCAACGAAAGGGCTACGTGCCCCTGCCATCTCCCGGGGAGCAGACCGAGATCATCCTGAGGACTCTGACTGCGACGGCCAAGGCTGTGATCTGCAAGACTGGCACCCTTTCGCTGCAGGAATGTCAGGAGGCCATGGGCGGCGTCGGATATATGGATGAGCCCGACGAGCCGGAGTTCAATATCTCGCGCCTCATGCGTGACACAGCAGCTAACATGACATGGGAGGGCACCACCAACGTGTTGAGCAGTGAGGTGGTCAGGCATCTTCTGAACAAGAACGGACGACATCTATCTGCTTTCGGCGCTTGGATGGACAAGGCGATTTCGCGAGTTGAAGATGCCGAGCTGAGAAGGAGGCTCGGCCGGGCTTGGAGCGAATATTTCCAGATCCTGGACGGAAAGCGTGATGACTTGGTCTCTGCTCTCGCCATGGGCCGGCAGTTGATGTTCACCCTCGCGTGGCTTGTGGCGGGCGTGTTGCTTGCGCTTGACGCAACAAGAGACGCGAATCCGACCGCAATGGAGATCGCGCGACGCTGGATCCTCGAAGGCGAAGGAAACATAGGCGATTTCCATCTTTCGAACGTGGTCAAAGCGTCGGAGCGTGAGTTGGCGGTCAGTGATAGGGACAAGATCAACTGGGACTGCCGAATAGTCTGGGAAGTCGACCTGCCTGAAGGTTCTGCGATAGGCTATCGGGCACAAGATAGATATACATCGCGCCCTAAACTTTAGGTATACTATGGACCCCCGAGCCCTGACAGCGTTGGCTCATTGGTTTCCGAGCAGCACGTTAGTAACGCCGGATAGAGCAAAAAATAGCCTTGACGTCTCCTGAAACTGCAGCCTGGCCACGCAGCATCGTGTTTACCGGGAACTACAACGTGACTTGAGAGTGTGTTCCTCACCTTTTGCTCTTTAATTCGCGGACTTTTCCCCGACCGTGTCCATTGGAGGTCGTCTTCGTTGCAGAAGCACGATTGGAAAGCCTGTATTTCTCAGTGACAGCTGTGTGAAGTAGAAAGGACAACAGATGTTCCTCGGCGCCTTGCTCGGAGCAGCTGCCTGCCCCTTGCTTCACCATTTTCAGGTCTTCGATCCGAACACTCTCTGAATTTGGACATCCGGAATCAAGGAGAGTCGTTTTGAGTGAGTCGACTTCCCGTCTCTTTAGTGGTGGTCCGCATTTCAGGGACGGGGCCGGTACGGTAACCACTGTGTGGCCTTCGCTGGCTGTAGCGCATTCAATCTGCCCTGAGAACCCAAGTCTCTTCGTGGTGATGATGCTTGGTCCTGGTCAACTCTCGTGAGGAAGAGTGCGTTTGCCATCTCTGGCTCCGCCTGCAAGATGCTCGGAGCTCGAGACTGCGCTCGGCCGGATCTCTGCTCGAGGCTTCTTCCATTATTCTGCACCAGTACCGAACCCTCGTGCGAGCGACCACCCTGTGAGTCTAACGGCCTGGAGGGCGGCACCCTCGGGGCAGTAGTGGATGTTATGAAATTGTCTTGTACAAGTGTACTGTGATGTGCGTGAGAGAAGGAGGGAAGGGAAGGACGTAAGTGAGAACGGGACAGTTGTTGTCACCTCGTTGATTTTCTTGGCTGGAGAATTGCTGCCACACGAACAGATTTGATTCTTCACTGTCCGGTCCTATCTCCAGCCCAATAGCGCACCTCAATCTCTCAGAACCAAGTCGAGCTCACGTTTCCCCACAGTCTTATCTGGCTCTGGCGAGATCCACGGCAAGCGGCAGCCATGAGACATTCCGTCAATGTGAGATCCATCCGAATGCGCAACCCCGGGAATAGTCTTACAGCTTTGCAGTTGACAGACCTACCGATGGCTCGTCTTGCCAAATGCACAATATGTCAACGCTAGCTTTGAGATCTCCTACCCACAACCCAAGATGACCGAGATAAGCCTCCACAAATTCAACGCCCGGGCGGCACTTTCTTCTCCTGTGACGACAGCGGTGTACCTACTCTGTCCATTTAGGCCAATATCAATATGTTCGGTATATGTCTGCCCATCAACAGTGCCAAAAAGTCTTCCGATATAATTTGATGTGAGCCTTCGGGGGCGAAGAAGACCACACGAAGGCGACGATGTTGCACAAATATGGTGAGCCCGTTCAAAATCCTCCTGTCAATCCTGGTTTGGAAATGCACGCCCTATGGGTGCTGTGATTCTGGACAAGTCAGCACCAGGGCAATATTCCTAAAGTTAGACGATACCATGTTGTTCCATGCGAGTTTACCGTCACAACGAAAGCTGTGGCGCAAAGGGCATTCTGGGCGTCAGTCAACAAAATGATGGCTCCTGGCATTTCCCAACCAAGGGGATCAGCAATCGAAAAGGATACTCATTGTTTGACAAAGACTTTCGCTCGGCATATCTAGCGACTGCGGCATACGAAGGCCTCAGCTCGAGACTTGTACCTGGAGACCTTGCAATTAGAGTCTCTCGAGTGGAATTTCCGAACACAGGTGGGTTATACATCAACCACGTTTACGATTCATTGCCGACTGTCGGCACGTCCCGCAACGGAGAGGCGGGACTGCAAATTGAATTGTCAGGATGTCGATTCCGTATTGCTCAAACTCTGCACATTGAAGGATTGATGCGGAGTGTGGATCGCGACTTCCATTTCAAGCGAACTGTGAGAGTTTACCGTGTTGCAAAATAAGAAGCCATGGCTAGTTTCGCATCCCTTTTGCTTCTGCCTTCGTACCTGGTATCTGTTCTGATGAAGTTCGAGATACCGAGTAGATCTCGGTCAATAAGGGGGAAAAGGGGGCCTCCAGCTCAAGTGAGCTTTTCCATTTTGGTTAGCCGTTGCCGAGCCTCGGCTGAAAACACCTGTCGTCGCGATTCAACTTCATTGTACGTCGTCTTCTTGAAGATTTTGGATTTCAGGTGGTTCAGGAATTAGAGTGATAGACTTCGCAAGGAGCATAACGATGGCGACCACTCTGGCGGAACAAATCGGTGTCGAAGAAACCGGTCCGGATGAGTTTATCTCACTGTTTCCACCCGCTCGAGGAGGGAATCAACTGCCAATTGCGTACGGTGGATGTACAATAGGCGTTGGTGTCCACGCTGCATTTCGCACTGTGAAGCCCGGCTACAATCTCTATTCAGTCCTCGGACACTTTCTTGGGCCATCAAGGACAGATCAAAGGTTGACATGTCGAGTCCAGCGGTTGCGAGACACGAGAACATTCGCGACTCGGAGGGTGGAAATATCCCAGAGCCTTCCGAACGGAGAACAGCGGCTCTGTATGACGCTGCAGGCTGACTTCCACGTCAGTGAACCAGCAATGATGGAATACTCAGCGCCCCCAGAGACTCGATACAGCGACGTCAGTCAATGCCCGTCGGTGGACAAAATAGCCGAAGAGCTTGTGTCGAAAGGCTACATCACCGAAGAAGCTGCCCGTTCTTATCGCACTGCCACCTCCATCTTACTCACATTCTTCGAAAATCGATTCTGTCCCGAGGGAATCTGGGGGCAGACTCTCGGTGGATTGGCAAAGCAAATCCGAACGACACAAGATCACCTGCCAATCACCTCCAAAACCTCTGGGGATTGGTTTCGAGCAACGCAGCCTCTGTCCTCGACAGCCGAACACCTAGCAGCTCTGGCGTTCATGATGGATGCTGGACCGTCTTTCATGCCGCTGATACACAACAATAAAGGTATGCATGATGCTGGTGCTGCCTCAACGCTGGATTTCGCTCTCAGGATATTTGTAAACGATGTCGATACAACGCGCTGGCATCTCCGAGAGCGGATGACCCGGACTGCCGGAGTTGGACGGAATTATGCGGAGTCGAGGCTATGGGACCAGAATGGCAGGATGGTGGCTTCCATGACACAGCAGTGCATCCTGCGACCCAAGCCTAACCCGAGCGCTTCGTTATAGACCATCCTCACCCGCCCTGTCGCGCCTCGACGTGGAGCTGAAGCGCAAATTTCCACGTGTCATTGGAAGCATAGAGCCGAACACAAGTGGATCGACCACCAACCCCCAGTATTTGAAGCCGGAGACAACTGGCCGCATGTTCTCTTGACTTGACGGATAGACTAGAGATAAGAAGGAGACATTACGAAGAGGCTTATTAACGGGTTGGCTTGAAATCTCGGTTGAGGGTTTCTTATTCGTGCTCAGACATAGTCTGTCCCTTTCCGGGAGCTCGGTATAATGCGATGAGAAAGCAATCGACCTTGTCGGTACCGCCATTGGACAAGCGGTACAAATGGCTCGACTCAATTTGGCTTACCGCCCAGGCAGATAGTCTCAAGACAGTAACCTTTCCGTGCTTTGACAACAGGCATAACAAATGCAATGCAGGAGGAATTGCGTATCCATGGATGCCTGCCGCAGGGGCGCCGAGCCAGAAAAGGAATGTCATCCTGATTGCTCTTAGTTTGGCCAAGAGAGGATCCATTCATGCCATAGCTACAGAGTGATAAGAGTTCCCATCCAGCCTTTGCGCTGACTAATTACCAAAGTCAATTGTGATCGAGAATCAGGATTGTAAATTTAAAGGATATTGTTCTCGCACCGACGACGAAGAATTGTGTTTATACCGTTTGTCAATTCGCAACTAAACTTCGGTCACTCCAACTCGTTGACCTATAGCCAAATCAGTGGTCTCCAGGATGTCGTCGCTCCAGTACTATGCCTACAAAGGCGTCGGCCAGCAAAACAAGGAGAAGTACCGCTACAGCCAGGCGGTAAGGGTTGGCGATCGGATCGAATGCGCTGGCCAAGGTACAGAGCCCGGTTTCGGCACCCAGAGAGTTGTGTGTGTGTGTGCTTGCTTGCTGACTTCGTTCGCTAGGTGGTTGGCACCCCGAGACCGGGGTCATCAACACGGAGATCAATGCTCAAATAGACCAAGCCTTTGCCAACGTGGACCTCAACCTCAAAGACGCGGGCGGGAAGGGCTGGTCTCAGGTCTTCCGCGTCAACTCGTACCATGTGCCCCTCAACGACGAAGCGCTGGGCGCGATGGTGCGCAACTTTGCCAAGTGGATGCCGGACCATCAGCCGATCTGGACGTGTGTTGGTGTAACGCGGCTCGGCATGGACGATATGCGGGTCGAGATTGAAGTGGTGGCTCTGGATAAGTAGGACGCCCACGGGCCTACACTTGCCTTCAGCAAATAAATAGGCAGCGTTACGTGCGGATGGTGTTATACTGTTCAATGAACTGGGGCGATTGTCGTGATGCTATTTAACCACCCACATAAAACATTTGGCAAGTGAATTTCAGAACAAAGAGGGGCTGAAGGGGCAATGTGCATTGCTTGTCGTTAGCTCTCACGCAAAAACATACTTGTTAGTCCACAAGCACCGAAAATGATTGTTGCGGTTGCATTTTCTTCTTTGCGCTGTGCCGGCTAGTAAGAGTAGTCCATAAGTATGCCAAGAGGATTGTTCTCTATGGACAGGGAAGAACCTGATGGTCTAGGAACTAGCCTGGAGCTCATGAGTGTGCAGTCTTGGAGTATCGCATGGGACTAGCGAGGGCATACTTTATATTGCACCTATCTTACTTTCGTCCCTCCAAGCTCCTGTTAGAATTCTCCTTCGCACACCCAATATTGGGACCAAAAGTGCGTCAGCACACTGCCATCTTCAGGAATATCAAGATCGGGGCCAAAATGCACAAAGACGTCCATTCCCACATCACTGTACATCAACCGTCCCGCCTGACTATTTTGACATTGATCCCGGTCTGCTTGTTGAACCAAAAGTTATGGGTCTTCCACTCCTTCTTTGGCGCGACCAATTCAAGCCGGTACCGTCGCAGCATGTTAGGAAGCATCTTGTGGATCTCGGTAAGCGAGATCTAGAGCAAATCGCGTCAGCAAATCCACACGTACAGGGAGCACCAATGGATATCCACTTACATTTTTCCCAACACATGTGCGTGGACCACCACCAAACTGAAGCATGTAGCGATCCATTTGCTCCGCGCCTGGCTGGAACCACCGGTCGGGATTCCACTGTTCGGCATCTTTGCCAAAAATGCTCTGATCGAAATGTAGAACGGCGGCGTTGACTCCGACGCGGCTGCCGGGGGCAAAGTATCGGCCCGCGATCGTCTTCCCAGAGTCTGGCACATGCCTGGGCATGGACATACCCACGCTCGGATGCATCCTCATGCCCTCTTTACAGCACGCCTTGAAATACGGAAGTTGCATCGCTTCACTGTAACGGACGGGATCACTCAGCTTGCCTTCTTTATCGGCCATGTCGATCTCGTCCATCAGCTTGTCGTACGTGTCGGGCGATTTCATCAGGTGATACAGAATGGAACGCATAGCTATCGCTGTGGTATCTGAGCCGGCGAAGATCGACACCCAAGCTTCTGTCGTGATGTCGAGGATGGTGAATTCTGGCTTGCTCGTGCTGATGTTGAAAAGCTTGTCTAAGAGATCGGACCTGAGCATGAGATATAATGAGCTTCCTACTCCTGTCGCATCGACGAAAATCAGCAACCCTACTCACCGCTTGACTTGTCCTTCCCTCATCATGTCCTCGCGCTTTCGCACCGCATTCCTCGCAGCCACCACAATACTGTTGAAGCACACTAGTGCTTCATGGAGCGAGGGGAGAAGATGCCCAAGGACTTGGAGAGGTCGGACGTAGGAAGGAAGGACGCAAGCAGTTGCCACGGCAGGGAGAAGGATGTCGAGTGAATTGATGTAGCCACCGTAGTCATGGGAGTTTTGCATGAACCCAAATGCCTGGCCGAAGAACAGCTCCCCGATGACGTCGAAGGCGTACATCTGGAGCCATTGTCCAAGGTCTATGGTCTCGCCCGATCTGGCAAAGGCCTCAAGCCGAGCCATGAATGTGGCCGTGCAAGCATCGATGTATTGTTCCGACTCCAGAATGCTGGACAGGGAGTATAGATTGTTGACGAATCGGCGTTTGTGCGCATGGATCTTTTCGTCTCTCTGGGTGAAGAGATCCTTGGTCGGCGATATGTAACTGTCAAAGGGAGTGTAGAAGTCGGTCTTGGTAAAGCCCGCGTTGACTGCGTATATGATCTTCACAGCCTCAGGGTCTGATATTGAGACTTCGTTCGGAGCAATGCGGACGATAGGGCCTGGTCCACGTCAGTTTGCTTGCGTCTAGTGTGTGAACCCAAATCCAACTTACCATATTGACGATGCAATTCTCTTTGGGCTATATCAAGGTTGCCTTTCAACACCTGTCCAGCAAGCCAAAGCCTCGAGACCTTGGCCCAAAAGGGTCCCGGGACATCAGCGTAATGATGAAAATAGAGCGAATACACCACAGAGCCCAGCCAGGCAATGACCGGCAGAGCCGCGATCAAAGTCCAGTTGGTCAAGTATGAAGTGCAAGTTGAGATATGTTCGACAATCATCGTTGCAGATGTTGGCTCTAGAGGCATCTCGGGCATGGGCAGTAGCTGGTTGTTAATAAAGTCTCTGATACCCCATCCAAACTGGTCTCTTACCCACACTCTCCGACGCCATATACACAGCTGGCTTGCAAGCACTCCTGTTCCAGACCAAACTAGCAATACCCCGGAATTCCCCCCCCGCCGCCCCCCTCTTCCCCTTGCCTCCCCGTTCCCATGTCCTAATGTTCTGGGGCACCCATCTGGGGGTAGAGAGGCCCGTATAGACATCGGCAGGGCTAACACCTCCACCGCCAATTGTTCCTACTAGCTCCGATACGCGATGTGACAAAACCACCGGCAGGAAGTAGCAAAACGTACAGGTTTCGACTCTCATCCGTTTAGGACGACTTTCGATCGAATACCCAGAAGCTCAGTATTATTACTGGCTCTCGATTAGATTGGACCGATGCTACAATAATCACGGCCCTTTGCCGTTTTGACTATAATAAATACGTTGGGAAGTATGATAATACAGAGTACTTTGACATGTTGACAATACTAGCAAATACTAGTACTGTATTAATACTGTTTGATGCCTCGGGTATCGATACCAGGGGCTCCGTTCACCAAGAGTCTAACTAACCCCAGATTTCTAGAACCCCACTTCACCTCTCCCAGGCGGAGAGGAACTCGACCTGGTCCTTTACCATGTTCTTTCGAGCATCATGGCTTCGAGTCCGATTGACAAGTCTTGCCCAAAAGCGCAGCAACCGGAGACCTATCGCTGCGAAGTCTGCTGGAGATCCTACAAACGACAGGCCCATCTGCGCCGCCACGCCGCATCTCATCACAATGAACGTCGTCATCGCTGTCACATATGCAACAGCACCTTCCAACGCAGTGATGTGCTGAAGCGGCACCTGCAATCCTGCACCGCCAACCCGAGCAGCCCTACCTCTCCAGCTTCCAGGCGACGGTCGTGCGATCGATGCGTCAGGCTGAAAAAGGGTTGCGACTCCCAAAAGCCCTGCCAAAACTGCCAGAAGAGGGGGGTCGAGTGTTGTTACTCTTTCCGAGCTAACCTGGGGGAATCCGAAGCACCGCTTGTGCCGCAGGAGGCTGTGCAACTTACCTTCAACACCGACGAATCTCCATTCTGCTCTGCCCTGCAGACAACCGAGTGGGGAACTTCAGAGCAAACTTCGTTCGAAGACTTGACCGCCTTCACTTTTGAAGACTTGACCGATTGCGGCCTGCTGGACTATGCGGGAATCGGTTGGGAGGACTTTCTGAACCTGAGCGAGGAAGCTCATCAGATTAACGAGGACGTCACCGGCCACATCGATGGCGGCCAGAAATGCTTCGTATTCCTGGACGAGTTCACGAGCCGAACGGGCTTTATATCCTCGTTTGACTGTGGCAGCCCGGCGTTGAGAGCGCAAGTCGTGGCCCAGTTCCTGCAGCTCGACACTATCGCGAATGGCGCAGACGAGAGCGTGGTCGCGACCCGTGGCTTTGGCAATTCGAGCCGGCCAGAATGGTCCCCCTCCGGCGTGCCACAAGGAGCCAGCCTCTACTCTCCGGCGAATGCAGCCGCCTCGTTGTCCAGTGCGTGGCTATCTGACCCGCTCTGCTGGACCGTGCACCAGGTTGTCGTTCTCATCAAAGAGACCTGCATTGTGAAGCCGCGGAACAGCACCGTCACCCTGACGTGGTCTGCCGTCTCGGAGAATGCCTGCCTGCAGTTCTTCTCGCCCTTCCATATCCGAAAGTTCCTCGAGCTGTACTGGGCTAGCTGGCATCCCAACATCTCTTTCATCCACCGACCGACCTTTGACCCTGTCTCGTGCCGGACGATCCTCCTGATGTCAATGGTGTTGATTGGTGAGTGCCTGATGCTAACGTCTACATTGCGGTTGGCGCGCTTACGCTGCCAGGTGCGTGTCTGTCACCCGATTCGGCAGACAGCGAAGCCGCGAGGATCTGGTTCAACTGCGTGGAGGAAGCGGCTTTCATGGACATCGATTTCAGCGGCGATCTGCCTTCCTCGTCCCATGGTCTCCCGTTCGACCCCGTGTTGAACAGGCCACGGCTTCAGGCCCTCCAGGCGGCTTACAACGTCTGCCTCTACCAGAACTGGGAGGGCACCGACGCCAGCAAAAGGCGCATCCGACGCTATCGATTCAGCACGGTTCTCTCGGTGAGTTTCCCAACACACATATCAGCGCCGAAAACTAACCGACTGGCCTGTTTACAGGCGGCCCGAGACATTGGCATGTCCAATGCGAGGCACTCGGTTCATGGTCTACCGAGGAACAATTTTGACTGGGCACAGTTCGTGGCCAGGGAAGAGCTGGTTCGGTATGTGCCTCATCCCTCTTGGGGCATTACCATCAATGTGACACTGGAACTGACTAACGGACACTGTACAGCACGTTTCTTTGGATCGGGCTATTCGACGTCGCCTTTGTCATGTTCAACAACCTCCCCCCTCGGATCATGGTCAAGGAATCCATGTACAATCTGGCCTGTCCCGAGGCGTGCTTCCAGGCCCCCACGGCCGAGGAATGCGCCGCCCAGATCCGGCTGTGGATGAGCGGGGCGGACGCCATCTCCCAAACGACGTTCTGCGCCGCCGTCGAGACGCTCGGGACCGAGACCTTGTCGCGCGAAAAGCGTCGCGAACTGGCCTATCTGGGGCCCCTCAATCTGTTTGCGCTGACATGCTGTGAGTAATTCCACCTGTTTCGACACAACAGGAGTATTACATGGCAACGGGTTGCTAAAATATAGGCTGTGCCCCAGCGATCCATACGCTGGTCTTCCAGTACCGCAACTCGTTCGGCGCCGAGGGTCAGCTCACGTTTATCCAAAGCGCCCTGAACAACTGGCGGCACATCTGGAAGATCTACGCGGACGAATTCTCCCACTCCGCGCCGCACGCGATGGTCACGTACGACAGGATGACCATCGAGACCATGTGGAAGCGCGTGGGTTTCGTGCGCCACGCCCCCGAGTTCTGGCTGCTCACGAGCGTGGTGGTGGGCAGGATCAACTCGCAGAGCCAGATGCACAAGCCGCGCCATGGCGGCGAGCCGGGCACGACGATGCTGAGCGCGTCCGCCGCGCCTGAGCCGATCTTGCAGAGTTACGACCAGACCAGCATGCAGCAGGTCAATGAGCTGATTGCGGAGTTCAAGAAGGTCATGATTCACTGATCGGTGCAAGTGGTATTGATCCAGACAATGCTGGTACTATTCAATGCTGGTACTATTCAATGCTGGTACTATTCAATGCTGGTACTATTCAATGCTGGTGCCATCCAGCCCTGGCGACCCCGGATCATCAGTGATGCCTCCGACACCACGATGGCGTCTGAACCCACCCCCTCCTCCGACTCTCTCCGCGAGACCCATAACCCTCTCCGACAGCCACAATTACGTCACGACGCATCGGCGCCACCACCCCGCGCAGCATTGTATTGTATCGTAGATACGCCGGGCATGTCAAACCCTCGAACCAGACGTTGGGGGGGTTACGTTTGGGGCCTGCCTAGGTAATAGTCGGCATGTCCAGTCCAAGAATCGTCCAAACTCGTACCCTAGCCAAAGTGATCGATTGGGCATTTACTAGCGGCCGTGCATGCAGGCAGGCTTGAGACAGGACATTACATATTTCTTGAGTTATATCAACGCGACTCCAGTCGCCACGGACGGACATGTCTCTCAATGCAGTTACAATTATCGAGGCGCCGGCGTGCATTGCGTTCGGCCGGGGCCAATCCCATCGTTACGAGGCGTTCTGTTCAACAATTTTTATATGCTTTTCGCCTTGATGGGAGGAACCCGCTCGGGAACACTTCAACCTGGGACGGTCCCCAGCCCATCCGTCGGCTTTCCGTGAAGTACATATATATATATATATACCCTCTACCAACCCCCGCGCCTCTGCGCACTGGGCTTGCTGCCCTCGCCGTCGGCCGGGATGCTCCTGAGATCCTCGATGTGGGCGTTGAGGAAGTAGCCTCGCAACTGTTCGCTCGTCAAGTCCTTGGCCCCGCTGATGCGCCCTTTGCAGCTCCGCGTCCCGCAGTGGCACTGGAACGGCTGGTCCATCTCCCACTCGGTGCTGGGGTAGAAGAAGGTCAGCACGTCGCCGGGCGCCACGCCCCTGGGGTTGCCGTTTTCGTCCCGGCGCGCCGCGACCCGGACTTCGATCACGGGCTCCTCGGAGTCCGGCACGACGTGGAACTCCAGGCTCGGCTCGCAGCTGTGGTTGATGTACAGGAAGTCGCAGTTCAGCTCGACGTGCTTGTTCTCCGACACCTGCACGCTGGACCAGCGCTTGTGGTCCGCGAACGTCAGCGGCGGGCTGGTGAGCCGGGCCATCAGTGCCCCCGGTGGGAGAGTGGTGGTAGATACGCTGTAGGAGCTGAAGTCGCCCGGTCGGTACACCACCTGGATGACGGAGGGATGGGTTGGTTGTCGTGAAGATGAGGCTGAGGTGGCCGGGGCGCCCTCTTCTGAAGCCATTGCTACGTCTGTGAATTCGAGCGTTGCGACCTGGGTTAGAGACGATCAAGCGGGAGAGGGTGCGAAGGAACGAAGAAGCTGGGCTGAACCGGGTTGTTGTTCACCTGAAAAGAGAGAGAGAGCTGTGGATTTCTTGTGTTTCCTGTGACCGGCAGCGAGTGGAGAGCACCAAGACGCCGGCCAACGCCTCGCATGCATATCAGAACAGCACCATGAAGGCAAACTTTTTTCACAGCCGACCGTTCGCAGAATCCGTCTCGCCCTTCTCGTCATCCGAAATCATGTGCGCTGTAGGGCCGTGAAGCTCTCTTGGGGGCCCCGAGATGCCCAGCTGCAGTGAGACTAGCCCAAGTTTCTTTACCCTCCGAGGCGTTGCTTCAACCTCGGCGGGTGTGAGCCTCAGCCACCTATCACCTCCAGCTCCGAGAGGTTTTTAGCCGGCGACTCCCTTTCATCGTACCCCACATGTTCTGTGGTGTGGAGTTGGCCTTCGCGTCTTCACACGAGGTTGTGGCTGGGCGTCAGAGTCTGGCGCGCGACCGTTGTGGCCCAGTTGATCGCTGTCCTGGGCGCACATGTGCCTTTCGTCCGCAGCCGGGCCCACGGGAGCAGAACTCCCAGTGCCGAAACTGAGCATCTCGAACCCAACCTAGGTGACAAGTGACAAAGGGGGAAAATTTTTCTTTCTGGCCCAGCAGCAGTGCTTGTTGTTGTGCAAACCAGAACTCGCCGGCAACTGGCTCCGAATCATCCCGCTTCGGAGCAGCTACTGTACTCTAGGCGATCGAAGACCAACCGGACCTCAGCCGAAGTTGTTGTCGAGCTGCCGTATGCGAAGAGCCCCCAGGGCAAAGGAGGCGGTTCTCAGGGCTGCGATTTGCTGCACAAGGTGTTGCCAGTGCATTAGTGCGGCTATTGACCAACTTGCTGAGCCGCCAACATTTGCCAGTGCGGTTGCTGCGATGTTTGAACGCTCCATTTGATATTGCTTCTGCGCTGCCGTCCTATCCAAGGGTATTTATTCCAAACACATCATCCTCATGACAAACGCAAACCATCGCACCAGGTGTATTGTATCTATGTTCCACAGGGGAGGTTTGTGGCGCGGCGCAGACGGAAGAAGATGCCTCCCCGTGGGACCGATGGAGGACCTCCATTTTCCACATCTTCGTGGATGCTTGTCGCCTCCGCCCCGGAAAGAGAGCTTTCGACGCTTTGCACATCGGGCGACGCTTCTATTGCTCCGTTATAGCCTGCCCCGCCTCCAATTGAAGCCACACGAGCTATCTGGGCCCAAAAGTTGAGTGACCGGTACAGCTGCATGAGATATCCGGACGAATAGTAGATCAACCCCCCCGACACCGTAAAGATCATGATCATGTACACGAACGAGGCAAAATTCGGGCTCCGGAAAGGGATAATCTCTTTCTGCATGGAAAGAAACCCTACCGAAAGTGCGATTGGCGAGATGAAGATCTGAAACATTAGAAGCCTTTCTCTGCCGTGTGGGGGTTCTTCGTTGACTTACCATAGCGGTCACCGACAGTTGTGCCAACTCATTCTGGCAATTACTGACTTGGATCGCCTTGCCTTGTTGGAGAGATTTCAGCTGTATGTTAGAGAACTTGTGAGTACAAGGCAAGTTTGGAGTCAAGGTGTATACGCCTTCTCTGTGATAAGACCCATATCGTGCATGAAAGGGACCAACTTACATTGTCAGCAAAGCCATCACAGCTCTTTTCCAGGGACTTAAGCTTCCTCTTCAACTGCCTGTATTCCTTCAGAAATTGTGCTTCGGCGCGCAGCAAAGCAGGTGTCCTGGCCAATGCCGCGGTCCTTTCGAAGTCAGATGCGTGGTCCCGACAGAACGTCTCACAAGCCTCAACAGTGTCGAGTAGCATGCGCAGCATCTTGCTTGTGAGACTCTTGACTCGGAGAACGAAACTTTCGGCCCGTCGGACGTTTTCCTCATGCTCTTGGGTTGCTTTCCGAGATATCTTTCCGTGTGACTCTAGCAAGGCGTTGTGACTCTTTCCGACAGGTTAGTAAGAAGCACTTTGTAAATGAAAGAGTCCCATTGAACATTCATTTGCGGCTCCTTCAAGGCTTGTTTGCATACCCGACTTCGGCAAAGGCCACAACATTGTGTTTCTTGAGATTTGCAGCATCCGAAGGAGGATCTCTCATCAAACAAGGAAGGAAAGACCACCCACCTGTGCGTAGTTTTCAATACCCGCTCTGAACATTTCCACCAGTATTCGCCATTCTCTAGAGACCTCTTCCAGGCGAACTTTCAACACCTCGAGAAAGTACACTCTGGGGTCATGGAACTGATTATCGCTGATCAATCTGCCGTTTCTGAAGGGATCCTTGCGACTTCCTTCGGGGAGTGGCTCTTCTTGATATTTTGACTCGGTGGTATTTTCCGATTCGAAGAAAGAATCGGCAAAGCAGTAGGCGGTCCACGTCCAATCTTTCGGGGCAATTATGATGCAAGAGATTACAGCCTCATATAGAAAGATGGACGATTCATAATCATTCCAACCCAGGAAGGAGACGTCTTGCGATTTTCTCAGATGACTCCTGTCCTTATGTTGGCGCTGGCCACTCTGTTGGACACTTGACTTCTGACAGACGTAATATGGCAGGTGGAACGCCATATGTAATACGCAAGGTCCTTCTGGCCCCTGTTCTGGTAAGCACGTGCTATTGAACTTTCCACTGGGAGACTCACCGTGGTTTCCCAACCAAAGAATGGTTCAAAGATGAGGTGTTTGTACATGCCCTCGATGAGAGATGGGGCTTGGTATATGGAGGCGGTACGGAGGAGGGCGTAGATATACGAGGGGTTCAGATTGGGGATGAATCTGACAGTAGTTAGCGATGGAGCCCTGTATACAGTCTGGTTAAGGTGAGATTTCAGTACATTGATCGACGTTCTGCATCCAGTTCGTCTTGAGGCTTTGCGTCTTGGTCTGAGGGGATCGAAGCCTGATTTGTTGCGCCGGCCGACGTTTGGCGAACAGACGACGCCTGTGAATTGTCGAAGGCGCTGGGAAAGCGCTGAATAGGTCAGCATCAAACATTGTCTCTACAGATATCGCCGGATGGAAAGAGCCCAGAAATCTTACTGGTTTGCTCAAACGGTCCAAGAGAAGGGCGGGACTTAAGCGACCCGTGTCGGGCTTTGAACGGGGGACTCCTCCGTTTGTGCTCCGGTCATATATCCATGCACTTTGGCGCCGAGCCTCATCCGTTGCGGCTGCCCGAACCGAGGCAAGGTCCGTCCCTAGGCAAAAGCCGTCAAGCGCGTCTACCATAAAAAGGCAACCATCGGGCTGCAAGCAGTCATGGATTTGGCGAATGATGGTTTGCTCTTGGGCGTCCTGGTCGGAATCAGCCTCACCAGGTTGGCTCTGAGTTTCCTCTCCCTCATCTTCTTCTTCTTCTTCTTCTTCTTCTTCTTCCTCCTCGTCGTCGTCCCCCTCTTCCTCTGCAACTTCTCTAGTATTCGGCCAGTCAAGGATTGGTAGGTTCTCGGTTTTCAAACTGAAGTGGATGTCTGCTCTGCCAGAGAACTGTGGCGTCCATTCACTCATGATGCTGGTGACGAAGAGACCTGGAACAATTTCATGGAACGACCAAAAAGCAGTAGAAAAGGCATCCTGTGCATGGTTCGAGGACGAAATGGGGATATAAAGCCTTCCCGCGGTAAGTTGTACTTTTTCTGAATTGGCTACCTATTTGACAGCGCTTCCCAGTAGAGGACATTGTGGCCGACCACGATGCGAACACGCAGTACTTGGGCGCTGTCGTGGTCTTCTCGTCGATAGGCGACCCGGTGCGCGTGACCTCCTTCGAAGAAAAGCGATGGAAGCTGGCTCGCTGTGTTACCCTCCGCCCGTCTCCCACCTGTTGTCTCATTTGTTCACTTTCTGAGTGGTACAGTATTGGCAGCGTGGCTGCGAGCAATTTGGGCAATTGCTGGTCTTGATATTGATCGGGGCGTGGCCGCACTTGCACTGCCATTCATTAGCCTGGACGGTTGCCTTCTTGCGGGATGGATGAGGTCCAACTTACGCATTGCCACACAAAAACGGTGACTTTCTTTTTTCCCTTTGGCGGCAGTTCCCTCTGGCCGCGGCTCGATATGTCTTTCCAAGCAGATGCCGGCGGCTCTTTCCACCGTCGCAGATCCTCGCATGGAATGGTCGCAGTTGATCGCCGCGAGATTGTCGAGGCTGTCGTGTAACCGGTTGCAGGAGCCGTGTTGCAATTGGTAGCTTTGCCTTGGGCAGCATTGGTGCGTGATTGGGCTCTATTGCGAAGGATCGCGACTGGATGTTCTGGAGGGGAAAAGGCATTGCAGCAGTAATATTCGGAAATGGCTAGATTCAGGCCCAGCGGGACTAGCACCGCCAACCAGTAAAGTCCTAGAACTCTCTCCACCAGAATCCTGTCAGCCCGCCGCGACAATCTCAAAGACGTCTCTTCCCCTCGCATGCCGAAAGAACCCCCCTAAATTCGATGTACTATGAAATACAGCCATCTGCAATGGTTTGGGAGACTGCTTCAATATATCCTGCCATCCTTTGTGGGGCCAACGTGATCTAACCTGGCTAGCCTTCCTAGTCGGATTAGAGCAAAAAAACCCTTAGACCAACCTCTGCATTCAGTGAGACAGTTGTCGCCATCATTTGGCATGTAGCTCCTCCCAGCCACGTCGGCCAACGGAAGCTCGCACGGGGAGCCTGACTAGCGCTCAGCCGCAGGTCGGGGAAATCACTAGCCTAGGCGGCGGATCCGAGATTCAAGCCTACTTGGGTAACCGCATAGCATATCTAATAGATAAAGGTCACTGGCCAGTGCGGAAATTGGGCAAGCAATTTAATATTCGGACCGAGAAGTGTTGAACCTCCTTCGCCCTCCAAGTGAGCCCCTTGCTTCGTTATATTAGCTCGGCTGGGCTGGTTGTGCTGCCGGAGTGCTGCCTCGTTGCATAATTAAGTCGCTCGCCGGTAACCCTATGCGACGAAGAAGGGAAAGTCGAACAAGGCTGAAACCACGTCCCAGTCTCGAGCAAAGGTCGGTGGGACCTTTCAAGGGTTTGCCCCTTCAATATGCCTATATTAGCTATGCTGATAAACTTCTTGATTCCGGCACGAGTGTTTTATTGAGCGCCTGGCACAGAAGTGGGTGATCGATTTCATATTACGAGTCGTTCAGACGCAACCAACAAGTGGCAGCGATGTTTCGAACTTGGCCACGCCTGCCCACTTTCTTTGTTTTGGAATTGCCAACAGAACACGAGGTCCTACCCACTGTCACGAGAAGTTCCATCATCATCGGAATGGCAAGCATACCTAGCCCTGTAAAGCAACAGCAAACCCCAAATACGCTCACTGCAAACAGCAGGTTTTCAAATCTTCAGCTTCTCTCCCTCCTCGCTCCCGCTCGTCGTGCTGTCTCTCACGTCGCTCTTGAACCCGCCTCTCTCGGCCGCGCCCGCTCCAGCCATCGCCTCCGCAGCACTGACACTGTCACCGTCCTTGCCGTCGAGAGTCATCCCAGGTGCACCAGCGGGAACGGTGTTATGCTCGACGTCCTCATACGGCCGCCAGAAGTCCTTTTTGCCCTTGGCTGCACGCGTGACCCACGGTGGGAGGATCCCACCCTCGATCTTGTACGTCCAGGGGTCCTTGTACTCCTTGTCAGCTGGCCTGATGCGGCCGCCGGAGACCTTCTCAACAATCCACACAAAGGTGTTGAGCACGATGTAGCTGATGATGCCCGCGATAAGGCCGTACGCGATGCTGTATGTGAATGGCATAATGGCGATTGTCAGGAATGCAGGAATCGCATCGCCAATATAGCGCCAGTTGATGTCCTTGGCGGCTTTGGCCCTGTAACAGACGATCGTCAGTCGAAGCAGGGGGGGAAGCCTGGGGAGGTGTTGACTTACATGAGCGATCCAACGATAATCAGAACACACCCCGTAGCGTAAGGCGGGATTGATGCAAAGATTGGTGCAAAGAAGATGGAGATGAAGAAGCACAGTCCGGTGGTGATTGCCGTTAGACCAGTGCCTCCGCCTTCTGAGATACCGGCACCGCTTTCGATACTGTTGCATCGTTAGCATTAATGTCGTTGGAGGGAAACCTGATGCTTCGGTTTGGGTACTCACTATGCAGTGACAGGTGGTGTTCCAAAGAGTGCACCAATGGAAATACCAAAAGCGTCAACAAGGTATGCCACTGCAGAGCCTTCGAAATCTTGAGTCTTCTCATCTATGGCGCCGCAGAAACGAGCCATGGAGTACAGTGTGCCGGTGCAGTCAAGGATATCAACGTAGAGGAAGGTGATGAAGGCCAGGCCGAACTGTCCTCCATACCCCGAGATATTCCACTCCTGCACCGTCAAGATCTTCTCAATGGGATGGAAAGTGACGACCTTCTTGAAGAAATCGAACATGCTGTCGCCAAGTTCCGTGTACGGGAAATAGGTGACAGGCGTGCCTCTGGGCCAGGAGATGATGCTGACCAACAAGATGCCGAAGATGATTGCGCCCTTGACTCGGAACATCATGAGCATGACGGTGAAGAAGCCGCCGCAAAAGATACCAATCCACATGGTGGGACTTCGCATTTTCTCGGACGAAGGACACAACCCCATCTCGTCCTGGAATTCAGCTTTGCAACCAGCCAGTTCGAGCGGAGTAGCTTGGGCGCCGACAACGGCACCGATACCAGCGCTGTACGTCAAACCGATGAGAGTCAGGTATAGTCCGATGCCCACGCCTGTGGCGAGTTTGATCGACGCGGGGATCGCTCGAGCAAGCCATTGACGCAAACCAAGAATTGTCAGTCCGACAAAGACGAAGCCTTCGACAAAAACTGCAGTGACTGCAACCTGATATGGCACGAGACCCGATCCGTGGTATCCAACGACAGTATAAGCGAACTGCAGGCTGTCAGATCACTGCCAGGGAAGCGCAGGTTGCCGCACCGAGAGGCACACAAGGGCACATCTCTATGGACGCGGTAGGGAGCTTACATAGGCATTCAAACCCATACCCGGTGCCAGGGCGATTGGCATGTTGGCAAAAAGACCCATGCAGAAAGTCGTCAAGGCAGAGATGGCAGCTGTTGCCGTGACCAAATCTCGCTGAACGCCAGCCACGCAGATCATGTAGTCTGGGTCACTGTCGCATAGATCAGGACTATCAGGCGGACACACACAGGTGCCGCCGGACTGGGACACAATTGTTGCATTGACGCTGATGATGTAGGCCATGGCGAAGAAGGTTGCCAACCCAGCTCGGATTTCGGTGAAGAAATAAGTCCCCTTTCGTTCCCGGCGGTGGCCCGAGCCATCGAGCCGGAAGCGTTTGCCCACGAAGGAGCGCGCAACCGCCATGTTGGCATTGTGAATCCACTCGTTGAAACCCATTCTTTCGACTCCGCAAGGGTTGCTGACACAAAGGAAGAATAGAGAAGGCAAAAGGCAGACAAGGTCAGATCGAACATCCACCTACCTGGGGTTCATCGAGGTTGTTATAACGTGGTGATGCTAGGCATCTCCAATGTCCACGCCCAGCTTGGAATCTCCCTTGGCAGTGACGCTGATAAGAATCTCCGCACACTGTGAATGGGTATTTGTGTGATTGCAGTCGCACCCGAGGAACGATTCTCAGTGGCTCGGAGACTCGCTGCAGTCCATCAGCCAAGACGATGGGCGGGTTCCGCTTGACCTGATGGCGTTCAGTCGGACTTGGCAAGACTTCTTGACAGTCGACCCTTGATAACTGCGTGCATGATTGTTGGTCGAGTCGCCCTGAGGGCTGTTCGGCGAGCGGCGATGCACTGGGGCCATCAAGATCCAGCCTTGAATGATCTTCCTTTTGGCGAGGGACTCAATCTGATATCGAGGAGTTCCTCCAGCAGCCGAATGCCAAGACCTCCCGGACGCCGCCGACAACCTGGATGTGACCGGTACGAGGACTCCCTGGCGGAGCATCGAGCCTGTGACAGTGTAGTGGACTTCCGGTCTGAGTTGGAGATGGCTTAAAATGCTGGCATAGATCGAGGTCCCGCTCTACCTTGGCCTCGTGGTGTCTTTGCTGATGAATCGTGTCGTGTTGTTGATCTAACCTGGTCTGCAGCCCTGCAGAATCTGGCTGTCTCATGTGGAGCCAGACTCGCCTCCCGGCAGAAGCAACTTCGAAGGCTTGATTTATGCCGAGGTAGACACCAATGAAGACGCCCAGATGGATGTCTGGTGACAAGACCTTAGACTTGAGGCACAATTAACGTTGACCAGGTAGGTTTTAGGGGAAGTGAAAGAACCAATAAGACTAGACGCGCGCAGGCGAAGCCCGGAACCTCCGCGAGCCAGTCATTGCGGTTCCTTGCCATCTTACAGAAAGGTCACCAGAAAGACCCAAGACATCATGCCTTCGTGGGCTATTCCCGACATGCCATGAACCAGTGGTTAATTGCTGCTGAACAACCTCCAACACCTATTGCGAGTCAATTTGCCGCAGTGGTGTGCTGAATCTCACATCTTGGACGTGGTGGAAGATGCTATTGCAATTCTACAGAGGTATATCCATTGATGAACCCGTACTGGGCGGACTAGCGCCAAAGCTCGCCTGATCAAGGTGTCATCATACGCCGGCCGCACCAGTTATCGTGCAGATAATATACGTAAACAGGTCAGAGGTCAGCAGGCTGTATATCATTGAAGGTTCACAAAAATCCCGCCATCTGTGAAAGTGGCCACGTTATCAAAGGAGTTCATATCGTCCCAGATAAAAAGGTCACTTACCAACCAATAGCTGGGCACCAGTCTAGAGCTCGTGAGCAACCGAATCAGATTCATTAGATCAAGGCAGAAACTTGCTTACCACATACTGCGACAAATCACTGGCAAGGAACACTGCCGGACCAGCAATCTGGGGATCTCGTCAGCATCGCGGATCGAGGAGTCTGCTCTACAATCCCACATACGTCTGCTGGAAGACCAACCCTTTTGAGACATGTTCGGCGCTCAACCTCTTTCCATTTCTCATTGCACGCCAGATCGGACTTGTTCAACTGCGTCCTGATCGTCCCGGGAAGCAAAGCGTTGCATCGAATTCCGTACGGTCCGAGGGCAACGGCGGATGATTGCATCAAGTTGAGCACGGCAGCTTTGGTTGGCGTATAATGCACAAGGCCGCCGCTCCCCGTGAGAGCAGAAACGCTAGATATTCCAATAATCGAGCCTCCGGTCCCTTGCGCCTGCATGATCCGGCCCGCGGCACGGACGGTGTAATAAGTTCCCAACACGTTGACTTGGACGTGGCTCTGGATGTAGTCGTCCGGGGTCGACAAGAACTCGTGGAACTGAGCAACCCCGGCATTGGCAACCACAATGTCCAGACGACCGAACTGCTGCGCGGTGCGGACCAAGAACGCCTCCGCCACATCTGGTTCTGAGATGTCCCCGGCGTAAAAGAACAGCGGGAACTCCTCCTGGCTGTTATCGTTGCCTACTTGCTTGCACAACGAGCGTTGGTCTTTCTGAAATGCCACTCAACCGTTAGTATCAGATGGCCGTCTGCAGCACTGTCATGAGAGGCTGCCGCTGTGTTACCCTCTCGGAAAAGCTGTCGGGTGCTCACCTCTTCAGCTGGTAGACCGAGATGATTGACGGAAACTTTTGCTCCTTGCCTGGCGAACTCGACGGCTATTGCCCTCCCGATGCCTGTAAGGCCGCCAGTGATAGCAGCTACCTTCCCCTCAAGAAGTCTCGCCATTATCGTGGTTGAGCGAGACCTGCATCTTCCGCGACAGTCCCTTCCCTTTTCTGTTTCTTTTAATGAGCGTCGCTCACATTTGTTCCGAGACGAAGATAAGCGGGCTACACCTCTTGGAGGTTCCTGCAATGAGAAAGTGTTTCGAATTCTCTTCCCAGGGAGGCTACCTCACGCCAGCCTGCCCGAATCGCGTACCGGAAATATGCAGATGAGAATTGCTGGCTTCGTAGCCCGAGGGACGCCGAAAATTGCCGACCTTGGTTTAGCTTGGATCTACAGAACTGTGCGCTCGGCAGAGCAGGGGAAAATGCGGGGATCCGGGGAAGGGGGCAATTGAAGGTCATATGCTCACGCAGTACCATTCGTCAAGACTCTATCGCCTCTGCCTAACTAGGTGCCTTTAGGGGTATCTCACGACTCTAGATAGGAGCGCTAAGGGTGGTTGGGCAAAGGTTAGGGATAAGGCTTCTCTCCAACAGGGGTCTAGTCACCAGCGACAACCGTCCAGCCGATGTCAATCTCCGTTCTTGATATAATATGTCATCCTTCCCTAGCGCGCAAGGCTTGTTGCACGTCTCCGTTTGATCGCTTCGCTTCATCTGCAGCCGAACGAGGTACTTCGGCCCTCGCTCATTCATCCTAAGGGCTCAAGGTTCCTTATGTGACTCCCGGCTCGGTCAAGATGAGACCGAAGTATATCCTTCGTCTCCTTCACAACTAGGTATAAAGGATCGCTTCTGAGCTCTCATGTCCTTTCCTGTGATGGTGCCATGTGAATATCGTATGTGCTGATCCTCAACTTATATCGACATTCTCGTCGCTGCAGTCCAACCGACTTTGTCCACCATGTCTGCCCCGATCTACTATGAGAAAGACGCCACGCTTGACTTGCTCGACGGGAAGACGGTTGTTTTCATCGGGTACGGTAACCAAGGACGTGCCCAGTGCCTCAACCTCAGAGATGTCAGTGACTCTAGTTCATCATTCTAAGCATTTCTTCCATTCTAAATCCCTTGATAGACCGTCTCACAGCACCAATTCCAGCAACCGCCCAAGATATTGGCATCCAGCCTCAACGACAAGTACGCAGCGACATGCCGTGACGACGGCGTCGACTTCACCACCGATTTCCGGGATGCTGCGTCCCGGGCGAACGTGCTCTTCCTTTTAATCCCGGACCAATTCCAGCCAGACCTTTTCAACCACCAGCTGGCGCCCGTGCTCCAAAAGGACGCTGTCGTCGTCGTCGCCAGCGGATACAACTACTTTTACAAGAAGCTGAAGATCGACCCCACCCAGGACGTCGTCATGGTCGCTCCTCGCATGATCGGCACCAGCGTCCGCTCGCTGTTCGTCAAGGGCCAGGGGTTTCCGTGCTTCGTCTCCGCCGAGCAGGACGGCACGGGCCAGGCGCACGAGTGGAGCCTCACGCTGGCCAAGGGCATCGGCGCGCTGCGGAAGGGGGCCATCGGATCGAGCTGCCGCGAGGAAACCCTGATCGACCTGTTCGCCGAGCAGGCGCTCTTCCCCACCGTCATCACGGTATTCGAGCAGGCGTACACCGTGCTGAAGAGGCTGGGGTGCAGCGACGAGGCGCTGTGCTTCGAGCTGTTCCTGTCCAAGGAGCCGGCCGAGATCTTTGAGAAGATGGCCGACGACGGCTTCGTCCGGCAGCTCGTCCACCATTCCACCGTGAGCCAGTACGGGCAGCTGAAAGGGGCGCTGAACTTCCCACAGGACATCTTGCGGCCACTGGTCAAGGAGTTCATTCGCGTGGCCGAACAGCGGGTTCTCAGTGGCAAGTTCGCGGAAGAATTCACCTCCTTGGAAGAGGGGACTACCAACGGCGTGCAGGCCGAGCTTGATAGACTATACAAACAGGCCGAACAGAGCGACTTGGCCAAGGGCGAGGCCAAGGTCCGGTCGAGGCTTGGATTGTGAGCCTTCGAGGGGGCTGATATACTTTAGCTGTCGGATTTGGAGAGCAGATGTAGATTGTTGCCACAAAGACATTGAGTTTCAACGATGACTACCTTACAAAGAAGTGAATATGGTTACGTTACCTAAAATGCAACTAGAGGGAGGCCGACACACATGCGATTTGCTCATGCATGGGGCTGCGGGTTCAGCCTAATTTACATCAAGCACACCATATCCAGCTGAGGTGGGGATAGAAACTCAGCATTTGCAAGGTCGATCACAGGTAGACAAAAAGCAGATAATCGAGACATATATTACATACATTAAATGATTATGTGCAGCCTTGTCCACATTTGTCACTACCTTATAATGACGTGCCCGTGCCTCTTTTATATTAGAACTCATTAGGATCAGAGGGACAGCAAAGAAGACTTGTGATTCTTTCGATTGCCTGCGCCGTGTGTGTTCGAGGGTGTGTTATGGTCGCCTACTCGACCGCGTACTAGAGTCATTTCATTCCCCCTTGTCTCACATGCTGCATCTGTTCTCCTAAATCTTCTTGCGAGTATTGCCCTCCTCGCGCTCCCTGCAACAACACGGTGCTCGATCACCATCACTGCGATATACTTTCGAGGTGCTGGCTCGAAGTACTTTGTGTCATAACCTTGGCATCTCCGACAAAATGCTCCGCTCGGCCGGTAACGGCACCTGTTTCGAGGTTGTGTGGACGCTTCATCATGCTTCTGAAACCTGGCAGTGTACGGCCATTCTTTCCAACAACAACAAGACGATCGCAATCTCCAAAGTACATGTAGTCGATTTCTTCGAGCGTTCGACCGGAGGTCTCTGGATAAAACAACCAGACCACGACCGCCATGGCGAGATTGATGACGAAGAAAATCATGTAGGTCTTCCATCGGATGT